TGGGTCTCTCAATTGACTTTATTCCAAACCGTTTGATAATCTAAATTACAAGAGAAAAACAATTGATTGATATAAAATAGTAAAATAGTGATCTATAAACGCTTTTCAAATTTACAAATTTGCCGCTATAGGAAATTTTATACGTGTGCCGCTTCATAATGAAAGAGAACAGAATTAATATTCGAAAAAAAAGGACATTAGAAACGAGTGTTCAAGCGGATAAGAGTCGCAAAAATGGGGCGGGAGAAAGCGACTGTTAGTCAAACTTTCGAAGTAAATCTATGCAGTTCGTCGCTGCGTTTTTTGATCGCGTATTAAATTCTGAGTCAGACCTTCGCTACGTAACGTTTTCAAGGCGAATCATGTGAGTGGTGTACGTGTTCTTTAGGTGTTACGAAAACTAATAGACGGCTGTGATCGTGAATTGTACGTAAGTGTTACCTTTTTAAGCGAAAACCAACAATTTCATTTCCTAGTATTAACGGATTAGCGTGCTCTCATTTAAATAAATTGTTTCCACGAAAGCGTGAAGGTGCGTTAAAAAAACAAGTTAATCAATCAAAACTCTATTATGCATACGGGGTGTTATTAGTTCTAAGTAAATTAAACGGCAACTAGTAAAAAGGTTCAAGACAATTAATTCGTGCCAATCCAATTGGACTAGCCGTTCCACTATCCAATTTTACAAATTGCTGCTACTTTTCCAAAGGAGAAAATGAACTGCTGTTTTGACTCATCATGATTTTGAATTTTTTGCACAGGGTGGTGACTTGCGTAACGCATCATGGGGATTTCATTGTAAAATTCATAACATGCGATTATTGGCTCCCCAAATTATTTTAGAGCAAAAATGTATTAAAGGTTTTTTGTAGAAAAAATCTTTTTACGCCAAACCACCGTATTAGTTTTCAATTTTTTTCATAATAAAAACGGGAAATTAGGAAAAATAAAACCCGCATCTTTTTCAATAATCTACGATGCAATGGAATTTTCTAAAACAAAAAGATATCCAGTTATCAATTAGCAGCAGTTCGAAATGGATTTTATGATCGACCTTGGTTACTGTCTTGCAGTTAATGGTGACTTATTCGAACATTTATTGTAAATTGTTATATTAGGAAACCCTTTTTAGTAATTTGGTCTTTCTTTATGTTGAATTCGCGGTTCTAAATATAATACTATGCGATCAAAAAAGAGTTGCTGTCGAGTCACCTTTGGAATTTTTTTACGTGGGAAATCATATGTAACTTGAACTTCCAAAGGTGACTTGACGTCAATCCATTTTTGATCACCCGTTACTTTTTGATAGAATTTGATTTGTTTCATAGCAGACATTCCATGGCATGACGGATATTGGCGTAGTTTTTGTATTAAAAAATTCCATGGCATCACAGATTATTGAAAAAGATGCGGGTTTTATTTTTCCTAATTTTCCGTCTTTATTATCCAAAAAATGATGCGCGACGCAAGTCACCACCCTGTATAGGAGTCGATTTTTTTTTGGGGATTTTGTATAAGAAATTTTCTCTTAAAAGTCATTTATGAAGAAGTCGCCTCACGGGAAAAACAATTTCTTCATGAATGATCCAAAGGCCGGAGATACCTTTCAGGGCTTAAACCCTAAAACTCTTTGTAAATATGAAAAATAAGCAATTTGTCGAGAAAAGAGATTGGCTCAAAGAATGCACACAAAAATGACAAATGCACAAGCATTTAAACAAAAACCTACTTATTTAGTATTTATTGAGCTTTTTTTGAATTTTCCTGTTTCTGTCACCAAGACGTCATTACGTTACACTTCCCCCTTCCTAAGGACGTCGCGTTTGGCGTGCGATATCTGCTTCGAGTTCTTGTAGATTTTTATTTGGATGCGATGTCTCCGTCACGATTTTCGGGATCAAGGGTTAACATTTCTGGAAGAACAAGAATATGGTGTTATCCTGTTTTCATGGTTTCCGGGGTGGAAGTTCTCCAATTGTTTAATGCTAAAGGTACCTTTGGTAAAAAAGGAAGGTTATACACTGCCTTTTTTTGAGGCCCTCAAAAAAAATTGTCTCAGATCGACCCGGAAAAAAAATTTTCTTATAGAATGTGGCCTGTAGAATCCATAATTTCAAATAGTTCCAAGATTGGGCTACTAGTTCAAAAGTTACAGCCCTTTGAATTTTCTTTCGAAATTGGTTTCTAGTCTATAACTTTGATTGAGAAGTCTGATCGAAAAAGTACGAATTGTTTTGGATTCTACGCACCAAAATTAATAAGAAAAAGTGGTTTCCCGAGAAATTTTGGTGTAGTCGATTTTTGGTAAAAAAGGAAGGTTATACACTGCCTTTTTTTGAGGCCCGCAAAAAAAATTGTCTCAGATCGACCCGAAAAAAATTTTCTTATAGAATGTGGCCTGTAGAATCCATAATTTCAAACAGTTCCAAGATTGGGCTACTAGTTCAAAAGTTACAGGCCTTTGAATTTTCTTTCGAAATTGGTTTCTAGTCTATAACTTTTGATTGAGAAGTCTGATCGAAAAAGTACGAATTGTTTTGGATTCTACGCACCAAAATTAGTAAGAAAAAGTGTTTTCCCGAGAAATTTTGGTGTAGTCGATTTTTGGTAAAAAAGGAAGGTTATACACTGCCTTTTTTTGAGGCTCGAAAAAAAATTTTCTCAGATCGACCCGGGAAAAAAATGTTCTTATAGAATGTGGCCTGTAGAATCCATAATTTCAAACAGTTCCAAGATTGGGCTACTAGTTCAAAAGTTACAGCCCTTTGAATTTTTTTTCGAAATTGGTTTCTAGTCTATAACTTTGATTGAGAAGTCTGATCGAAAAAGTACGAATTGTTTTGGATTCTACGCACCAAAATTAATAAGAAAAAGTGGTTTCCCGAGAAATTTTGGTGTAGTCGATTTTTGGTAAAAAAGGAAGGTTATACACTGCCTTTTTTTGAGGCCCGCAAAAAAATTGTCTCAGATCGACCCGAAAAAAATTTTCTTATAGAATGTGGCCTGTAGAATCCATAATTTCAAACAGTTCCAAGATTGGGCTACTAGTTCAAAAGTTACAGGCCTTTGAATTTTCTTTCGAAATTGGTTTCTAGTCTATAACTTTTGATTGAGAAGTCTGATCGAAAAAGTACGAATTGTTTTGGATTCTACGCACCAAAATTAGTAAGAAAAAGTGTTTTCCCGAGAAATTTTGGTGTAGTCGATTTTTGGTAAAAAAGGAAGGTTATACACTGCCTTTTTTTGAGGCTCGAAGAAAAAATTTTCTCAGATCGACCCGGGAAAAAAATGTTCTTATAGAATGTGGCCTGTAGAATCCATAATTTCAAACAGTTCCAAGATTGGGCTACTAGTTCAAAAGTTACAGCCCTTTGAATTTTTTTTCGAAATTGGAGAGCCAATAATCGCATGTTATGAATTTTACATTGAAATCCCTATGATGCGCGACGCAAGTCACCACCCTGTATAGGAGTCGATTTTGGAGATTTTGTATAAGAAATTTGCTCTTAAAAGTCATTCTAACATTTATGAAGAGGTCGCCTCACGGGAAAAACAATTTGTTCATGAATGATATGTGCCGGAGATACCTTTCAATGGGCTTAAATCATAAAACTCTTTGGAAATATGAAAAATAAGTAATTTGTCGAGAGAAGAGGCTCAAAGAATGGAGACTTTGCCTGTGGGTATAAGTTAAAAAATTACACAGTCACTTTTTAAGAAATTCCCGCATTGTACGGAACTAGGTCTTCAGTTTGCTTTCAAGCGAGAAGTGTTACAACAAAACTCCTTAGTTGACATTGGAGACTTGACTAACTAACTACTGCCTCACGTAATTAGTAAATGTGATTTATTGCCCCGCTTCATCCCTCTAGAATAGCCCAGCGTATGTCTTTATAAGGGAAAAAAGTTGCACAATTTCATTAAAAGTTAAATGGACAAATGAGCCTTGTAAAAATTCGCATTGTCTTTATTTAGTGTTCGCGAAATCCTGTCACGTAATTTATAATCTATACTGAAGCCGTCTTTATTAAGTAATCCTACATCATACGCACGTACTCGCACTCCTGCGGCGCAAAATGTGAGTTTTTCCATGCGCTGATTTATGTGAGCTTTCTTTTCTTATAGCTAGATTGGTTCCTATCTACTTTTTTTCGTATAGGGGTACCTAACTCAAAGAAATGATCACTTAGTGTGTATCTAATAAGGATAAATGGTGGTGAGTAGAAGGAGAAATTTACTTCACTGTAATCACTTTATATCAAGTGTAATTAAACACAAAAATGACAAACGTACAAGCATTTAAACAAAAACCTACTTATTTAGTCTTTTAATTTATTTATTGAGCTTTTTTTGAATATTCCGTTTCCTGTCACGAAGGCGTCATTACGTTACATTTCCCCCTTCCTAAGGACGTCGCGTTTGGCGTGCGATATCTGCTTCGTAGATTTTGAAATGGATGCGATGTCTTCGTCACGTTTTTCGGGATCAAGGGTTAAAGTTTCTGGAAGAACAAGAATATGGTGTTATCCCGTTTTCATGGTTTCTGGGGGGAAGTTCTCCAATTGTTTAATGCTAAAGGTATAGGCTTGGGGCAATGTGAAGGAAGACAAATTTGCATCTGAAACCAATTGAAACAATTTAAAAGCTCCCCGAAGGTCCAAAAACTAAAAAAGAGGTTCAAACAAAAGTGGAGTCGGAAGTGGAAATCGTCGATTTGACCGTGGAACAAATGAAGTCTCACGGTCTTCAATCTGATACTTTGTGTATCACGAGTGTTTGTGAGTATTTTTTCGGGTTTGTAGATCCCAAAATCCTTTGAAAAGACGCCATAGTTCGAGTGACTTGCTGTACCAGACTCAAACTTCTCTATCCCTGAAACTATGAAGGCAACATCTTCCGCGCATCAGTTTATGTCTACCTCTCCGATTGAAGATTTGAGCGACATTGGAGTGTTCCAAATCATTCCGATATTTTCTAATAATTTCCTATATTTTTTTTAGACATAAACGAAATCGTAATCATCATTTCGAGTCAGTCCAATCGTCACCACGAAGCATTAGCCGAAGACCTTAAAAGCGACATAATCCAACAATCCCATATCTTAAACAAGGTAAGAAATCGTCGACTAATACGATTTGGAAACAAATGCGAAATGTTTTAGGATGCACCAATCGTCCATCTGACTCACATCGACTTTCCGGACGTCGTCGGTGCCTGGACGATACTACCTCTCATACCGTACCTAAGAAAGTTACATCACGGAAATTGCTCGTGGTTTTTCTTCATGGAGGACAAGACACGAATTCGATTAGGCGAGCTTTTAGAGCTTTTAAATGGGTACGATTACACTCAGGTAATAGGAGGGGGGGGGGCGAAAGTGATTTGGCCGCGATTTGCCCGAATAAATCATTATAGGAGATGTGGTTGGGTCACGCGATCAGAGACAGAGAGGCGACGATCATTCATCACTTTCAGTTCTTTGAGGATCCCCAACGGTTCGCGTACCCAAACGCCGCGTCGGGATTCGCGATCAGCGCCGGCTTGATGAAGAGGTTTGCGGTAGCTCTAACTGAAGTTGGTTACCTCGCATCTTTACAGATTAGAAGTCCAGTGGGGCCGGAGGAAAACATCCTCGGCAGATTTCAGCATTGATTACGCCTACGAACTGGCACTCTTCATTTGGAACGACAAGAAAGGCACCGAACTCACCCACGCACCGCGCTTGTGTAGGAGCGCGAAAGGCAACTGTGCCACTTACAGCACTTCCTTCCAGCACTGCGTAATACGAACACAGCACAACTTTTCTATGACGATTAATTTTGCGAACTTCTAGGAAACGTCGGTGCCGAAGACTTCGATTTATTTCGCCGTGAAAACATGCGGGAAGTTCCACGGGGATAGAGTCACGGTGGTGAAAGGAACTTGGGGTAAATACGCGGAGATAATTAGATACTTTAGTGACGTCGAAGGTGGGTACCTACAGTTGGTCGGCATGAAAGCTGTAGGAATGGTATGTCTTTTGATATTATAAGATTACAGTTAAATGTGCTTAAATAAGAAGCTTGGGTATATTTTTGGGTTTTTCTTCTATCCTTAAGAACATGTGTACTTTCAATCACACAATCACTTACAATTTTCAAAGTTATCGTGCACACAGACAGATGGACATACAGACGGACAGACAGACAGCAGTACAAAATTATAAACGTTCACGAGGATCGTTAATAAATTAATATTTACATCTATTGTTTAGATGTACTGTTCTGTTTTGAAATTCTTAAATTTACAATTCGGTATGGCATTTTGTATGCAAAAACAAAAAAATTGCCTGAAATTGGTTTGATTTGCTTAGTAGCTACTGTACTTTCCTATATATTGGTTTGATTTGATTACCAGAGAATTTAATTTGACCTGATCATTCAGCAATCCACGCTAAATTTTTTTAGTTATACAGAGTGGCCCAACGAGAAGTATACAGAGGGCTTTTAGGGTATTAAATTTAGAAATTTCGAAAAATCCTTGAACACGTCAATTTTGTATTCGAGTGGGACAACTTTTGGAATACAAATCACGAACCCAAGTCTTCATCCCTCTACGTAGGGAGCTTACCCCCTAAAATTTTAAATGGAATCCTATGGCAAATGGCATATTATTTGAAAGCCAATTTAATCGTGATTACTAATCTGCTTTGCTTTTTAAATGCTATAGATTCGTTTCGGAGATAATTCGCATTTGAAATGGTTTTTTCTAAACCAAAACAAATGCGATCTAAGTCACCTTGTATTAAAATTTTATTTTGACGCTTCAATTTGTTTGTTAAACTTAAGTGAACCTGTCAGTTCTCCGAAACGAATCAATAGAACTTAAAAAGCAAAGCAGAATAGTAATCACGATTAAATTGGCTTTCAAATAATGTGCCATTTGCCATAGGATTCCATTTAAAATTTTAGGGGTTAAGCTCCCTACGTAGAGGGGCGAAGACTTGGGTTCGTGATTTGTATTCCAAAAGTTGTCCCACTCGAATACAAAATTGACGTGTTCGACGATTTTTCGAAATTTCTAAATTTAATACCCTAAAAGCCCTCTGTATACTTCTCGTTGGGCCACTCTGTATGTTTGCAAAACAACAAAACGAAAGGTCTCTTTCGTATCGTCTTTCATGATAAGTACAACTTCCTTGGCACTTGGCACACCATTTGTACGGTAGAGACTAGTACCAAAATAGTTCAGTTAGTGAAACCAGCATGAAATTTTGCTGCTACACTAAATTACCTTCAAAAAAACACCGGGACACAAGTTGACCGGTCATTCAGACAGATAATACAGGGTGTTCAAAATGAGGTGTTTAAAATTCAATGATTTTCCATTTCCAAATTCATTAAATTGTTTCTATTTTGACAAAGTTTCTTATGCTTATTCATATTCATGATTTTGATGATGTAGGTAGGGTATTCATGATTATTTATATTTATTCAGGAAGATATATTTAAGTACCAGTGTATTACAAATCACTCTGTAATTAAAAAATGAACACATAAGTATTTTTTATATGAAATTTCAGTGAGATTTAGTGTATAGGAAATCCAAGTAATTTAGTATGAGTGGGTATAGATAAGTTTCAGGAATGCAATATTAATAGGAGTATGCTCTTCTCTTCTCTTATTGCCATAATACCATTGTCATGCATTGTAAACTTCGAGGCAAGAATGCAAGGTTGATTCCCAAATGAAATACCTACTAAGTGTTTAGAATCACTGGTTTTGTAAAAAAAACTAATATCGCGTTCTTTATAATAAGGAAGTTGAAGTCAATATCTCGAAAACTGCCATTTCAAAAAAAAAATTTCTACATCTATTGAATTTATCCGATCGAATCTTGCAACTTTTATTTGAAACTTTTTTCGATAGCTCTCTTTGTTTCTAAAATACTTTAACTTTTTTAAAATGGCGATTTTAACTTTTTTCCAATAATTAAGTATCTACGAAACGAATTATTTTTTTTCCAAATATCGCATCGAAATATCCATCAGCTTCAAAAACTACACAACTTTGCCAAGTTAACAGAATCTGTAAGTAATAATAACAAAGATAGGCATGCTGCTACTCAATTTAAGACACCCTGTATACTGATATGTGTCCAAGAGAAAAATGCACGGTATGGTGAAATCGGAAACCGTAAGAGATACACAGTCGGTTAAATTAGAAAAATGTTGCGTATTTTAGGGCTTAGGAAAATGATGCTTTAAAAATTCGGAAATTCCGATCAGTTCCGAAGATATTCGGGAAAATCTGAATTTAACCATATTCGTTTTTATCAACTTCATATTTTTATATTGACCAGAAGAAAGTACATACTTTATTGAGTAGGATTTTTTATTATGAATACAACGATGTACAACGCAATATTCTTTATGTCTTACTAACCTATCATAGCACATTTTATATCTGTGATACGCGGGCATAAAGTACCACTTTATGCCCTAGGGCATTAAGTATCACCATAGTAACTCATTAATACTTAATGACAAAACTAACAAATATTTGCAGGTCATTGAAAATTACAAACGTCAATTATTAATTGTCAATACCTTATACTAAATCACAAGATTGGCCTTATTTCGTATAGTTTCTGGAACTTCTTGCTCATTCACGATGAATTGAATTATTTAAAATTACGTTTGACGTTTGGATGGTTTCAATCACATTAACAAATTCGAACCACGCATACTCGATCTAACATAATGAAGTATTTTGTAAACGAATTTTGACGAAGAAAACTATTTGTAAAACATAAAATTGTGTATGTACCACGGGCATAAACTGATGTTTATACTCTCGGGCGACTAAAAAGCTCTCGGGCCATAGGCCCTCGAGCTTTTTAACTCGTCGCCCTCGAGAATATAAACATCACTATTATGCCCTTAATACATAAATAACTATTATAATGTCATTTAAAGAAACCATCAATTAATTATTTTGACATTTTGAAAACGCCTACTACACCAAAATATCAAAATTGTTTATTATTTATGTCAGAAAAAATGCTTTGAGGCCTTGACATGTCAAAATAATTCATTGATGGTTCCTTTAAATGACATAGGTAAAGTAGTAAAGAATCATATTGTGCCATATATTGTTGTATGTTGTTCTAAAAAATGGTACTCGATACAGAGTATGTATTTTTTTTTCCGGTCCATATAAAAATATGAAGTTGATGATGGTTTCTTAAAGAGGAAATGTCATAGTGAAAATTCGTGGGCACCATCTTGTAGAGCATTGATGGGAATTTCCGAGTTTTTAAAACATCAAGCCCTGAAATACACAGTTTTTTTCTAATTTAACCGACTCTTATGGTTTCCTAACTTTCCCATGCAGTGCATCGGAATCTTGAACACATTTTGAGCAGAATAGGAAACTAAATAGTAACTGAAGAGAGTACACATACCTTTAGAAATATTACCGTGTTATTTATCTATGGGTATTAACGATCATATATGCTACAGAACATTTAAATTAATAAAGGGCGTTTCAAAATAAACATTCTACATATCGTCATGCTTCTGTAGCTTCTTGCAGTTGTCTCTGTAGCAGCTGCTGGTGTTGTTGTGGTGGTTGTACTGATGTATTCCCCACCTCAAGTTCGGCAGGGTTACTAATATTCACCTTTAGATAGGAAAACCCATAACTGATCCTTCTCCCCATGGCGATTATGTTAGCCTGGTCCTTTTGCCGAGAACTATCAACCGCCCTTGAGTTTGGTTCTTTACGGCTGTGTCGAAGAGAGACTAGCTGCCTACCTTTGCCCAGGAATTCTGCACATGCAAGCGTCCTTCGAGGGCCACCATCGGTCGCCAGGTTCCCACGGGACCCAGATGCCAGCCTGGCGGAGCGTAGGAAGGTAGTTTTAGGTACCTTTACCTTTTCAGTGCAAATATCTGCAGAACGGAGTGTCGGAGGAAGGTACTCTCAGGAGGCGATTGGAACGTCAATACGAGACATATCTACAGCCCATATGTAGACATTTGAATGTGAATATCTCCAAGACCTCCCGTCATTTAAGCGACTTCAGGTAACTCAACTACCATGATCCTTTCATCGGGTATTATGGGTCTCCTTGCATGGCACAAACACGAGGGTGTTGTTTTTAGTCAGGATTCTCACTTGGGGACGTTGTTAACGTCGAACCTGGCGTTACACCGGGTGTTCCCTGAAATCAGAACCAAGACAAGGCCCAACACTGAGGGAGAATAACAATGATGAAGAAATGTTCATTTCGGGGTGCCAATACAGAACTTGCTGATATTTTAGGCCTCATACCATGGGGAAACTGGGTTTTTGGCGGTAATCGACGGACGCTGAGGTACCATTCACATGGTGAATCTTTGATGCCGTTTGTAAGGTTTTAAAGGTTTTTGTGTCTTAACAAATTCAGTTATAGAAAGTAGGTACTTACTTATTAATTTACGTTAAATTCAAGAGTGTTTCTTTTATGAGCCAATACAAAAGTCATGCCATTCCTACAGGCTACAGCGTTCATTTATGACGTCCAAAGTTTTCCAAATGTAACCGTCCACCTTTCAGACGAGGCGATACCCACAATTTCGTTAGGAATTCCAAATACGGAGCAAGGGCACTGCGGAAAAACTATAGCGATACTCCAATACGTCGCTAACGAAATTGAGAATCGACCCGAGATTAAATGGATTATCATCGCAGACGACGATACTATTTTGAGGTGAGTTAATATTTCGAGTCTACCCATCCTGAGTCTGAGTTGTAGTGTTGCTCGTATCCAAAAGTTTCTGTCGTGCTACAACGACTCGGAACAAATCGTGTTGGGTGAACGTTACGGTTTTAACGTATACAATGAGGACGGTTACAATTACATCACAGGCGGAGGTGGTATTATCTTCAGCCGTGGTTCGATGCAGAATGTAGTTAATTCGAATATGTGTAAATGTCCGTCGATTTCGAGTCCCGATGACATGTTTCTGGGGGTTTGTTTCCGACGCCTTAAGATTGAAGTGATACACTCGTCACTTTTTCACCAGGTGAGTTATGCTGCTATTTTCATTTTCTATGGTGCACGTCTAGGCGAGGCCGGTCGATTACGCGCCCGAGTATCTAAAAGACGAAAACGTTGTATCATTTCACAAACATTGGATGATCGATCCATTTGCAGTGTACAACCAGTGGTTTCAGCAGGAAGACACCCAAATGCATAACGAACTGTGATTAACATTTTTAAGTATTAATATCCTGTTTTTATGGAAATATATCTCAGAAGATTTTCAGTGAAATTTTCTCTTAAGTTTCACCGAAAAATAACTTTCTCTGAAAGTGGCCATGAAAATACTTTGTTACTTATAAAATATCAGAATTTTTAAGGTTCTGAGACATCAAAAGTTATGGGTAAGGAATCAAAAGCTTTTTCCCGATCAATTTCGGACTAGTTGTTTTTTGGCAAAAAAATGCCGGACAAGACGGATAAACCGTACATCAAAGACATGTCGGACATGCCGGATAATCCAGACCAAACGAACAAGTTTGGTTCTTTCATGTATGAGTAAGCGCGAGTTCCAAAACTATTCTCATTATTAGAGTTGAATTAACAGTTTACAGATGTCTCCCTTATGCAGTTGATGTGGCGCCCTCTGTGATTGACATCTAAAGACTAATTAGTGAGGTTAGGTGAGAGTGGTAGTTAGGTTAGACGAAGGTTGTAGTTTAGGTTAGATCAAGGTGATAGTTAGGTTAGATGAAGGTGGTAGTTAGGTTAGATGAAAGGGTTAGTAGTTAGGTTAGATGAAGGTGATAGTTAGGTTAGATGAAGGTGGTAGTTAGGTTAGATAAAGGGTGTAGTTAGGTTAGATGAAGGTGATAGTTAGGTTAGATGAAGGTGGTAGTTAGGTTAGATAAAGGGTGTAGTTAGGTTAGATGAAGGTGATAGTTAGGTTAGATGAAGGTGGTAGTTAGGTTAGATAAAGGGTGTAGTTAGGTTAGATGAAGGTGATAGTTAGGTTAGATGAAGGTGGTAGTTAGGTTAGATAAAGGGTGTAGTTAGGTTAGATGAAGGTGGTAGTTAGGTTAGACGAAGGTTGTAGTTAGGTTAGATGAAGGTGATAGTGAGGTTAGATGAACCTAACTGAGAAAAAACACCTAACCTCACTAATAAAGAACTCTAACGTCGCTCACAACATCTAAACTCTCTTACAATCACGTACAAAAAACTTAAACCTCACAGGTCCATGAAATTAACACCTTTACTTATGCAACGTATTTATTGCTACAATGGCTACATACACATAAAAGATGTACAAAAATTACTGCAATGACTCTTTATCAAACTACCCGAACCCAGCGGTTCGCTCGGTAACTCAAAAACACTTATTTAAATTAGATTTTGAGCTTCGGGCTTAGGAGATAGGATCAACTCAATTTATTTTTGATCGCATAGATATTGTAGTATACACAATAGTCATACGTGTATTGTGTGTTGCCTACTTCTAATTTGAATTTTTGACGTAACATGCGAGCTGGACTCCCACTATCGGATTGTCTCCAAAAAGTCACTATATCCAAACTTAGTAATATAGGAACTTAAGTCAAAATCTTTGTCCATATTCAACATTGAACTCAACGATTTTTTAATCACAAGTTTATATCGTTCAGACATCTAGCGTTGGAGCAATAAACTAATTGTGTTACCATTATTTGCAGAAAATGATATTACAACTAGTTTATTAGTTCAAGCTTTCTTTCAAAGAGATCGCCACCTAAGTACTCTAGGTCCCTGCATTTATCGGCAAACATTTGAACACTCAGTTTACTTCATGTACGCCAGATGTCACAACGATACAAAAATTGGAAGTAAGCTTTGAATTTATCCTTCAATTTCTTGAGGTGCTGTTTTTTTATTATTCTTTATGCAATCAAAGAGGGTGTACAATGCAGTTATTATTATTATCGTGCACACCGTGTCTGCTACGATACCGGCGATTCAATTCCAATTCCAAAAGGAAAAGGGAGTAAAAGGAAGTAGGAATTACAAGTTTTTTCCAGTGAATAAATAAAAAATTCGCCAGTAAGGGTGTAATCGACCTTCTTGGTGATTATCATTATTTTCTCTTAGTACTTCGCATGGAGATTGTTATGTTGGAGAAGGAAAATAATAGTCTAAATTATGTTGAACAATGCCGTTTTTCTGAACGTCGTGTAGGTATGATTGGTGGCCTACCTATAAGGGTAAATTGCGAATGAAAATTCAAGTTTTCATGGAATTTTATTGAAGCTCTTAAGATTCTAAAAACTAAATTTATATTACACGAGTTAGACATTCATTTTTCCATAAGTTCCGCGAGTACTAAACAAAAATCAATTTTGGTATGCAAAGTGGCGACATGAAACGCTAGTCACCAATTACATGTATTTGCTGCAAGCTATGTATGTATAAATTTATGCAGTGCATAAATGTAACAAAATACAGCAAAATTAGAAAACAGCAGTATGATTTATAATGAAAATTTCCGGCGCATTTTAGGCAAATTAATATCGTTCACACATCTAGTGCTGGAGGAATGAACTAATCATTACCTAAATATCTTAGATCCTTGCATTTATCGGAAAAGTTTTCCGTCATTGGTTAGCGACATCTATGTTAAATGGATGCAACATTACGGAGGAAATAGTAAAGTGCCCTGCAACAATTTGCACTTAGTTCAAGCAAATAACGTTAGATGTCAGAACGATATCTTTTATGAATTTTAGTGCCTACCGTAATTTTGTCTTATGATGTTGCTACATTTTAGCCTAAAACAAATAAATTTCAAAGTTTATAATTGGTTGCTGTCATTGTTTAATCATATACAATAGTTTCATGTTCACAACAATTGATTTGTTTACGTGCGAAATGTGTACCCTGGTGTATAGGCAACTCATCATACATTCATTCTGGATTCTGAACAGGAGGTCATTATTTGTAACAATAACCAAATAGCAACAAAAATAAAAGTTTTGTTGTCAAAATTATGTAAATTACAAACAAGGTAGGTACCTAATAAATTTTTGAATGTGTACCCAGATTTTGGTTCACATAGGGATGGTGTCCAGAACTCAAGACGGTCAATGTAGCAACCCTAGCTCTTCCCGTTGAATGTACCACTTTTATTTGTTAGAAAAACTTCCCAACTTTTCATGGGAGATCACTAATTAAAAATTGAGCTGGTTAACACCGCTCTGGAATGGAATACAGAGCGGTGTCCCAAATATCTCCACCACCATTGCTTCTAATGGTTTTTTAAGCTTATTCTTTCTTCAAATGGAGGGGTAGGAAATCGAATAATCGCAATGCTATCCGAGAGAGGTACTCTTTTCAGTCCATAGAAAAAGTTACCACCTTGGGGAGATCCCTAACTAAAAATTGAGCTGGCCAACACCGCTCTGGAATGGAACACAGGGAGGTGTGTCAAATATCGCCACCACCATTGCTTCTCTAATGTTTTTTTTTAGGTAATTCCCTTTGATTGTCAACGATTTTCTGGAGATGGAGGGGTAGATCCTCAATGATCCCGACACTGTCATCAGAGATGTGCCTCTTCTAGTGAATCAACATCCCCATGAAATGCCCACCATCTTTTCATGAGATCTCCAAGTAAAAATGGCCAACACTGCACTGGAATGGAATATAAGTAGATGTAAGTAAAGTTAAGGAAATTCGAAAAGTTCACAAAATCAAAGAAATTCATAAAATTCAAAAAAATTTGAGTTTATTATTTAGATCAAGGTGGTAGTTAGGTTAGATGAAGGCTGTAGTTAGGTTAGGTGAAGGTGGTAGTTAGGTTAGATCAAGGTGGTAGTTAGGTTAGATGAAGGTGGTAGTTAGGTTAGGTGAAGGTGGTAGTTAGGTTAGATAAAGGTTGTAGTTAGGTTAGATGAAGGTGATAGTTAGGTTAGATGAAGGTGGTAGTTAGGTTAGATGAAGGTGATAGTTAGGTTAGATGAAGGTGGTAGTTAGGTTAGATGAACCTAACTCAGAAAAAAACCCCTAACCTCATTAATAAAGAACTCTAACGTCGCTCACAACATCTAAACTCTCTTACAATCACGTACAAAAAACTTAAACCTCACAGGTCCATGAAATTAACACTTTTATTTATGCAACGTATTTATTGCTACAATGCTACATACACATAAAAAATGTACAAAAATTACTGCAATGACTCTTTATCAAACTACCCGAACCCAGCGGTTCGCTCGGTAACTCAAAGACACTTATTTAAATTAGATTTTGAGCTTCGGGCTTAGGAGATAGGATCAACTCACTTTATTTTTAATCGCATAGATATTGTAGTATACACAATAGTCATACGTGTATTGTGTGTTGCCTACTTCTAATTTGAATTTTTGACCTAACATGCGGGCTGGACTCCTATTATCGGATTGTCTCCAAAAAGTCACTATATCCAAAATTAGTAATAATCTTTGTCCATATTCAACATAGAACTTTAACGTTTTAGAGCTCAACGATTTTTTAATCACAAGTTTATATCGTTCAGACATCTAGCGTTGAAGCAATAAACTAATTGTGTTACTATTATTTGCAGAAAATTATATTACAACTAGTTTATTAGTTCAAGCTTTCTTTCAAAGAGGCCGCCACCTAAGTTCTCTAGGTCCCTGCATTTATCGGCAAACATTTGAACACTCAGTTTACTTCATGTACGCCAGATGTCACAACGATACAATAATTAGAAGTAAGCTTTGAATTTATCCTGCAATTTCTTGAGGTGTTGTTTTTTTATTATTCTTTATGCAATCAAAGAGGGTGTACAATGCAGTTATTATTATTATCGTGCACACCGTGGCTGCTACGATAGCGGGGATTCAATTCCAATTCCAAAAGGAAAAGGGAGTAAAAGGAAGTAGGAATTACAATAACGTTCTTGTTATCGATGCCAAAAGGAAATAAGAATTTTAGGTTAAATTTTCCAGTGAATAAATAAAAAATTCGCCAGTAAGGATGTAATCGACCTTCTTGGTGATTATCATTATTTTCTCTTAGTAGTTCGCGTGGAGATTGCTGTTAGAGAAGGTAATAGTCTAAAATTTAGACTCTAATTAATTATGTTGAACATGGCCGTTTTTCTGAACGTCGTGTAGGTATGATTGGTGGTCTACATATCAGGGAAATAATCAGCGAATGAAAATTCAAGTTTTCATGGAATTTTATTGAAGCTAAGACATTGAATTTATAACTATTATAAATTCAATGGCTAAGAATCTCACTTAAGATTCTAAAAACTAAATTTATATTACAGGAGTCACCAATTACATGTATTTTGCTGCAAGCTATGTTTGCATAAATTTATGCAGTGCATAAATGTAACAAAAGTCAGCAAAATTAGAAAACAGCAGTATGATTTACAATGAAAATTTGAGGCGCATTTTAGGCAAATTAATATCGTTCACACATCTAGTGCTGGAATCGTGGCACCACTAAGCAAAGGAATCATTACCTTAATATCTAAAATTCCTGCATTTATCGGGAAATGTTTTCTGTCGTATGTTAGCGACATCTATGCTAAGTGGATGCAACATTACGGTGGTAATAATAAAGTGCTCTGCAATAATTTGCACTTAGTTCAAGCAAATAACGTTAGATGTCAGAACGATATCTTGTATGAATTTTAGTGCCTACCGTAATTTTGTCTTATGATGTTGCTACATTTTAGCCTAAAACAAATAAATTTCAAAGTTTATAATTGGTTGCTGTCATTGTTTATTCACATACAATGGTCTCATGTTCACAACAATTGATTTGTTTCCGTGCGGAATGTGTACCCTGGTGTATATGCAACTCATCATACATTCATTCTGGATTCTGAACAAGAGGCCATTATTTGTAACAATAACGAAATAGCAACAAAAATAATAAAAGTTTTGTTGTCAAAATTATGTAAATTACAAACAAGGTAGGTACCTAATAAATTTTTGAATGTGTACCCAGATTTTGGTTCACATAGGGATGGTGTCCAGAACTCAAGACGGTCAATGTAGCAACCCTAGCTCTTCGCGATGAATGTACCACTTTTATTTGTTAGAAAAACTTCCCAACTTTTCATGGGAGATCACTAATTAAAAATTGAGCTGGTTAACACCTCTCTGGAATGGAATACAGAGCGGTGTCTCAAATATCTCCACCGCCATTGATTCTAATGGTTTTTTAAGCTTATTCTTTCTTGAAATGGAGGGGTAGGAAATCGAATAATCGCAATGCTATCCGAGAGAGGTATTCTTTTCAGTCCCTAGAAAAAGTTACCACCATGGGGAGATCTCCCTAACTAAAGATTGAGCTGGCCAACACCGCTCTGGAATGGAATACAGGGAGGTGTGTCAAATATCTCCACCACCATTGCTTCTCTAATGTTTTTTTTTAGGTAATTCCCTTTGATTGTCAACGATTTTCTGGAGATGGAGGGGTAGATCCTCAATGATCCCGACACTGTCATCAGAGATGTGCCTCTTCCAGTGAATCAACATCCCCATGAAATGCCCACCATCTTTTCATGAGATCTCCAAGTAAAAATGGCCAACACCGGACTGGAATGGAATATAAGTAGAGGTACCTACGTTTCAAATATCTCCACTTCAATTGTTTCTCACGATTTTATTTTAGCTAATTCAATTGTCAACGAATTTCTGGAAATGGAGGGGTAGGAAATGGAACAATCGCAATGCTATCCGAGAGAGGTACCACTTTCAGTCCCTAGAAACTTACCACCTTTTCATGGGAGATCCCTAACTAAAAATTGAGCTGGCCAACACCGCTCTGGAAAGGAATACTTAGAGGGAGGTGTGTCAATCTCCACCTCCATTGCTTCTCTAATGGGTTTTATTTTTAGGTAATTCCCTTTGATTGTCAACAATTTTCTGGAGATGGAGGAGTAGATCCTCGATGATCCCGACACTGTCATCACAGACGTGCCTCTTCCAGTCAATTCAACATTCCCATGAAATGCCCACCATCTTTTCACGAGATCCCCAAGTAAAAATGGAGCTGGCACTGGAAGGGTTAAGTAGAGGTATGTTTCAAATATCTCCACGTCAATTGTTTCTCACAATTTTATTTCAGCTAATTCAATTGTCAACGATTTTCTGGAGATAGTAGGCCTTGCTGTCGTTAGAAAAGGTTACCCCATTTTCGTATGTGATTCCTAATTCAAAATGCAGGTCACCAACCTCACTTCGATTGGGGACAACGTTCGAAGCACGGTGAGATGGAGAAATACAGTACTGACGGTGAGTAAATTTATTAAAGACGAAGCAAAATTACAATTTATAATGTATTTATTGTTTCAGGGTAATCCCCATCTTCTCTGTCGAGGACTACAGCGACGGATGCAGTAAGGAAACCACGTCCGTTTCGGAAATCTGGAAAATACAAATCCGTCGTGAGTATCGGTACAAACTAATTTCGTTCGTTCGTGTCAAAGCCCTAACTGCACTTGGAAGTACACTTAGTGCAGCACGCGTAGGTATACGATTCCTACCGATTGTTCTAATCAGGTTAGAAAGGATGAGGATGACAACTATAAAAACCAAAAGGCATATTTCAATTTTAAATTTTTTGGAATAAAAAAAAAAATAAAAAAACGAAAAAAAAATCAAAATAAAAAAAATATAATTATTTAATAATAATTTTACAATTTGTTTTAAATTTTTAAAAAGTGATTTAAAAAATCAAAAACATTTAAAATGATTAAAAAAAAATTTTCTTTAAAAAATTTCAAAAAATTCAAAAAAATAAAAAAATTCAAAAAATTCAAAAAGTTCAAAAAATTAAAGAAATTCAAAAAAGCCCCATAAGAAATGCAAGGGAACTAAAGAAATTCAAAAAGTTAAGGAAATTCGAAAAGTTCAAAAAATTAAGGAAATTCAAAAAATTCAAAAAAATTTGAATTTTAATTTTGTCTCTTAAACTTTTTTGAATCTAGAAAAATTTAACATAATTCAAAAAATTCAAAAAAATAAAAAAAGTCAAAACATTCAAAAAGTTCAAAAAATTAAAGAAATTCAAAAAAGGCCCATAAGAAATGCAAGGGAATTAAAGAAATTCAAAAAGTTAAGGAAATTCAAAAAGTTCAAAAAATTAAAGAAATTCAAAAAATTCAAAAAAATTTGAAATTAATTTTGTCATTTATTTTTTTTTGAATTTTTTGAAAAGTGATTCAAAAAATTTAGAAAAAAAGCAAAAATCCAAAAAATTCAAAAAAATCAAAAAATTCAAAATATTCAGAAAGTTCAAAAAATTAAAGAAATTCAAAAAAGCCCCATAAGAAATGCATGGGAATTAAAGAAATTCAAAAAAATAAAGAAATTCAAAAAGTTAAAAAAATTAAAGAAAAACAAAAAATTCAAAAAAATTTACATTTAATTTGTTGAATTTCTTGAAAAGTGATTCAAAAAATCTAGAAAATAATTCAAAAATTTAAAAAAATTCAAAAAAATAGAAAAAATCAAAAAATTCAGAAAGTTAAAAAAATGAAAGAAATTCAAAAAAGGCCATAAGGAATGCAAGGGGATTAAAGAAATTCAAAAAATTCAAAAAATTAAAAAAATTGAAAAAATTAAAGAAATTCAAAAAATTCAAAAAAATTTGGATTTAATTTTTTTAAATTTTTTTGAACCATTTAAAAAATTTAAAACTTTTTTTGAACAATCAACTTTTTTCAAATGACTAAAAAAAATTCAAAAATGTTCTAAAAAAATTAAATTAAAAAAAATTCAAGCGTTTAGATTGGCTGATCATTTCCAAGATCGTTTCCTTTTACGCTGGCTTTTTATACAAATCCAGGTTCCCTTTCCAGCCTTTGGTTTTCACCGTTGGCTTTCACCATTGGTTTTTACCGTAGGTATTTACCGTTGGTTTTCACCGTTGTTGCATTGTCTCTTGCAAGGTGCCATTCCTGGTGCAGTCCCCTTTGACACATGCGAAGTTAGTTTCTGGTATTTTCCAGATTTCCAACGTCTCGACCTCGCACTTCCTACATTATGTAAAATGAATTAGTTGAAAAGTTGAAAAATAAAGTTCAAAAGTAAATAACTTGACCCGTATTTGTTTTGGTTCCCTTGTTCACGACGGAATCAAGTTATCTACGATTGACACATTTTAATATAATTTTAATTGAACCTTACCATGTATTTCTGGTCGACGGCCGTAACGTAATGACTCTGTAGATGATGGTGTCGAATTCGATGTGGTGTACCTGCAATAATAAAATTAACTAGTAAACGTGTACGGAGTGTTTCATTCTCCTACCTAAATGAATGTTGCGGTCTCGGGGTTGACAAGCGACATAGCCTTCTCCGACTACGTAGTTGCTCTGTGTTGATTTGAAGGATATTGGATCTTCCCATCGGTATTGGAGCAGTGTTGTCATTCTGGATAGCTGGCGATTAGGTAGGTACTGCCAGAGACAATCTAAAAAGAGAAATCAAATTTAAAAAAAGTAAGTAAGTATGGGGAGTAGGGGACGTCTCAAAGAAAGTTGTCAAAACATGCAAATCGTAGAGGAAATACACGTTGCACCCATTAGAAGAAATTGCTCCTACAGTACACCTCCCAATAGTCAGGAAAACTAGAATGGGTCGATGGGACGGGGCGAGCGCCGTCCTGCTTAAGTTATGCCCCGGAGACAGCTATCCAAGTCGCGTCACTTAAGACTCAACCTAATAGTTTATACATAGATGGCACTGCATTTGGGAAAACGATGTATGATGCTGTTAGATACGGGTGTAACAAAGACCAAGATTGGGCTACGAGTTCAAAAGTTACAGCCCTTTGAATTTTCTTTCGAAATTGATTTCTAGTCTATAACTTTTGATTGAGAAATCTGATCGAAAAAGTACGAATTGTTTTGGATTCTACGCCCCAAAATTAATAAGAAAAAGTGTGGAAGGTGGATCCTGTAACAGTACGTTGGTTTTTCCTAGCTCATACCTGGTAAATTATATAAAAAATCCTTTTTTGCAAATGTCAAATGGTTGCGTATCTATAGAAATCATTGTTTTAAATAGAACACCCTGTACAGGATCATTCTTGAGGAGTGTCAGTTAGAAAGATATGAAGAACCTTTGGAAATGAAACTAAACTGATAAGTCCTTTAAGGATTTTGGCACATGATGAATTGAACTAAAATATTTTCAAGATGGCGCCACTTCCGCAAGCACCAGAAGTATTTGTGGAAGTGGCGCCATCTTAAAAATATTTTAGTTCAATTCATCATGTGCCAAAACCCTTAAAGAACTTATCAGTTCAGTTTCATTTTCAAAGGTTCTCCATATCTTTCTAACTGACGGTCGTCAAGAATGACCCTGTATATTTTATATTATATGTTGCCATCTTATTAATATTTTCCGGATAATTCCCCATAAGCAAGCCTCACTTTTATGAATCGGAACGTTGAGCACCGAGTAAAGACCAACACTTTGATAATGAGAAAGTTGGATTTAGTGATACAGGGTGTTCACAATGAAATGCGGTAAATTTTCCGAAGTAATTTTTGTCAAACTAGAAATACCGCTATTTTATTTCGCCATTCGATAGTCTTTTGTGTTCTTTTCAATTTTTATAAGGGCACGCCTGTCTAAACCTCGTAGTTGTTATTATACTGCAAAATACCGAGTATAGTTGCAGTAAATAATTAATTTGGGGCAGTGTTTACCATCGGCCATTTTTTTGATTTTTATTATCACAGCCTACTTCGATGTATCAACATGTAATTCATATGGGTAAAAACCACGAGGTACAGACACAGGGCATCCCTTCTAAAAGTTGAAGAGAATACAAAAGACTATCGAATAACGAAATAAAAGAGTGGTACTTCCATTTGAAAAAAATAGTTATGACACTTTTACCATTTCATTGTTAATCACTAAATCCAACTTCTCATTATCAAAGTGTTGACTCAAAAATGATTAACTTCAAAAAACAAGGTATGATTCATTAAAATGAGGCTTGCTTATGGGGAATTATTCGGAAAAAAATTACAAAGATGGCAACAATTACAAAAAATCAAAAAGAGAATAGGCTTCAATGTAGATTGTAAATGTCAACAACTAATAATACACAGGGTGTTCTATTTTAAAAAAATCATCTACTTACTCCATGAAACAGAGACACTCTGTACATTCAAAAATAATTTCTATAGATGCGCAACCATCCACAGTTGACATTTGCACATAAGATTTTTTTATACCTTACGATTTGCGGGCTAGGAAAGACCGACTCACTGCTGTAGGACCCTGTATAAATAACAAATACAACCTTTAGTCAAATAGTATCTTTTAGCGTTTTTTTTAATTAAAAAATGTCTATAAGATGGTCCTTAATTTCGTGACAATATGCAAACAGGACCTGGTAGTACCTGGCAGTACACAGAATTACTGCCAGGATACAGAAGTACACAAAGTACTGCCATATAAAAGTTTGCCCAGTGCAATACCCCTCGTTTGTTTGTATTGATTGTTTTATATTGTTCTTGGTACATATACTTATATGATATTTTTTGACGTGTGCAAATACTCTATTGTTATTACACACTAATAAATATTATTATTATTAGTTCATGCACAAAGTGTCACACAAGAAAATTTCTACAGTGATATTGATGTAGAAGTAGACATAGGGATTTACGTGTACCTATTGTTTTTCCCTGCCTACTTTTAAATGACCGGAAAAAACATTACACGTATATTTTTTAAATGACAAAATCTCTTCTGAAGGGCGCCTAATTTTATGCAACCAAAATAACTTCTTGAAACAAATAAAGTTCTGGTTGCCGTATTCATTAATTTGAATATTATCGCTTTGACTTTCCTATTCTAATTTCGGTTCGTGTGCGATGTTTTTAACTAAGGAAAAAGTTGATATTTCCAATTGGTATAGTGCCACTAACAGTTAAAGGAGCTTAAGAGATTTATTTTCTGTGAAGCCAAAGTAACAATATTCAAATTAATAATTAATATGACAGCGAGATCTTTATTTGTTTCAAGAAGTTATTTTGGTTGCATAAAATTAGGCGTCTTTCAGGAGACTTTTTATCATGTAAAAGTACATAGGAAATATGTCGACTTCTACATGAATATCACTGTATACACAAACGGGTATCTTTATGGTTATTTACGAGATATTGTGTGATTTTTTCAACATTAGTTCAAACAGATCAAAATCCTAAGAGGAAATGGTCTGTAATGAAAATAAATAGCAAAAATTTACATACCCCTGTTCTGCTTTGGTAACTGGAATCCTTCCAAACGACTTTGGGGTTTGTGGAAAGGAGACGACAACAGATATCGCTTAACCCTGATCTTCCAGACGAAGGCGGTGTTTTCTGGTGGCAATCTTCTCCATGTTTGAACTTATACGGTGCAATGGTCACATTATTTCTTTTATAAGCTCAAATAAGAATAACCTATGCGGAAATTAATTGGTGTTGGCCTTCTGTTATAATATATAACTGTAGGAATTCACTTCTAGCCTTTGGTTATTGTATTTCAGATGAACTGAAGAGTGTAATACATGCCCGTAACTCTTGAGTGCTAATAAGGCTCTCAAAACCGCATTGGACCGCTCCGCTCCGACTCTAGTCTCCAACACGACTTTTACCACATTAACCAAACACTTTAGCTGTCGGGGTAACAAGTACAACTCAAATTCACAGCTAAGCCTGGATTTTGGACTAGGTTGCGTCGTTGGTCTAGCCTTGACACCCATGAGAGTGCCTCGTTTTCGGATTAATTTTTCTAGTAAACTGACGCCCATAAATGGCACTCTCCACCCATTTCAGCATGTACACATACTCATAATTCTCGCTTAAATGTGCACCCTTGCTTTTTTGTTTAATATTTTCGGTGAAATCTATTGGGTCTTTTCCCAGTGACGTCATTTTAGTCACGTACCTAGTTGAAATGATATTTATTACTTTACGTCCCAAATATTGACACTAAACTCCTACAACTCATGCTTTAAAATTGTTAGTAGGTATACCAAAAACACTTGCTCATTTTAACTGGAATTTTAAAAAATGCAACCCCCTTAAGCTACAATGTCACAGTGCGCACGTTTTTTCAGCAAGGGAAATACGCCATGCAGGTTCTTCACAACGACGCCAAGGCCGATGACCTTAGTTCAAATACCACCCGATAATCACAGGAATAGAAAGATGACCAAAAATTCTACCTTTAGGCTGGTCAATCTGGGCAAGTTTATACAAGTGAGGTAGAAAAAATTAGTAACAAAGTGATCTCTGCGGAAATGAGTACTCAATAGGGTCCTTATTAACCCCTCAAGAATCGCACTTTGTCGCATTGGTGGAACTTGGAAAAAAAATGGCCGCCATCTTAATCTTAAATAAAACCCGCGTCCTTTTCAATAATCTGCGATGCCATGGAATTTTCTGAAACCAAAAGATATCCAGTTATAATTAGCAGCAGTTCGAAGTGGATTTTATGATCGACTTGGTTACTGTCTTGCAGTTAATGGTGACTTATTCGAACATTTATTGTAAATTGTTATATTAGGAAACCGTTTTTAGTAATTTGGTCTTTCTTTATGTTGAATTCGCTGTTCTAAATTAAATACTTTTTGATAGAATTTGATTTGTTTTATAGCAGACATTCCATGGCATGACGGATTTTGGCGTAGTTTTTGTATTAGAAAATTCCATTGCGTCACAGATTATTGAAAAAGATGGGGGTTTTATTTTTCCAAATTTCCGTCTTTATTATGCAGAAAATTGACAACTAATACGGTTGATTGACGTAAAAAATTTTTTTCTACAAAAAACCTTAATACATTTTTGCTCTAAAATAATTTGGGGAGCCAATAATCGCATGTTATGAATTTTACATTGAAATCCCTATGATGCGTGACGCAAGTAACCACCCTGTATATGCGAATGGTTTCAAGGCAGTGGCGTAGGAAGGGGGGTGCGGAGGGGGCGGACCTATCTATCTAAAATTTGAAAAGGCTTATGATTAATTATGGTAAGGGTGACAAGTTGAAATTCCGCCCCGGGTGTCAGAAGACCTTGCTACGCCACTGCTTCAAGGCAAAGCTTAAATTCAGAATTGTGTTTAGCCTCACTACCACCAACCGAAGAAGCTGCCAAACAGCACATTAATATCATGAATCTTTTTTTTTTAATTGATGTATTGCTCCATGTGAATTATTTGGATATATTTAATGTAGCAGGTAAGTAGAGGGAAGCAAATAATTGAATGTTTTTATTTTCTTTAGGTTATCGATTTCGAAGCTCACTTCATCATGAGACCTTGCTAAAATATATAAACGACTCTAGTGAGCCGATAACCTAAAGAAAATAAAAACATTCAATTATTTGCCTCCCTCTACTTACCTGCTACATTAAATCACGAATCTTCTTTAGACACCGGTACAGATTTAAAATAATTTTAAGTCCCGATTTAATTAACACTGCTATATCTGCATTAAGTTTTTCAAATACATCTAAGTCTCGACACAGATGTGAATAATTACCCAATTATTGAGTATTTTACTTTAAAATCCTTATTTTCAAAATTAGGCATAAAAAAACAGTTTTAACTAATTCAGATATTCACCAAATTTAAAAAAAATCCATATTGCCAAATCATAAAAATTTCAATAATTTTTTTGTTTTTTGATCAATAGACTTTTTTATTACGGGTAACTTTTGATTCTCCATAAAAAAAGTCTCTTGAGTTTTTTTGATATAATTTATACTTTACGAAATATTTAATAAATTCGAAAAAAATCAAGATGGCGGCCATTTTTTCCAAATTCCACCAATGCGACAAAGTGCGATTTTTGAGGGGTTAATAAGGGTACTCATTTCCGCAGAGATCACTTTGTTACTAATTTTTTCTACCTTAACCACCTATTTTGACTAGCCTACTTATGTTAATGAGAAAACGTAGTTTCCGATTGAGTGATAAAAAAAAATGGAATCACTTACTGCAAATTCACTCGCTGGAATTATTTGCAACTTCCCTGCAGATCGAAAACGGGCAACATTTTGTAAACAAATCCCGAAACGCTGTCACTTTCTGCAATAATTAACATCAACATGTAAAAATACACTTTGTAATTAACACAACAAATTGTAATATTTACACAAATAAAATTAAAATATCATGTACATATATTTTTAAATATTTGGTCGGCAATTTAACAAAAAAAAAAGTCGTTAGAGAATCGGAAACACGTAATTCTGCATTTGATGTTTCACCAACGATAAGATGGTTAAGAAGTAATTGCGATTTTGCGGATTCACGTAAAAGGATAGGGTGGACTCCTCTCGCTGCGAGTTCGCAACGGAAGGGGGAGAGGGACAAGGCGACACGCCCATCGCCGAATGCTCGGGACTGGTGTCGTCCGGGAAGGTCAGCAAGCCCACGGTACTCTTGACGTAGTCGGCGACCCTTGCTCGGGACACGGGATCCATTTCTATGCTACATTCATCGCGCGCCTTCGGAATTGTAACTGTCGGTGTCAGTCGCAAGTTTAGTAAGGTCGGGTCCGAGGTGTCGTCGATTGCGTTCAATTCGGATAGCGCGATGATGCGGTGGGAGACGTCCTCGTCTGAATTGACAATCACTAAGGCTTCGGTTGTGAGAATCAAAGTTACAGCTTCGTATTGTCGGTCGCTCGTGATCCATGTAGCATCCGTTACAAACAATGAGTTGGTTTGAGTTAACGGTTCAGTAAATTTCCACGTGTACTTCACTAACGAGTTCGGATTTGAGTAAATGTGGTGAAGAACCGGTTGCGATCGCGCAGTTGGCGCAAGACACCACCCGGCGCCATGTAAAAGTCCTTGCCCGGTGAGCGCAACTAAATCGGCGGCCCCGCTTAGCGGTTTCGTAAACACGCCCATTAGTCCCAACCCGACTCCAGTCACCAAACTGCGTGGCGACACGCCCTCCTCCATTACGGACTGCAAAGGATGGTGAGCGATTCCGCCCACTGCGCCTAATAGACTTATCCCGAGACCGGTTAAACCTTGCACAAATCCTTCGGTTATACCCGACGGTCGATGGCGCCTCTGTTCCTCTGTTCTTCTCAAGTGCTCCTCGTCAAGAGTTAACCTGTCCAAATTCCGCGCGACGCTCGATGCCAACTTCGTAACCGACTGCAACGTACCCGCGGTTATATGCTTCATTAGCGAGGCAGATCCGTACGTGACCCCTTGCAGAAAAGCCCACGGACCTTGTATCAGACCTTCGTAAGGCAGACTGACAAAGTCACGTAAGCCACTTCCCATCGCCCGCGCCAGACCCCCCGGGCTGCCCAACAGTTCGAGAGAACCGACCACCCAGCCGGCTCCAAAAATTGCTCCAGATATGTAGTGCATCGTCAAGGCATGGCCCAACCTAAACGAAATTTGGCTGTCACGCAATTACCACAATCCCCACTTACCTATACGAGGTTGATATTAAATTCCTACGTTCAAATCGATTGAACTGCAACGGAGATTGATCCAGTGCGATGTATAGCTTCATCGACCAATGTACGGATAGTAATACTGTTATCGGTTCAATTGTTAAAGTGCAAAGCGACAACGGTTGCGCTAACGCTTTCGAGTCTAATGTAATGCAGTACGGGACGAAAATCGACGACGAGTTGAAGAGGGAGCAAGTTTTTGCTCTGTGTTTCGGTCTTAGAACTAAATTGGCGGGCGAGAACACGGAGAGGTACTCCATTAAAGCCATCATGTAGTTGTCCTCCACGTAGACTAACAGCGGTCGAATATTTATTGTTATGTCTCGCAGTTCTGAAACAGTGTGATTGGTAGAAAATATTGTCTAAAGTCTGTATAGTAGGAACATAGATATATAAATACATAGATACAGCCATACCCCAACATAGTTCAAAAGGACGTACCATCTATTACCATCACTTTCGGCACATTAATTACGTATAGCGCTATCCTTCATAGAGGTACCCTGAGCATGGAAGACAAGATTCGCATTATTTATTATAACTGTCAATCAAATTGTTAGCACAAATCACACAGAAAATTATCAGATTTGAGACTTTACAACATAAATAAACCGCCTTTTTATTTATTTAAATCGCATAGCAGCAAGAAATGTTGCATTTAAAATGGAAGATGTTACTTAGAAAGCTGGCAAATGAAGAATTTGAAAAAATTACAGCTGACAACTGGAAGAAAGTGTGTGAACATGTGGAAAGTGATTAATTTAAAAGAGAAGTTATATTTGGTTGATGTGGCTGAACTTTATAATAAGTGTTAATAATGACAGTGATGATTCGAATTTGTCAATTTCATCTGACGATGATTCGGATTGTGAGCTTTTACAAACGTAATGAATGTTCACTAAATGAGTATTATCACCAATTGGATATCATTGTTAAGGTGTTGTATTTATTTTAAATAAATGTACACGTGTAGCTTACTTACTACAATTAGCACTATAATTTCAAAAAGAAACCCCACCGAATGGACATATGCCGAAAGGTAGGCAAGACGCGTAGCGACCAAAATTTGATATTGCACGCACACACAGTCTAAAAACTCGTTTTCCTAAGAATATTGCACGGATCCTTCTTTGTGATCATGATACAAACGCACTGCATCAACATCATATAGGCCAAAATGATAATTGGAAACGAATTCACTTCCTGTCGCAACTTAATTTCCTTTACCATTACGCCTAAAACCATGCAATTAAAATTAAAATGTTGAACATAAACTTTACTTACTTACGGTTTTTTTGATATTCTGCAAGCCAGCAATGAATTCACTGCAGCACATCATGCCAAACAAGGTAAACATAATCCCAAATTTGAATGGCGTAGCTCTATGTAATAAAACTATTTCAGGAATAACAATTATGGACGCGTCTATCATTGTAGCAAGCACTAATGTTATTCGTATTCAATTGATAACGCAATAATTACATAATATTTAGTGAAAAAACCGCCCATCATGTTTAGGGCGAATATTTTTAGTTAGATTTGATTTCGCGCGATCGTGAAATGTGTCAACTGTCACATGACTTATATGGGACGCGATAAGTTTGTTTTAAGCGTCCGATCCGCGTACGACATAGTGGTTAAGGCAATAAAAAGAGATAGAACATGTTTCATCTTGGTTAGAAAGTAATGGAGAGATGTACAAATTTCTTTGATATGTTTTTTAAAAACCGAGGTACGTTTGTTAAGGATGGCTGTATCTAGGTATTTATATATCTATGAGTAGGAACTGGCGGTTGCGCCATCTTTTTTCGGTTTCGTTAAAATTAAGGTACGTCACATATTGATTAAAGGTCCACTCAAAACGACGCGGAAATGCGGGAACGGGAGCGGGACGATATGCGTGCGAACCGCCGCATCGGTTTACGCATACTTGAATACTCCGCTGTACAAATATATCCCGCATTCGTCCCGCCCCTGCGTTATTTGACTTGACTGGTGCGACGACGGTTTACTCCCTCTAGCTTTATAACAAAGACAAAGATGTCAATTATTCCGAAGTTTCATTGGGCGCTGCAACTGAAGTGTCAAACGTCATTGATGTTTGGGTTAGGTTTGAATGACATATGACAAACGCCAAACATCATCCGACACATGGTACAATAAGACAAGGTAATACTATAACTAAACGCAGATGACGTTTTTATCCCAATGACGTCACAAGAATCACCGCCAAGTTTGAAAATGACATACGCTTCATACTTGAATTAGAACTGCCATTGCAATTACTAATTTAATTTGGTTGAGTAATCATACTGAATGCATCTCGGAATGCATTTAGATATAAATATAAGGCAACAGAGAAGCTAAACGCACCACTTAATATACTTATTTCAGAAATTGAATCAGCCTTTTAAGTTATTTTTATTGCCGCTAGGAGGTCTCGTCCTTATTTGAAAACGTAAAGTCACTAGATATAGAAAGTACCGCAATCATCCGCCATTTTTGGGCAAATTTGCTGCCAACTTAAAAAAATGGACAAATAAAATCTGAATAGCTGTCATTTTTTATAACCTAACTTCATAGTACTGTCATGTTTTATAAAAATATATACAGATATCTCCAAACAGGTGGAACAATCCCTAACATTAAGGTTACTAGAATCTGGTAACTTCCGCCATTTTTGGGCAAAAATCATGCGTTCTCTCTCTAACACACGAGTCCAATGGATTGCGGTACTTTCTATATTTAGTGACTTTATGAAAACGTAAAGTAACTAAATATAGAAAGTACCGCAATCCATTGGGCTCCTGTGTTAGAGAGAGAACGCATGATTTTTGCCCAAAAATGGCGGAAGTTACCAGATTGTAGTAACTTTAATGTTAGGGATTGTTCTAGTGACTTTATGAAAACGCTAATATAATTTTTACTTACATATTTTATTGTAACTTTAAATATTTGTATTGATAACATGCAATAATTGATACTTTGTAAGTTTAATGTGAGAAACTTGCCGCAGTTGACATGGATTGAACAAATCTGATCATATCCATAAAGGGGATCAGTGGCGTATTTACGGGGGGGGGGGGAGGAGGAGGAGAAGGGGATATATATCCCCCCCCCAGAAGAATTGAGTTAAAATAAATGCAATAATATATAGGTATATATAGAGAGCAATTTTGGTTTTGGTTAAAGTCTAAATTCATTAAAATCTAAATATTCTGTAGTATTCAGTATTCACTATTCAGTGAGTGATCAGTGTTGGCAGTCAACGATTTGGCTATTCGGCATCGATCGGCAATTCGCTACATTGATGCCCAAAATAACAAATAGGTATCAGGTACTTAGTACTGCTACTGAGATGAGGTACCTGCGTCCTGCCTTTCACGAAATGACGAAAATAAGAATTTTAAATTTTAAAAACAGGAATTTTTTTCCCCATAACTTTTGATTGAGACGTCTAATCGAAAAAGTACGAATCGTTTTGGATTCTACGCACCCAAATTAATAAGAAAAAGTGTTTTCCCCAGAAATTTTGGCGCAGTCGAATTTTGGTAAAAAAGGAAGGTTATACACTGCCTTTTTTTGAGCCTCGAAAAAAAAAATTGTCTCAGATCGACCGGAAAAAAATATTTCCTTATAGAATGTGGCCTGTAGAATCCATAATTTCAAACAGTTCCAAGATCGGACTACTAGATCAAAAGTTACAGCCCTTTGAATTTTTTGTCGAAATTGGTTTTTTGCCCATAAATATACCTATTATTCAAAGTTTTCGTTGACTAATTAAAGCAAAAGCAATAAAGGGGACTGTCAGCAGTAAGAAATAAAATACCGTTTTAATCTAATCTTTTTCGCCTGTACAATAATAAATAGATAAATGACTACCAGCATCAGCAACCTGCAACCCAATTTCTTACCCCCCCCCCCTTCTAGTACGCACTGGGTGACTGTATGTGCCACGAACTTGTTTAATCCCCCCCCCCCCAGAATAAATTTCTACGTACGCCACTGAAGGGGATACACTTTTATTAACTGGTAGGACTACACAAACCCCATTACTTTATTGAACGGTAGAGCCAAGTTATCCCAATGACGTCACGTATAGGCATACCTTGTCTTATTGTACCATGATCCGACATATGACATCAATTTTCTGTTACTTCCAACTGGTGGGTATTAAAGAGAGATAACCTAGATATGACGCAACCGCCAGTTCCTATTTTATACAGAGCTTAGCTAGCGGAAGGTGGTTTGTCCAGTGATGGAGTAGTTGGAGTTAGAGCCTAATCCTCCAGCAAATTAATTTAATTTGAAAACCATCCTTACCATGCGTTCACAAAGTAACTAGGAAATTTAAAGCGGTTTCTTTTCTGGAAGTTACCTTGACTGTTTATTACTTATTGGGAAATCCTTTGCGAACTATTTAGAAATTAAAACCTAACAGGGATTACAATGGGCTCTTTGCTAATTTTGAAATTGTTACACCCACTCAAAGATGTCAATTCTTAGGATCCGCCTACGATTCTTTGAAATTACCCTAAAAAATTTGTCGTTTCAGTAGAGGAATATGCCAGTTTCCTAGGGATACTAGAATCTGCCTGTCCAGCAATTACGTATAGCTGGGTATACCGTGCGTTTTTTTACATGTTAATTTAGGACCCCTATATTACACTATGTTCTAGAAATGCTAGTGTAACTGGTTTAGTTACATTTATATGGGTCGAAGACCTCACTTGCACAAAATAAAAATGAACCTTCCAATGTGACACTTAACTTTTAATTTACCCACGGCTAGCTCAGTAATAAAAATATATTTTATACGCCTATGATTTTAGTTGATTGAAATATATTCATAAAAACAAAGGCGATCATTTTCCATTTTTCCTTACACGATTTTGGATGTAAAATATTGGGTTGGTTTATAAAAAGAAGTAGAAAACATGTGATCACGTGTCCATGCTAAATTTGCCCCTTGTCTAAACATTTTGTTTACCTCATAATAAGTTAATGGTACATTCTCCTTTCGAAAGTGTACACACACCTCTAAATCCTAAACAAAATTTTAATCCAACCAAAGGAATGGTATCACTGAAATTATATGCAAATTTCCAATCAGTGAACAAAATAACCAACATCCTTTGTCTGGATCCGATTCTTATCAATAAACGCAATACATATGTGTTTCATGCAAATAATTTTCACTGGTCAATTCCTTTAGGAATATTAAAATTACTTCAATCAAAATTAAAGTACAAATTCCTAAAAATAATCGACCACTACAGTTTGTATAGTGGATCTTTGATCGGGTGTGTTCTGAAGAAGCCGACAATGACGTAGTCGCTAGCGTACAATTCATGATTTATGGTAACTTGATGCGTGTCTGCATTGATTTCATTTCATACCGATCGGCTTTTGTTGCCAATCAAAGATCCATGCAAAGAAAAAATTAAAATAACTTACAGTTATTGACTTCTAGCAACAAATTCATCTTGGGAAATTGCAGCTTCCTTTAGAAATATGGAAACAAATCGCTTCAATGGTACAGTTGACTTTCTGCACCAACCTCGTAACGTTATCTTCATGATGAATGCAAGGTTTAGTACAGGAAAAGTTCGCATGAATCACGAATCCAAGCAAACCGGCTTTAATTTCGCGAAGGTAAAAGTCGAAATCGTAATTATGCAACGGAACGAAATGTCAATACTCCGCTGTTATAATTAATTTCACTCAATTTGTTAACTGTTTTGTTGGAAGTAAAAGCGCCGATTATAAATTCCAAACTTGCTTTTAATCGGTCATTACTGTTAGCGATCCGAAAAAACTTCCTCGTTTATCAAAATTAATGCGCCCGTTGTTATCCCGAAAAATGTTACTTTGCGTAAATTAACGGCCTTGTTACGAATTAGGTTAAAACTACCGCCCCACGCAAAACGAAACCTGCAGATAACCGTCACCACTCCAGTTTCAATTAACACTTCCTAATGACTCCAATGAAAATATGGCATGCACATTCTTGTTTAGAATAATTTCACTCAAAATCAAAAATTTCAGTACGTACCGCTAGCGAAATCAGCTCCGAAACATCGCAATTATGCTAAAATAAAATTCTCACACACAAATAATACGTCCTCGCTCTTTGAAAGTCGAAACTCGTCTGCCTTACAATCCGGTGTAATTAACGTAACTGCACACCTTTATCGAAAATGCACGCGTTGTTATCACTTTTTATACTTTTGTTCATGGTCGTTATGAAGCGGTATATGTGTAAATTTCCCTATGTTTAATAAAATACAAATTCAAAACTTAAATGAACGCGTTATTATCGCTTTTTATTTCCAGACATACTTCTGTTCATGTTCGCTATGAAGCGGTGTATGTGTAAATTTCCCTATGTTGTGAAATACAAATTCAAAACCAAATTTTTGAAACGCAAAGTAACTACAATCACAATTTCAAATAGAAACCGAGAAAAAAGTTAATAATCGGCTCGATTTTCCTCTGATGTAGGCGCAAACCATATCAAAACGTTCTTCGTTGCTAAATTCAGCCATTTTTGTAAATAAGAATTACAAAGAGCAGTAGAAACCATGGATATAGAAACTGACAAGTTGATAAAACGTAACATAAAAGTCGACGAGTTCTCACAGCGGCCTTGATTTGATCTATTTTTGGAAAAATTATCTTTTTTTCGGTTTCTATTTGAAATTTTTGATTGAAAATTTGTGTGATTGTAATTAGTTACCTTATCTTCATCAGTGTGCGCAATTTCAGTTTGCAAACATTTCTAGAACGGAGGGGGTTCCAAATTAACATGTACATTGTACAGTGTGTCCTATTTTGGTGGAGACTGCAGCGTATCTCGACTGTTTTTAAAGATAGAGACTTGCGGTTTTCGCGACCCTGTGACCCTTTTTTGTGAAACTTTTATTACCACAAAAAGAATCAATCTGGGCAATCTGGCTACGTTTGTTTCTGCGGTACAGGGTGAAAACGAAAAGTTTGACCTTTTGGGATGTTATCATATCTTGCTACTCATGTAAGATAGAAAAGAGGTAAAAACTGTCTATTTTAGATATTTTTACGTGGAATCCAGTGGCGTAGTTAAGCAAATTTTAGAACACCATTTTTGAGATTTGGGCCAGAGTTGGAATTTTTTTTCGCAACACCCTGTATATCTTAACGTCAATTTTTTTTCATTCTTTTTCCTGATTAGAGTGATGTATCACAAGCTATATCTTTTTAAATTTTAGCCTTGAACCAAAAATAAAAATCTTTTTTAATGATGTTTAAATAGTAGGCCATGGATTCATGGAGACTTTGTTTTGTTTATTGTATCCATTGTAACTAAGACAATACAATAAAAACAAAACAAAACGATAATAAAAATTGCTCATGGTAGAAACACGTCATTTCAAAGACGGAATCCGATTTTTAAAGTAACATAATTCGAGAACGGCAAAGATTCACTTACTTGAAACATTACACGACTTCGCCATGTCCCTCCACGTTTCTATTCTGAGTTCAACCTTCACCAAAGGATCGGACTGCGCGGCGTTAATCCACTGCAGTATGGGAGTGTTAAAGGAGCCTAACTGCTGATTCGGTTTCGCGTCCTGCCCAATTAGTACGACGGGAAAATCGAAATTGCCCTTACTGTACATTTGGTTATCGAACTGTACGGTGGCAATACTAAAATTGACGTCCATATACTGAAAGCGAATTATTAGTGAGCATTGACGATGAGATGTGCGCACCTGATTTTGTTTGGCCACAACGGCGAGATCGTCCAAAGTCAGGTTGGCGATCTCGTTCATTTCCGCGCAAATGCTGCTCAAGTCCGATAAAAACGTCAGCGTAAATCGCTTTACTAACGCGCTCACTTTGAATACCTCGCATTGGGTGTTTATTGGTACCGTACTTGTAATTAGCGAGGTGGCCATATTGGTTGATGATTCCGCGCTGTATGGCCTGATTGCAATCGCTTTATCTGGCTTGTTCTGGGCAGGCGGTAGGGATTTAAATCCGTAGGTGCTTGATTTTGTAGACAGACTTGAGGATGGAGCAAGTTGCGCTTCTACTATTTGCATGTTCGGCAATTCTGTGAGCTGCTCATCGTCGGTAGGGGAGCTTTGCAGCGATGTAGCACTAGCACTACTGATCTAAAAGTGGCAAACCATTGGACATTTTAGTTGAAACAAGAAAACAATGCTAGGCTTTGTAAAGTAAATCAAAACACCATTGAAGTTATCGGTAGCAAAACGGCGCCACTATCCATTTTTTGCCTAAATACCCAATATTCTTTATTGTTGGTTGTGTAACTGTACTGTTCACAATTAAAGACATATACATTATATAATGTTGTGTGCGATTATTCAACTGAAGAAAAAGTTAATATTGTATAGTGCCGGTAACAGTTTAAGACGAGTAAGAAACTTATTTTATGTGAATTCAAAGCAACAATGTTCAGATCTTCATTTGTTTTAAGAAGATAGTATGGTTGCATAAAATTAGGCGCTCTTCAGAAGAGATTTTGTCATTTACAAAATATACGTGTAATGTTTTTTCCGGTCATTTAAAAGTAGGCAGCGAAAAACAATACACGTAAATCCCTATGTCTACTTCTTAATAAATATCACTGTCTATACTCGATGCAACATGGCCACCGATCTCAACAAACAATAAAAAATTAGACATTCTATTGTTGCCACTGTTTCCTATAAAGTCACGTAAATTAAGACAATATTAACGCCATCTCTAATTTTCCTTCTGACTTCAAAATGGTTACAATCTAGACTAAAGGCATTCAGTTCCCTCACTACTTTGACAGCGCGCTCTTAAACAGTTAATAATACCAACATTTGGTTATAACCAGCACCGAATCTGCATATTCTGCGACTATGGGCCCCTAGAAATTGCCGCCAACCAATTTAAAAGCATTTTATACTCCAACCGAAATATGCATTTTTTACTATTTACAAAAAAGTGTTAATACCACTTTATTTCTCCTAAAGTGCTCAGATTGAGTGGTTTTCCAAAATAATAAAAGACAAATTTTCCTCAATCTTAATACAAAGTTCAGATAATTTCGTCGAAATGTGAGGTTACTCCATATTTCATGATTACTTTTAAGTTGGTAAGAGTGTGCATAACATTCCAACTTCTATTTCGTAAAATTTTTCCACGATAGTACTGTAGAATTATTTCCCAATTTTGTTTTTTTTTTGCCGCCCGTGAAAATTAGCCGCGATCGACCCGGACCCACATTGCCGCCATGCTAAATCCGGCCCTGGTTATAACTGCAATTTCCTTAAACAGAAGCACAAAAAAAACACCAACTGATATTACTTCGGAATCTTGTCAACGTTTACCAATCAAAAAAAGACGGCCGGCTCCCCTTCTCGTCTAACTTCAATATTCCTCTTCGAACGAACTGCTGATCTTCAAATTAATTAGGAGTGATAACGTACTCCTTATCGCAAGACCGGATTTAAATGAGATAAACTTTTACGAAACACTTAACGCAATTACGTCTAGATGTCCCTAATCTTTTTTTAACGTAATCTAACTTTACAGTAAATGAAACAAAATACAAGGTGATTATTTAAACAAAATTAACTAATAATTCCAATACTACCTATATGCATTTGTTTATTAACAATGTGCTCGGGTTATTACGAATAAACACAGAATTGGTTTGTTTTACTTGAATTTGTGCCTCAGTATTATTTTTTCTTTGGATTTTGTTTGTAATTGCGTAATTTTTATTTAAATTGTATCACTTGTTAAATTGTTGATTTAGATATGTTGTATGTTACTTAAAATTCGACCTTGAACCTACCAAGAACTGCGCTAATTATTGAGAACGCCCCACCACCCTGTAATAATGTACACTTACATTATGAGACGAATGAGCGTAACTAATCGGAAGGAATCCTTCATCTTGCAGATTAGTCTCGCTCTCTTGCATGAATAATCGCACCCGTATATCTTTGGCACTAATCTCGACCTTTAACAAAAATATCACACGCAATTCGTAAACGCCGAAAAAACCTACCTGCATCGCCGAATCGACAATAACAAAGGTGGTGTGAATCGATTTGATTATCGTAATCTTAACGTCGCCATGGAACGGAACATAAACGAGTTGATCTTTGGACTGATACAAGTTGATGGGATACGACCAACTGTACTCCTCCGAGTTCATCAGGGGTTCGCAGGCGATAATCAGCTGCTCGGCCGATTTCTCCTGAACGATATCGGGAAATTTCTCCGTGTAATTCGGCATGGTGTAATAGCAAGCTCGGTAGTCTTCGATTGTGCACGCCCATTTGAAGTGTTCCGAATCGGGAACGGTCAGATTGCGAGTCGATTGGGCAAAGTACAACGTTGCGCCGCTTCGATTTTCGATTAGCATTTGCGGATATAGATCGTTATAAAGAGACAGGTAGATCTGCCCTCTGTGTTCTTGAGAGGTAATTACGATTGGAATCTAAAAGTTACAACACTACGTCTTGGTTCAGAAACTGGTAAGGTAATTACGCTTTGGTTTTCGGTTTGAACCGAAATGCTGCGACGTACTAATCCCTTGTCCACTCTAACCGGGCAGGACCAGCCGCACTTAGTACTCACCGAAACCGAGATGTACAGCGCAAAGTTTGCATTCGTGTCGTACTTTCCGATGACGTACCACTGCACGATGGGAATGCCCGTGTTACTGCAAGTCACTATGTATTAGTGTTGATCTGAGCTTCTTACCTTTTATCTAAATTAGGAGCTAATGTGAAGGAGAATTTCTCAAAGCTTTCACCGATAGAAACCTTCTCCCCAGATTCCTCGATCGCCAAGCACAAAATGTGGACCTGTTGCGACATGTTATTAACCAAAACGTGACTAGAACTTATCTTCAGTAAACGTATTTCGTTCACAAAGCTACTGGAGATTGTAGCGACACAAATCTGAAACGCACGTTATTTTCTGGCGACTGATCACTTGTGGATCTCTTACATGTTTCCCGCACATAATGATGGTATTAATGTCCCCTTCAAGGGGAACAGTGCCGGTAATCTTAGGCATATAAAACGAGGTTCCCCATTCTGACGTTGCCAGTTGGAGTGGTGATGAAATGTTCCAGATATTGTTAATACCAATGCCCAAATGGAAAGTTTCCTACAACAATGTTTAGGATATGCAACAAAGCAATCGGTGGCTTACGTCGAGTTTCGGCGGCGTAACAATTCCATAGTGGCACACGCGACATAGTTCCTTCTCGTTAATTATAATAGCGATAGGACAACCGAGAGTGTTTACCATCAAACTCCACGGTAACAACTCAACCGCAAGCGCGCTTGAATAGTCCGATGCGTTCTTGTACCTTACCTATTACGAAAACATAAAAAGAAATTCAGCATGTGCTATACTTGTTTAAATCTCTAAGTACCAAAGAATTTTACAGACATTTTAAATAAGTCTTCAACGCATTTAATCATAAAACATTTGCTGTGGTTAGCCTAGATACCACCTACATCTGCGCATGCGCGATTCGGCTCAAAAACTTTCCTTTTATACCTAAGAATATAAGAGTACAGACAGACAGACCGACATCATCGAGATTTTGGTTGTTTGTTGATTTTTTTAATTTCAAATGACTTTCTACCAAGTGCCAACGGCTTCCATGAGCGGGCAGAAGGAGGAGCAGTATTATTTTTAATTTGCATTAAATCGCTAGTTGTGTCTTGACTTATTTACTTAAGGCTTAAGGAGAAATTAGAGAAATTAGTTTGTAGACAAAACGGAGGTGAGGAAGTAGAAATAATTATTTACACTCCTTCGTTCTAAATCGCGTTTTCCCAATAAAACACGAACGTCGGGAACGTCAATTTTACAATTGACTATCTACTTTCGCGCACTAGTGCCTAAAAATTCAACGAAATTATCTATTTAGTGTGGATCATAAACTAATAAGTAGTATGATGGAAGAGTAAAAAAGAAAATATAAATACACTTTACATCATTCCCTGTAGTACAGGGGCAAAAATAAGCTTAAACCAGAAGTTTTGAACAATAAATTGACATTTTAAATTTCTAGATTTCTACTTTATCGGGATAGAGGACTTGATTTTTTCAAAAAAATTATAATGTCGCAAAAATCTCGCGAGAGGATTTGAATTTATATAAATTCGATTTAACTAATCCGTGCAAAAAATAGAATACATGTTAAGGCCGTATTAGACGATGCAATTTTTATTGCAATCCTTGCAGCAACTATTGCTGCTATTATTGCAGCAATTATTGCAAAAAGATGCAATGATTACACTATGCAATTTATTTGGCAATTTTTTTATACCCAATTCTAATCATGTATTGGTGCCAATGAAAGTGGAATTGGCATCACTGGGAAATACTTGAAAGCAACTTCACGTCTGTTGTAGACCAGGAAACGTGTGTTTTGTGACGTTTCCTTTGTTGAAGGCCGTGCAATTTATTATTTATATTTGCACGCACTTATTCACACTCATGGCCGTTTCCACCGACAAATTTAAGTGGAGCTTAGTTTAAGCGTAGCTTAAAATCCATGGCAACGATTATTGAGACAATGGTTGCCATGGATTTTAAGCTACGCTTAAGCTAAGCTCGGCTTAAATATGTCGGTGCAAACGGCCATCAGGTTCGTTAAATTCATTGAGTAGGTTTAGGTTTCCCTTTGTGAAATCGTTATTGGCAAGCCACTGCCTGGTCCAAAAATGTCGTCGTCTTCTTTGTTTCTTTTTTTTTAAAAGAGCAACAGCAGACGCAATAACTAAAGATGCGGCAGCAATATCCATTTTTGAATTCCTCGTAAATAGGTTATTTCAGTTTTAACTTTAAATAACAAACCTGTATATAGCATAAGGAGGTAATGTTCTCCAGTGCATACCACTTTATTTTTTTTATAAATTAAATGTTACTAAAATAGTTACTAAATTGCAAGAAAAATTGCAAGAAAAATAGCACAAGTTCTATAACCAGAAAATTGCAGAATGTCTTGCTGCAATATTTGGTGCAAGAAATTGCACGTGCAATTTTAACATACACGGAGCAATTTTTCGTGCAATTTCTTGCGGCAATGAATTGCTGCAAAAATTGCAATAAAAATTGCATCGTCTAATACGGCCTTTACGTGCGTGAACAGTATTTGCTTGATTCGCGCGAGATATGCGTCGCTCGTAACGCGCACTCTCGCCCCCAAACTTCGCGCTCATCTGCAAAATAACTGTTCCCGCACTAATAATGTAAATAACTATTTATTATGAATACAACTATATACGGCACAAAACAAAAGTGGGAAAATGTTGCTTTCAACAGAGTAGTACACCCTCGCACAACGCCCTACCCGTGCGAGAATACCCATAGGGGAAGTTTTGCATTTTCCAAGAAAATGGCTTTCTCAGCACTGTGGGAAGAGATAAATGGCGGTATGGGGACAAAACTATACAGGGTCACTGGTGTCTTTCTTTTTTTCTTTGAAATTGAGTATACAAAATCAGTGAATTTCGATGAAGAGATTGAGCCATTTGCATAATTAGGTGCTAATTAAGTGCCCTATTCCCGAATTAAATGCTCCTTTTTTTTAAATATTATTACATGTTCTGCCAGGTTATATGAACTCAGCAGAGCACTACCTTAAAAAAACCCAAGAAAATGAAAAGTGAACTAACTATAATTAGGTGCTAATTAAGTGTCCTATTCCCGAATGAAATCCTCCTTTTTTTTAAATTATGAACCTGGCAGAACATGTAATAATTAAAAAAAAAGGAGCATTTAGTACGGGAATACGGCACTTAATTATGCAATATGTTTGATTGTGTTCTGCTTACCTTCCTCTGCTAGGTTCATGGACATAAACAACGAAAGTATTGTAATTTGTAACTTTATAAGCTTATTCTGAATTGTGCAATAATGGAACACTTTTGAAGGCGCGCAAACGATGGTTATGTCATGATTTGTTGATACGGCCTGCACAATACGACATGTTGATTTAGTAGGTATGTGCGCAGACGCACGAATGTGAAGTTAGCCCCTCATTTATAAAATTTTGACCCCCCCCCCCCCCATAAAGTTTTAAAGATCTTTGTAAATCTTTAAGAGTTTATACAATTAAGTCATAACAAATCAATTTTGAAAATATGAGGTACCAACGACACCTCATTGAAGTTTTCGATGAGGCGTTCACAAACATCTGGTGGGAAGCTGCTAAGTAATTTTCATACAGGGTGTTTTTTTTAAGATGGGCCATACGACAATGTAAAGGCGTTGAGTTATTTAAAATGGGCCATAGGGAAATTTACATTGCGCCAATTGTTCTCAAATCTTGGCCTTGCGCTTAGTTATTTCACTGACAGTTCTGTATTCTGTATTCCGCCGCTCGAAAAGGTGTTCATGTAGTACAATTTGTACAAGAGTGGGTACAGTAGCGGAGTGGTAATACGAGCTATTTTATACGTTTATAACTCATTTGAATAAATTTGTTGATTTAGAAACAATTTCTACAGTACTGTGGCAGATAATTCGCGAGGAAGCTATGACTGAAACAACTGATGCAATCTAAATTTCCCTATGGCCCATTTTAAATAGCTCATAAAAATGTGAATTCTCCCTATTCACGAACGGTTGCCGTGGGACTTTCACGGTTTTTGGATACGCAGCTCAGTTGCCATCTTCACCATGACAAAAATCGAAATCGGAAAAAGCAATCAGACTACACATCAGATGACAAACATGAAAAACCCACGTCTGCCAACCGTCACAGGACAAAATGGCGCCAAATTCAAATTCGCCCCTACTTCCTGGACACCCACTACATCTAATAATGAATTATAGTTGCGTCCTAAAATCCACCAACTGTATTTTTTTTGTAACTTCTGAAATATTAAATATCATAAACCATTTTTATATTTTAGGGTTAAATGCAACACTTTATTATAAAAAGTCTGCCTTTGAAAGGCTAAAAATTCTATCAGAAACAGTCCGTAGGTTCACCGCAAAACTTCATTAGGGGGTTTTACAACTGAACATTTGTTTTCTAGTATTTAAGGGTGCGTTTGCACGCCATGGTGTAAGAAAAGTGAACTAAGAAGTATTTTTGAAATATTCGTTGCTTTGTGCTGCCATCCCGAATCCGCGATCCCTATTTGTACTTCGTTAGGTCGCTAACACTCTCATATATTCGTTTTTACTTAAGATAAAATTAAAAATAGTATTTTGTTTATCTTTGGTTACCACCTGTAACTGTAAATATCGTTCCGTAACTCTAAAAAGAGAATTTAGTGATCTTGCGAAATAAATTCTACCTAAAAATACTTATTTACCATAATATGCGGTTTTATTCAGTAATTCAATTGAATACCAATAACAGTGCGTAATTGTAATCCTGAAATGCCATTCAAAGTTGGGTTATGTTATGGATTATGCTCAGGATTATGTTTACCTGATTTTCTATTAACTGCAAAATAACAAAAAAAAACAGTACCTACCTAGGTAAGTGAAGTTGAGGATCTTTATTTTAATATAGTTCTATTAAGGGATTGTTTTAGGCTATCCTTCGACTGTACACATTTCCAAAGATTGACTTCCGACACGGAGTAGGTACATTTTTTTCCGATTATCATTTTACCGAACGATGTCATTGCAGTGCGTTTATATAAGGCCATCGGTCACATCATGGTCAGAACACGGTGCGGGCAATTATTGTAACGTGTATTTCTGTTCTGTTCATGTTCTGACCGTAACCTGACCGATAATAATGTGAATCGGCCTTCAGGTACATGCTCTAACTGATACTGTGACTCAACCTTTATGATCACAAAGGACAATCCACGCAATATTTTTAGGAAAACCAGATTTGCAAGTCAGCAATACCACAGACAACATATACTTGTCTATGGCAAGACTAACTCATAATTGAATGATATTTGTTTGGGTGTGAAATCATATTTTGATATAATACCGATAGTATGTAGTTCATTCAAATTATGGGAACCGAGATGGCATCCAATCGGTGGGGTTTCGTTATTATTAATAAATAGTGCTTAAATTTAGTTGTAAGTGACGTGTACATTTATTATCGAATAAATATATAATCACCAGTTACTGATTTCTTACAGAGTTATCTGATAGCACTGCCGAGGTGTAAATACCACCGTACATGTCGACAGTGCTATTAGCTTGGGCGAGAAATTTTGATAGAGTTTTCTTGCCCTTAAGTAGCGCTTCGTCTGGTAAACGTAAGCAGTATTAACACTTTGTGTATTATCAATTCAGAAACACCATCCAACATAACCTCTTTTTGTTGTAAACTCTGAAATTTTTATATTAATTAATTATAACGTAGAGTGAAAAATCCCATGATCCTAAACTCAATAAACTCATAAATACTTCTTTTGCCAGTTTCCTAACCCAAATTTTGAATGTAGGTAACGTTAACCAGTGTAATTCCTACTTATGGTACGGTTTTTTGCTGGATACATTTTATCTGCATTAATGACCAACAAAACCAATAAAGGACTAAGTTATACTGCTAAAAAGTAGGCACATTCCAATAAGTACTCCACTTTAAATTTCCCGCTTTGTAAGAATAGTATATCGTAGCCATCTTAGTGGATACACGTTGAACTACACTGAGCACAGATTTCTTTTCTATAATTGTTTTACGAGTTATTGTTCAAGTGTACGGAGTTCATACCGTTTGTGCTTTAGAAACCACATATTATCCATTTTTACATCACGTTTTATTCCTTATATGTTCAAGAATCTGGAGAAACAATTTATATTTCAAAAACTTCTTTGACCTTTGAATTATACACAAAAGATTGCCATTGCAATCGAAAGTCTACTTTATACACTTTCAGAGAATGTGCTATGAGTTTTAATGCAATATAAACTGTTCACTTATAATTTACATACATTTAAGAACAAGAAACAACAAACATTTCCGAAAAAAAATTTATAGTTTTTAAAAACGGTATGAATTCCGTTAGGCATGTTTCCCATAAGAAAGCTATTGTGAGGTAGGCAACACACAATACTGATAGCGCGCCTTTAATGGGCAAAAGCAAAAAATCCTCCATCTATTTCTTATTGGGAACATTTTTTGGCACTTTTTTATTTTTCCATAAACCTCCATTTTGGAGGGGGCTGTCCTGAACCTTAGTTGAAACACATACCTCAACAGGATAACGTTTTTGTCTTTTTTAGTGCAAAACTTAAAATCCACCTGTCAAATCCTTATTATGGAGACTTTCAGAACTCTCGAGGGACTATCTGGAACTCCAAACAGAACTCAAAAAGGTAGTCCTTAATCCTTGGGGATGAATTTGGTTGAATTTTAAAGTGTGGCATGACCCTTCAAAAACATTGAAACTTTTTATAAGTTTTGCACCTTAAAATATAAAAAGGTTTATATATGTAATATGCACGCGTTACTGTATTCATTTTAAGAAGGTAGCGGTAGAAAGCATAGGGAAACTTTAACTTTCAGTGTGATTGGTTAAAACACGAGTCAGTATTACACTGAAACATAAAACGAGTAGCGAATTTTGCAAGCTGGTAGTTTCTGTTGCGAACTAAACTGTTGAAATGTCATTAGCTGTTAATGTCAAAGATTTTATTTGTTACTCAGTTGTAAACGTTGATTAACAAGACAAAACGCAAACGGGTAAACGTCATGTTTAAACGCTACTGACTTGTAAAACTGACAGCAGACCTGTAAAAATTTTACAAGTTAGTAATCTAGTAATTTCATTGGCCAGAATTAATGCGAAGTCTCTGTTACACGGATAACATGATATTTTAGACATTTCTTCGAGATCAATTTAAGAACTAATTATTTACGTTTACTATTGTTTACAAATGAGTAATAAATAAAATATTGTACATTATACGCCGGGTAAAAGTTTTTACTGGCTCTAGGAGATGACTTCTCCTATCGCCAGTAAAAACTCACTTACCTGGCTAATAATGTAAAATACTATATTTCTGTTTGCGGTGCTGGATATTTCTACTTTACAATAATTTGGGGCCGTTTTATATTTTTCCTGTGTGTGTTTATCTTCAAACACAGCGCCATCTACTACCTTCTTATATAGAATGAAGTATAATTGAGCATATTTTTGGTGTAATTTTAGGGTTTTAGTAGTTCCCGATCACTCCACACAAGTGATACAATTATTCATTACAAGATTTTGCTCTAAAATGTATATTTAAGTAACTGTAGTCAGAGAGTAAGTTAGATCTATGGATATTAACCTTTTCAGAACTTAATAAAACGTTCACCTTTGACGTAATGCTGCGACTGCGTGAAGTTTGGCCCCCAAAATTGAGAGTTAAGTCTTTCACAGACTGATCAAGAACTCTAGAACTTTATGGAGAGCATCGAGAACTCTAATTACAATTTTAAAATTTTATAAATGCATTTGAATTTAATATTTCATTCTTAAAAGAACCCGTGACTCGTTATTGAACTCCAACTTACCTTAAATAATAATTTGCATACAAACCTGAACATAAGTTAACGGTTGATTATCAGCTATCCAGTCGACCTCCTCCATACTGTCTCCCAAATAAGGCCAGTCTGTATCGTCGAAGAGAGTCAGCGCTTTAAGGGTCTCGTTTATGTCTTCATTCTCGGGCCGCCTGAAGAAATCTTTCTGATCGACCAGGCTGTAATTTAACGGCACGTACGGATTTGACGTAGGCGTTCCGCCGCTAAAATTCCGATTCGTTTTAAGCCGCAATCTTTCGCAAACCGACTCACTCACTCGAACTGAAATGACAGCTGATGGGAATGGTCGATGGTTCCCGGACAGTACAGCTGCTGACATTCGCCTCGGCCTCGTATCGTCGCCTCCAAGTTAACGCCCAAGGTCGGCGTTTCGATGTGCATCTTCGAGACGACGGGCAAATTCGATCGGATCATGAACAACGGCCAGAGAATCACGAGGACTTGCTTGCCGAAGGCGAGCGGCTGGGTGACGATTCGACACCAGATGCTGAGAAACTGGCCGCGCTCTTGTAGGGGAACTGCGCGGAGAATATTAGTGAACCTTCGTTTTATTCGCACACTTACCTTTGACTAACCACGGTTGGGCGCATTTAGAATTCTCCTTTAGGGGAATGTCACCGGACCAGGCCGATTCTAAACCGAAAAACCGCAGCCTTAAGTGGTAGCTGTTACTGTTGCTGTTGTCGATTAGTAAAGTGGGCGGGGTCGATTTTCCCGGGATTATATGACTGGGGGTGTTTTTAAATTCGCGCTCTTTGTCTTTGTCAACGGCCAGCACGACCTTCAGCTCAAAGTGCTCCAATAGCATGTTACAGATAGTCAACTGACCCGAAAGCAAAATTTGCTTTTGAGTTGCGGAGAGATTGCTTACCGTCACGACTAGAACGACGCGTCCATCGTTAACCAGTTGGTAGGCTTCCGTGCCTTCTTTGTCAATTTGTAAAGCACGCGACCAAAGCCATCCGTTCTCCTCTAAACCTACCCGAATCATTTGCTTAGTCTTTTGCGATCTCCAGCAGTACAGGTGGCAGTAGTGAGGCAACAACAAAATATCTTCGTCGGTAGAGGCCTGTCCGAATCTTACATTGACATTTGTGTTGTTACAAACAACATATCGCGTCATTACGATCAGCTCCTGCGTGTCGTTCCCCTCCACTTTCTGCGCCCAACTTTGCTCCCACATCTGGCCGCTGACTGCTAGAGTGTGCGCTATCGACGGTCCAAATTTAACGCAGATTGGTTTACAAATGAAATTTACATTGGTAGCCTTAGAAACGTTAGCCTCCAATTTTAAGGCAAACGGTTGCACAAACGCCTGCTGCGTTAATGAGTAATAATCCAAGACGGAGCTCTTAATGGAAGTCGTTATGTCGAAAACCGCCGAATGAAAATTCCAGGTGGCCAAGTAGGCTTTCGTTCCCTCAAACGTCAGGGAGGCAAAACAGATATCTTTCGGAAACAGCAGGTCGCAAGTGTACTGTTTCAAAGCTCGGGGCATTACGAGAGGAATACCTTTGTTAAAATTCGTGTACAAGGAAATATGCACGGTCGAAATGTCGACAACCAGCGATAAATCTGGAACTAAATTTTTGTTAAAGTACGAGTCAATTCGCATGCAGGCGGCAAGCACACGAGGCGATATTAAAAGTTTGGAGCCGTCGAAAGTTTGCAACGAATCCTTTTGCATGCTCAGCACGACCCTCCAAATGCTGGCCACGTACTGCAAGCTATTATCCGGTAAAGTTAAATTGTTGGACTCATTCTCGGAGAGGTAAAACTGGAGATAGGGGCGGTAACAACTGTGACAGTCCGACCAATACTCCAACTGGCACAAAATTTGGTAATTGGAGTCCTCAACCGTGTTCTTGTAAGGAACCGGAAACACGCGAACTTTCGTCAACGCCCTCGGCTGCGGATATCGCCAGGCCATTGCCAAAATTCGCTTCTTCCAAAACATGACCTGATAGGGCAGCGGAAGCTCGTCGCTGTTTCCCGTTGCCGAGTCGACGAACTGAAAGGCGCCCGCGCGGAGATCGTCCTTGTAATACTGCTCCTTTTCGACACTCGCGCCCCTCGAACTGCCACTCCTCTCGCTCGAGTCAGACTCCCTGTACGACAAGCTCGAGAAGAACTCCGCCAGATCCTTCGTAACCGCCTGGACGCACTTGAGCTGCTGCGGACTGACGTCAAGCATAATGCAGTCGCTTTCCACCGAGATCTGAATTTGCGGATCTCCGTCGACCGGCTGCCAGGATTCCCACGATAGTGTCAATTCGATTGCGAAGCTCCACGGATTGAGCAGCAGTCGTGTGACCCCTTCCATTACCACCCCTAGCGTCAAACCCTCGAAGGAAATGACGTTGATTAGACGCTCCGGCCGGTTGGTTATAGTAAAATTGTTCTTCAATCTGCTAATGCTTAAAGTCACCTCGGGGACGTTCTCAGTTTTGCCAACTAAGACCAGTTGCGATAGCTGGACATTTAGGCAGGCGACGTCAAAGAGCATGCTCTTGATTTCCTTAAACTTCGTATACGTTTCTGTGCCTTTTTGTGCCGTTTGAATGGCATCGTTTTTTTTGCACGTGGTCGACGGTGTATATTTAAAAAAGGTGTAGTAGTTGTAGAGGACTTTGTCCTTGATTACGAGCAAGTGGTTCCAACGGGTCACTGAGCAAAGGATCTGCGTCGGTCTGGCAAAGTTAACGTCGACGGTCGTCGGCTGGCCTAGTCCTCGCGACCATTTCAACGTGAAAAAGGCGGGTCGAATCCCCGTGCCCGGATTGGGCATGCCCGAAAGCGTCTCCAGTAGGTTGATCGGGTAGTCATCTTCGGTCGGTGTCGAAGTGCACGGCACGTATTCGGGACCGGAGATTTTTACCGATATGTCGAAACATGAAAGGTGCAATTTTCGTCCCAGATAATAGCGAGACATGAAGAGATTGGGCTGGGAGATGCACAGAAATAAAAGCGGATGATATTGGTTATTCTCAGATCTGTAGGTTTTTTCATCTATGCTACCCTCCTCTGAGGCGTCGTAACCTTTGTCGTAGTCGTTCTGAAAAGAGACTCTTAAGTACACAGAGAGAGAGAGTTAAGAATAGAACAGTGAGACAACCCCCAAGTACATTGGAAAGGGAAGATCTAAAATACTTTAAAAAGGACGTAGAAAGTACTGATTTAGAAATTTTAGAAAAACGCTAGAATTTTCTGGATTGTAGTCTTTTCTACAGCTGCTAGAGGGTGCTTTTAAAGCAATCAAAAATTATCCCGAAAATCAAAAGCTGAACATCCCAATGCCTAGAGCCTAATGCATCCTATAAGATTCTGAGGATGTAATGGGATGACGTAGAAAGTCTTTTATTGTATTGAAAGAAACTTAATGGCTCTCAAAAATATTTCGAGCGCTTTTTAACACATTTTCCTCACGTTAGAAGGCGCTATTATAGACACTTTCTCCGTCTGTCCGTCCGTCAGAGGCCGCAACTACTCATACAGTTTTCAATATTTGTTTTTTTTTAAAATTTGGTTGCTTATAACAGGCGATCAAAAATGAGTTGTTGTCGAGTCGCCTTTGGCAGTTCAAGTTAAATACGATTTCCCATGGAAACAAAAGTTCCAAAGGTGACTCGACAGCAACTCATTTTTGATCACACAATAGCTTTGGCACATGAGCCAACAAAAATCATGACGAATAATGTGCGCATGCGCGGACTGTGCAATGTCAACTTTTTGAGTTATTGAGATTCTTTAAAATGTGCTTCTCATAAAGGCAAACCTACCAAGTAAGCGCATGCGTAGGCTGCGCAATGCTACCTTTCTTATTTAGATATTTTTTCAAGTTTTAAGCTCCAGAACTACTTATGCAATCGGAAAGCACAGGTGAAGATAAGTGATAAGTGGTCCAATCCAATTGAAGTGAGTTCGGGTGTTCCTCAAGGATCCCATCTTGGTCCAGTACTATTTTTGATTTTTATAAACGATATATCATCGGTGTTTGTGTCTAAACATGTCTTATGGACGATCTGAAGATATATAGACCTATTGCAGACCTTCGAGACATGAGTTTGCTACAATCTGATTTAGTGCGACTTGAAAAGTGGGTGGTTGAAAATGACATGAAATTAAATGTTGAAAAGTGTCACGTGATCTGTTTTTCCAGAAGGAACTCTCCATCTTTGCAAAGTTACTATCTGTACGGTCAGCTGATTGATTGCGTGGATTCTGTTCGTGATTTAGGTGTGATCTTGGATTCCAAGCTTACATTTCGATTGCATTATGATCACATTGTATCTAAAACTATCAAAATGATTGGGTTTATCAACAGGCAATGCAAAAGTTTTTCTAATCCATGTACATTACGCACCCTATACTACTCATTAGTTCGATCGAATCTTGATTTATATTGTGTGATCAAAACTCTCTAAACCTTCCCCATAGTTTTTATTCGTTGAAGTTTTTAAAAATAAAAGCGACTATAGTTTCGGCGTACTGCCATCATCAGGCGACTAGAAGTTTATCACAATATAGCAAATTTGAAAACATTAAAGGTGGGTTCATAGCTCTCCGTTCATACGTTTCCGTTTGTCCGTTAACCAATCAGAAGACAGCAAATTTTTAAATCGTACGTCGTCCGTTTACGACGGAAAAGTTGGTTGAAGTTGAACATTTACGTTTCCGTTGGTCCGTTTTTAACAAGAGTGAGGTTATGTTTGGTACGTTAACAGCTGTGTTCACCTATTCGTTCTTCAGGGTAATAATCAGATAGCAACGTGTTCTTACTTTCGTACCATTTTTCAATACTGAAAATCACGGAGGGTATAGTACAAAATAAAATTTAGGTTATGGTTATATGTTGCAAATGTACAATGTGGACGGATTGCTATGAACCTTAACAAAATGTATTATCCGTTTGACGGATCAACGCAACGGATGAACGGAGAGCTATGAACCCACCTTTAGAGCTAGTACTTACTGTGAAATTTAACAGGAAAACGGTAAGTTACAAACGTTGAAGACGAATAATCGACGAATTCGTATTATGGTCTCCCTATCTTACCACACATATCGATAGATTGGAAAGAGTGCAATCCTATTTTCATCGATTGTTAAAATATAAGCTCTCATTGGCAGGAATCGTGTTTGAAAGAACCAATGACGTAAGACTATATCTCAATATCATGCGGTTAGAAAATCGAAGAACACTACTTACCCTGCAGTTCGGCTTTAAGTTATTAAACGGCCACATAAACTGTCCTACTATCTTGTCTGGCATTTACTTTAATGTTCCACAAAGATTCGTTCGATCTTCGAGGCTTCTTTACATGAGACCTAATCGAACTCTTTACATTCGTAACAGTCCTCGAAATCGATTGTTGGAGTCATTGAACAAATTTAATGATAAAATCGATTTATTTAGTACCTCTCTCTCGATTTTCAAATGCAATACTACAATACTTTTAATTGAATGACGTTACGTGTTATCATATCAATATTTAAATTTAATTATTTCGTGTCATCTACTTAGGTACACGTAGTTGTTAGGTACGATTATTCATTATTATAGTATATTATATTGTAAATTGCCGTAGGCGTAAATAAACATAAACATTATTACCCAGAGATACTTCTAGTAAGGGCAAGCATGTCACATATTAAAAAATTAGGTGCGCGCATGCGCAATGCCAGTTTTCTTGTTTATGGAAACATTTCTTTGAAGTTTTAACCACAGATGCTGTTAGTAAAAAAAAACATAGCACACATACCTATGGTCTTTTGGGAAGTACTGATCAATGCATAGAAAATGCGCTAGTTACTCGCCTTAGGACGAAAACCTTTTACCATTTTTTAAATTCTCTAGCCAGTTTTTTATTGCGTTCAAAACAACAAGACGATTCGATTCTGGAATCTTGAATTTATCGCAACAATCCTAGGTTCCTAGAGGGATTTCTAAGATTTTTGAAATCATTAGCAAAATATTTGAAAGAATAAATGAATTAGGCGGGTCACTCTGTAATTGGGCGCACGCCTGTTGAGGGCCCAGAACAAGAGAGGGATAATAAATACATATCACTAAGAAAACTTCTACAAATATTCTAAGAAGATTTCAAGATTTCCTAAGACTTCTTCTATGAAGATTTATACTAAGATCCCTAGAACGACTTCTAATACAATACGATTTCAAGAAGGATTTCCGATACTCCCATAAGTTCTCCAAGTCCTATAGAAATACTTCCAAAACAACATTTAGAGAGTATCCAATATGGGAGGATCGCAAAAGTTTCTGAGAAGATTTCTAAAAATTCCCGCATTATGTTCCACGGCTAGAAGAAAAAGGGATCAGAAAACGCCATGTAACTTCTAGAAAAAAAACCTTCAAAAAGAATAGAAATCTCTGGGCTTTAGTAAGCTTTGAAGAGGCTGGGACACTGTAACGTACACGATCACGATACTAGGCTTAAGCATAACATTCAAACTAAGTACTGCAGGTTGTCAAAACACAGGATGGTGTAGTCCACCAATCTCAACTTCTTTACAACAGCCTTCCTAATAATATAAGATCTATGCCCATTGGAGCTCTTAAGTCACGCCTCAAAACATTTCTTTCAAAACATGCTTTTTATTGTCAGGAAGAGTTCATGAAAAACTGTTATGCGATATAATAGATATAATATGTAAAATTGTACTCTGTAATCCTCCTCTGTTAGTTAGTCTCTGAATGTACCTTTGTATTTTGTTTGTAATATTTTTTTTTCAATGACGACCGTAAGTGTACCCACACGGATAACGGTATAATAAATATTATTATTATTAATATAAAGAGTTGGAAAGGCTCTGGAAACTGTTTCAAGATTCTGTGAAGCGTTCAAAACTCTTGAATGCATTTGAAAAGCTTTGCTGACCCAAAAAGGTCCTTAAAAAGGTATGGGTAAGGATATAGAGAGGTCTGGAAAATATGTAGAGACAGACCTATAGAAAGGGCTCTCAACTAGCTATAAAAATCTAAATCTCAGTGACGATGATAGGGAAAAAAACCAAGAATGTTCTGACAGTGTTTCATTATACTGTAAAGCCTGGAAATAAAAAAAATAAATACTTGTTGGATTCTGGAAACGCTTAGAGCTTTTTACTAATAGGATTTGTAAGATTAATAGTGGTTTCCTACAGAAACCATTTAGATTTTATGATTTTTATAGAGCTATTGAGAGGCGCTTTTGGTACTTGACAACCTAAGATAAGTCTAAACAACTACAAATTGTGCACAACCCTTGTGCAGGTAAAGCACATTTTTTTTTAAACACCCCTACCAAATTTTACTTCCATAAATAAGAAAGTTGACACTGCACATCTTACACAAAACCAAATTTGGAAAATGGCGCTACATTTGCTTTTATTCCAAGTGGCTATGTATCAAATTTCATTTAAATCCCTCCATAAATAAGAAAGTTGGCACTGCGCATGCGCAAAACGACATTTTGAAACTGGCGTTAAATTTGGTTTTATTCAAAGTGGCTATGTATCAAATTTTATTTAAATGCGCAATGGTTATATTTCTTCCAAACGTCCCAATCGCCCTTTGTAGGTACTTTCCTTTGACAATTCACTCTTAAGATAACGACAAGGGATCGAGGAGGGAGACTATGTTTAGTATAATTTAATTCCTTTCGTTGAGACCTTTCATTAGAGTACCATGAAAGTAGTTCCACTCCCCTTCACCCCATACTTTGATAAGAGGACAGAAAGAAAGGGAGTAGTTTGTAGAAACCTGTTCCTTTCGTTGAGACCTTTAATTACAACACAATGAGAGATAACATTAATTTTACCCCCACCCCTCAGGCCCCGTCGCTCACTGATCTCGGAAAAGAGTCGAACGGGAATGTTATAGTTTGTACGAACCAATTTATTTCGATGAGACCTATTAGAATACCATGATGGGTAGAACATGTGTTTACCCCCCCCCCCCATTTTTTAAAGTTTAACTTGAAACCACTAAAGGCATGCCTATGCAAAATCTGAGACCAATTGGTTGTCGTATGTAGAAGTTATGCACATTTTACTTTCAAAAACAGCACACCTTCAAGGTATAGGCTACCTACTGCAAAAAATTCCTGGTCTCTAGGACCATTCCCCTAGAAGTAGTTCAAAACGGTAGAAGTGGGTCCGGACGGACGGACGGACAAAACGCAAACAATAGCACTTTTTTTTAATTCTTAAAAAATGCGCTAAAAAGCATAGAAAGTCATGGAAAGACACAGAAAGCTTTGGAAATGGCATAGGAAACAGAACGTTGAAAATGCTGAAGCGTCGAGATGCGAAAAGGGCACTGTGAGTTTTAAATCGATTCGACTCAACTTTCGGCATTGCGTATTATATGGCTAAAGTTATGCCCATATTTATTTTCATGCAATTCAGTTCATAACTAACGGAGATGTCAAAGCACACGGACAGATAGAGGGACAGACAGACAAAGGAACAGACGGACAGACCAACAGACAGACAGCAATACTAAATAAACGAGATCGTTAAAAAACGGCAAAAGTGTACAATTATGGAACATGTAAAAAACGGTTTTTTGGTTTTTTTACAATAACTTTTTTAGCAATAAACGCAGAAAAAGTTTCTTCCTTGGTGCAAGCCTCGACACCATAACGAACCAAATGGTAAAAAAAGTAGAACAATAGCTCTTAAGATAAAGAACTAGTAGCGTCTCAACGAACGAGCGGACGGAGGGACGGACGGTCGGGTGGACAAAGTGGTCACAATAGCGCATTTTTTTAAATTTTTGTGGAAATGCGCTAAAAAGAAGAATCTGCATGACGCCCGAAAAAAAAGATGAACACATTGGCATACAAGCAATTGGACAAATTAGAGGGGGAATGGGGGAAGGGTTTGAAGTGTCTTAACACCGAAAACAGAATGTTAAAAGTAGAGCTGGAAAAAACTAACAATGCACTCTATCAAATTAAAGAATTAAAGGCAAAAAAAAGAGTGACTAAAAGGAAAACAAAAATTAGAACGTAGAGTGACAGAATTGAAAGGAAGCGATGAAAAACAAGAGGAAAACCAGAAGAACTATACCTAATATTAAAAGAGATTAACACAAGACGAGAATATCTGAAAAACTAAGTAAGCAAGTACGTATGAAAGCAACTGAGAGTAGAAATAGAAACTATGGAAACAAAAAAATTGAAGAAAAGACCAAGAAAAACTTGCAACGATGAGGTTACACCAATATTGGAGAAGAAAGACATATTCTGAACAGAAGAATGTGAAAAAGCAAAAAAAAACAAGTTAAAAAGTAATCGTGAATGATTTACATAAAGTGCATTTCCACTTGCATTCATTTCCTATTTGTAAGATGCAACTTTTGTTAAAATTGTAAAAATCCGGCCACAAATATGAAAGATAACGTTGCACATGTGCAATCCATTTTTGACGTGCTACTTCAATTTCAGTTTATAAGAAGAATTTCATTTCAATGCTTTTCTAAATAAGAAAGTTGGAACTGCGCATGCGCAAACCTAAATTTTGAAGCTAACGTTAGATTTTCCTTTGTTCCAAGTGGCTATGTATCGAATTTCATTTAAATTTCTCCATAAATAAGAAAGTTAGCACTGCGCATGCGCAAAACCAAATTTTGAAATTGGCGTTAAATTTGCTTTTATTCCAAGTGGCTATGTTTCAAATTTCATTTAAATACTTTTATAATTAAAAAAGTTTGCAATTCGGTTAATAATAGTCGAGATGCGAAAAGGGCACTGTGAATTTTGAATAGAGTCGACTCAACTTTTGGCATTGCGTATTATATGGCTAAAGCTATGCCCCCATATTGAATTTCATGCAATTCAGTTCATAACTAACGGAGATGTAAAAGCGATCGGACATTTCTAAACATAGTTATTGTTCACACGGACAGATAGAGGGACAGACAAGACAAAGGAACAGACGGACAGACCAACAGGCAGACGACAGACAGCAAAGCAAAATTATAAACGATCTCTAGGATTGTTTGTTTTTTTTATAATAACTTTTTTTGTAAGCGGTACAGAAAAAATTCCTTCCTTGGTACAAGACTCGCACCATAACGAACCAAATAGCGAAAAAAGTAGAACAATAGCTCTTAAGATAAAAAACTAGTAGCGTCACAAAACGAGCGGACGGACGGGCAAAGTGGTCACAATAGCGCATTTTTTTTTATTTTGAAAAATGTGCTAATAACATTTTTAAGAGTTCAGATCTATGAAATATTTAGCCAGTTTCCCTTTTTCTCTGTAAGGTCATCTTACTATTCTACGGGCGCTTAAGGGATACCTAAATGAACTACTAACCGTTTTGAGTTTATGTCTTCTATCCTTCTGTTTCAGTGAGGATTTCTTCCCGGAACCCTTATGCGTTTCGTACAACGAGACGCGAATTTTCCCTCCTGTAATTAAAACGTCCATGGGAACGTTGTGAAGCGGAGGTGGTAAAAGATTAGGCGGCCGACTGAAAACGACCTTATCGCTGGCCTGATTTTTTAACAGGTGCTTGACGTCCGTAACCGAACTTTCCAAAGTAATATCCTACAACATTTTTTGATTAGATCATTAACCCCAAGTCACGTTGTGTACCTTTGACTTAATCGAAAACATACTTTGAAGCTCGGACGTTTCGATTCCAGAATCCAACGTTACCCCGGTACTATCGATGTCCTCCTCCTGCACGGAGTCGAAGACTGCCGGATGAAATTTGGGATAAGGAAATTTCACTACGGGTCTTTTAACAACCTCGTCCGAAAACAGTGGGCGAATAACGTACAAGAATTCCGCGATTAAAGCTGACGCCAACTTAATTTGCGCCAGTGATAAGTTTATATCGACATCGGATTCCAGGTTGATCTCAATCGAATGGCCACAAATCAGCGTCGTTGTCTTGTAAACCATCGCCGGTGCCACAATGACCAAAACGTCGAACCTTTAACATCCGACAGTAAAACAAAGCCAAGCTTGACCGGCCTTACTTATTAACAGCCGTCCATATGTTAACCATCTGCGAGTTAATCGTGAGGCAATTTTTGCCCAGGTTGTTCCACTCTAAAGCTGGATTCTCATTCATCGTTCTAAGCCTCGACAGGTTTGTCGCTTGCAAATCCAGAATTTGATTTAGATCGTCCCACATGCCGGTAATTAAACATATATCTTTTACATTCAGCTCGTATTGCCTGTCCTCAACTTCGCTACCTAAAAAACTAGGAGGTGGCACACTTCATCGGCATCGTTTACAAACCTGGAATGTTTAAAATGCGAGACTGCGCCGCCAGCTGGTAAATATCAGGCCGACACGGGGAACGGCAAATGGGATTGACGGCGCTCGGCGCTAAATTGATTGCTTCAACTTGCAACATGCAAGTGTCGTGCTCTGTCCCGGTGCTGCCCAATTCTTGCGAGGGGATAATTAACCGCAAACCGCGGCACTCGACGTAAATTAACGGTAGATTTTGATTACTAATTACAAACGCCGGGTGGGAATCCTTCGCCTCCTCACTCGCCGGCGGTAAATTCAACAAAGGTTCAAAGGTCATATAGAAACAACGCAAGATTGATAAGGGCAAAATAAAATCAATCGGTTGGATTGTTAGAACGATTTCTGTAATGTAACGGGACATCGGTTGGAAATTGAAATGATTTTCGTTAACGCTCTGCAAGGAGATAGTAATTAGGAGGCTTAACAAAGCTAGTGTACCTTTCTCTCTTTGGTTTTCTGCTTTGGAAACGTTCCCCATAGGGCGTGCGTGTGTTGACAGCTTGCGCGCGTAATGGTAACGGTGGCGAAACCGACGTCTTCTTGCCGTTCGCCCGTGACTTCGGTGTCTTTCGATTTCATTAGTATTCCGAGGAACTTTCCGGAACTCCAGGTCTTCGCTCCAATTTTTCTGCAAACATTTTACGAACTACAACTTGTCCGGGTGAAAAAAGAATGCTAAAGCATGCTGGTGTGCCGGAATTTTTATTGGAAGTATGGAAGATTGAAGAAGATTCAAGAGAAAATGCTACGAACGATGGTGGCAGCACCTGTTTATCTACCCCCAAAGAATTCTCTCAATCGCGTTTTTGTATATACTGTTGTACTACGTCACGCAGGCGTTACTTTGGTTTCAGCACCTTCAATAAGATTGGGCCGCCCTTTATGTGAAACATAATAATTACGTGATTTATTTATTACAGTAAAAATATAATTTATCACTCACGAATACACGATCTATAACAGCGCGAACTATTTATTACATCAGCGTTAAAAGTAGAACTGAACTGTAACGTAATGGAATTTGCTTATACAGTAAAGTCGAATGTTTGCGAGCGGTGACGAACAGTTCAGAATAAAATACGCGATATTCCCCGCAAGATTACGTCACATGCGCCTTCGGGCTTTATCGCCGATAACTAATCTTTCATGGCGCCTTGATGTCTATAGTTCGCGACAAATTTTTAAAGTAAATCTGGTAGGTTTTTTACGAATAAACGCAAAATGTGATCGTTTCGTTTGAATTTGTATTTCAGTATATGTTTTTCCTTTTAGAAGTTTCTGTAGATGCGTAATTTTCGTTTTAATATTATCGCTTTTGTAAATTGTTCAATTTATATAAGGTGCTAGGAGTAAGACACATCTGGTCGAATTTTGCGTGATTCGAGGGGTGGCTCACTAAGGTATTATGGTGTACACTTGGCTGGTATTATAATACGTAGTAAAGTACTCAATTATTTACAAGTATTTACTTTGAATTTTACAAGTATAAGCATTTGCTTACTTTTATTCATACGGGCCATTGTCTCTCCCAAGCACAAATACTCCCAGTAACTTGCAAGCTTGCAAATAGTACTGACCTATCCGTATACAGGGTGTCAATTTTAAAACTTGCAGTTGGCCATATTTTCCAGACTAAAGAAGATATTGAAAATCGCAAAAAACCGTTTCGGGAGTATCGAGGGGGAACCAGAATGACGTTATGAATGGCAATCTCTCACCCCCCAGTCGCCTCTCTTCAAAAATTCTAAATGTCAACCCCATACTTGTGAGACATCGTTGGAAAGCTACTGAAAAATGCTTTCCAGTGGTACCAATAAAGTCAATATTCATTAAGACAATTTAACAAAAATTTAAAAATTAACAAACAAAAATAAAAATTAAGCCATACCTATGTTCAAGATTTGGTCGCTAAATTCGAAGAAACGGGATTTGTTTTCACTAAAAAAAGAAAGCAACGAAGATTGCTCAGGTTGAAGTTCTTGGACAATTTGCCATAAATCCCCTCAATCTCAATTCAACATTTTTTTGTTAATTAGAAGTTTTTTGTTAAATTATCTTAATGAATATTGACTGGAAAGCATTTTTCAGTAGCTTTCCAACGATGTGTCACAAGTATGGGGTTGTCATTTAGGATTGTTGAAGAGGGGGACTGGGGGGTTAATGGGGGTGGGGGGTTGTCACTCATAACGTCATTCTGGTTCCCCTCGATACTCCCGAAACGGTTTTGCGCGATTTTCAATATCTTCTTTACTTTGGAAAATATGGCCGACTGCAAGTTTTAAAATTGACACCCCGTATAATAGAACTTTTGAGGTTTTCTGACAAGTTTACAATTCAAGATCTAATGAAGTATCAGAGTTGATTATTAAAAAATGATTCTGCGAACTCTTTCATTAGAATCGTTCCCTGATATGTATAAATAATTGTAAAAAACAAAGAATAAACGAAATCCTCTCGCCCTTAAAATATTTATGTATGTTGATAATTATCTCCGTTCATATAAACATTGGCGCAAAGCAAATTCTGGACCATCATGAAGGAAATTGCAACGTCAACAGTGACTCTGGACTCAGGGCCGTCTACTGCAAACTGGTGAAATTCGATTAGTTTATCGTTTTCTTTTAACACATCATATTGCAACAATAACAAAAAAATAAATGAAACATTTTTTTGTGTTTGGCGGTCAACGTATAATTTAAGAAATATAGGCGCCTAAAAAATACAGTAAAAATTGAGGTAGAAATGTACTTTTAGGCTGTCAAATATATGAAAAGGGCAATGCAGACACATGAAATAGCCCATGTAATGATTTAAGTAGCATTGAACTAATTAACTAATACAGTCGAAACCGGATATAAAGACATCGACTGATAGGCTCTTATCTTATCATCCACACTAGGTATTTCTGCATGCGTTTAGAGAAATGTTAGGGAAAACCGAGGTGAAAACCGTGAAAACATTAAGAATAATAATTTATAATAATATTTACTATAATAATTATAGAAATACAGTGGAAATGATAATGTGTTCTACACAATTTATTACCCAACATAGCAGGTATTATTCGGTATTAATGGTATTACTGACAGTAGGTATCTTCGATATTATCTAGTATTATTGGTATTATCTGGTATTAAACCAAGTATTATTACTATTATTTGGAGCTATTTTATATTATCAGGTATTATTGGTATTATCTAGTATTCTTCAGTAATCTTTAGTATTATGGTATTATAGACATAAAAATACCGTTTTTGTATTATGGTGTACACAATTTGAGCTTGTGAGCCACCCCTCGGCGTGATTTATAAAAAGTTATATCTGGTCGTATGCCATAGGAAGTCTTATTGTTAAGTGAAATTTAATTAAAGCGCATGCGGTTCTGATAATATAATGCAGGTGTTTTAAGAAGTGCGCGTGCACTCTGTCGAAGCTGGCGTTATCGAAGTCTAATTGTCATTGGCAGTGTATATGAAAATTCATAAAGAAGATTATTTTATGGTGGCAGTGGTGGATTCCTTTAAATACGGGAGACAATGTTTACGGGTTTTTTTTTTATTGATGACGGTTTGAGTGCGGGAGATTTATTACGCGGTTATTTTGGGCAGTTGGCCATTCGTTTAGTTGTCCACGCTTACGCCTTTTCCAGTACCCGTGAAAGAGAATTTTTCTAGGAATTTTCCCACCATCAAATTCTACATATGTAATTCAAACAAAGCCAGTGTCATCTAAATCGAGATTCTAGTGCAACCAAAGAAGTGAAGTTACGAACTATCATCGTATGGTGTTCGTGTTTGTGCATCAATTATATTAAATGCGATTGACCGGATACTTTGGATTATTAACACGGAAGGAAGTCTATACCTCAAGTCACCACCTCCACCAAGTTTCTCCAGTTTTTCAGTCTTCTCCAGTTTTTATTGACTTAAATGAATTATTAGAAAAATGAATTAATAAATATGATTTTAGCTTTGAACGAGGCGGATAAAGATTGCCTTTTTTTTGCATGGCCACCTCAGTATTATATAAATTACATATAACTTATTTAAGATTAGAATATAAAAACCAGGAAAACCAAGATAGGTATTTCGAAAACTATCAGAGATAGGGACATTATTATCAAAAGTTGAAGGTTTTTGTAGGAGCTAAATGATAACAGAAAAATATACAGAGTGATTTAAAAAAAGTGAGATTTTTTAATATGAAGTTTTGCAACTTTGGACCTCCCAAAAAAAAACACCCTTAAGCTATATTTTTAATGTTTCATAGTAGATGTATTTACTTGACTTTTACTTAACCCAGGATAAGATATAAAACCTGGAATCAAAATTTAAGTAATAATTCTGACAATACCGGGTGGTGCCTAGCGCGACACAGCATAGGGATTTCAATGGTAATTTCTTTATAGTCAATTACTAGCTCCCCTAATTATTTTAGAGCAAAAGTCTAAATAAGTTTTTTTGAGAGAAAAAAATACTGCATCTGTTCATACTATTACTTATAATTTTCCGCTTTTCAAAACCGTAGAAATCGGCCAAATAAAAAGGTTCATTTTACAATAAATCAAATATGCTTTGGAATTACCTAAAAAAACAGCGATCACGTTTCATTATTTTCTTTTGACGTATATTAAATTTATACTTGTTCATAAATTAGTTAAAGAACTGCTAGTGCAATAACGTTCAAAATGTCCGTCAAAACCATCAGGAAAACGACTATTCATTCAACGTTTTGGCTGCACTAGCGGAAAATCCGAATATAAGTTTAGGAACAAATCTTCTTCAAATCAGTTTTTTTTTCTTCGATTATGTGGGTACTCTGGGTCCGGAAAATGAACACAAATGGTATCTGATGCAGATGCAGCATTACATTCTCTAAAAAAACATTACCCTTAGATGTATGTTATTGCGCCGGTTAGTTGAAACATAATTAAATATGAAAATCGTTCGACGTCAAACAACGATAACTTAGATGCGATGCGCTTGTAGTTTGTTAAAAGATTTCAAAGCATTACTGATTTATAAAAATGAAATTTTTTATTTTGTTAATTTCTACGGTTTTGAAAAATGGAAAATTATAACTAATAGCACAGAGCTACACATACACAGATTGCTAACCTTATGCATTTTTTGGGAAACAAATTTAGGTATACTTAAAAGCGCCCTCTATTGCGGAGCAGAATAAACATGTACCGTTTAAAACTGTAATATGACGCTTATGGATTTATGCATTAGATGTCGCTGCAAAAAATTTAAAGCGGTAAAGTGTGCATATAATCCAGTTTAATTGGATTTTTACCAGGAAAGTTGTGGGGTAGTTTTGATTTCTTTGATTCTATATGTTTTTTGGCGTGCTGAACCCGAATCTGAGATTTGCTAACAAAATTTCATGACGCAACATTGAAAAAAATACAAAAAAAGTTGAAAAAGATATTTTTTTTAGCAGTTTTGTGCTTACAACTCGAACACTATCAACTTTTCGAAAATAACCTCCCTATTTTATATCTTATCGGCGTGGTAAAGAGTGTAACGTTAATGATGGCAGAGATATACATAGTTTGTAAGTATGCCTTTGCGGTTAGCAATCTGTCAAGACCTTTAAAGTCGCAAATAGTTTCCGCCAACTTCAAAAAACCTTCACGATTCTTTAAAAACCTGCCCTATGTTCGTGTGTATCTGTGACCACAGGGACCCGCTTTTAATAACTCCCTTACGACGAATGAGTAGCTTCAGTTTAAATTAAACAATTATGGCTCAACGTACCTCCTATCATATCATACTACTGTAATAATACGAATATTAAAGAATTCGAATTGTGCAAACTTTAGTGCTTTAATTTTGTTTCAGCGACATCTAACGCATGCATAAGGTTAGCAATCTGTGTATGTGTAGATCTGTGCTAATAGTATGAACAGATGCAGTATTTCTTTCTCTAAAAAAAACGTATTTAGAGTTTTGCTCTAAAATAATTAGGGGAGCTAGTAATTGACTATAAAGAAATTACCATTGAAATCCCTATGTTGCGTTGCGCTAGGCACCACCCTGTATATACTGACGCTTGCAAATGCCCAATTTTTCTTAAAAATCGAATTATCTTTAAAAGTACTAGCTTTTCGGATATTAACCATATAATAAAAAAGACGTACAATTACACGTAGAATTCAAAAAGGCATTCAAATACAGGGGATGCTATTAAAAAAATGTACCATTTGGGCGCACCCTGTATAATTCCAAATATTTTTAAAATGTGGAGAATATTCCACCATAATACAAAAGCACTCTATCGAAAAATCTTATCTTCAAGGCATTAAGTTACTCCGCGCAATCGTTGACTTACCCTGTATATCCGTGTAAGTATGTACCTTCGGGAATCTTAGAAATAAAATAGTATTGTGCGCAAGAGAGAGTTTTGTATTCCCATCTTCCAACAGTCTTTAATTTTGACTTTCGAAACCGTTTTACCCTCTAAACTACTGGCCGATTAACGTCCACCATCAAACAACGTACGATTAACGTCTGTCTCTTTGATTTAAAACAAACTCCCTTTCCGTTCCACTTCCAACTGCGTCTTCGAATAAATTAAACACCACCGTGTTCTTATCGGCGAAACGCTCACATAGCAAAGAAATTGAAAATTACAAATACAGGGTGACGCAACGTTACTGTATAGGTCTCCTGAAGCCAAACAAAACGTCCCAATACCTTTATTGAAGAATAAAACGTCAACCCCAACTTTTTAAAATTTCTTTAGAAATAGATTAAAGTGACTATCAGACAGTTGTAAGCTCAACTGGACTCTGCTTTCATCGCATGGGAGTATAACCCCCCCCCCCTACTGTGGAAGAGGGCACATTTTACAAATTTAAATGGCAACAATCCATGAGAATAGTAAAAACAGCGCGATGGAGAAAGCATATCAAATGAGCTTTTATAAATTGCATTTTCAATCTTCAGCCATGCACTTACCCTATGTCCGACTAATTAAAAACTCACCTGCTATAATGCATAATGTTAAAAGTGGCAATTTTGCTTTTAATTTTCAAATAGACGCTTTGAAAATCCAAAGAGCTCACTATATCTTCGGCGTCGAGCACCAGCTTCAAATTCGGCCGCATTAGATACGTTAAATCGGACGCCGAAAAGTTCTTCAGATCGTGCGAGAGGAGTTTCGTGGTGAAACGTGTGACGGTCCATTGAATCCAGATCGTCAACTTCACATTCTCGTTATCCAAGCTTTCGCTCAGGGAAGATATGGGCGGCGTCCTTTCGCTCGTCGATTCTAAGGTGCTTTCTTTCAGTAGAGGAGGCGAAGTCGAACTCAATCCCACGACACTTTGAGCGGTATCTGGTGTCTTTATGGTGTACTCGCTAACCGGTATCAAGGTCATTATCACCTCTGCCAATCCGCACAATATGCTGGCGATCAAACATATCTGCAAATAGAAATGTAACAGAAATTACAGTGAAAGCAGCTGCTTATACCTGAACTTCCGACAGTGATAAAGTGATATGAGAGGTATCTATATGAATGCAAATTCCCAACGCATCACTCACAGTCGGGTGGGCGGTTAGGTTTTCGGGTGCACTAGTCTTCGTTTTTGTGGATATGCCAACAGTTGCGCTTAATGAAAACGGTTTTAAAAAATTTAATTTCCTCCCGTTTTGGTGGGTGTAACAGCTCATTTCGGTCAACGAAATGTTCCACGGTAAATTAGATTTGTCTGTGAAGTAAAACTGTACCGGCCACCTTCTGCGTTCGTAGTCTTACCATTGGTCCAAATCATGGGGGGAAGTTTGACCGGTAAACTGGTCATGTAACTGCCGAGACCGTGGCGTTGCGAGGCGCTGGTGATCGTGACAAAGGGAAGTGTCACGACAAGCATGTCGGGTGGCTTTTGCCTTTTCAGAGTCTGCGCAATCGTTTCCTCTATACCTTGAGCTCCGACGGGCGAAAGAGATTCTGTTGGGAAGTAAATCACGCAATGGCATATTTCACCGTTCAGCATTACGCTTTTCCAAACGCTCACCCAATCGGATAAGAACGTGTAAAGCTTCTCTTGAAGCTGAAATTTCATTGCTTACAATAAGTGTGCTTATTCCACGGTGACTTACATCGACAGTAGGCCCTTTCCGTAACTTTAAGTTGGACGTCGATAAAAATAAGTGCTCCTTATCGGAACTGCTGTGCACAGATTCGTGTGGGGTACCAACTCTGCGCGGAGTCTCCAAAACGCTGCCGCTCGTCTCCGACATACTGTAAGTCCTTTTTTGTGGAGGATCTGTAGACGGCATGAGTACGAGAAAACGTGCTGGAAGACTTACCGTAATAGTCGTATTGTGTTGTGTACATAAACCACCGACATAAGAGCGGATCCACGCATATTCGTATCTCTTGTATGTGAAATGAGATAATTGAAGGGTGCGGTTGGCAGTTTGGATTTAGGGGGTACTGTATTGTGGCTGTTAGTAGTGGTAAGGTCGTGGACAAGCTAAAAATTGTAGCATTACACAATGTAAAATACTTGATTGTTTCGATTTGTGGGCAAGTCAAGTTGTGAGAGATTTTATTATTTTACATAAAACGGTATAGGTCTCAATATCCTAATACAACCCCCCCTTCGTTAATTTTCTTAATTTTACGATGCTGGTACCTAAATTCGACCTAACTTTAACAGAGGGCTCCAAATTCCATTTCCATCATTCTTTCCTCTCCTTTCCAGAAGGGTAACAGTGTAACGAAACGCTAGTTTGAAGTTACCGGTTTTAGTGATCACGCGGTGAATGAACATTAGTCGCCGTTACCGTAAACAAAAACTGTAATTAATTCGCCGTTTGCAACCGTTCCCGTTAAGATATTTCCATTATCTATGTTGCGTCCAAAAGCTCTTGTCAGTTAGAAGACGAGGGAAATTAATATTTTAGAATTTCAATCTCGTTCAGTAATTATTAGATGATTTTGGTTTCTTACGTTAATTTAACACGAGTATTAAGCCGCAAAGCCATGCAGGTTTACACCTGTATCAATTTGATAAGACACCTTTTGTCGACCTGAGAAATCCCAAGAGACAATGGGGGTGTTGAATTAGAATTATGAATTTAGAAATATTATCCGGCAAATTAAACTGATTAAATGAGTCCTACTATAAACAAAACGCGATCGTATATAATAAATGAAAAAGGCAGTGCATACAGGGTAATTGGAAATTTGGCTTTTTATTCATACACAAAAAATCGATTTACGTTTTCGAGAATTTGATGCAAGTTTGAATGCGGTCGAGGTAATTACGAGCGTCATTATCCCGAACCACAGATAAAAGTGAGATTGCTAACCAAAATGTATAAATTTCTTAACATATTTTAATAAAATATCCACTTATTTTAAATCACCTATCCCATTAAAAGAGCCCTCTATTTAGGAATGTTATTACCACAAACAGTTTAGTATTTGGTTCTTGAAGAACGTTGAAACATTTTTTATGCATTTATCCTTAGGTGTCACTGTAAAAGCGATGTTTTATTTATCTTTTTCTGGAGAAGGAATGCATGATCGAAATCGACTTGGTTGCGCTTATCTTATCTACGCCAATATCCGTTTGATATTTAACTATTTATTCGTATTTAAGAGGGAACTGGAGCTCACTTTTGCTATAGCATTTCGAGTGTTTCAAATAAGGTGCAATTTTGTTATTATTAAACTTACGAGTTAGCGATTACACTCATAATAGTAGACACTCTTTCGCCAAAATATGAAAATAAACTCATGCAGTTATTAGACAAAATGCTTTCAAAAAAATTTGAAAAACTTTGGATTTGACAACATCGGCGGTACTGCATAGTGGGGAAAGACACGCTGTATAGAAACCTTGCAAGTAATAAAAGTATCATATTACGATGTGAAGATATGACATCATTAAAATAAAAGAAGCTATTGTATTTCAAAACGTTATTCATTGAGCGTGAGCAAAGATAATCTTTGGCTTGAGTATAATATCTCGGGCAAGTATAAAAACCATGTTGGTTGAATGTACGAGGGTTTTCACAAAAGTTTTAAATTTTAATAAAATACATTAGTTATTTGTGAATGGTTTTTTAATAACAAAGTTTATCTTAGGAGTACTACAGGAGCTAAGTTTTGATTATCCAAAAATATACTATATGTTCGTTGAAACTGTAAAAAATTAGCAATTTAGTCCCACAGATGTAACACCCCGAAAAGTAGTTTTATTTATAGTCCAGTCAAATTAGCGCAATTTTGGACAAATAAAAACATTAATTAGTAAAGATCTGAATTTTGGTATACACATTTGTTGGGACTTTCTAATGAACATACTAAAAGTCCCTGTCAAAATCTGTTGCGCTCGAGACGCCATCTTGGAAAAACGGTACACTTTTCCAGTTTTTTGCCCATATCTCGGCAACTATTACTGACACGAAGAAATAGTTTACATGAAAAATATAGTTTACTAAATTCCCTATAAAAAAGAGTATTTACATTTTTTTTGTATCTCCAATACTTTAGCTGTAATCTCACGTTGAATACGTCAGAACGCGTTTAGGCCCCGTATCGTAGTTATAGAAGGAGGCCGTCTTTTTTATGACTACACCGATAGCTGTAACAGAGCCAAAAAATGAACAGAATCGTCGTGCGATAAAGCATTCTAGCAATGACATAATGTTTGATGATACATCATGTTTTTTTCAAAAAGGTAAGCGAAAATGTGTAAAAGTGTTGGAGCAACGAAATGATTTCTGAAGCTGAAGAATGCCCTTATCTGCATAAGTATAACGTGCCTGCTAGTGAGAGATATTAAAACCGACATCGTTATCAGACCTTCAGAATTACCTTGACCCTGTTCGGACTGCACTGAAGGCTCCCAGTCCACGCTCAGTGCCCACATTGAAGATGAAAGTTGTATTGAGAGAGAGTTTTATGAGAAACCTTTAAACGTGTCTCATACCAAGCTTGAGTGTGACACCTTTGCACTCGCCTTTGCATATAAGAAATATTGACAGAATAAATTTAATGATTTGTAAAAAGCAGTAAAAAAATATCTGCGCGACTGTTTCGAGAGCTCAGGATACTTGATTCCCTATTCGATGTCGGATTATAGCTAAAGTATTGAACATACAAAAAAATGTTAATATGCTTTTTTGTGGGCAATTTAATGAACTATATTTTTTATCTGAACTATTTTTCCGTATCAATAATTATTGCCGATATATAGGCAAGAAACTGAAGAAGTGCTCCTTTTTTCCAGGATGGCGCCTCGAGCGCAACAGATTTTGACGGGAACTTTTAGTATGTCCAATAGGGAAGACTAATGAACATGTGTACCAAAATTCAGATCTTTACCGGACTATTAGGGCCTGATTAATCTCAGATTGTCTGAACCGTTTCAATAATAAAACAAGCCTATTAATTCCTGGAGAGATTTCTACAGAGTCTGGTGTGTTTCGAGGATCCACAATTTCTGGCAAGAGGCAATTAAAATAAACCCCTAAAGCAGATCTAAAAAAGCGGCAGAGCATCTTGGGTGACCCTACGGCGTCGTTGAATTTGATCCATTCCTTATAGGCTTTTTGCAACCTAATTGTTCCGCAAAAGATAGTTTAACCAAAGGTACGTGGGTAATTCCATAATCGGTAGATTGTGAGGATGTAAATCAGGCATGTCAAACACGCGGCCCCCATGTCGCTTGTGGCCCGCCGTTCTATATATGTATGTCTACATTTTTTTTTTAATTTTAGCAATGAAAATCAATACAAACCTTATTTTTACTATTTTTAAATAGTAGGCCATGAATTCATGGAGATTTTGTTTTGTTTATTGTATCCACGGTAACTAAGGCACCCAATACCAATCAATAAAAATGGCTGACTGTAGAAATATGTCATTTCAAAATGTTGAGAATATGAAAAAAAATATAATGAAATAAAAAAAATATAGAATGATACATCAATGTACTCACGAAAAAGAATGCAATAAATGGACGTTAAAATATACAGGATGTTGCATTTAAAAAGTACCAAGTTTGGGTCGAATCACAGAAATTGTTTTTGCCCAGACCACTGGATTCTACGTAAAAATATCTAAAATACGCAGTTTTTATTTTTTTTCTATCTTACATCAGTAGTAAGATATGATAACATCCCAAAAAGTCAAACTTTTCGTTTTCACCCTGATATACACTGCAGTCTCAAACAAAATAGGACACTGTACATTTTCATGGGCTGGTACTAATGATTTTATGATTACATATTTGTATTTTTTCGTTTTATTGCATTAGTTACAAAATGTATAACACTTTTTATGTTAATAATAAAAAATCAAAATTTTCTTAATGTGAACTTTTTTATGAAGTGGCCCGCAGCTATCTGTGGAAACCTTAAAATGGCCCTTGATGATAACATCACGATAACATTTTTATTTCCGCATTTTTCGTTTTTACAGTACCTTATACTCATCAATTATTATTTATTCATAATTCATATTATCACGGAATATAAGAGTTATTTTAGTCCTCAAAACTGCCATTGGATACAATGTATCTGTTGCTTTGAGTATTTCAATAAATAAATAAATAAATAAATTTATCTTTTGTAACTTTCGGACGAATAAGGCTTTTTGAGATTGATATCTCTGGGTTTGCTATTTCAGCATTATATTACAAAAACAAACAGTTATCAGTACCACAGTTTGAATATTGAAGGTGCAGTTCAAATAAAAAAGGCCTTATTATATCTGAAAAAATTTAGAAAAATCTGTAGATTATTGGAGATACCTACAGTGGATTCGTTTATTCATTGTACCCTGTCCTCTAACAAAGAAAATGAATACTTTCGAAATTGCACTAGGGACTGCGTCTTTAATAAAGCAAATTTAGTTTCCTCAAATTTTTCCTACTTAGTACGTCGGGTACATGGCTAGAATGGGAAAAATACTGCACTTTTTGATTGGAATATGCCACTTTCTGTGGTAATAGTTAATACCACATAAGGCAACTTTTGAGATAGGGAGCCACTCGAAAATCCGTGCAGGAAACCAAAATGGTGGCCGTCAAAATGGCGCCATTAGCCGCAATATATTTTTTCGTATCTCTGCTCCTAATAGTCCGATTTTAATTTTCTTTTTTTTTATTGAAAGCTCTTGTGACGAGGAAACTTTTTTGCTATATAACATTTTTCTCTCAAACTTAAGGATTTAGCACAATTTTAAAAAAGTGTTTTTTTTACGAATTTGAATCACAAGTAAGCTCTTAATTGTGCAATATCGACAAAAAAGGCCAACGTTTAGAAATTCAATGGAAACAACCCCAAAACTCCTTGTATCTACCCTGCAAGTTCGGAAAATTTCAATCCGCCATGTTTTTTTTTTGGAAAAAATGCGCAATATTTGTTTCATCATGCACGAGATCAAGCATTATGAAAATTGAAAGGAAAAGCCTCGTCAATTTTTTTCTCCGAAAAACAGAAAATGCACTCTGCTTTTAAAGTAATTAAAGAAACACTCAGTATATCAACTTTAACTCTTACTCTCGCCCTTACTTATCCTATTATATTTAACTAGTTGGTTTAAGCTACGACGAATGTGAAATTTGGAGTGCTTATTTATCAGATCATGGGTTTTTTCGAGGGTTTTCTCTCGGGTTTTCTTTAAGAATATTAACGGAATATTATGATTTCCAAGTTTTAGATACCTCTTCATATAAGTTGAATCATTTTTATTATACAGGGAATCCAGCTTCTGTAAGCGGACGATAGAGCCTCAATGGTTGAGATTAATGGTAACGGTTTGTTGCTACGAGAAGCCTGAGGGGAAGCCTAAACGTATTTTTAAGTATACATAGGGTGTTCTCGAGGGCAGCCTATACATTTTGATATTTTTTATAGGTATCCCCGGGTATCCCTTAACAAAAGAATTATTTTTGTAGGTCTTATCGGTTTTTTTTCGTAATGCGAACCGCGAGGCTAACCGTTTATGCTTTTTATACAGGGTGAAATTTGATCTTCAAAACATTTTTTAAAGAAGCTTTTTATGACATCCATAATTATAAAAAGTTTGCTACCAATCCACGTACATTCAATTTGGAGTCAGTAGCATACTTGTGCACGGTCAAAGGGGGCATACTGTTTTTAAATAGCAACCACTATTTTCTTGACGTAGTGAATTATTTGTCTTATACAAATTGATACAATAAAACTCGTTTTTCAAATAATTGAATTTTAATGTTTCTTTAGCTAATCGACTTCGAATCGTATAGACCGATTCATCATCAGACCTTAAGAGAAAGAATATTGTGCTGAATAATACAAATCCTTACATATTAACATTTGACGTGGACAAGTTACACATAAAAATCGGGTTGAGCTTACTTGTGATTCAAATTCGTAAAAAAAAACACTTTTCTAAAATTGTGCTAAATCCTTAAGTTTTAGAGATAAATGTTATATAACAAAAAAGTTTCCTCGTCACAAGAGCTTTCAATAAAAAAAAAGAAAATTAAAATCGGACTATTAGGAGCAGAGATACAAAAAAATATATTGCGGCTAATGGCGCCATTTTGACGGCCACCATTTTGGTTTCCTGCACGGATTTTCGAGTGGCTCCCTATCTCAAAAGTTGCCTTTTGGTATTAACTATTACCACAGAAAGTGGCATATTCCAATCAAAAAGTGCAGTTTTTTTTGGCGTGCCCAACGTACTAACTTGTAGCCCACCCGTTATACTTATTTGATTTACAGCTGCGTTTACTAAATTGCCATTTAGTTAGCAATCTGTTCTGGGGTCTGAGGGACAGGACATGAACACAGAAATGTTTAGGCACAATTAAGTAGTAGTGCCCTGTTCGAATTGTCTACATTACAATCACACATTGACTGACCCTAAATCACAATTACCCCAAGTAATACATACTCAGATTCCTTGCGGAGTTCTGGACCCGACATGAACAGCACCTGCTGAATATCTCTCGCCGAATACAAATGCTTTGGCACGGCAGTACTGCTCGAACCCGAATCGTCGGTTGTTTCCATAGGCTCGTAAACGAACGACTTAATCGAACCTAAGCTGGCATCGATCGAAACCGTCGAATTCGTCCTCACATGCTTGCAACGAATCTCTTCGAGGGAGACCTCTAAATATGCAAGGCCTACAACGGAGATCTTAAGTGACAAGAATCTCACAGACAATTTGACATACCCCAGTTACGCGAAGCGTCATTCAAAACGCTGGTGTGCGTAAGAAAACCGACAGTCTCCTGCCCGTCAAGTTGCAGTAACCGATCGACGATGTACGTAACCAACATTAACTTGGGCTTGGTCGACGTTACAGTAATCGATTCTGAAACAAAATTTCACGGAGACTTCAACGACGAGTGTCTGGCATACCTGTTTCTACAGTCGTCTCTTCGTGAGGTATGTCGGGATTGAGCCAGTAGTCGGGTTTAATTATGCTTTTGCGATTGTACGAGGCGCTACAACGTGACAAGATTATCGTCTGCTTGCTCACGCCCGTTATTAGCCGGCTACATAGGCCCATAATCTTCACATTTCTGACAACGTGACAGGCCTCGAACATGTTCTGCGGCGGGTTCGGAAGTTGACACACCGTCTGGAGCAAGCGGCGAAAGTACATCGGGTAACTGATTCGCGCGTCGATACATTGGCATTCGAGCGTAACTCGCGGCAGGAAGTCAAATTGGGGGTTGGCATTGTAAAAGGCACTTGCTGACGCTTTCTAAATTAAAACGTGTAGAAAAAATACGGTGAATTAAGGCATAGAGTAACAACGTTTAGAGATACCGCGCTGTGTAAATTTTTGTCGGCTAGAGACTATCCTTGAATATAGATGGCCATTGAATGAATCAAGTGTCTCCCTCTTAATTCCAGAATAGTGTACTTATTTTCCGTCTAGGATTCAAACCTACGATTTACATAAAGCGCATTTCCACTTGCATTCATTTCCCATTTTTGTAAGATGCAACTTCTGTTAAAATCGTAAAAATCCGGCCACAAATATGAAAGATAGCGTTGCAAATGTGCAATCCATTTTTGACATGCTACTTCAATTTCAGTTTATAAGAAGAATTTCATTTCAATGCTTTTCTAAATAAGAAAGTTGGAACTGCGCATGCGCAAACCTAAATTTTGAAACTAAGGTTTGATTTCCCTTTATTCCAAGCGCCTATGTATCAAATTTCATTCAAGTACTTTTATAAATAAAAAAGTTTGAAATTCGGTTTATAAATGGCCGAGATGCGAAAAGGGCACTGTGAATTTTGAATCGATTCGACTCAAATTTTGGCATTGCGTATTGCGTCTGTTGCGTATTTCATGCAATTCAGTTCATAACTAACGGAGATGTAAAAGCGATCGGACATTTCTAAACAAAGTTATCGTTCACACGGACAGATAGAGGGACAGACAGACAAAGGAACAGACGGACAGACAGACAACAGACAGCAATACAAAATTATAAACGATCTCTAGGATCGTTAATAAACGGCAAAAGTGTAAAATTATGGAAAAAAAAATCGAACCAATGCATTTAATTTTTTTGAGAAAATTAACCATTTCTGTCGGAAAGTCGAAAAAAGCCCTCAAGCGGTGATATGTGAAACTAACAAAACTTCAAATAGTATAATATTTGTAGCTAAACAATAGCTCTTTTGAACTAACCCGAGTTTGTTTAAATCGGCTCAGCCGTTTCGAAGATACAGGGTGTTCTTTACGGAAACCTTTGAATACCCCCCACCACTTCATTTTTAGAGATACAGGAAAAATTGTCAAACAAAAAAGGTTCAGATTATCGTCAACTTCACAGACCGGACATTTTTTTGTTAGGTTAATATAGCGGAATTCACAGATCACTTTTTTTAGATTCTACATTGCAGTTACGCCCCCTAGCGGCCATTGCAAAAACTTAAAAATATTTTCCAGGTTTTTCTCGTGGCCGTTTTAGTAATAAATTTTTTTACCGCAAGCCTCTACCATGGACCGATTTCCAGATACAGTACCTGGCATTCATATTAGGCCACCCTGTACAAATAACTATTACAATTGAAACTTGAAAGTATTTTTCTCTCAACTTTTTAAGGTGTTCGGTATTCTTAACGCCAAAAGATGATACTGGATATAATCCAACTTAATAATATCTTTATGATAGTTAATTAAGATAAACAGAATGAAATCAGCTGGTAGGTACCTCGTTGTGAATGAACTTACTCATACTATAAATATGTAGCGATTTCGAATTACTACCTACACTGGAGTACAGTTGCAGTTGCAACTTTCATGAATGATGACGTAATTTCATTTAAAGCTCAGCTCTGAAATATCTTAAGCTCTTTTAAAGGCTCCTATAGACGGATATAACAGATTCGAATACAGCAACCAGCATTTGTCACTAGATAGCAGCATTGCATGGCCATAAATGAAAGAAAGTACCGCAATACATTGGGCTCGTGTGTTAGAGATAGAACGCATGCTTTTTGCCCAAAAATGGCGGAAGTTACCAGATTCTAGTAACTTTAATGTTAGGGATTGTTCCACCTGTTTGGAGATATCTGTATATATTTTTATAAAACATGACAGTACTATGAAGTTAGGTTATAAAAAATTACAGCTATTCAGATTTTATTTGTCAATTTTTTAAGTTGGCAGCAAATTTGCCCAAAAATGGCGGATGATTGCGGTACTTTCTATATCTAGTGACTTTAGCCATAAATTGTTATAAACCAGCAATCCCTATCCCGTGGCATCTCTAAACGTTATTTACTCTATGATTAAGGATACCGCTCGCTAGAGCGAAGCGTGGCGACGCGCCGCGATCGGCAGCGCAACGAAGCTGCGTCCTTTTTCTGTTTCTTCGCATAAACGCGGAAATTATAAACGCATCTTCCTCATCAGAAGACATAATTGTTAAAATGAAGATTAGGATAACAGATCACAGAGTGCCGCGCCGCGTCGCTGCCATGCGCTTCGCTCTAGTGAGCGGTACCCTTTAGGGAGTACAAACCCGCCGTTTCGCGTATAGGTTTTTCGGAGTAGGTTCGAAGTACGGATGATCCATAATTAGAAATTCGATGGTAGGCGCTAAAATTGTAAACTGAACCGTTTTGGATGGAATGTTGTCAGACAGCGCGTCAAAGTCTTCTGCGCAAGGCGGTGGTAACTCGGCGAATGTTGGCTCTGGTTTGGGCACGCTGTACGGTTGATAGTCATACGCCGAAGCGGCCACTCTGAGACTACCAAAGCGGTGAAAAAAACCCGAACAAACCCGCAATCGTATTGGCCCAACCACGATCCGTATTAGTGACTGCTCAAATAAGTTACTACAACAATCATTTAAGCTCCCCAAGTACTCATGACGTATTCACATACCTGTACTCCAAATCGCTACCTAATTCCGACAATCTCTCGGCGGATACGTCGTCGGGTACCTCCAGTTGATACAAATAATCGAGGGCCATCGCGGGACTACACTCGAGTAGTGAAGTTTCAGTTATCGTCGACACGTGAAAGTCCCACGATGTATTGTAAACCCGGCTATGTCCCGTATTCTCAACGGCTTCGGGATCGAACAACGAATCCGTCTTATGCGCCATAGAAATTACACCCACTTTACAGTATTCCGTCGGCACCGTCCCTTCTACCACTTCATTGTAACCGCAGCAGCACTGGTCGACGGGCAACAAAACAATCTGACTCACCCCCATGCGACAATTAAACCATTTTACGCCGTGCGATACAAATTCCACAAAAACCCCTTGCAGACGTAGAGTAAGAAGGGGTAAGTACTTAATTTTACGTTGTGAATAGTAACCGCTGCGATCGTTCGTCGATTCTGAAACCTAAAAGAAGTTGATTATGTAAAGAGGCTAACAGATGGCACTAACTTTGAAAGTGAGAGACGCGTAGTCGATGTAGAATCCAATGTGGACCGTGTGACCTAATAGTGTCGTTTCGTCATCCTGATTCCAATCATCGTCCCACGAAACAGGCAGGAGCGAGGGTACAAACGACCACGCCCATCCGGCCCATGATTCTGCTACTTCGGGTAGTTCTGCAATGGGGGAAAATCTACTTCATGCATGTTTCAAATTAAACTTTGCAACCCTCCCCAGTTTAAAATTTTCCACTCGCTCTTATTTGCCAATAATCTAGTGCTAGGATTGCAACTTTTGCGTCTTCACCTAAACAAATAGGCCCAAAATAACCGCGTAACGCACTCAAACAGTTATAAAAAAAAGTTTAAAACCTGTACTTAAAGGATCCACCATTTCCACCATAAAATAATCTCCTTCTTTATGAATTTTCACATAGACCGCCAATCACAATTAGACTTCAATAACGCGAGCTTCGACAGAAAGCGTACTTACACTTACACTGAGAAACGCGCAAATGTGTATTAATTAAATTTCGCCTGACAATAAAATTTCTTATCGCAAACGACCAGATTTAGCCTTGTATAAATCACGTAAAATCCAACCACATGTGTCATACTTCTAGCACCTTATGTAAATTGAACAATTTACAAAAGCGATAAAATTAAAACGAAAGTTACGCATCTACACGAATTTCTAATAGAAAAAACAAATACAGAGATACAAATTCAAACGAAACGATCGCACTTTGTGAGATATTTCAATTTCTAAAGTACATCTGGTGGGTTTTTTTAAACGAATAAACACATACAGGGTGGCCCTACCCTATTGAAGATGCTGAAACTAAAATAACAAAAAAATGAATAGTTTAGGACTTATATCGAAAAAAAAAAAACAAATAGGCCAGTATGAACGTGGAATACGGCGATACTGTGTAATTTTCCGCGTCTCCACCGAATCGCATGAAAATTTGGATTTAGGTTCTACTTACCCTCCACTTCAAAGTTGAACTTGAGCCCAGGGTTGCTTTTACTTGGGGGGTGAATGCCACCCCTTCTCGGGGGGAAAAAAAAGATACGTTCAAAATAAGTGCGGAAAACAAAATGGTCTATATATGAAGTCTGTAGACCCAGTAGAAACAAAGTTGTAGCTCATGAAAAGTAGGTTCTCATTCGTCAAATTCCAAATCGAGTACTTCAACGTGAAATAACCAAAAAATGAAGCACTTTTCGGGGAAAATTTATAAATACTTTTTTAGTGTTTGAAAAACCTTTCATTTTGTTTTTTCCATTTTGAAGCAAATCCGTCGAGGCGCGAAAAATTACACGGCAAAACGGTCATTTACTGGCCTAAAAAGAAGTGCGAAAATTTCGCGTACTGTAAAGTTAGCACAGATATTTTGAAGCTCCAAACTTGGATATTTTAGCCGAGACTCCAGTGTATCTCAGCTGTTTTTAATTTGGGGTTTTCGCGACCCTGTGCCACTTTTTTGTGAAACTTTTAATGCCACAAACAGAGTCAATCTAACTACGTTTGTTTCCGAAATACAGTGTGAAAACGAGTGATGTTAAGATATCTATGTAAGATAGAAAAAGAGGATAAACTGCCCATTCCAGATATTTTTACGTAGAATCCAGTGGCGTAGTAAACATAAATGTTTGAACCACCGTTTCTGAAATTTGATACACAGTTGGCATTTTAAACGCAACACCCTGTATATCTTAAGGTCAATTTTTTTGTATTCTTTTTTCTAATTACATTGATGTATTTATTAATAATAGTAGACCAGGGATTTATGGAGATTTTGTTTTTTTATTAAAAATGGCTGACGATAGACACATATCATTTCAAAATTGTGAAAAGTATGATATAATACAATATATAATTATGTAAAAAAATATAGATAGTGACATCAATTTAATCGGGAAACGAATACGAATAATTAACGTTAAGATATACAGTGTGTCCCAGATCACGTGGGATTGCATGGGTAACTTTCTTTAAAGATACAGAATTGGTCAAATGGGCAATGTTTTGCAGTTTTAAATGCTTATTTGGAAATTCAAAATGTCGAATAGGTTCGACGTAAATTCAAAAAAACTAAAATTAATCATTTCCTTGAATGTCTTATATCATCGAAAGTACCTATAAGAGATATAAAAAAAAGTTTTGTATAAAGTTACTGTCTGATATGCTTAATTTAGAATTGATGTTCAAAAAAAATTCAAGATGGCTACTTTTGAGGAACATTTACCAACTTCCTAAAGTTAAATAGGCGCCATATCGGATTTTTAGATTACTTGATAGATTTTTTAATCCTGTTTTCAACGAGCTATCATAACATAAGATTGAAAATAAGATACCAGCAGAGCTGGGCAGAATACTTTCAAAAAATATTTGAATACTAAATAGTAAATACTTTACACTAATCAAAGGTATTTGAATACTAATACTTTTACGTTCAGCACAAGCGAATACTAGATACAGATACATTGAAAAGTATTCAAATACTTAAACAAATAAGTATTCAAATACTTTAGAATGTATTCGAATACTTTCAAAAGTATTCTAATACTATCAAACGTATTCGAATACTATAAAAAGTATTTCATTATCTTACTTTGAAAAGTATTCAAATACTTGTCACTCAAATACATTAAAAATTTAAAATAGTATACTAGATAAAAGACTTAATACTACTTAAAAAAACAAGTTATACTTTGTATGGGGTTAGCTTTTTTTATATTTCTATTGTTATATACAAATTTAAGGGGAGTAAAAGCGTATTATTATTATTATTATTATTATTATTATATAATTATATACGAGGTAGCTACCAGGACCTTTCTTATACCAGTTATATCCTTAAGAATACGTGTACCAGTTTTTAAAGCGTCGTGCACATGATACGTACGCCTTTCTGAAATTAATCCTAGCGATTTTGGAACAGATCCATTTTTGACCATCCGTTTGTCCGTGTGCATGATAACTTGTTTAGAAACGTGCAATCGCTTTGAAAATTGGTACACATGGTTTTAAGGATATAAGAAAGGTCCCTATTGTTTTTAAGTTACGTAGACTATCGAGTTCGGTATTCAGATGTATCGGATTTTTATATTTGATTTTGTGACAATGGAAACTTTCCCTAAACATTTCTAAATTGTTCTGCCTTTTTATGAGGCCGGAAAAAAAATTTGTCTGAGATCGAGATCGATCGAGAGTCCATAGTTTGAAGATTGGGCTACTAGATCAAAAGTTACAGCCCTTTGAATTTTTTTTCGAAATTTGTTTTTTATCCATAACTTTTTATTGAGAGGTCTAATCGAAAACGTACGAATTGTTTTGGATTCTACGCACCAAAATTAATAAGAAAAAGTGTTTTCTCGAGAAATTTTGGTGCAGTCGATTTTTGGCAAAAAAGGAAGGTTGTACACTGCCTTCTTTTAAGGCCCGCAAAAAAAATTGTCTCAGATCGACCCGGAAAAAAATTTTTTTTATAGAATGTGGCCTGTAGAATCCATAATTTCAAACAGTTCCAAGATTGGGCTACTAGTTCAAAAGTTACAGCCCTTTGAATTTTCTTACGAAATTGGTTTTTTGCCCTGAGGTTAGGTTAGAGTGCTAGTTAGGTTAGGTCAGATTATTTTGGGCGTTTTAAATTTTTACAAATCTTGTATCTAACCTAACGCACATGGAACTTAGCTCTCAAAAGTCCTTAAAATGAACACCCATTTAAAATTCTTATTTATTGCGGCGTACTCTTATGGCGATTTAACTCGTATATTGCGAACAGATACTTTATTAAAATCGTCAAAAAAACTGTACGGGCGGCCTTTCGTTCACTCGCTCTGTCCTATGGCAATCCAAAAACGCTGACGAAACGAATAGGCTATAATACAGGAGCGAAAAGTTTAATTTTCGAGTTTCGTGGTTTACTTCTTTGACAGTGGGTGAGAAAAGGTAGCACAAACCTCAAAATGTTAAATAGCCTTGCCTGAGTTTTTGGTAATATTAAAACATTGAATTTATAACTAGTAGCATTGACTAGTATTAGTCAATGCTAGTAGTTATAAATTCAATGATTAAAATAATCCAAGCAGAATACATTTTGTGGTGAGATCTGTCTTTATTATTGGGGACTAACATTTTATCGATAAATGCAGGACACTTTATTACCAACATTATTTTAGTTAGAACCTACACCTCAAAGATGTCGCCACACTAATTTTTATATACTTTATGAAACTAACGTTAGATGTCAGAGCGATTTTTTGAACCATAGATATATGAAGATTTAACCTCAAATGCATAAATGTTTGTTTATTTTATAATCAAAAATTGAACTTTGTTTTTCTCGCTTACAGGTTTAAATCGTGGAACTGGCTACTTGGAGTGACAGGAAAGCGGCAGCTTGGGCATTGCGGAAAATGATACTGATCGCTCTGAGTCGTCCGATCGGAAGACTGGTGGTTCTCGATGGGTGAGAAAAGATAGCATTGAATTCGGACAACACAAATTGAAAAGGGAAAGGCTTTGTAACCAAAACAGGAGGACACGTTGGAGAACTCGCAGAAAACCCATTCAAACACAATTCAACAACGTTAAAATCGGAACGATTACATGATTGCAGCAGCTGCCGATGGTGCGAAGCTATTCGTTAAACAATTGAGCCTTGAGTTCATTCGACAGAACTAAAGTTATAAAAACGGTAGTGAAATTGGCAACGAAACGGAGCGAAAGTGTTACTTAGTTTGCAAGCACCCAAAAATGTGTTGTTTGTGCGATCTTTGTGTGAAAGTTGTTGTAAAACGGTTGACTTTAATGTACATGTATTGAAATTGTTCTTCCAATTGCTTTAAATAAACTCCCATGCATAAGAAGTTACGAATTGCAAAAGCAAATGTTCGATTTCTGTTCATTGAGCATGATGTGTTGCCTACAAACCAGGCTACACAAATATCGAGTACCCATATTGAAATTTCGGGCTATGCTTGATTATTGCTAATTAAGTACACCGTAATGAGATAAGTGCTCTGCCGAAATGTTACAAAATAGTGATCAAAACGAGTCCCTTTTTGCATAAAGGATTTACATTTGAAAACGTAACAAAATTGGTTTCTAGTCTATAACTTTTGATTGAAAAGTCTGATCGAAAAAGTACGAATTGTTTTGGATTCTACGCACCAAAATTAATAAGAAAAAGCGTTTTCCCGAGAAATTTTGGTGTAGTCGATTTTTGGTAAAAAAGGAAGGTTATACACTGCCTTTTTTGAGGCCCGCAAAAAAAATTGTCTCAGATCGACCCGGAAAAAAATTTTCTTATAGAATGTGGCCTGTAGAATCCATAATTTCAATCAGTTCCAAGATTGGGCTACTAGATCCAAAGTGTTTTCCCGTGAAATTTTGGAGTGTCGATTTTGGTAAAAAAAGGAAGGTTAAGTATTCAAATACCTTGCGAAGTATTCGAATACTAAATATTTTCGCAAGTATTTGAGTTACAAAAACAAATACTGCTTCCATAAAAGTATTTAATTACAAAGTATTTGAATACTTTAAAGGATTTGAATACTAAAAAGTATTTACAAAATCGGATACTGCCCAGCTCTGGATACCAGTTATATCAACGATTTTTCTATTTTAATCAAGTAGTCTGTGACGAATTTAAAAAAAAACAAAACAAAATCTATTTGAGGCAATAAAACAATGAAAATAATTACATCTGCTGTTTAAAATACTGGTTATTATCAGTGAGAGTCGCAGTGGAAGAAGAAGTGAGAAGAAGATTAAAAATCTCTCTAATTTTAATTTCAAAAACAGTTTTGAATGGACCATGATGGTTCCACTATTTTTAGGTTTTGCCGAAGAAACGCACTATTGTCATCACATCATAGAGTTATTGGTACTCGTTTTTACTATGGGAGAAGGAGAACCCAAACCTCGATGAAAGCTTTCATTTTACACTTGTACCTAATGGAGAGGTGCTTTTTTGAAAATGTTATTTTTGCGTATGGTGCATCTTTTTTGGAAAATTAAAACACTTCCTCCTTCTTTTTGAGGTTTTTTTCAATTTTTACCCATTTTTAAAAAGAAATTTTGATGGTCTTCCAAACTTGCAAGTAAGAGTCCCCTTGCAACATTGCAAAATTAAGATTTTTAAAATTCCATTTTAATACATGCCACAAAATAAATGTGGGGTCTTCACCCTCCACCCACAAAATTGATATTCACATTTCCCTTACAAAAGAAAGCATGTCTCTCGGAATAGCGAGCAAAGCAACAAAAAATCGTATAAACATGTAGCATTTGAAACACTATTCCGAAAAGGTCTTACCCGAAGCATCTAACTGCGCCGAGTTATGTCTGGTATCCGTACTAATTACCGGCTCCAACTGCCTTTGCTGCAGCGCGTACATCAGCATGGCGATACGCATTAGCATAGGGACTTGTTGCTGCGTCATACTAAACTCCATGCTAAAACAAAGCTCTCAGAATCTTTCGGTTAAAATAACCTCCACAAACCTGCCGCAGTAAATATCGAGCCTAGTGATCGACGAGTGCTTCACGCTCGCCGTGTGGTACTGACGTAACATGTGCATTACTAAGGAGCATCGGTACAGCACCGGCTCCTGGTATACGTCGATTTTTCCCGCCGCATTACGCTTGTCCAAACAGATTGTTAGGTCGACCACGCTGATCAACTTTCGTAGCATCACTTGCCCCGACGAGACATCTAAAACCGAACAACTAAAGCTGCCGAAACCGCGAGATCACTCCCCAAACCTATATAAGACGGTTCCCACTTTTCGTTAGCAGATTCGAATGTTAACAGCTTAACATTCATAGACACGACAATATCCTCTTCCACGTACTTCAAGATGAGATTATTACAAAATATTTTGATATTGCTAACTATTTTATTTAACAGCGATTGCATGTAGCCGGGGGGAGCTTCCACTTCGTGTCTGCAAAAGTCACCTTAGAGAAATATTGATTGTTAGATCTCACCGGCTGTGAATTGCTCTCTTCGTGCGGCCCCGATGTGCACCCTCTGCCTCACCATCATCCGGACTTCGAACTTTTAAAATACATTCTAAAATAATAACTTGATATCACTGCCTGTAATTACAAAGAAGACCCACCCACCGATAGTGTTAATAGTGATGGTGATCGGTTCCGAAGCCAACTTCGTCCACGGAACGTGTATTAATAACTCATGAATGTGACCCGACACGAAACTAAACGGTAAATGTAGCTCTTCTTCGAGTACTTCCAAGCGTAAATCCAAATTGTGAAACGAAGCATCTCCACCCCACAGCGACACCTACAACGAAATGACGTGCGATTAGCAATACAAAGTATGCGCACCTGCGAGTCCTCGGGCCGGAAATTCTTTATGTATTTATCCACGTAGCTTAATAGTAAGGGGGTAATGTAATTTTCCAATTTGAACATCGTTAGGCTTTGGGAGAGGTTAGGAATAAAGTAAAGAGGTTTTTTTGGTAAGGGTTGAGGGATAATTCATACTGTTTGGTACATTAATCATAAAATAAGTTAATAATTGTTTTAAATGCGATTAATAATCTGCTGTTCATGAGTAATTGCATATTGAAATTGAATTGAAAAGTGGCAGGAGAGTTGCCAAATTTTGAAAGGTGCACTGCCGATAAAGAAGATTCCGCTCTTAAAGGCGTGTTCACATTTCTCATACAGGGTGACTTATAATAATTGCATACCTTCTGCTACAGTTTGAGGTAACATACCCATAATCGAACCTATCAAATTCTTCTATTACATATTAGGCAATTTATTTAAAACACACATATAGGAATGTAAAGTAAGTGATTTTAGAGTCAGAGTCATGGGACAGGACAGGTGCACATTGCGGGAACGGAAGTGGGACATACGCTGAATATGTTTGTACAGTAGGGTGGTTCGCATGCATATTCTGCTGTACAAATATTTCCCGCGTCCTTCTCGCTTCCGCTGTGGACCTTAATACTCATCAGCCTATGTTCTACTTGCACGCAAGTATTGAGCACACTCGCCTCATAGGCCCCAGGTGCCTATAACACAAACTAAACAATTGTAACAAGTAATCTACCTGTAACTATAACTACAAGTCATAATGAATTCGGTGTAAAAGTGTAAAATATATTCTAACAATTGTAGGACTTGTACAGCTTGTGTTATAGGCCCCAGGCCACCCAACCTGAAGTGAAGCTCACACGCTTCCCGGGTTAGAACTTTTGGCTAACAGGGGAAGGATTTTAGTGGGTGAAAGGCCCACAGTACCAATAAGGTGTAGTTAAGGGTAAAGTTTTGAACAACAATATTCAATTGTCCAGAATTTCAAATTTCCCACACATGTTGCCATCACTATCAGTCTATTCGCTTCACAACAAACCCCCCCCCCCCTCACGCCCAGCTACAAATATGTTACAGTTGAAGATCTTTGCAAAAATGAATAACATAAAAAGTACAAATGAATTTCAAAATATTTTACAAAAGTATACAGGGTGTTTCATTTTACACCCGCAATGTGAAATACAGTAATCTCTTTTATGAAAAGCAAAGCGTTTCTTTTATTTTATAAATTTACTATTAATAATCACAAAAATATACAGTGTATAATCTTTTAATATAATATATAACAATACACGCTAGGTATATACAAATGACTGAAATATAAAATTTCAAAACGCCAACACGTCAGCCATAATACGAGATTTACAAGCAAATAAAATTGTGAGTTTATCATTGTCACTTATTATCTACATTCCTTCAATGTAAGTATTACAGCTATTATTTGCACATCAAAACGAAACTAATTTGGCACCTACAGCTTTAGGGAAGTACATCGCAATGAAATAAATAACTCCGTAGGTGACCTTAGATTATCATACCGTAGCGGCTGCTTGGTTGTTCGGCAATAACTGATCGCTCTGTATATTTTCGATGTGCCTATACTTTTTGATTCGTTTCCACTCGCCGTTATTGTAATTCATTTGGAAGTGAGTTTCGACGAGCATCGTGAGATATGTCTCATCGGGTTGTAAGACATTTTCTTGGTCCTCCGATAGTTTTATCGTGACTATATTACCTAAATGCGGGCAAGGGTTGTCCCTCGAGCCCGCCATGAAACCGAGAATGAGCGCCTTTTCGGGTCTCGTAACCTTGTTCGCCGTACGGAACATATCTTGAGCCTCCAGCATTTGCTCACGCTACAATTGAGATTAGTAAAAGATTGACGATTGTACACCGGCGGGGATTACCGTAAGCGCGAGTCCTCGCCTTTGCAACGAGTTGGTGGTGGGAGGCTGCTGTATTCGGATTTGGGTGACTTGCTGAATCGGTCGTGTTGTGAGAACGACGGGCGTGCCGATGGGGACCGCGTTCGTGGACTGTTCGCTGACCACGGCCATTCGTTGTCCGGAAGCTGTGGTGGTGAGTAATGGAGGAACCGGGCGTACTGTCGTCGTCACATATTGAGGAGTAACAGTATTGGTTAATATAACAGAGGTAGATGTTGTTAATGTAGGTGCCGTTGTGGTGACTGGTGGAGTTGATGGGGTTGTTGGGGAGACTGTTGTCACTGGAGATGTCGCTGAAATGGGTGTTCATGAGTATTATAACAATTAGGCAATAGAAAAAAGTGCGTTTTTGTCGGTATTTTGAGAATGAGACTGTCAATTGTTTCACCTGTTTTTCTTTCACCATGTCAATGCCAACATATTATACAGGGTGTTTCTAAACATGATGTAAATACAGAACAGGCTAATTCTTTGGCTTGTTTTATGATTAAAAGTTCATATAAGCATAAGGTCTGCAAACACTTTGTTACCGATCTACAGAGTGTTAAAATGTCAACCTTTTTTTTTGTATCCTCTGCAGCTCAAATTTGAAATATGTTACGCTGAAGGGCTACTAACTTCATTGGTCATGTCAATTTGAGTATATACAGGATCTTGGTTTTTCAGGGGTTTTCTACCCTTGAACTTTTTATTGGTGCGCCACTGGTAGATTGTAAAACAAAAATTTAATTTTTTGTGTTATTTAGAAATCAATTTTCGGTAGTTGGCTAAATGAAAGAATAATTTTTAAAATGGTCCAGTAGGCCCTGACTTTATTAGGATGACATCTTGTTTTTAATGTTTTATTAGTTTTGGCAGTTGGCATTGAAAATTGTATCTCGTGTACAGTAGAAAACACCCTGTATATTTTTGAAATCGGAAAGAAAATATCTATCCAATTTAATAAATATTAAATCTTGCCCTCATCTTTTGAAATTAACCATCTTACCAGTAACTTCCAATGACATAGCATACCTGTTGAAGTAACAGTGGTAGATGCAGGTATCGCGGCAGCGTAAGTCGGAGTGGTATTGAGACCTGCCGCGTAATCGGGAGTCGAACTTGTAGTAGCCGGTGGGTTTTGAGCGGCAGTTTCTGAAGCCTTTTTCGCATCCTCCATTTCTAAGCAAACCACACTTAAATTTATTCCGACACAAACCAAACATACCTTGCATTTTCTTCCTCTTTTTAGCAGCCGCGTAACCCAAAGGCTGATCGGCAATATCTAACAGTTTCACACCGCCTTCCTTCCGTCCTGCAGTGGTACGAGATAATTGTGGACGATTGACGGCATTATTATTCAATCCCGCCCTAAATCCGCTCGAAAGCACTCTACTGGGTATACCTTTCAATGGTGCTAAAATCAACTAAATTAACACAAAAAGTCCGACATCGGATAGCATACTTGTATCAGTCATTTTACGTGGCATACCACGCGATCGTACAGGAATAACGGGCGCCGAAGACTTCTTTAAATTTAACGCGACATCTGACGATTTCTGCAATAATTCCGCCCGCAAAAGTGCAGACTTGGGCTTTTTCTTAAGTGTAAAGTGCTTAATCGGCGCAGGTTGCTGTCCAACCTACAAAGAAGCTTTAAAAAACCACTCCCCACGACGAAAGACAAGCGAAATTCACCACAGAAGTAAGTGCTCCCTTATTTAAGTAGTGACATTCCATCGGCAACATAACATGGTCCGCTTGTTTCTTCACCAACTTCCGCAAATCGGTTATTAAATCTGTGAATATCGGGCGAACCTCGTCCAGATCAGCTATTTCCGTATTTAAAGATCCAACGGAAGGATACGTCTTCAGAGCTTCTCCTAGCATAGCGACCCACAGTTCGGAATCGCTGACCGCTACATCCAGAATTTGCTCCAGTTCTATCCTCCACTGCAATTGCACTCGATTACATAACGCATTTACGTAATTAAATGTTTTGGCGGAATAAAAACGAAATTGGGTGCCCCTTTTAGGCTAAGAACAACAAAAACAAGTACCTCTTCAGTATTTCTGCGAGGGATATGAAAGAAACTTAGCAAAAGTTTTAATTTCACTTGCGTTTGAAGATCTGGGAAGCAGTCTTTGATGTTCCTCAAGACTTCGGCATTTAACTGTGAGCAAATAGAGCCTCCGGTCCACGAGTCATTTGAAATTCCGAGTTTGTTGTGAAGCCATAAAGACGTATCGCTGTCACGTACGTTCGCCATTTTCTAAAAAACTGAAGTTTTGTAATTTGTTTACCAACTTCGCACCGATCGATGGAATCTTCTTTACCGACCATGATGCATTAAGACCCGTTTACACGTTGAAGCCTAATCTTCAGATTTCCACCCTGTACATAAAAATATTTTCTCCTCGGTGCTGAGAGGCGAGTTACCTGAAGTCCCGAGGTACCGTTTTCTAGCCACTTGTCAAATTACAAAATGATTTTGCCCATTCATTTTATTTGTACATGTTAGTGAGTAATTAGAGCTTGCAAATTATAAGTAAAACAGAAAATATGAGACTTGCCTATTAGAGGATCACCTTCTCGTATATGCTAAGACACAAAAACTGTTGAGTTGTTGACCTGCAAGTTCAAAAACGTTAGTAAAACTGTCCCCATATTACGTAACAAAGTGTAAGGAAAGTTAGGAAAACTAATTTTCATATACAAACACATATACAACCTGATATTTATTATTATCGGACACTAAATAGTACAATAATTGGAACTGGTTCAGATCTGGGTTGCTACATGTAACACATTTTTAAACAGAGAGCTCATATTTAAAAATATATTTACAATTAAATTAAGTCGTACATGTGAATATGACAAGAATGTTTTTACTAAACAAGTATGTTTCTAACGCTAATCGTAGGTATAATGAAATTAAACTTTATAAAACAGGCTACTTATTAATAATTACAAATCTAAGTTAATAAATCACAAATTACTTTATTTATAGTATGTATTTACACTATACAACGCATATTTTGTCACAATGAATAGTTGAAAGTAACTTAAATTAAAACTACGCGCAAAAAATATTACAATTCTTAATTTAAAAATCTATCAATAAGGAATTTTGCGATTAATATCTTACGTTAGTGCCAGATCTTTCCTCTGCTGCTTTTTCTTGCGACAATCAGGACAGAACCACTGACCTTTGGGAGGAACCATGATACCAACGCACTCGAAGTGGAACCACTCGATCATGCAGTCGTCGGCATCGCACCCGATCATCTCGGAGACCTCGTCGTACGGACAACGACAGTAGCAGTAGAGCGGCGGCTGGTTCGGCGGCTTGTTGAGCAGTGGCGGCGGTTGCGGCGGCTCGTCCTCGGAGCTACTCTCGTTCGATTCGCTGCCGCTGTCCTCTTGCGGCTGCGCGTTGAAGTTCGTTGGCACAAATCCAGCTTGTGGCATTCGTAGATCGCTCAGACGGTGAGGCGGAGGTTCCTCTGGCGGGGGCGGCGGTAGGGTTTTTATGGTGATCGGTGGGACGACCAGCGGCGAGTGCGGCGTCGAACGTGCGGGCGACGGAAGATCCATTTTCCGCCATTTAAACACAGGAGGCTGGTGCTTGTCCTGCTCTTCGTCGCTCGAGTAACCGTAAAATTTGTTCGGTATTCGCCGCCGTTTTGAGGCTCTCAAGCTGGCGTCCGACATATTTGCAGCTTCCCCCAGTTCATCGGTCGTAACGTGACTGGTGAGAAATTGCGGAGTGGGGCACGGGGAGGTTGTAAACGGAGAGTTTTTCGGCAGGGAAATTGTTAGTGGGGAGACTATGGGAGGCTGACATTGGTAATTGGGGACGATGTCTAAAGGAGGAGGGGGTTTCTGTCGCTTTTTCTTTTTTTTCTTTTTGCTTTTGGATTTTTTCTTCAATTTCAACGCTTCAGTTTCGGGCAAGCTCGGAGTAGAGGGCCGGCTAGATTCTAAAACCGCGCCGTTTGTAAGCGAGCCCATTTCCGCTAGTAACATTAGCTCCTTACGCTTTTCCGCTATGAGCTTGTTGGCGAGCTTTTGGGGTTGCTTATCATAAAAATCCTCGTCGGTTTCTGTTTCGGTGGTGTCCAAGTCCGATTCTTCGATGTGCTGCTCGGATGGTGGCGGTAGCTGATTGTCTGTTGCGACAACATCAACTGCGGACGTTTCGCTTTCCTTCTTACTTTTAGCACGTTGCTTTCGACGTTCTCGACGCGCCTGCTGTTTCCTCCTGCCCTCTGAGCTGGAGCTATCCGAATCTGAACTATTCGAGCTAGAACTTGAACTGCCAGAACTGCTGCACGAACAGTTCGACCCACAAGTACAACTAGACGAGTCACTATCACTTGATCCACTACTCGAACTCGGTTTTTTGTCTTTCTTCTCAGGAGGCCGAGGCGAAACAATCGATTTTGGATTTTCCTGAACAGTGTCTTCATGCGGCTGATCTGACTGATTGTTCGAAGAGCAATAATCGTGATCCATACTTTGTGATCTCTCGACTATTGGTTTCGACTCCATCTTATATTCCTGGCTGTAAAACAATAGAATAGTGTCAACTCCAAGGAAGCATTTCTTGGTCGGCTGTTTGTTACAGTTGACAGTAGAAGAAAAGTTTAGTGTCATACATGTAAGTTTCTAATAAATTAGAAAAAAAGAATGAAATGTTGTTGGATTGTATTATGGTGTCACAAGCAATAGTAGGATTTTCCTTAGTTTGCGCAGACGTCATCAATTGTTTTTGGGGAATATTGTAATGCCAACGTTTTAACAAAATAAAATACTATATTAAGATACAAGTGTATAATCAAGTATTTCATGCACGCGCAACGAGTTTAAGGGCACGCCGCGCAATTTGAAACGTTTTGTGGATTTTCTCTTGCTTTTGGTGTCTTTGTTAATTCAGTTCTTGTATTTGTGTAGGTAGACTATGTCAGGGTTTTTGTCCCGAAGAAGGTTTCCCTGACATCGCCCGGTTGTGTGCGTAGTATATTTACACGTTGTTGTCTTTTCTTACCCACAAAATTATGAATTTTTATTCAATTTCTTTTCCCATTTGTGTATAAAAAGAACCGCCAGGTTTAACATCGACTGCTACTCAGATTCCAAAGCGCCGTGAAACGCCCGTAGTTTTGACATGAAAGTTACGGCGGCTCTGCTCGTGAATATGGGGTAAATCAAGATTGTAGTCTGGACTTCTGCTACTAAGTAATGTGGGCGTTGTTATTACGAAAAAACAATCCACCTTGTTAGTAAAAGATCCCGACATAGACAACCTGTTACAAATAACTACCAAAACATTTTTTAGTAATAAATTATGGATGCCTACATATGCATCCTCTTCCATTGTTTGCATGATGCTATGTAAACATACTTACTGATGACGTCATAATCCACGAAAGACGTGCGCGCAAACTAAGGAAAATCCCACTAAACACATAAAAAAGTAACTGTTACCTTAACAAACTGTAATCGTGATCCATCATAACAATATTAACAATATCTTGCTGCGCCATAACAGGCTGTGCCTCCTCCGTACTTTCGGGCAATTCATTTTCAGTCTTTTCAATTTCCTCTTCGGGCTCATTACCGCCTTCAATTTTCTCTTTACTCGCCTGATACAACTTGAAATCGTCCCATATATTTTCCAACACCGGTATCGTGTCGGGTAATGCGGTTTCATCGCCGACACGCTCGGTTTTTGGATTTTCGACATCCGGATTCTCGTTCGTTAAGCTTTCCGCGTCGTTCGACAACTTCGGAGCTTCCTCGTCCGAATCGCTGTCGCTTTCCGAGAGATTGAGTTCGGGCAAATCGTACACGTCGACTATCGGTTTGGTTTTCTTTTCGGCGTCTTCTGTCGAATTTTCGTCCTTGATAGGCGCCGTTTGATCGTCGTCGGAATGGTTTGTAACCGCCTGCGTTTCTTGCGCCTCAAAGCTATCGCCGGGCTGAGTTTCTTTGATTTCCTCAGGCGGTTCGCGATGTTTGAACTCGTGCTTGAGCAACAGCTTTTTCGATACAAACTTTTCCTTGCAATTTTCAAACGAGCACTGGTGGGGAGTCTCCTCCCGGTGCAATCTCTTATGGACTTTTAACGCGACCGCTTTCGTGAAGTTTAAATTACACTCTTCGCACGTGAAGGAACTGGGAGGAATACAAAAGTGATAAATGTGAGGCCACTTCTTTTGCAGGCATTTTTTACATAGTACACTTTCGGTGCCGTGTTTCCAAAATAGGTGCTTCGTAATGTCGGGCTTGTTACGATAGGCGATTCCGCAACGATAGCAGAGATGATGTAACTTGTGCTTCCACACATGATTTGAAAGCTTTGATTGATTATGGCACAATTCTAAGCATACATCGCACGCATGATGCCGTTTTCGAAGATGTACCATCAACCTGTAACACCGTAAAGTTAACTAGAAAATGTGAACTATATTTTAAATTCGTAAGACTAGTTTTGATTATTGCAGGAAACAAAAGAGGGTTTTGGCACACAGCACGTTGAACTATATTTTTTGATTTTCTGCATTTAAATTAGGAATCAAAAAACGTACTTTTAGTAAAAAATATTTTTAAATCGATTTCTATTTCTTTATCCAAACAAACAAAGGAAATGTAAATCCTTCGCATCCATTTTTTCAAACTCGTCATTGAAAAAAATATTGTTAGCAAACTATTTAAAGAAGTAACAAAAGATCCTTGCGACAATAGCGCATTTTACTAAGTGTCAAAGGTTACTTGCCATATTTTAAGATTGATTGATGGTTAATTTCGAAATAACCTACACCAATAACACCAATTTTGTTCAAAACGAACCAAACATTACAATGAAATATACAGGGAGGTTCACGTACCCCGTTCGTTACTAAGTTGAACAATTTGGTTCAGACACATAATCGAATTGCGAATTGAAATAAAGTAATTTCAAGATGGCACCGCTTCCGTAAATACCGGAAGTTGACGCTCACCTTTTTCTATTTTTTTAAATGTGCCTTTTTATTCTGAATTCAACACATTTAAAATTTGCGTACCTCTCTGTCATAGTCCATTCAAAAATTCATCTCTCAAACCGTTCGAGATAAGTGAGTGCTTTTTAGCAGTCAGCGGTAACACAAAAAATTCCTTCCACTTTAAGGATTCGATTATAAAAAAAAGCACTCGCTTATCTTGAAAGGTTTAAGAGATATGAATTTTTGAATGGCACTGCATCTTCAAATGCGTCAAAGAACAAAATAGCGCATTTAAAAAAAAAATAGGGAATGATCTATTTTAAAAAAACAAGATGGCGCCAACTTTCAGTATTTACGGAATCGACGCCATCTTGAAATCATTTTATTATCCTTTCAAGATCAAATTTACGCCGAAACCGTCTATTCACAATGGTCGATTATGGGTGTAAATCAAATTCCAACTGCAAGCTTAAAAACGTCTAACGAACGGGGTACGTGAGTCTCCCTGCATTTTTTGCAACTAGTTACTGTCACTTTCTAAAGAGTTATGAAAGAAATACTTAAATACTATTCAACTCCCGATAATTTTTTTAATGGATGGCCATAGTTACAATATGTCCTTGTACCTGAATCAGTTCTGTAAAGGCCAGGTAATTGAACTTATAGCATTAGTACCTAAACGCACATGTCGTTTTTCATTCGCCAAAACCAGAAGGTTCAGGAATGAGGGAAAACAGTTGCGAAAATAAGACTTTGATCTATTATTGGCTAAATTGCAATTGTATGGGTTTGGAGTGAATGCATTGAAATGGTTCCATAGTTACGTGACAAATAGGTGCCAAGCTGTGACATTCAATAGTTCGAGATCTGGTCTTGCTTCAATTCATACAGGTGTTCCACAAGGAAGTATATTGGGACCTATATTGTTTTCAATATTTACAAGCAACTTTACTTTTCTTGTGACATTGATAACTTTAAGGAAAATTTGTGATGACCTTAGAAGTGTAAATGACTATTGTAAACGTAATGATTAAGAATAAATCCTAGTAAGACAACTGCGATGTGCATATGTCGAGACTTATATAGACAGCGACTTGATTTGGAAAATTATAGGCTGCAAATAGATGGCCAGAATATTACGTGGGTGAATCAAGCAAAAAATTTGGGAGTGTTGTTCGATAGTTCATTTAGTTTTGAACCTCATATAAATAAAGTTTATAGTTTGGCATTTATGAAACTTAAATCTTTAAACAATTTAAAATACGTGCTATCTGTGAACACTAAACTTAACCTAATAAAAGCCCTTATATATCCGCATCTTGATTACTGTAGTGCAGTATATCATAACACACTAACACTTGACTCCAAATATAAACGATATACGATTTGTGGCATTAGTTCCATATCACACCATATTTAGAACGTCACAATCATTTTATGTTGCTCAACGAATTAAATACTCATTTTGTCTTTTTTTATACAAACTAAATAGGGAAAAACAACCTAAATATATGTACAATTGCATAAGAAAGAGGTCAGATACACATAGTTTAAATTTAAGATTAAATAATGGGGTCATCCCGCCTTCATTTTTTATTTCTGATCCACAAAGTACATTAAAAATAAAAAGACCCGTGTGTCCTCAATTTTTATTTGCGAGTAAAATAAACCCAAAATAAATTATTGAAAAGATGTGTTTTTAGTCCGAATTTGAAACGCTTCAGACTAAATACGTCACAAACCTACAACCAATCACGTAGAAGTGAGCTGGCAACCTTACGCGAGGGTCTGACGTTTGTCACATTTGACGTTTTGAGAGGGATGTTTAACTGCATCTAGCACGAAAGTGACAAGTACCTGTGACAGATGACGCAAGTTATAAATGCCATTCTCCTGCAATATTGCCAAGTCGTTATGTCATCTGAATGGTTCTAGGAGCTGATTGGTCGGGCTTATTACGTCACAGAGCCCGCCACAATCATATCGTTTTGAATAAACCTTTAAAACCGCACATGTTCATTATTTTTTTGCTAATCAGCCTCTATTTTTAAATAAACTTTTACTGTCCAAAAAAATGTTTTATGGTTTCAGGTACACGCTTATTAAATTAGAACTGCGGAATTCAACTATACTGTAAACCCCCATTTTACCATTCCACAGCATCACACAAACAAATTTAAAGGAAGTTTTACTTATAATGCGATATAATTTCTCAATCAACTATTTCCTTATTTAAACCATTTGTTTGCTGCTTTTAAAAGCTTAGTAGTTGAGATGGTATTTAGCGAGGTATTTAGCAATCAAATTTAAAATGGTACCTAGTTCAATTGTCGAATTTATAAGATTTAAGGATATTGCTATTTTGTTATTATCTCTTATTTTCTTTGTTTGTTTTCCTTTTTCTAAGATTATGATTACTGTATTTTTAAAATTATTAATCAATTATAATGAAATTAATGTATCTTAAAATATGTATTTACATGTTATATAGTATTGTTTGTTTGGAAGGGTGGTAGACCACCATAAGGCGAACCCTTAATCATTTGCTATTCATTTTTTTATTTTTGTATGGCAATAAACGTTATTATTATTATTATTTTCTAAATGTCTAAACGGCAATGACTCCTTAATTCTTAAATTTTGTGCCGTTATACCATCCGTCCGGGTTTCTCCGGATTTGTCCTAGTTTAGAGGGCGTCCGAGAAGCATCCGGGCGGGGTTTCATTGGTAGTCCGGGTTTTGGGCTACTGAGGCATCTATGAGTTTCTGTCAAAATTTAACCTAACAAGATAAACTTTTAAGCGCCAATCAGCTTTGGTTACAATTTTTTAAAACACCGAATCCTCATTTATACAAAATTGCCTAGTGCTTTTTTTGCATTCCTGCTCATAATGCCAACGTTGAAAGAATATTTTCAATAGTGGCATAACCTTGGGCATAACAGTGGACCAAAGAAAGGAATTTATTGAATATTGAAACAGTCTAGCTCAGTGTTTCTCAACGGAGGCCATATGGCTCCCTCCATGAAGTATTTCTTGGGGGCCACGAACGAAAGACAGCATATTGGTAGGCCACGGAAACTTTTCAGTGGGCCACGAAAATTCACTCCTGCAATATCGTACTGAAATATTAAAATTAAATAAATTTACCAAAAATGGTCAGTATTAAAATTATACCACAATAACCCCGTATCCTTGTTTGTGTTATCTCAGTGTACCTTCCCTAGAAAATAATAAATGCGAATCACAACTTTAAATTTAAATGTTTACAAATGGCAAACTCACAATCCAATTGATCTAGACGAGATACCGGAAAATGTTTGTAATTTTTTTCTAACACGACTAACACCCCTCTACCGCCTACCAGGAAAATTTCTCTGCAGATTTTTAAAGAAAATTTCAGCGTCAAAACAAAATGAGCTTGAAAATGGTTTCTTGATAACTAAAAAATAACTCAAATTAATTTTGATCTAATTCTAAAGTGTTTAAAATATTGAAATGTCACATTTAATGGCCTATATTCTATACATTTTTGTGCAGTCTGAGAAAAACGTAAACGGGTCTAAAAACACGTATAAAGCTACTAAAATTTCAAAAATTTCCTGAGGTATGCCCACCCCCTCCCTAGCGGAGGAGTCCATACCCCCCAGGTCTAACGCGGAGGGGAACCACAGAGATAAATAACATTCACAAGTAGGCCACCAGTAAAACAAGTTAAAAAGTAATCGTAAACGATTTACATAAAGCGCATTTCCACTTGCATTCATTTCCCATTTGTAAGATGCAACTTCTGTTAAAATCGTAAAATCCGTCCACAAATATGAAAGATAACGTTGCACATGAGCAATCCATTTTTGACATGCTATTTCAATTTCAGTTTATAAGAAGTATTTCATTTCAATGCTTTTCTAAATAAGAAAGTTGGAACTGCGCATGCGCAAACCTAAATTTGGAAACTAATGTTAGATTTTCCTTTGTTCCAAGCGCCAAAGTATCAAATTTCATTTAAATGCTTCCATAAATAAAAAAGTTGACACTGCGCATGCGCAAAACCAAATTTTGAAACTGGCGTTAGATTTTCCTTTATTCCAAGTGCCTATGTATCACATTTCATTTAAATTCTTCCATAAATAAAAAAGTTGGCACTGCGCATGCGCAAAAACAAATTTTGAAACTGGCATTTGATTTTCCTTTATTCCAAGCGCCTATGTATCAAATTTCATTTCAATTCTTCCATAAATAAAAAAGTTGGCACTGCGCATGCGCAAAACCAAATTTTGAAACTGGCGTTAGATTTTCCTTTATTTCAAGTGCCTATGTATCAAATTTCATTCAAATACTTTTATAAGAAAAAAAGTTTGCAATTCGGTTTATAAATGGTCGAGATGCGAAAAGGGCACTGTGAATTTTGAATCGATTCGACTCAACTTTTGGCATTGCGTATTATATGGCTAAGGCTATGCCCATATTGAATTTCATGCAATTCAGTTCATAACTAACGGAGATGTAAAAGCGATCGGACATTTCTAAACAAAATTATCGTTCACACGGACAGATAGAGGGACAGACAGGCACAGGAACAGACGGACAGACCAACAGACAGACGACAGACAACAATACAAAATTATAAATGATCTCTAGGATGGTTAATAAACGGCAAAAGTGTAAAATTATGGAACATGTAAAAAACGGTTTGTTGGTTTTTTTACAATAACTTTTTTAGCAATAAACGCAGAAAAAATTCCTTCCTTGGTACAAGACTCGACACCATAGCGAACCAAATAGCGAAAAAAGTAGAACAATAGCTCTTAAGATAAAGAACTAGTAGCGTCGCAAAAGTAGCGGACGGACGGACGGACGGACAAAGTGGCCACAATAGCGCGTTTTTGTTTTATTTTTGTGGAAATGCGCTAAAAAGGTTGAGAAACACTGATCTAGCTAGTTAGTGATAAAAATAAAGTACAATTTCAAAGACTATTTCTTTAGAAAATATTTTTTTTATCAAATTCAGTTGATATGTCCGGGTTTATAATCCCTAAATCCGGGGTTTTCACGCTTCCTGTCCTAGTTGGCAGAATTTTGAGATGGCAACCCTAGTTATACCGGATTTGTAACTTTTACAGTTTTCAAGATCCCCATGCTGTTCACTTTCATCTTGGGACACATGGTATACAGGGTGGGCCATTAGTGTGTGGGTAGAAGATTGTGGGTTTATTAACGCGCATATGTAAAATTCATAGTGGGGGAATGTTGAAGGATCCACAAGATTACAACGTAAAAATATTTTCAACGAAATTGCAGTTGTTATACAGGGTGATTTATATCAGTTACATTTTTTTAATGGAGCCCACTGTATATTATTACATTTTTCGATTCTTTGGTAAATTTTAGTGTGACTTTATATATTACACATGATATCTAAATTGAGTCGTTTAGCCACAATTCGTCGTTTTTTCAAAAAGTATCCAGTAAAAATTGAATATCGCAGTTATCATAAAACATAGAAAGCCGTGGCACTAATCATGAAATGTACTAACATACGTCGAACGGCTAAAGTTAAACTTCTTTTGTGTTAAAAAAAATCACTCCTTCAATTTTCAAAATTTCAATCGAAGCTAACTTGGTTTTTTTAAATGGAACTACCGAGTTTTTTTTATTGCATTAAATTTAGAATTTGATTACCTTTCTACCGATATGTATCTTTTACATATTTTTTGTAATTCAACAATTTCTAATAATTCACAGTGTTTCTCGATTTTCAAAGCCTCTCAGTGTTTAGTAGGCCGTTAAAAATTATAAACAATTGAATTTATATAAAATTTACTCCAAATAAAACAAAATAAAGTTTAAATAAAAATAAAAGAAAAATATACAAGGGGTTCCATTTAAAAAATGCAGCTTTGATATAAATCACCCTGTATAACAATTGCAATTTCGTTGAAAACATTTTGGGTTGTAGTGTTAAGGGTCCTTCAATATTCCCCCACTATGAATTTTAAATATGCGCGTTAATAAACCCACAATCTTCCACCCACACGCGAATGGCCCACCCTGTATAATGTTATTTTTGTGAATACTTTTGCTGCATTAATATTTTGTTCTACATAATTATGTATAAGGGGAGAAATATTACTATTAAAAAAATTTCTCATTTGTAATTTATTTTGAACTAAAAACTGTGATCTTGGGGAGGGAGGGGGGCTAAGTTAGGGACATTTGGTGTTGTTCATTAATATTTTGCTCTACATATGTATAACGGGAGAAATATTATTATTAACAAAATTTCTCATTTGTAATTTATTTTGAACTAAAAACTGTGATTTTGGGGAGGGAGGGGGGGGCTAAGTTAGGGACATTTGGTGTTGTTCATTAATATTTTGCTCTACATATGTATAACGGGAGAAATATTATTATTAACAAAATTTCTCATTTGTAATTTATTTTGAACTAAAAACTGTGATTTTGGGGAGGGAGGGGGGGGCTAAGTTAGGGACATTTGGTGTTGTTCATTAATATTTTGCTCTACATATGTATAACGGGAGAAATATTATTATTAACAAAATTTCTCATTTGTAATTTATTTTGAACTAAAAACTGTGATTTTGGGGAGGGAGGGGGGGGCTAAGTTAGGGACATTTGGTGTTGTTCATGAGTAAAAACTAAGTTAATTTTTTTTGTATGCGAAAATTACCGGGATCCCTGTGATTGACTTCAAAGAAAATCTATTTCTCTCTCTTTCAGTTTAGCATATAATAAACCTCTCTCTCTCTCTAGCTTACTTTACTTACCTAAATGCTGACGGCAAGTCATCGCAAACGCACATGCAACAACGAAATGTGATGTCATTATTTAGTTCGTAAACTCCGGGACACAAATGGCAAATAAGTTCGCTATAGCTATAAAAGTTCGACTTGCACATAATACACAAAAGTATCGTCTTCGCGTGCATTTTTCGATTATGCAAGTAAAGTTCCTTGTGTACGGACGTCGCGTACCGGCACTGAAAGCATTCGTAAACGTGCGAAAAAGTCAATCCCTCCTCGGGCGAGACCGATTCCAAATTAAAATAAAGTTTCTGGAGATCCGGCAGGCTCTCCTTGATACGCATCACAAAACTCTCGGGAATCAACTCCTCCGCGGTTATACTGTTCACGATAGCCGAGAACCTATGCTCGGCGATCGCGTGCAGACCGAGTTGCTTACCGTTCACCGCGATCTTTCGAGCGTGATTACAGTAAACGCACACGGGAATCGTCTCGCGTAGACACTTTTGCAGCAGGATCTGTATGTCGAACTTGTCGAGCGGATGCTCTAACTGCAACTCGACGATTGGCACTTCCGAACCAGCAATGGTCAGTGCCGGTTCGGCATTCACCAACGGATCCTTGTTTTCTTTTTCGTCGCTTACGTTTACCGGATCATCGACGGGTTCGTCGACGGGCTCAAGTTCCATCATCAGTTTATCGCTGTCGTCGCTTTCTTCTTTGTCTAAATACTGCTGCACTTGGCGCAGGTTTAATGTTACCTTTGGAACTTTGCGCGTATCCTCCTGTTCGACGTCCGACATTTTGTCATCTAAAACGGTCTCCTCCTCCTCCTTGGGGTTTTGGGGAGACGGTGAGTCGTATTTAGGCGATTCTGGCGTGTCGTCCATTTCAGATTCGGATTCCTTTCTTTCACTATCAGACAACTTTTCAGCAGACATTTCTTCCTCTTCTGACAGTTTGACATCTTCAGATTTTTTTATGGTTTCCATGGTGTCTAAATTGTCAGGTGTAACTTGATCCATTTCATCTGGTTCAGTCTCGGGACATTCGGTTGGCTCGACTGTTGGGGCAGGTTCATCGAGTTCTGGCTGCTTTTCGTTCGTTTCCGTGTCGCCTTGTTCTTCCATAGTGTCACCGGTTACGTGCTCGATGAAGTTCTTGTTTTTGGTTTGTTTCGGATTCGCGTTTGGTTGTTTCTGATTTTGAGGTTGTCTGATTTTGTTTGTGTTGTTTTTAAGTTTGCTTTCATTAAGCGCCTTCGTTTTAATACAACAGACGTGACCGAAAAAATTGTCCTGCTCGCTAAACACCTTCTCACATTCGCAACACATTAAATAGCACGGTTCTTTGTACACGTGAAAGAAGTCTTCCTCCGTATTCAATTGACTTGGCACACAATTATGTTTCGTAACTAAATGTAATGATAGTTTTTCCGATTGTGAAAACATACCTAGGCAATATAAGCATATAAATCGTTTATGTATCTCGCGCATGTGCAAAAAGAGATTCCAGTTTTCGTAATACGTCCCGCACGCAGAACACAAATAAACCTTACGCGTCACGCGAAAGTTCGTGGATGGGGCTGTTGTGGTCGTCGCAGTCGGCGATAAAATTGGGCCTTCGCCCGTACACTCCACTTGATGTTCGTTTAACAAGGCGAGCGACGCGAACCCTTTAAGCGTACACCTCGAGCACTTAAATTGCACGGTCGGTTGCAACCCTAAATATTGCGCGTACTCGCGCAACTTCGGACTTCCGAGCTTTTTTTTCTTAAAACCCTTCCTCAGGTGCGCCGTCGACAGTATTGCCACGTTATTTCTCGTTTCTTCGACCTGAAACTGTTCTATTAACTAATATTCGTTCACGTTTCTTTCGTAAGGGTTGGCGTTGGACAATTTCTAATAGGGTTAAAGGAATCTGCTCAAAACAATATGTCTGTTCGTTAACAAGGAACCTGACTAAATAGTCCAGTCAGAATAGGTTAAAATCCGGGAGCACCTTGCAAAAATACAAAGTTTCTGAAACTTTGGTATGTTGTTCGGTGATGTTCAGTAGTACTTTGACCGATTATTCTAACAAAATTTCCTTGTCAACTTCAAGGGGCCCAAAAAACCTATACATTTTTGGACGTTTTAAAAATATTTTTGCTTCCAGCACGATAACAGTCAATCCGACACAAAATTGTACTCTCATTTTGAATGAAATGTTTATGTGTAGAGCCCTCTATCCATTAATCATCTACCAAGAAGCTAAACATCAATAAATATAGCATGCTACGATCGTGCTACTACCTTATTTCCCTCGTTATAACCAAACTTTTTAGGATCAAAAATTGAAACTATTTCACATATTTTGAGGTTAAGAAATTCTTTTTTTGACACATGGTTTTCTAATGCAACCGCCATTTTGAATTGACAACATGGATCATGTTAGATTTTCCTTTATTCCAAGTGCCTATGTATCAAGTTTCATTCAAATGCTTCCATAAATAAAAAAGTTGGCACTGCGCATGCGCAAAACCAAATTTTGAAACTGGCGTTAGATTTTCATTTATTCCTATGTATCAAATTTCATTCAAATACTTTTATAAATAAAAAAGTTTGCAATTCGGTTTATAAATGGTCGAGATGCGAAAAGGGCACTGTGAATTTTGAATCGATTCGACTCAACTTTTGGCTAAAGCTATGCCCATATTGAATTTCATGCAATTCAGTTCATAACTAACGCAGATCTAAAAGCGATCGGACATTTCTAAACAAAATTATCGTTCACACGGACAGATAGAGGGACAGACATGCAGACAGACAAAGGAACAGACGCGACAGACCAACAGACAGACAGCAATACAAAATTATAAACGATCTCCAGGATCGTTAATAAACGGCAAAAGTGTAAAATTATGGAACATGGAACAATAAACGCAGAAAAAATTCCTTCCTTGGTGCAAGCCTCGACACCATAACGAACCAAATAGCGAAAAAAGTAGAACAATAGCTCTTAAGATAAAGAACTAGCAGCGTCTCAATGAACGAGCGGACGGACGGACAGACAAAGTGGCCACAATAGCGCATATTTTTTCTTTTTGTGGAAATGCGCTAAAAAAAGCTTTCTAATGATCTATTACATGACGTATGTTGCGATTTAAAAAAATTCAAGATGGCGATTGCACTAAAAAAATTTGTATAACCTCAAAATATGTGAAATAATTTCAAATGAGAGTTCTAGTTTTTATGTCACACTCACATCTCAAACGGTGTATAACATACCAGGTGATTTATTTATCTTGAGACAATTTATTTAATACCTTGATAGAATAATCTTTTTTGTAAAATCGCTGGTGACCTTGTCGATGACCTCAGGGTCAACATTAGAATTCCGAATGGACACCCTAATGAAACTCGAAAATGGGAAGAGCGGGAAATTGTACTATCGGACAGTTTCCTATTAATTTTCAAACCGATAGACCATATACATACATATCTTTGCGCATGTGCAGAAGTAACGTTCTTATTTATGAATTAACAGTAGCGCCCTTTACTAAACGCAAATCGATCCATTAAATTAAACAGGTAAAAAGACGCGAGGGTCAGTGGATCCAACCCCTGAAAATTGACTTTTTGCCATTTTTCTCGTGTGGGCCGTGAAAAGGCCTTTAAAATGATACCATACATTATACCTTCTACTTCTGGTTGCACTTACTATTACAGTTACATTTTTGAGTATTTATCAGCATTTTGAGGTATTTTTTTAGAAAATAAAGTATTTTCAGGTATTTTTTGTAAAAAAGGGTATGCGCACATCTAATTTTTATTATATGCGTTATGTTTGCCTTTACTAGAAGCATCTGTGGTTAAAATTTCAAAAAAATATCTCAATAAACAAGAAAGAAATTTTTCTTGGTTGCGGTACCAAACGTACTTTTGTTTTTCTAAAAGTTGTAATTCCCTTATTTTAAGGACTATTGAAAAAAAAGCATTAAGTATTATTATTTGTTTCAAATAGTAAAATCGTGATCGATCAAAAATTTTTTAGTGGGCGGGGTTTCAGCCAAGGTTGCTAAAACCGGGATGCCATATTCGAAATCTCCATTAAAAAGTGTCTGAATAATATGTTAATTAGAAATGTCTAGTACAATTAGTTTACCATGAAAAAGTTAAAAATGGAAATCAGAAATTTTCGTTTTTTTGCGATATTTTCAAAACCATTGAAGATATTATAAATTTCTTTTTAGATTATTATTCAGCACGAAAATTTTGTCATGAATGAGTTGCGAGGTATCAATCTTGGAATGATCTCATCAAACCAAATGATACTTTATATTATGGTACTTTAATTTTTATAAGAGTACAATAAAATTTTATGATGGTTATCACCTCGGTTATCACACTGGAAGCAAAAATACAAAAAAGTCCAAACATTTCTAGGTTTTTTAGGCCCCCTGAAGTTAGCACAAAGAAATTTTTGTTGGAAAAATTGGACACAGTACTACTGAACGTTACCCAACAACATATCAAAGTTTCAGAAACTTTACATTTTTTGCAAGCTCCAACTCCGATACTGACTGGACTAAATTCAGAGATCTCGATCAATGTACATGTGAACCTACATTTATCTCCAAGCGATATATCACCGTTATATAACATAATTGTTTAAATTAATAACATACTAGGGACGAGACTAGGGACCATTGCAATGGCATAAATGTATTAAAATGGCAACATTTAAGTATTTTATGTAAATGTCATACTATTTATCATTAACACATACAATTTTCCAAGACCAACCCTCAGGAAACAAGTGAACGTAATATAGACTTGAAGGATTAACCTTTTGAACATAACATGGTGATAGATATAGCAGCTAAATTGCTATCAATCATTATCAGAAATCACCAGTGAGTTACCTGTTCAGTGACCATAAATAAATAGTAATTGCATATGCTCAGTTAGTGGACCCAGTAAACATACTCCATCAAAGAAACAAAAATCTTTAATGTTCCCAAACAATGCAATAAATACTTGTCATGACCGGTGAGTTTCCTTTAAACAATTGGTAATTTAAAAGGGGGAGGGGACATTTGCATATGCGTTTATAAGTTTTCTTAGAACAATTGATAAATTAAAATGAAGAGGGGGAGGGGGGTACACTTGCATATGCATTTGTTAAAGAAATTCAGTTCTATGGCTAATGTTTTGAATCATTTGCCATCTACAACTGTAAAAAACGTAATAAGCATTACTGTATACATGTATATGTCATCAGACCCGCCACTGTAGTAAAAACTCAAGAAAATGAAGTAAATGTGCTGTAATTGTGGGTAGAAGTAGAAACATCCATATGATCATGTTGATTTTCTCGCTTAGAACCACTAGTTCACTGTAAATTGAAAACTCATTTACCTCTGGTAAATTACATCTGAGAAAGTTCCAGTCTTGAGGAAACAAAAACAGAAAGATTCCTTACAAGACTAAAGATTTACCGTATTTACAAATAAGAGACACAGTTCGGGTGACAGATTTACATAAATACAAACTATGAATCTGAAATCAACAATTGCACAACTTGTCAACGATCAATCCGATACTCAGCTAAAGAAACTGAGATACAAACAGGCAGAAACATTAAATCGCCTAATTGGCAATGACTTGTCCTTGAGAAAAATATTAAATAACATCTTCCTCTCCTTCAGCACCTACGCTACATACCTCATTCACATCCCCTTTATCGCCTTGCACCGAATTTTTATCCAAATCCTTATTATTATGTAACTCGGACAGCTCAAAGAGCGACTCGTTAAAGTACGGATTGGTGGGTGGCTCGTACTCGTCGTCGGTTTCGCTTTTAATCCGCTTGAACCCCTTGAAACCGCCCTCGGGCGACAATGGGATCTTACGTTTACGACTGTACAGCGGCCTTTCGTCGATTACCAAATTATCGTAGTCGGAGCTCTCGCTTGCGTCTGAGTTTTCGAGTTTCGTATCGCCATTCACTTTCAACGGTTTACTAATGGCGTCTTCGTCACTTTCTAGCTTCGGTTCCTCGGATACGTTCACCTCAACGTTCTTCAGCGGTACTGGCATGTCTGACGTGTTTGATTCTTTGTTTAAATCATCTTCCATTTCGAAGTTGTTAGGATGCTTCTCGAAAAGCTTTTGATAAAGTTAGGAATTTGTTGGTTAAGTACTTACTTGTCAAACTTTTACATTTTTTAGGTAAAATTGAATGGGTGCCCGAATTTTGGAGTGTTTCAGGGCACTTTTACGTAATTTTGCGTATGACTGCCCCCAGACGAAGCCATTACAGTTGGGAAAAACACACTTCTACATCATACAACAAATTACTCTTACACTCGATATTATTTAACTTTTTTATTGTAAAATCTGATAAACGTAAATATTTCGCTCTGTAATTCGCGTCAACGACTACGTATAAATGTTTATTAATAACAATTTACGTCTCCCCGCCTGAAAGGTTAGTATCATGGTACTCCATTTTGACTACACTATTTACATTTTATGATTTCGTAATTGCGATAACTAATGAATTGTTTAAAGTGAACCATTAAGTAACAAAGTCAGTGTAAAAACGGGAAAATGCTAAAATAAAGTGTTTTTGGATAAAAGTCATTTTATTTTAATTTTCTGCGACATATTTGGAATATTGACAATCATGCGCCCGCCTACTAACGTCCTCCATTTTTTGTCAAGATCCATACGTTACGTCACAAAAACACGTCGCCCAACAACTACTACCTCCATCTAGCGACAAGTTCAGCAACTAAACATTTTTTTCTTTATGTACGGGGTGCTTCACTACTAACACCACCTTTTCCTTTTTCCGGAAGTCGCGACTCTGGCCGTGGAAGCTTCCGGTCTGACAGGTCAAACTGGTTTAAGTTCACGCTCCGAAACTACCACATCTAGTGGCGCTACCGCCATCCAAAGGAAGGCCTCCAAGACTTACTCCGGTCAGACAGGCGCCAGGCAAACACCCAAATGTAAATAAGAAGATACAACTCCTGGCCGACCTACAAAAAAAAAGAGATTGTCAGTAACCTCCCGTCGATGTGAGAGGCTGCTAAAGGTTAAAGACCTGCTAAATATCCACTCCCGGAGAGGAGAGAGGAAAAACTATTCTCTGCATATATTGTGTTACTGTAAAGCATATAACGAGGTCAAACCATAGGTTCTTTGGGGAAATAAAGATGTACAAGGGAATATTATAATAGCATCCTGCTTCCTGGAAGATTTCTTCAAGGCTTTTGACATCCTAAAGGGGCGAAATTAAAACTTGAGGGTACAATAATACCTAAGGCCGCGGTACAGAGATCGATATGTACTCTAGGCAGCGAAGCTTTAATTGGCTGGTGTCAAAATGTACAAGGGCTCTATAGAGTGCTGAGAAAGCTTTGAAAATGCATTAGAGCTCTGGTAAATGTTTGAGCCTTTTATACATATTGAGAACTTTCTTTAACCTGTAATAGGACGAGCAAAGAAAGCTCTTGCAGGATATAACGTTCCCTAAAGGACACAGAAAGTCTGGCAAAGACCTAAAACAAGTCCGGAAATGGTCTGCAATGACTCTTTCTTCCCTTTTTTTTGAGGGTTTTTTTAATTGCTGAACGGGTGGCTGGTGTTGAATATTTTAAGTACAAATTATGCACATTTGCTCGGAAGTTACTGCAGAAGTATTGTATACATGGATTTTTCACTACCAATATAGAGGTATAGTGATGATTGTTGGGAAAAAGGTCAACTAATTATTATCGTTTGCTACGTTCTTTCCAAAAACGTTTGGTCCTTTTCATGCGTTTTGGAGATTTTAGGAGTGTTCCGAGGGAAATGCAAGGGGTATGTGGGGGGGTGAAAAGTTGTATTATCTCTAGAAGGCTGTCGTACACTACTATAATTAGACCTATGTTCTGATATGGAGCAATTGTCTGGTAGCCTCGAACCGGACTGGTCACAACTATAGCATCTCGTTAATCATGCACAAACACTACCATTAGCATGCCTGGCCCCGATGCGAACAATCCCCACAGCAGTCAAGCAGAACCTTCTGTGTCTGCCTTCACTTTACAGACACTGTAAAATTACCTCTAGGCTGGTTTCCGAATGTTACCATGAACTACAGTAAGTAGCAAGCATCAACACCCATGAGCTCATATGGGTTAAAAACTTGGATGTCTCATCGAATCCAACTTACTCATGAAGATTCGACCTGTTATTAATCACTGAAAAGAACAGGCGGTGGCTGCTGGTCTAAAACCAAATGTAGACTAAAAAATATAACAATAATAAAATTAACAATCGCAATAATTTTATTTATATATATATATATTAAAATTGCATCAACCTCTCCACAATAGTAAACATATAAAAGTATCCCTTCTTTCTCAACTTAAATCATGAACCTCAAACAAAAAATAAACACTGTCTCATTAAATTAACATAATTTAACAATCAATAAAAGATATTTAAAACGGATTTATAAAAGCGTATAAAATGGAAATGTGTAGACACAATTTGTAAACCAAAAAAATCACATAGGAGATAAGGCACCTAACAACGTTATCACATAAAGATAAATAAGCTGCGACGATGTTTTTACACTAAATACAATTTGTGAAGGCCTACTTTTGTAAATAATTAACTCCAAACGTCCGCCGAGTATCGTTTTTGTGTTTCCATCTTCTTTAGGAATGCAGTTGCCTGTTGTTCGTTTAGCTGCCCCTTTTCCATGATCGCTTTCAACACTGTCTTATGAACGTCACCCGCCATAGTTCGAGCATCACTACAACAAATTGAATTTAGCCAAATGTTAACAGTGAGGTCAAGTTTTTTACTAGACTAGACTGCGAGTCTAATAGTGACAAACAGCTGAGTATCAGTAGATAAAATGACTCTCAAGAAAAAATGCTTCTGCCCATCTTTTTTTTTTATTGGAATTTGATTGACGTGCAAAAACTTTGCTCTTCCTGTAGGGAAATTTTGCACTTGGTTATTGGGTTTATAAACTTGTTTGTAATTGCGTAGTTTTTATTTTAATTTTATCGCTTTGTAATTGTTCAATTTAGATAAGATGTCAGAAGGCGTCGGGTCAAACTTGCGTGTTTTATAAAGGGTTACATCTGGTCGTTGCGATAAGGAGAATTATTTTTAGGCGAAATTTAATTAACGCACATGTTCTTTCGCTGATAAGAAGAGATGCAGGTGTTACGCATAATTGCGCGTTCCATGTCGGCGGAAGTGGGGACGTTTGGCGCGTTCCGTCGTGATTGGCGATTGATTTGAAAATTCTTAAAGAGGAGGTTATGGTATAGTGGAAGTGGTGTGTCCTAAAATACTAGAATTTATGTTTCGGGGCGGTTAAAAAGCGTGTACATTTTTTTACGCTAAATTTTCAGGCAGTCAGCCCTACTTGTTTTGTTGAAGATGCAGTTTGTCAGTTTTATATTAGATTTCTGCAGAAGCAAGTTAACCAAAGTTTATGTAAGAGGTTTAACGAATGTTGTCCGATTATAGAGAATTTTTGTCGAGTTGAAAAAGAAAGCAAGGCCCTCCGTTAAGGTTCTGTTTTTATTACAAGTTAAAAAGTTTCTACTGTTGGAACAGCGACCGAAAATTTGTCACCATATTTATCACTCCAGTGTTGTTTGTCATCGAATTCTGTGTTATAAAACAAAGTGAAGCTCAGAAACCATCAGCATTTGTGTGTGAGAAGTGTCACCAACCATGTACGACCAGATTATTTGGATTATTAAAAAAAAACTAATTTTAATATTTCTTAATTTAATTGTCGACCGCCTGCTTGCGGGGTAATACGTCTAACCAAGTTTTTCATTTTTTCAAGGATTGTGTTTCGGAACAAATTTTGGTTATTGTCAATCAGATGTGTTTTTACTTACCCACACACGTAAAAATGTCCGTTATTTTCGCCGATAACCTTCCAAATTTCGTCCAGATTTTTTTCTAGCAAATGCGTAACGTAAACTTTGTTCGACTGATCCCTCGAAAACGCAAGATGGAGTTTTACCGTGTTCTTCTTTTCGTATTCCTCCAACTCGTCTTGGTAAATGAAGTCCTCCGCTCGTTTGCGGCATCCAAAGTACAAGATCGATTCGCCCACTTGCTTATCTTCGTCCTTCAAGAATTGCCTCTCCTGCAGGAAGCCGCGGAAGGGCGCGAAGCCGGTGCCCGGTCCCACCATGATGATGGGCGTTTGGGGTTTTGTCGGCAGTCTGAATTGCGACTTTCGTATGAATACCGGGACTGTGTATTCTGTATCGGGATTGGGTTGTTTAACAGCCAACCAGCTTGTCGCGACTCCTTGATTGCGGCGGCCGGTCGGCGTTTCGTAATCCACAAGGACTGCGGTGATATGTACGGTGTTCGGGTATAATTTTGGCGATGACGAAATGGAGTAGTATCTCGGTTGAAGGCGCGGTAAAAGTTCGCAAAGGTGATCCAGGGAGGCTTTGCACGATGGTAAATCTTCAAGGACGTGGACTATTGTACGATTGTCGTCCATTATCCATTGATGGTACAAAGCTTTGCCTTCGGGCGAAGTGCTCGACATCAATTTTAGTTTCTCCTTCTCTGCCGGATCAGTACAGTACTCGGCTAATTCTTTTAAGACGTGCGTTCTGGGATTCATGGTGATGTCCAAGTAATGAGTGAGCGCCGTGCGATAGGAAGTCGGGCAAGGGAAAGGGTGCTTTTTGCTGGATTCCTCGTCTGTATTTAGAAGTGTGAAAACTGTTTCTAAATCGACGTTAGTTAATCTTCCGATTTCTTCTACTAATTTGGCGTTGTTTACGGGGTAAACCGCGATGTGATCGCCGGAATCGTAGCGCATTTTAGAACCGTCGATATCGAATTCGATATGCATACAGGAGCGGTCACCATTTTTGTGAAGTTCGCGATTAACCTTTACCTTGGCCAGGAATGGGTTTTTGGCGTCATAGGGCGGCCTTTGATTCGTAAGCGAGTGCAAACGTGCCATTTCGCCAGTGTAAATCCTTTCGGGTAATTCCTCTTTGTATTCGATAAGTCGATACTGGCGCATACTGAAATCTTCACCTGTAGATTCGATGCCAAAATAGTCGCAGACGGCCGGCCAAAACTTATCCTTCCAAGTGATGAAGTCATCTTCAATACTAAAAAATGACCGTGTAAGTCGGGGTCTAGAACTGCTAACGCATACTTTGCATCATCGTCTCCTAAACCAAGATCGTAGACGCGCGTCGCTCCCAACTCCTCCAATCGCTTATCAACATAAATCGCGACCTGATTATAGTGCTCATACGTTTTATTACCAAGGCCAAATACCTGCAACAATATAGTATTAAGATCTCAATTACACTAGATGAAAATGTCCTTGAAGCTGATCCCATTATGTAATCCCCACTGTTACTAATCATAGCCTACTGAATTGAAATGTGAACTTGTAAATGTAACATTTGAATTTCATCGAGCCAATTAGAATATAAAACATAAATCAAGGTCGGCCATGTGTTGAACCATGAACTTACCGCATAATTCAGACCAGTTAAATCTGCATCGCCGCTCTGCAGCCATTCATAGAACTCCATTGCGTTATCTGTCGGATCTCCTTCACCGTAAGTTGCCAAACAAAACACCGCCAACGAGTTTGGTATGGTTTTCAATGTCACCAGCTCTTCCTGTTGAAAAATATGTTTATACCTAATACGAAATGCAATTCTGGTGCCTGCCTACTACTACCTAACACTTTTGACCCTGACCACTACACATTCCATATTAAGAACCGAATTTTTTCGAAAAAATCGGACGCATCCACTCTGTACAAATGAATAGCATTTTCTGAGGAAATTAACCAATGACTTGTGGCCAGATGTTCGATTCCTTGAATTCCCCGAAACACCTTCTTAGTCTTCCCGAAGGAAATAATTTTTCAGCTTCAAAAAGGGCATTTATACTCTAGAAATTCCGACGCGCTCAGCGCCGTGCCGCACAAAAGTTTCTCTCTTTCGCCCGCTGCATATTTTCACTTGCGACTACCGAAAAACGGCCACGCGCGGGCCTTCACGCCCCCCTCTGCCCCTTAAAGTCGTCCTGGAATCCTCTGAATCATCTTCTTAAGATTGTCCTAGGATTTTAGAATCAATACAATCTTCTAAGCGTCTAGAACTGTCAGGGAGAATCTTTTTTGGGCCATCTTACCCTTTGGAATTTTCTTTACCTTTACCTTTACCTTTCTTACAGACGTTCCACTTGCCTTTTATGAGTACTTTCCTCTGACACACCATTTTTGCGATATTCGCTCTTAAAGTTTTGACCAATGGTTATACAGGGTGTTAATTACAGTCATGCAGATATTTCAGGGGGTGGCAGTACTCGTCAAAATAAAATAAAAAAATGTAAATTTATTTATTATCCCTCTCTTGTTCTGGGTCCTCAACAAGCTTGCGGCCAATTACAAAGTGAAATAAAAAATATATGCATGGACATCGTTTTCGTTATACATGGTGGCAAAGTTTCAATTTTTGATCTCGTATTTGGCATTTTCTCTCTTATATTCTGTGATAATTGTTTCAAGATCAAATATTTTTTAGAATCTCTACAATAGTTAGTCACAGTATACAGAGTGTTACATTTTCTTTGCAACCCTGTATAAGGAAAACGACCGCCTTTAAACCATGCATATGTTTGCATTTTTTTCCACATTGCCAGTAGATGTCTCTCCCTTTGAGGGACACTTAGTTCTGCAGACATTCCACTGAAAGTTTTTTGACATCACCAGTAGATACTTCTCGTCCAGACGTTCCACTTGCCCTTTATGAGTACTTTCCTCTGACACACCATTTTTGCGATATTCGCTCTTTAAAGTTTTGACCAATGGTTATACAGGGTATATTCTTTAATATATAAATAAAGGATCAGGTATGGTGCAAAAAATTCGTTTTTCTACTCATATGTGTTAATGAATACATTAAACGTTCCAATTTTATGAAGTAAGAGTATAAATTCCTCACATTATTGGATAACAGCAGTGAGTAATAATTAATCACTGGGCATGGCTTTAAAAAAACTCACCGTAGCCAGCCAATGAAAAAGTTTCATAAAAAACAAAGAATCAATCTGTCAATTTCTCTGGTTGTAACTTCCCTTTGTATCGAAATATATATAGGACTAGGACTTGCCCAAATCTAAGAATTGCATTTAATAACACCAAAAAACAAAAATGTGAATGCAAAATTGTATGATTGAGAATCAATATTAAATTAAATAAAACATCCCATGCTAATTTAGACCGTTTTTAATATAAATTAAGTTGCTGAATTGAACTCAAAGAAAAAGATCACTGTATTACCGACGTAATTCGAATTTGAAAGTGTCAAGATGGATAGCGAAAATGAAAATAATTTAAGTTGTACTCCGCCAAATATGACAGAAACGGCAAAACAATTATGTTTAAATTTATAGCCAGAAAAGTCTAAATATCTTAGATCGATCTAAGCTAAATATAAATATGAACATTTGAATATTTCACTCCCATTTTCTCGACCTAAAAGACTACTTACAAAAGGATCTTCAAAGTGTAAAAATAGGAAGTGAGGTTAAGTATTCGTACAAATTCTGTTACTTCGTAAGTCGCACATGTCTGTTATTTTGTCGTAGTTTTGGTAGTACCCGCATTATTCAATGTTTAGGCGATTAGCTATAATTACATATAGCAATAAACCCACAATTTAAACGATCAAATTTTAAGAAATGAGAAACGAAAGCTTGACAACCTTTTGACATCTCTGATATCATCTCAATTGTCACACTGTCACATATGACCAACTTTAAATATTTATAAAATAACTCAACTGCAATTGGTTTGGTAACAAACGATAGGTTTGAATATTTTCATTAAATTTTGCCAAATATTCGTAGAAAAAGTATAGTATTCTATTCGCATGTAATGGCTATTACTCATTCGAATGAATTACGGCACTCGCCTTCGGCTAGTGCCGCAAACACATTCTCATGAGTAATAGCCACCATTACATGCTCATGGAATAATATACTATTATTGTAGTACCTGCAGTGGCCTATTAAAACTTCAATTTCAATTTTGCTAAGCAATGACTAAATCGTATTTTATTCTTGAATTTTCAAGGAAATCGAGAGGTAACAACCAGTAAACATAAACATAATTGAAAGCGAACATGTTGTAAGTTGAGTGTACACTATCACACAATTGTGGCACATTCTCAGGAAATGTACAATAACAGCATAGAGATCAAGGTTCAAAATATTTGGAATCTACCTACCAAATCTACCAAGGTTAATAGTACCTATTGTTAGCCGAAATTAAGGACATTACATAACATTTGCTTGTTCCTTAAAGTTTCTCCTAGTAAAAAAAGCCACCCAGAGCAATATTTCCCCAGGTAACGACTAGCGCGACTGGGACAACTTACCATATCGCACTCCTCAGGATCCGCCACCATTCCTTTGAGTCGATAGCGAATACCTTCCTTTGCTAATCTACCGGCGAATTCCTCGCCGGTACCGGTCTGACTTCCATAAAACACGACTAGGCTTCTTCCCGAAGATTTCAATTTTTTAATAAAGGAATTTTCCGTAGACGTTTGTAACGTCATCGACGTCGGCCTGAAAATTACCCGAAATTATACGGGCCGAAAATTGCGGAAAAAAAATGCTTACTGTATCGAGTATGATTTTCCATTGGAGCTGAGCGTGTCAGATTTCTTCCTGTTGCGTATGAGCCACCAAATTCCGACGCCAAGCAGTGCTACCAGCAGAAGTATGTCCAAAGGTCCGAAGAGCGCGTCCGAGGTTGAAGAAATTTGTTCGGCCCCGACGTCCGCCTCGACTTCCATTTTGCTTAACTGGAAGAGTCTAAATTAGTTACAGTACTGAGGAAAACAATGTATGCAACTTTAAAATCGGATGATTATCTTGTAATAACAGCAAGTTAATGATATCTTAAAAAAGGAGAGTCACTCACTATTTAGCCTGATTACAGCTTAGTGAATTAACTACAGTTATACTCTAACCACACAGTGAGTCAGTGTATTTGCATAGAACTATGTTCGGAGCTTTAATGTTCATGCATACAGTTTCAGAAAAATATAACTTCACTATTAGAAAGCCATAATCAATGTAGAAGATGTCTGATCGAGTAGAAGAAGACGGTCTGATAAAAACCATGACTGGCAAACACTTGAATTGCCAATAATGTGGGTCTATCGGTTAGAAGCTTCAAGAACGTCTGGTCAGATATTTAACTCATAAAATATTATGGGGTCTTCATCAGCTTAGTTAAGAGTGCACCCTTAGTACCCCAACAATGTATAAAGGTTAGACGATTACCTATAGTTGCCCATGCAATCCCATTCGATCTAGAACACCCTGTATAATAGTGATACTATGCTATGCCTCATACAAGAACCTTGGGATTGCAGAGGACGAGTAAGAGGAGCGCATTATGAAGAGACGCCATAACAGCGTCATATGACTTATGAGGACAGCTGTAAACTGCGGACCTCTCGAGGAACGAAGAGAACACTTTGGTGGACTTTATTTTTGCGGAAGCGGACGCAGGAACGGAAACAGAAACGGAAGTGTAAACACGCACGAATTGCTGCGACGAACTAATGAGACGAATGAAAGTAAACAAAAACAAACAAGTCGCGATACGTCTGATGGCCGCGTCGGCTGACAAACCCCGCCCGGGGCATACGTCACGCGCTCTCCCGGCCAATCAGAGCGCACTCCGGATCTTGCTATATTTGAAAAATTCCGGTATACTTCCGTTAACGGAATCGACGGAAGACGCGGAAGTGAAAAGCAGAGGTCTGTTGCATCGCGAAATTTAACCGGATCTATAAAAGTGAAGGAAAAAAATGAGAAAAATTCTCCACAAAAATATTCAAAAAAAAAATTTACCAATATTTTGGAATACATAATTACAAGAACACTGCAAGATTTCCTATAATTACTCGGCAAACAGTCTAAGAGGCGTTTCGGCGATTTAAGTTATTCAAAAAGGATGTCAATAAATTCTACTGCAAAGTAATAAAGGGCGATTTTGGCGATTAATTTAGCGGCTTTTATTAGCGTCGTCGGACGCGTTGCACGTGTCGAAGGCCGGATGTACGCAGGCCATTGTCGATTGTTACGTTATTAGAACCATCCATTTCCGCAATGGCGCCAAATACAAATAATACAAAATATAGCGGATCATAGATGAACAATTATATTTTTCAAAAAAGTGTGTACTTTTTACATTCGACAGTGTATGTTTGTACAAAGTCCATAAGAAAGAAAATGTTAAACAATCAACACAGAGAGCACGATGAAAAATAAAAATCAACTAAAAACTGTGTGAAATTAATGGAACTTTCCCTAGATAAAAAAATAAAGGAAATATAGCACAATGACACATAATTGTAAGCAATTCGTATAGAACTACAGTTCCACTTTCACAACAGTTCCAATGTCCACCACTCGTCATACGATACTAGCTACCTAGTATAATGAGACCGCACTTTTTGAATTAACGACCGATTTAATGAACAACTGGTGTTACACGATGACAAACTTACCACAATAAGATTGAGTAACCACCACAACAACATCGCACACCCTCACCCCCTCGTGCCTACAATAGAAATGGCTAATGTACTGAACTTGTACCAAGGATTCAAGTTTATCACCTTATCTGTATGCGGTTGTTTCGTCATTACTCCTCGATTCATCGCGGCAAGTCAAATTACTTAACGATCAAATTTGAAATGCAAATTAATTTGATCTGGCTCATTATTACCATACCAATTTACCTCTCCGACGTGACGTACACGGTTGAAAGTCTGCTTTTAATTTTTAAACGGACTTCGTATATTCAACGTACACTCAGAGTTGTATTTTTGACTTGCGTGCGAATGATAAAAACGGAAACCGTGGGTGTAGCTCCTATCGATTATCGCCAATCTGCGAGATAAAGCAGATAAGATTGTTTTTGCAAATCATTTCTTCTCGCGGGCAAAGTGCAAAGGGCTTTCCTCGGACTTTTAAATGAATTTGGTACGGTGGCATGGACAGAAGAACAAAGGGGTGCTAGGTCCAATCCAGGTTGCGACATTCAGTACTTTGGTCATTTTTTTGAAAGGAGATAACCTCTTGCAATTACAAAATCCATCCATCCATCTAGCCATAGATAAAGCTGTTTCAGATTTCACAGATTTGTACTAATTCCGCACGAACTGCAGGTTTTGATTGAGGAAACCAGTTTGATTTATGTCGAACTCACCTTTGCACATTTCTAATTCCAGAACAGTCGGTTATCTCTTATTCTTTTAATAATTGGCGTGGTTGTCCATCTAATCGTAATATAATTCGACTTCCGGTTTAGCACTGACCTTTATTTTTTGTTTTTATATGAGACACCCTATATATATATATATATATTACTGCTATCAGAGACAGAATTAAAAACTACTGTAACGTAAATTTAATTAGGTAATTGATTTTATAATTTTACTAGTTTGATCATGTTTATGACGTCATAAAAAAAGGTTCCCTCTTAGTTCTGTAGATGCACGTCATTGTAAATAAATTTTGAAGCATATAGATTTACTTATAAACTTTTAATGATTTATTCAATAAATTGCTGCCGCAACTACCATAATAAATTTTTTCTTCAACGCAAACTAGAAAAATTATAATATTAATTAACACAACATTTTACTTAATTGGAATTTTTCTCTTAAATTTGATATTTTTAAATTTAAAATAAGTTTTTTATGTTACTATATCCAACAAAGTGTAGTCTTTAAGCAAACTAGCAGTTGCCATTAAAAAAATATGCCCCCCTTCACCATCCAGAAGTACGCCACTGACCACAAATATAAAGTACGTAAATGGGAAACAAATTTTGTAATCATTTTCGATGTATCTTTAAAAAAATCTTGTTTTTAAGATAAATCCAATGTTCCAGACACAATGTTCACTCTGTATAAGTCCACCAATTGTTTAAAAAATTGCTTCATAAATAATAAAGATAATCTACTGGTCCGGAACTTTTATAACTCCACCCAATTTCTCATAATTCCACCTAAATTCCTATAATACAATTCCACTTTGAATTTGTTTGAAATTTTATAAAATCATCAGCAATAAATTCCGCATATTTCTTGTGAGGCTAGCATATATTTTCTTGTGATAGATCATGAAAAACTTTACACAAAATTTTAGATCATAGCGCTGTGCAGTAGCAGTTTAGAATCGATTTTCTGGGAGATTTCTTCAGGAATGAAGTATCAAATTGGCCCTCCCAACTCTTCTCCGTTGATTTTTCAATCTTCGAAATTTGGGCATCTTTTGGATTTTTCATTTGCTTAATTATTTTTTCTCCCGTATGAAATTTTAAAATACAGATTAACCGAAATCAAGATTGAAACTATATGATCATGCATAAATTTTTACCCTATGGTTTTATAGAAATTTTTTAATCTTCGAATTTTGGCTGTTTTTTTTTTAAAATTTCTGAAATTTAATTTTCGGAATTTATTATATTTTCTAAATTTTGTAATTTTATTTTTTCTGAGGTTTCCCAAGTCCCTGCTAGAGCCTCCTATACAGCGCCAAAGCTTTCCGTGTTTTTCCTGAAATTTTCTCATCTTCGAATCAACCTTTCAAAGACTCAAGTACCCTTTCTAGGACTTTTTGGATACTTGCCAGAGCTTTCGATGCGCTTCAAGATTCTTCTTACCAGATCAATCAAAAACATTTCAGAGCATGATGGTATGTTTTTCAATGATTTCTGTCATCCCGCTCTTTCCCTGGAAATGTTAAGTGGCACTCTGGAAGGCCTTTGAATAATATGAAAAAAAAAAGTTAAAAACATTGCGCTTTAGCTCTTCCCGGAAACTCTGGAAAATACTAGTAGGCGATCTGGCTTTCCATAACCTTCTAGCCTCCTAAGTCTTTAGAAGTACTTTCAAAAGTCCTTCCCTCCCAGAGTTTTTTTTTAGACATTAACACAGCTTTCGATGCGCTTTTCCAGAGCGTTATTAATAGGCATAACTAAGGGTTCTAGACTGTCTACGCCCTGGAAATAACCTGAACAGTTCTGGAAGGATCCTAAAAAGTTTTGGAAACCTGGTTTCAGAGCGCATTTCAGCCCCCCCCCCCCCCTTCACATGTGATTTCTAGGAATATTTTTTTTTCAAGGACTTACGAAGGCTTGCAAATCCTGGAAAGGACATAAAAAGAGTGGAACAGAATTTAAGAGGTTCTAGAATCTAGACAGTCTTCTAGAACAACAAAAATGTCCCATAGCAGGTCCTTTTCCTTTAAATTCTCTTTACATTCTCCCCAATAAAAGTTGCTTTCTAGAGAAAACTCACTAAAAATTTATAAAGGACCGCCCTGATCTGTTGGCGTCATTTGGACTGTTCTTTTTAGTCTTCTACTCCATTTGTAAAACAATAGAGGGGTGTATGCAAATGACAGAAACATCTGCGAAGGATACGGAAACTCTAGACGGGGGGGGGGGGGGGCAAGTAAGCTCGGTAGCCGGGACCTAAAATGATCTGCAAGTATAAAGCTCTGAAAAAGCGCTATACAGCGTTAGAAAGATGCCCTCAAGTGCCTTCCAATTACCCCTTGGATCTTTTTAGAAAGCCTTTTGGACTCTTCCCATAACTAGGTGAGCCTAAAAAGAACTTAAAATGACTGAAAAGCGTTGACAACGGCAAATCAGAGTAAAAAGCCTTAGATAGCTCTAGAAAATCTTTGCTACATAAGGCTTTCTAGAACTTCTTCTGAGAGGCGAACCGACAAAGATCTGGGAAAGCTCCAACCTCGGCTCCAGCATATTCTTAAGAAAAGAACTGCGTTTAAAACCGTAGAAAGGATCTAGGAAAAGCGCGACTAAAGCTCTAGAGGTGTCTAAAAGTGCTAGAAAGAGTCTAAGCAGCCCTTTGAGGGCTTTGCAAAGACCGAGGCAAAGACTATGGTAACTGTTTAAGAGACATCAGTTTCGATACGTTAATGGCGCGCTCTGCGCATTCGCTCACTTGTTTTTTAAGGTTGGATTAATGGGTAGGTACCACAATGTCCCACAACACACTTACCTTACAATGGTACTGAATTTTGAGCCACAAAGAACTCAAAAGTCTGTGATATACTTACAGTTACGCGTCTTTGCGAAAATACTCAACATTAAAAATACCAGGGTTTATCTAATGACCTTCAAGATATAAGTAGAGAATCAATATTAGTGATTAATTTGAGACTCGAGGTAAACAAACTGTCTAAGTGCAGAAGTCCTATATGTAAATACACGTTAAGACAATATCAAGTACCTACTTACTACAAAAACAGGAATAATATACGATTTCATTGTATGTAATTGCTTGAAAATGTTTCATACATAAATATAAGTGAACTACACAGCACTACAGTAGTATATAAGAGCAGGCGCTCCACAAGGATCTATCTTAGGCCCACTTTCACATGACCTGTATCATAAAATAAATTGAATAAAGCCAACAAAATTTCTACACACACGCTTTATTTAGTGTTTGGACACTAAGTGTATCAAATATTGCGATGACACAATCATCCCTTAATTTACACAAATACACTTTATTTTTTAAACATAAATGGCGCATCCGGGGGAGGTTTTGGGGCTACTTTGTAGTATGTGTAGTATAAATGACTTTTTCTCAAAATTCCTAGGAATTCAGTGAACATATAAACAGACGAAACTGAAGAAAGTTTCTAAAATATTCTCGGGAAAGGCCTGGAAATGGTCCTACGAGGTTTTTTAAAGGACCTAAAGTGGTTAGAAAAGGAAAAGTGTCTGACAGCTCTTGGAGGGCACTGAAAGATAATGGAAATGAGTTCTAAGGCTATGGTAAATGCCTGGGAGACTGAAATCAAACCGCTTGTCCAGGCCCTCTTAGGTCTCCGGAAAGCGAGAAAAGACCTAAAGCGCAGTTTTATTCATAATCTTCAAAGACTTTGTAGGGTTTCTGGAGTGCTCTCCAAAGAGTTCTGTGAGGCTTTAACGGAAGCACCTAAAAAAGACAAATCTACCATTTCTCGAGAAAGAGGCCCGTCCTGAGAGTTCCAGGTACCTTCTAATACCTTTTTCAGACCCCATGGGAGAATCTCTCTGGACAAAAACCAAGAAAATTACGAAAAGATTGGCTTTTTATTTTTACAGGCCATGGAAGAAGTCGCCGAGATACATTAAAACGAATTCCATTTGATACAACTTTCAACCGTTTTGAGCCTCCTGAATCCTGATGCAACAATGGACCTTAACTCTCAAGGTGGGATTACCGCAATGTCCCACACCATGCTACCTCATTTAATATTGTACCCAAAAGTACTTAAATATCCAAAATCGCTGGTTAGTTACCTAGCCCAAAAATCTGGAGTAGGAACATTTACGATTTACGCGATACACACCAGGATTTATCTAATGACCTTCCAGATATAGCGATTAATTGTGCACTATAGGTAAACAAACTTTGTACTGTGTAAATGCACCTATGTAAACACACATTACCACAATAATATTATAATGTACTACAAAGTGAGGAATATAATACCTATAATATGGATTAATTATTCAAGATGATTTGTAGATTTATTAATTGCAAATATCTAATACATAACAAAAGACTATACACTTACGAAAGAGCAGATGCTCCACAAGGATCTATCTTGGGCCCACTTTCACTTGATCTTGTATCACGACATAAATAAAAATTGCATTTTCAATTTACTTATGTATCTGTATGGTTGTATGAATACCTAATTAGGAAACCAGTCATATGGTAGGTATTACTATGATTAGTAAAAAACGAAATATATATTTTTTTAATGCAAACGTATCGCACTTTGTAGTATTTGATTAGATGTTTGTCTATTCGATATCGTCAATGAGTGTTTAATTATTAATATTGCATAGGTATTACGTGCGACATTTAAACTGTCCTTAATTGAAATTATATACCTACACGTGTTTTACAACCGAATGACGCTTTAGCACAGGCCCCTGACAAAATATGATAAAATCTCGATGAATTCAGTTCACGTAATCAAAACGTTTCAAAGTTAAATGATAAAATAAGACAAAGCGGAAGTTCCACTTAAATAGCGATTTGGCAGCGTCGACTGTAAATGGTACTGTTTTCCCCTCGGTTTTCCCATTTAAATGAAAATTTACGAAAATCTGAATTGAGAAGTCATAAATCGTTTTGAATATCGAATTGCACCCAATAACGCAGGGGAAAGTTTGTTTACAACTGGTGCAATTATTGGTTCAATTTGGGAAGCAAATTTTATTTTCTCAAAGTAGGTAACATGACGTGCAAGATTTGTAATTATTTCATTGTCCTTGCTCGATACGATTTATGCGAGCAGCCGCACGCAAATTAAATCACATTTGTCTATTGCTAAAACGCGCATAACAAATTTGAAACGCGCGCCGGCACATTTGAAAATGCGCAGTTTGCGATGTATTCAAAAAAGACACTCACCTAAATGGATTTAATTTACGACACAATCAACAGGTATCTCGAACCACATTCAATTGTTTTAGAGACAACGACGGATACGTTCTACGTCTTTACGCGAATAGTGCGAGAGCAGCGACTTGTTAACAAACTTTCGACGTTCACGTTTCTATTGCGTGCAATTGAATGAAACGGGTAATTGGGTACAAGTACGATTGGGATAAATTTTAATCAACGTCACAACTTTCGATCAAATACAGGTTTTAGAATTAGGTTAAGGAATATTACAGAGATCTTTCGCTAATGGGTAGGAGGGGGGCGACACTTCTCGCCACACAGAATAGAAGACCGCGAAAAAAATCGAAATCTATATTGCCGAGTTTATTATAATCAAATTGTTTTCGCAATTGCTTTAAAGCTTATTTTCAGTATACAACTCGTTTTAACTTTTGAAATCCGTGACAAACCACAAACTCAATATTTGAAAAGTAGTTCAAACGAACCACGGTGTATTTTAGTTCCATTCAACTCATGTAGGCTTTATAATTGTTTATTCAAATAAACCATAAATAAATCACATTAAATGTATTGGTTTTATTCAAGTATTCAACTGAGCGACGATTCACGCAATTCCTGGACAAAAAGCTATTGCTATTAAGATAATTAGGTGTTTTATAGGTACTTTAAAGGACGATGCCCAATTTAAGTCTGAGCGACTGAAGGGAGTCTTTTGAGCTATAAATTAAACACCGTATGAATAAACAATTCGTCTTTTATTAATATTTTATCATGAGAGCAAAATATTGTGTCTCAAGGCTGGCGTAGCAACCAGGGATATATGGTAGCAACCATGGTAACAGAATCAACAAAACTTACTTTAAATAGTATACAGGGTGGTGACTTGCGTAACGCATCATAGGGATTTCAATGTAAAATACATAACATGCGATTATTGGCTCCCCAAATTATTTTAGAGCAAAAATGTATTAAGGTTTTTTGTAGGAAAAATTTTTTTACGTCAATCAACCGTATTAGTTTTCTTTTTTTTTGCATAATATAGACGGAAAATTGGAAAAATAAAACCCGCATCTTTTTCAATGATCTGCGATGCCATGGAATTTTATAATACAAAAACTACGCCAATATCCGTCTTGCCATGGAATGACAGCTATAAAACAAATCAAAATCTATCAAAAGGTATTTAATTTAGAACAGCGAATTCAACATAAAGAAAGACCAAATTACTAACAACGGTTTGCCTAATGTAACAATTTACAATAAATGTTCGAATAAGTCAGTAACCAAATAGATCATAAAATCCATTTCGAACTGCTACTAATTGATAACTGGATATCTTTTGGATTTAGAAAATTCCATGGCATGGCAGATTATTGAAAAAGATGCGGGTTTTATTTTTCCAATTTTCCATCTTTATATGAAAAAAATTGAAAACTAATACGGTTGATTGGCGTAAAAAAATTTTTTCTACAAATAACTTTAATACATTTTTGCTCTAAAATAATTTGGGGAGCCAATAAACGCATGTTATGTATTATACATTGAAATCCCTATGATGCGTTACGCAAGTCACCACCCTGTATAAAGGATAATGTAACAATCCATAGTTTAATTTAAATTAACCTTAGAAACGGTTTAAAATACGTGTTATAAAAAATTATTTTTGCAAGACTCTTATTTGACTTTTAATTTACCTTAGGATACAAAACTTCAATCTTTTATCGTCATTTTCGTGGCGTATCCCAAGGAAGGGCATTGGGGGTAGGCCCGACTGATCCTTGGCATATTGCACAATATCTGCGCACCCATCTAAGAAACTTACCTAATTATACCTACTACAAATATACCAGAGCTCCATAGGAACGGGAAGACTTATCTCGTTCATAAATACATATATCAGGTGTCAACGCGAAAACTTTAAATGGATATTTGTGATGTTTTTTTGTAATAAGTTACTCGGTTTGTTACAATCTGCTTTCCATTTATCTACTGTCGAAAGTGATCAGTTATACTTTTCATTTTGCAACAAGTCTTTATTGTACACAGTGATACCAACAAAACTACACTCTTTCAGAATGTCAAAAAATACAAGGTGTCATTTAAAATTTTGGATCAGGCTTTTTATTATTTTTAGGGCATTGTCCCACTCATGTTGGAAGGTGCAATTATGACCACTTTCTCCGCCCGATGCCTTAACTACTGCAGTTTGCAATAAATTTAGTTCGTTCTAGCTTCTTGCATTTGGTAGCTTATAGCTCTGGCACCTCGACCAAGAAAAATGACGATTAATGTGCGCATGCGCAATGTCTACTTTCTTATTTATTGAGATGTTTTTCAAATGTTAACCACAGATGCTTCAAGTAAACGCAAACCACACAAGGTGCGCTCATGCTAACTTTCTTATTTGTAGATTTTTCGATATTTTAACCACAGATGCTTCTAATCAAGGCCATATATTATATATATATCATAGTATATATTATAGTCAAGGCCATCAAGTTGCATATTGTAAAAATCAGATGTGCGCATGCGCAAACTGTGCAATGCCAACGAGATGTAAGTATTTTTAAAATTGTAACCATAGACCTTGTAGAGAAAAATAATGGCCTTTTGGAAAGTACTGATTATTGATCCATGCATGGTAAATGCGCTATATACTGGCCTTGGTGGAAAACCTTTTTTTTTAGAATAATTTCTAGATACATAATAGGATTTCAGGGCTTTATATTGCCATATAGACATTTTCCATGGTTGGATTTGCCTTGATGATCCAACAAATACCATACAGAAAGAGGCTACACACTTTGGCTTTCTTACATTTCCAAGAAAGCCGTGTAAAGTATCAGTTCGATTAGTTTATACCTACTTCCAGATGGGGCTGTATAAATTTCCCAAAAAAATGGGCAAATTCTCTGAGATTTGTAAATTCAAAGAAAGTTCTGTAAATGTGCCATCATCACAAGAAAACAACAAGAAAATATTTATTTGCAAACTTAATGCCGATATGCACAAACTTCACTACTGTGAAAACAACCATCGGGATGATTTCCATTAAACCAACACAATTTTTCTTTGTATTTTAAGTTTGTCAACACGGCAGTTGGAGGTAGGCGTAAACAAACCCATCCCTCGGCAACTTCAAAGATATAACGATGATTCCTTAATAAAGTCTTTAAACCACCGCATTCGTTCTTTAACTGCCCCAAGTCTTCCTTACCAAGCGATTTTGCTACCAATGACAATGGCGCCCGAGAGCCCCTATTCCACGTGCAACCATCGTATCTTTTCAAATTCTCAGGTTGTTCCAATAACAGTAAAGTAATCTTCTTGATAATGTCGGCAATTACTCCCCTATCCAGTTGTGTACAATTTCGCACCCTCTCTTTAGGCTCGCGTGCTACAAACTCTTCGTTCCAGCACGACTCCACAGAGCCTTGACCTATCATGGCTTGTACGTGTCTATCCGCATCCGCCATTTCTGTCTCACAATAAGTGCGACCAAAACTAACAAAGCAAGTGCGTTTAGTGGATGGAATGCGAAGCTTGTCGACCGCTATGCTAAACCCACAAGTAACGCAGATGCTTTTCACGTACTCCAAGTAATCACAGTAGACGCTCACCCCCGTATTTCGTCGCCTGTATTTCTTACCATTAAAGTCATAAGCGCAGCAAGGCAGTAAAAACAGATTGCACCCATACGAACTTCTCGCCGCAATCACCGGAATCCAAGGAGTCAGCTCATCCGAATGATTTCCGATTATCCAATCCGCATGCGGGAAAAGACAAGCGGCGGATGGCGAGATCACTTCCTCCTAAACATTCACGATTAACGACTATTTTAATTAACTCGCAAGCCTTACTTTTAAATCGACACCCTCGAATGTATCCCAGATTTTTCGACGACGTACATCAATACCTGTACCACCATACCCTTCCTTTGTCAAAATAAAAGTCAAAAGCCCATTGCCGCAACCTAAATCGACAAACTGCGGTTTTTTATTTGCGTCAATCGTATTCCACAATGTAATGAGATAAGCGGCAATCGCCAGATCTTCGTACACGAACTTGTGCGGGTCAGTATTTTCGGGCCATTCCTAAAAATGTGTGACATGACACGGAAAAAACCCCATTAAAAGTACCTTGACAATTTTCCTCCCGTACTTAGCTTTTAAATTGTGATACAGCGACGTAAAGGCCTCCACCGGCACCAAACTCAACGATTGCTGTACGTTAACATTTGGGTTGTATTCGTCAATCCACTTCATTAGTTTCAGAAATAGTTGCTCGGTCAACCACTCGGCACTCCGACTTTCGGCATCCTCAAAACTTTGTAGGTAAAGCGACAAATATCCCGAGCTAAGTGCAAGTTGGTAAAGAAAACTTGGCGCCAATTCTCTCCTGTCGAACTCGGAAACGGCGATAAATGTAGCAGTTTTTACTCTCTTATCGAAGACCACAACTTCTAAACAGTTATCAACGCTGACCTGTCTCGCTAACAAAATTCGCAAAGACACAAACGTGCCATCCTCCTTCGTCAGAAAGTCACGCTCGCTACAGTCTTCAAATGACACATTTTTGTCAAACGGCTCAAGGATATTCTTAACAAAATCTACGCTAATAAATTCCTTTAGAAGCCGAGGTAATTTCCTAGCCTCATAGAGTATAGCAGACCGTGTAAAAAGCTCGCAGACATTTCGCACGGAGAGATTACTGAATGAAAGCTTAACAAACAACGCTTGAGAGACACCCAGCAATCTTCTGTTAACTAAATGAGGCCGATTGTGATAAAGCAGAACTGCACTCCAAAACTGATCCTCACTCGCTTCGCTATCTGAACTGGCCAACGGAACGTTTAACATTTTTTATACTGAAAATAACCGTTAGACCATCGCAGTTGTAGTTACACGATACCTTCTTTAAAATCCACGCGGCATCTTCGTAAGCACGATCTATAATTTGGCGTATACGTTCCGGATCACTCTCATTAACGTGTTGTTTGAAACTCTGCAATCGCTCACAATTAAAAGCGGTGATACAGGCCGCAACTCACCTGTTTTACGGAATCTTTGTAGAACTTTCTGGGGCCACCATCGGGTAGCTTTTCGCATTCACGTAACAGATATTTATAAAACTCTTTCGGGGTTTGCTTCGGTTGTGTAGTGCATAAACGCGCGTAAAATGAGCTTATTTTCGTACACGCTGAATTAAACATGTAGAGAATATTTAACAAATATCTCTTTTCCAAGTTAAGAATTTCTATTTTGGAAGTAAACTTAACCACACTTTTAACAAGCAAATTTTCATAATAGAGGCGACGTTGCCAGATCTGATTCATACCGGCATTATAGCTCAGTCGTATAGAGCGTTGAGGTATAAATCCGGAGGTCGGGTGTTCGAACCTGGTTTGAAGTGAATTTTTCATCTGTGGCAGAGATGGGAATTTCCTTAGATCAGTTTCGAGCATTCTGCCGGCTACTCCGAATTAGGTTTTCCTGCAGTTTTCCTAATTCGTAAGGTAAATACCGGAGTAGTATAGAACAACTTAAGACCTTCTGCAGGGGCACCTCTAAAAAAGCATTATGCGGGTCACTCTGTAATTGGGCGTAAGCCTGTTGAGGGCCTAGAACAAGAGGGACAATAAATAAATAAATAAATATACACGGTTGTGAAAAAATTAGATGCCTATAAAACGCACAGTGCAGATGGTGCACATAATCAATGACGCTAGAAACAAAAGACTTTCGTACTATTCAAAATATCCTCTTTCTTCTTGTAAAATATAAATTTTTCATTTATACCTATATTGTTTATACTTACCCGGTAGTGATAAAATAAACTATAAAGTAATTGAGAAACTCAAAAAGAACAGCTATAATTAAGTAAAAACAATCCCTTCTATTGAGAAATCTGTATGAACTTGGAAGCCCAGCAGTCACAATCTAAAAAATTTAACAGAAATATCAAACCAACTCCTTGTTATTTCACTTTATTACAATATAATTTCATTTCATAAATTGCAATACCAACTGAAGCAAAATGTATACTTATAATTACATTACACAATGCCATCCTCCACTTGTCAAATTCAGAAACATAATTCTAACTACATCAAATCCTTCAAGAACACCCTTTGCACTTACAACAGATGTTATTGAAGTGTATTGCAGCTGCCTAACTTACTCGTGCGTCAAGTCGGCCCTCACTTAATTGATGCAGAACAAGAACAAATAAAACAAAACAAACGTAACACAAAATATTTAATAAAATTAAAAAGCACATAATTTATACAATCAAATATAAATAAATCGAAAATAATTTAGCTACTGTACAAAGGAAGAAAGACGTACTTTAGTAGGAAAATATAAATTTACTAGAAAATTATACTAGTGTTGTATTAATTTAACTAAAGAGTGCTTTGCTACTACTAATAGATCCATTTTCCAGTATCGGTCCGTGCGCATTTCACCCATTAATCTATTGTCAGTTTTGCTCAAAGAAAAGAAAAGTACTGGGGTATAGACGTGGCGACATTTCATAACAAGCACTAACTCGGTGCAAATTCACTGGAAAGTGTCTCCTTTTATCTCAATAAATACATTGCACTTGTAATTCCAACAATTATTGTACACCACTGCCAATAAATAACACAGTAAAGTAGTAAAATATCAGTTATACCATCGATTACTGTACAACCACATAAGCTTTATAAAAAAGAAACCGATTTAAGACCCCTGCTACATCTATGATGTGGTGACAACAACAGCGTTTAACTTTAAAAATATTTTCGAAGCTAACTGCTCAACATTTTAATGAGAGCAATCTGCTTAGGAAACATAGTTGAAAAGTGCACCTTATACTAGAATAAAATAAGCGAGTAAGCACGTATAAATAAGTGTCTTTACGCAAAATTAGCCGGGCGTTCATTTTTAATAACTGCCGGGGAAGTTTGCATAAAAAAACTTAAAACGCAGCCGTATTAGTAGTAATATATTTGGTATTACTTTTTTTTCAAGTTCCTTCACTACTTCTAATTAATGCACCATTTCAGCTTCGGATAGTTGTTTCAGCACTCATCTGGAAAAATATCAAGAGTTAAGAACACGTCTTATTCCAGTACTGTTTTTCCGAGAGCTTTTTTGTTTTCACGAACTCACACAACAAAGCTAAATCTAGGAGGGGTTGTTCCAATTATATCAATCCAGAATTCAACACCATTAAATGATTCGAAAGGAAATGTGCTATAACCCTAATGGCCGTTTGCACCGTTTTACTAAACATCGTTTAAAGTCGTAAACATTGTTTAGCAATAGACAGGGTTTGCACCGTACATTAATCAAAGTTTAGAAAGGTGTAACCTATGTTTAATCTAAACGTCCAATTTTGGGCGTTTAAAGGTCTGATTAAGATTAGTACGAGTATGTCATAATTTGTAGGTTATAGTAAATACTACCAGTATCTTTATTTTGATTTTCTTTCTTTGGTGTCATAAATTTTGATAAATTATGGATGTTGTTGAAGAATTTTTCATAGAAGATGATTTAGACATATTGGATATAGTAGAGTTTGGTTTCCCACGTAAAGTTGATACTAGGAAAAATCATTTCGAGGAGATGGATAACTTAACATTCTTTAAGCGCTTTCGTTTGACGAAAGATACAGTTCTGCAGTTGTTAGAATTAATCGAAATGGATCTCGAATATAATAACAATTTGTTTGAAGCTACTACCTAATTACCCATTTGTTATCCTAAACTATACTTTTAGAAACAATAATGTAGCACCTATTGATCAGTTGTTAGCAGCGCTTAGGTTTTATGCAAGTGCGGGACATTTAAGTACAGTGGCTGATTTTATCGGCATGGATATCTCCACAGCATCACGGTTAGTTGCAAAGGTTACGCATGCTATTGGTAGACTGTATCAACAGTTTGTTAAAATGCCAGGTCCAAATGAATTAATTCAAGCGTAGAGAGAATTTTATCGTTTATCATCTTTTCCCAGAGTTATTGGTTGTGTTGATGGTACGCATGTCAAAATACAATCACCAGGTACTTAAGTAGTTTCGCATAATACCTGATGAGGTCAATATACATTTTCCAGGTGGAGAAGGTCCGGAGGTTTTTAGAAACCGAAAGGGATATTTCTCTATAAATGTTCAGGGTACTTGTGATACAAATCTGAAAAATCACAAATATTGGCAATCATTAACTTTTCATCCACACTAAACATTGGGCATCGATTTCTTTTTTTGGTCGGAGCTTCCATTATTAACCAAATTTACTAAATTTAACAAAGTTGATGATTTTAAGCTCAAATATAAACTTTAAGATTAACAAACAGTCAGTAAACACATGTGACAGTAGATATTTTACAGTGTTGCCTAGCAGATTCTCCGATTACCTAAACAGCGTTATGTTTTTGTCGGTGCAAGTGGTTACAAATTAAACATTGATTAAAATTAAAACAGTGATTAGTTAAACAACGTTTATTGCAGAAACGGTGCAAACGGCCATAAGTCACTAATATTAATTCCCCCCTTTAACTTTTTTGCAAATATGTAGGCCAAGTTTATATATATTTATATAGACGACTGTTAGATTCATGGAAAAAATGTGTAAAATGCACCCAGAGCTTCAGCCCTCGACTTCCTAGAAATGGGAAGAAGTCACAAGCCAAAGAATGATTAAATATGAAGTATTTTTACTCACAATTATTGTGATGGTCAATTCAGAGAAACAATTAAGTATGGGGATGTCCGCATATTTCAAACTAAAAAGTATTAAATAGAATGGTCTGTATACAGGGTGATTCACGTAACTTGTTCGTTAGAAGTTTTTAAACTTGCAGTTGAAATACAAGCTTGAAATTTGGTTAACAACCATAATCAACTATTGAAATAAAATAATTTCTAGATGGCGCCGTTTACGTAATACCGGAAGTGGCGCCATCTTGATTTTATTTAAATAAAAACATACCATTTTCTATTTTTTTCTAAATGCGCCATTTTATGCTGAATCAATGCAATTAATATTTATTTAAGTACCTATCTGTCATAGCTTTTGATATGTCAATTTCTCTCTCAAAATTTGATGTAGGGTCCATTCAAAAATTCATATCTCTTAAAGCGCTGTTCAAGTTCCTTCAAGTGTAAGGAATTTTTTGAGTGACCACTGATGGTCTTAAAAAAGTTTCCAAAGTTACTGCGATTTTTCAAAATTAGGAAGTAAAAATGTCAAAAAATTCATTTTTCAATAAAGAATGTATAACTGTTATTGCAATGAAATTTGGCAAAAATGTTTAGAATACAAAGATAAAAGTATAAAAAAATAACAAATGACTTTTTTCAATATAGCGGCCCTTCACTATTTAACATTTTGTTTTGAAATATTTAGAAAAATGGGCCAATACATAAACATAAAAAAAGATTTTGGTAAAACTATCAAACTGTGCATTAGAGACCGACCATTAAAAATTCGCCGTTTCTACATGGTTGGAGGTAGGGCATCGAGCCACCGGCTTAGGGGTGTTCCGATAGTTAGGTCAACTTTTCGGGAGATCAAAAACCACGACAGACAGGCACTTAAATCTTAATTGTGTTGAATTCAGAATAAAATAACGCATTTAGAAAAAAATAGAAAATGGTATGTTTATTTAAAAAAACAAGATGGCGCCACTTCTGGTATTTGCAGAAGCCGCGCAATCTTGAAATTTAAAAAAAAAATATATATCTCAGTAATTCAAGGCATTGTTTTCCTGATTTGGGTCACCAAGCTTGCTACAACCTTTACCGTCATTTCCAGCAAAAGTTTAACATTAACGATTGAAAATAAGAGATGTAAATGACATACAAGTCATAAAAATCATTATTTATTAGCAGAGATGATTGCTCAACACAACTCAAAATTTTTTGCATCTTGTAATAGGCCCAAGTAGTACATAATTTTTCAAAAAATTGTTCCTATAACAGTTTGTGAAAAGAAATAATGTCTGAATGTGTAGTACTTTTAATATATGGACCTGCTCGTACAACATGGACCTTTAATAAAGGTCAATTTTCTACCTCTATTTAAAGAAAGTTCGAATCAATCACAGTTTTGACTTTTTGACACAATACCCAAATTTGACTATTACTGGTTTTGAAACTGTTTTTATTTTGTTTATTAACTTTATTTATTTGCTGAACAATAGAGTTGCTATTGAGCATGATATCTTTGGCCTCATAGATAGTGGATTCATCTCTAATAGTGACAATATCATGCTGAAGACACCAGATGGAGAAACTTTAAAATGGTAACTCATTTATGAGAGTCTGAAACTTCCTAACCAACAGAATAGTGAGTAAGTGAGAACAAAAGTCACAAGATTTTGACTTTAAAACAAAACATTGTATATCCAGTCTATTCATATCAGGTCACTGCACACATGGCAACATTGCAAACATAAAGTGACACTAAAGTAATAGACTGTGCCAACTTGCAAAAAAAAAAAATACTGTACCATTCACCTTTATTTCCAGTGGCAATAATAGATTTGCGTTTTTGACCATCGTCGCTATTAATAACTTTGGCCATAGGACGAACTGCATTAGTACCACCGATAATGGCGTGATGCTGTTGACCGGCACGGATCGGTTTCGCAATTTGAGCAACAGGACCACGCCTCGCGAGGTTCTTCTGTCGGACCGCCTCCTTAATACGGTCCACCTCGTATTGATACCTGGCAAAATGTCAAAAATCAGTTCCACCTCAAACCGACGCTAACGTTCACCTTTTACGATCGCGCATAGCACCCTCTTTGGCTTCCTTCAGTGCGGATTCGAGAGCTTTGACACGTTCCATCGTGGCGCGCAGACGTTTCTCCAACTTTGGTAGCTCGCACCGCAAATCGGCGTTGTCGCGCACCAACTGTTTGTGCACCTTCGTGAGTTGATCTAAATTATTTTCTAAGAATGAGATTTTCTGCTTCTGCGCCAAAGATCCTCCGTCCTCTTCGTTATCGTCGGAAGTGATAGCTTTTTTAATTCGGGCCTGAAAATAGCATTGTATCAGAGGCACTCGCGTAAGTGAGCAAAGCATTTTACCTGTAAATCTTGCACGAACAGTTTACGGAGATTATGTAAAGTCTGAAGTTCTTTAGCAACTGTATCTTCGAGCCCCTTGAGATCCTTTCGCGCTTGTTCACGACGCTCGTTAGTAGAACTGCAGAAGACATTCAGTTGAGCATCATACCACATCACGCTCACGGATTTTGGTTAGGCTTTATTTTTGTACGTCGCGCGTAGGTAAAAAAAAAACAGAAAGGGAATTAAACCAATTCATCTTAAATATCTCTCTATTATACACTTTACAACAGCTTTACAACTATTTTTGATTCAGAAGCATCTCTTTTTCCTAATTTGAAACCGCTTACAGTTTACAATTACTCTAAAAATATAGCAAATCTTTTGCATTAACAATCATTAAAATTTGCAACCGTAACATCTATACACTGTACAATTTTGTACAAACTATAAACAAAGCGTAAAACAAAAGGTGCCATTGTTTCTAAATCACAGTTCGTAGCATCTCTCCTGACTGTTTGTAAATAAAACTTAACCAAACCGTGGTGTGATGCGACATTAAATAAATATAAAAAAAATATCACAGGACGACTAGAAGGAAACGGGGGTTGTATAATACTTACACTGGGTACCGCAATAACGTGGCAAAATAAACAGAAACGATCTTTCAGTATGAAAGAGTAAATAAATTCGCGCTTTAGTCGACAATGATATACGTAGGGCACTTGTGTGTGACTAGAAGTAGTGTCAAAGAAATAAATAAATGCAAGTGAAACGTGTGAATGTGAAATATCGACACGGTAAATTGTCCGTTAGCTACCAACTTCGCTAGCCGGTTAATTTCGTTTTTTTGAGATTTTTTAATACTTTTCGGCGTCGCGATTTCTTTCGCGCATTCGTCTTTGTAGGGCACAAATTGCGCCCACGTTTCGACTTTGGAGGGTTTTATGCGAATGGGCGAGGGCGAGTAGTTTGTGGTGATGTTGTTGTTGGGAGTGGTATTGGAAGAAAGGATTGAGCGTTTATATTTTAATTTATCTACTGACATGAGTTCCTGCAATTTGTTGGACTTATCCGTTTCTTCCGCCTTGACCTTCTCATAGTCGGATTGCAATTGCTGTTGCGTTAGCATTAGCTTTTGGTTCGAGCTGAAAGGGAAATATACAGGTTAGGTTTTAGCACTTTTTTGAGTTTTTGAATTTAATTGTTTGAATGAATTTTTGGGTAGCACAAATCCAAAAATCCATTCAACTCAAAAACAAAAAAATTTCGCACTTTCTTGCTTAGAGTCGCAGTACTCACTCTTTGATATCGTTGATAAGTTGTTGTTTCTCGGCAATCTCGTCACGAAGCGCCGCCACCTGTTTTTGATGGACATCTCGCAATTGGTCCATTTGTTGTTCAAGAGCTGCACGTAATTGCGCTGCCTCTTTCTTTTCGCTTTCGCTCGCAGATGAAACCTGGCGTTAAAAAATGGTTAGGTTTAACCGTGCTATAGCCGAGGGGGAAATCACTCACAAGAAATCTCAATGCGCATTGCACATTACGTGACGTTTTTTTTTGTAATGTTAGTAATACCTTAAGAACTTCAAAGATGTTAGTAATACCACAATAATACATGTGGTGGCCTGTACTACCAATAGACCACAGGTAGTTAAGAGCGCGCTGCCAGAGTGGTGGGGGAACTTAATGCCTCTAGATTACCATTTTGAAGTGAGAAGGAAAATTACAGATGGCGCTAATATTGGTCTTAAAGCTTAGATCATATAAATATTCTATATAGTCTAAGATCCCAGGGCCCACACACCTTACCTATTTTCGGATGGACAAAATATGTACAATAATGTAGTATTAGTGTGTACAGGGTGGCCAAATACAAATGCGAGGTACTGTATCTGGGAACCTGTCCATCGTAGAGGCTTGCGGTCAAAAAATTTATTACTAAAACGGCCACGAGAAAAACCTGGAAAATATTTTTAAGTTTCTGCAATGGCCGCTAGGGGGCGTAACTGCAATCTGGAATCTAAAAAAGCGCACCTCCACGGTCACGCTTCTCAGTCACTTATGGAGTTGTTGCAGAGGTCATTTTTTCAGGATCGATCCGAGAACTTTAATAACTTTAAATACGCTTAGGGGATGTTTGACCCTGGTCTGGCAGCTTATAAAATATATTAAAATAGCCCCCTAAATATCCTAGATAATAGCTGAACTGTTAAAGGTCCCTGGTTCGAATCCGGGTTCGGGCATGGATATTTGTAAATGCATAGTGGGTTGGGTGGTAGAGCAGCCTTGGCTGAAACCCCGCCCACTCAAAAATAAAGGCCAATAAATACCCTTATGGTAGTATCATCATTTGAAAAATTACAAAAGTCCTCGTATGTGCATCGATGAGACTTCAGCGCATTTTTGGCGTGACGGATCAGTATTGCATTAGCAATCAGTATTTTATCAGAAAATTTTAATTATAAAATAAGGTTTATGCAAACATATATTTATTTATTAATTTTCACGAACTCTAATAATAATTGGACGATGGTATGAACAGTACGACTCGTAAACCGAACAACCAACAGTGTAGTTGACCATTTTGCCAAAAACTCCGTCAATTATTGTTCCGCCATTCGTTGTCACTGTTCGGGGAGAGATGATCACTATATTGAATTTCTCTTGAAGAAATTTCTCTACCCGATTTACGACAGTTAATGGGAAATTAAAGTCTCCCATAATCAAGACGTCTTCAGTTGCCTCAATGAAATCCCCGATCTCCGATAACGCTGCAATCAACAAGTTGTTGCCTTTACTAGGAGCATCTGTGGTTCCAATTTCAAAGAAATATCTCCATAAATAGGAAAGTTGGCATTGCGCAGTCCCATTCCGCAGGGACTGGGCATGCGCACACATAATTTTTAGTATGTGCGCAATGTTTGCCTTTACTAGAAGCATCTGTGGTTAAAATTTCAAAGAAATATCTCCATAAATAAGAAAGTTGGCAATGCACAGTCTGCGCAAAATAGAGAGTGCAATAAAACTGTCTGAAATGGGCAAATATAGACCATAGCAGCTATCAATTAGCGAAAACCCGAAGTCTCTAGGTGTCCCAGGGGCCGAGATCTCGATGGAACGGACGGACGGACGGGCGGAAACACGAGCACATAAGCGTTACCTCAACTTCGTTGTGTTACGCTAAAAACCGCTCAGACCTAGATACGATATTTTTAACCAAAATTATACCACAAACTGTAAAACTCATCACCGTGTTATGATTTTGATTAGTTTTCACCTTGAAGTAGTTATCCTAGATAAGTCATATTAGTGACCGTAGTTAGGCAATGCCAAAAGTATATTTTATAAAAAAGCCATTCCTCTACGTCAATCGGATCGGCTTAAAATCGATATACGCACGGACAAGTTTTCAAGCGGCGTTAGTTATTTCGCAAATGCTAATTAAACGCAACCACTACGGGCTTAATGAATGTCCATTGCGCCAATAACTCGACAAGACGGAGATAATGCAAAAAACCGGACCTCTCTACGATGTCTAGATCAAAAGTTTTTCAATCCGCCCAGCCAGCCAGCCGGACAAAGTGAAATGATAAGCTCCTTTTTGTTACCAAAAATGCGCTAAAAATGCTTACCACTAATAATTATGTGCCGCCATCTTGGAAATGGGCGGTCATGTAGCTAGCGTTTTTATATAACACCCTTATAGGAGAAAAATGCTTACCACTAATAATTATGTGCCGCCATCTTGGAAATGGGCGGTCATGTAGCTAGCGTTTTTATATAACACCCTTATAGGAGCATTCATGCTTGTATTATCATCTAAAAGATACACGGAGGGCAGCTGATCACTTGAACAAATGAGAGCACAGCTTAACAGCTGAAGAGCATGGTGCCTAGTCTGACCATATCCCACTTACTCCTCACACAACAAAGAAAAATGATAGAGCACATTCTGAAGCAGGCAAAACCTAGGCTTAAACACGTGCATATGGCAGGTTCTAAGAAAATAGCAAGACGATAGAACTGCCCATCTAATTATAATGATATGTTATCCCTGGTAAAGAGCCTAAAAAAGACAATGTGTTCCCAATGGATGACAAATTTCCTTCTTACAGCACCCTTGGGCGTGTTAAGCAAAAGGTTTACCTCCCCTAAGGCAGCTGTTGCACTGATCTACACAAACTCAACACAGAGCATATGAAGCCAGCTATTGTTTCATATTGTTGAATAATGCAAAATTTAAGAGATTCACAGTGAAAGAGTGAGTGATTTCCCGTCCGGCATCATCCAAAGTTACCTGTTCGGCCGCTTTTAACTTGGCGCATTCCTCGCGAAGTGCGTCGACGCTCTCCTCCAGGGTGCGCTTCTTATTCTCCGCCTCGCGCATCGACTCCTGAAGACTTTTCATGCGCGCCTCGTGCTGCGAGATCAGCAATCGACACTCGCTGAGCTCCTTCTCGTAGTCGGTCACCTTGCGATTGCTATCCTGCTGAGATCCCTCGAGCTCGTGAAGCCGCTGCGTTAGGTTCGTCACCTCGCTTTTCATACGCGAGATGTACAGGCGGGCCACGGTAAATTCCTCCTCCAATTTAGCTGCGTCGTTGGAAATTTTTAAGTCTGCACCGTCGCCTCCTATTGTAGCACCGATTTCGCCCAATTCCTTAAGAAGGTTCGTAAGCATATCACTGATTCGCTTCTTTTGGTGGGTGCTCATGTCTTTCAGTTGCTGTAATTCGGAAGCCGTCGTATTCAGAGATGTTTGTTTCTGCATTAACTCTTCGGATAATGATTCCATCTAAAACGGAAGAACTCGGTTAGTATTACTGCAGATTTAAACCGTACTGGATCAATCGTCACATTATAATCGTGCAATCTTTACTGTAATGGTTCGACGAGAATGTGACCAAGCAGCATTGGTAAAACTGCCAAAAACTAATCCAAATTAAAATAATCATCTCACCTTTACACGATCCTGGAATGCAATAAATAAGAACAAAATTAATATTAAAAGTAAATACAGTAGGCGCTCAGTAATCCGGCACTATTCACTTGTTTTACCAACTGACCTTGACAGCGAAACCGCGTGCGTCGGTCGCTTAAAACAAGATGGCGGACTTTTTGTACCTACTTTAGTACTCTTACTGTAGGAATTTATTTCCCACATACTACATGTAGGATATCAAAATCACCCCATCCATTTCCATATTAATCCCCAGCATAGGCGAAAAAATTTGGGTGCCGGTTTACCGAGCGCCTACTGTACTGATCGAATTAATACCGAAAAATCTCATTTTGTCAAAACTAAATTTCAAGGTCTGTAGCGCGGTATCCAAAATGTATCCTTTTCTTTTTTAAAAATAACTAAAGAAATACACTCAGATACACTAAATTGCCTTTATTATAGCACCCAATGCTACAAGAGGTATAATCATCATTAAGGAACTCAACAATCACGCGCATTTGGTAGCAACGCCCATAAAAGTGCAAAATTTTATTCTCAGCACCCAACACATGTTTGGTTAACTTTTCCAATTTTCTAATAAAAATTTTCCGCACCTTTGTTTAGGGGTGCGCAATCTGAATTTTATAATTTTTTGTATAAGATCAGAAAGAAGGGCAGATCCACAAATACAGCTGGGAAAAAAATTAAAAAACGCAAGTTTTGGGCCTGTGGTTAACTGCCATAATTGCGAATTTAAATAAAATAGTTTCAAGATGGCGCCGATTCCGTAAATACCGGAAGTGGCGCCATCTTGATTTGTTGAAATAGAAACATACCATTTTCTAATTTTTTCTAAATGCGCTATTTTGTTCTGAAGTGAACGCAAGTTGTCAACTTTTCTCTAAAAATTTGAAGATGCAAGTGTCCATTCAAAAATTTATCTCTTAAACCGTTCATTTTTAGAAATTTATTTGTAAAAAAAGGGGCTTGTAATCTCACATTTTATCCGGCTGATTGGCAGCCATGTGTACCTACTGAAGCCGTGCAATAAACAACTTTAAGGGCGTCGGTAGGTGATGTGGGGTCGGCGACATCGGCGCGCCATCCGCGAGCATGTTATACTATCGTGGTGATTTTTCGATTTTTCCTTCTATAGTTTTGGTCCGATTGGTGTCGTTGGAAAGATCTTGCAAACGCGCACAACTGCGTGACGGAATTTTGGACCAATCGAATCCTAGGAATTTTTTTAGTGACCGCTCAAAGTCTTGAAATCATTTCTGGCATCAGAAATAGTAGTTGCAATTTGAAAAACAAGTTTTTGACATTTTGTGATTTGAAAAATCGCAGCAGCTCTGAAAACTTGTTCAAGACTTTCACAGCTCACTCAACAAATTCCTTAAATTTTTAGGACTCGATTATAAAAAGAGCACTCACTCACTTATCTTGAACAGCTTAATTGATATGAATTTTTTAATAGATCGTTTTTAGAGAAAAATTAACATACCTATGTCAAAAACTATGACAGATAGGTACTTAAATATTAATTGCGTTAAATTCAGAATAAAATGGCGCATTTAAAAAAAACAAAAAGAAGACGTCACTTTCCGGTATTTACGGAAGCGGCGGCATCTTGAAATTATTTTATTCCATTCGCAATGATCGATTATGGCTGTAAACGAAAAGCAGTATAAAAATGTGACAACAAACTTGATTTTTCTTGTCTTACATCACAAAAACCAATACTTCAATCCTGCAGACATGAAAATCAATTACCTTTTCCCAAATTGTACTTTTATTTTTTATAAAAGAAAATTAAATATCCGCATGTGTACAATCAACGTGGGGCTGTAATTTGACTCAAAGATGCTCCTAATATGTCGTGCCTACACACCGTGTCCAAGATAAGGATTTCTATCATGGAGATCTCCGACACCATAGACATACGATAAATAAACCTGTTTCAACAGGATGGCGCACTCGCGCACAACGCCCAAATCGTGCAAGACCTATAGGACAAATTTCGTGAAAAACTTTTCCCTAATTTGAGTATTGTATCTTTTATGGTTTCCAAGATCCCTGTGATAGACGGACACAGTATACAAAACAACGGAAAAATGGGGGGTGGGGCAACAAAGAAAATGTAGGCCTTAAATACCGGAAAATGCGCTCAATGAAAAGTAAAAAGAAGACACATTCACTAGATAATAATTGTATCTTTCTCTATCAGATTGCGCAATAATAATGGGACGTTTAAATCCGTAAGAAGCAACATACTTACCTCCTTATTCTTAGCGTCAACCTCTTGCGACTTTTGATCGTAATTAACAGCGAGCTCCTCGAGAGCTTGCAGTACTTCTTTAACCTCCTCTTTGGCGGACTCGTTCTCCTGTTGAATACGATTCATCTCACCTTGAAGCGCTTCGTAATCGCGTCTCGTACTAGCTATAAGCTCGTCTTGCTCTAAAATTTGATCCTTTAATTTTTCTACATATTGGCTATGCTGATTAATCTCTTCGTCCTTCTCGTCCAACTGTTGATACAATCGCTCTCTTTCTTGCTCTAACTTCTGTCGTTCTTCGCTGCTCATCGTAGAGCCTATCATTAAAGCGGGGGTTGCTGGCATTGGACCTAAAGTACACGTTAGAAATACAGTCGTGCAAAGAGGCGGGCGTACCTAGATTATTAGTTTCGACGATGCTCTCCTCCATCGCGGCGACGGGAGTCGTAGCGTCATCGAGCAAGTTCACCTGCTCTTCCACCTTAACCGTTTCGCCGCTTCGCCAACGGTTAAGCTCCATTTCGAGTTTCTCAACTCGACCCTTAAGCCGACCGACCTTCTCCTTCTCCTTTTCGTAGCGCCGTTTCCATTCCTCCGCCGTAAGTTCCTCATTAACACACACGACGTTCTTGACAGTCTTGGCCCTAAAGACAAATTATGCAATGGCAGAAACAAAAGTGCTCGGCTACCTTTTTCCAAACTCCAAGGTGGACTTCGTTTCTGATTCGTTGAAGCTAGCTGGCGAGCAACAAATTACAATTGTGGTTCTCGCGTTACCTCCCAGAGATTCTTGTAAGATACGGGTCAGTTTGGAATCTCGATACGGTATGTGCGTTTTGTTTCCGTCGGCCAATGCGCTGATTACGTTTCCGAGCGCCGACAGTGACTTGTTAATATTTTTCGCCTCGTCGAGTACAGTACCTTCGGCGCCAGTCTTTGAAACCTTTTCCGAACCCGCCAAATCGACCAGATAAAGTTTACCCGATAGTTTCTTTTGGTTTTCTAAGTTCTCCTGTTTAACGTTAATTAAAAATACAGAGTGGGAACGTGACGAGTGTTCGTTCATGTCTGAAAAGTGAAATTAGATAGGTAGTGATGATGGAGGGCATATAACGTACTTGTGACGGCAATGTGGCGATTCGATTTTCCCTCCTCTATTGATTCGAATACTTCCTCGGGACTCGAAACGAAACGTTCTGTTGCACCTTTTACATAAGGAACTCGGTTTTTGTCTTCGTGTACGCTTAAATTTACTTTAGAAACGTCGAGGAGATCCCTAATTTTGTCCATGTAAATTTCGAAATACGACACTTTTATGTGAAATTCTAAATTTTCTTCCATAGCGTAAATGTGATTAAAGATATCGTTGACGATGCGCGGAATTATACCTTGCTTAGACGGATCACCTTAAAACGATTATTTAGTTGCGCATGCGCCGTTTATCGGACAACTTACCGATCACTCCTTCCATCGTGTGTGTTTTACCGGATGACGTTTGACCGTACGCAAAAATCGTACCATTGTATCCTGCCAGAACGTCCGAGACAATACTTTTAGCTGCCTCGTTGTATACTTTTTCTTGAGTTGCATTAGGCTTAAAAACTTTATCGAAGAGATAGACTTTACCCTGTTAAAAATACTTGAGATAAATCGACGGTATCTCATCGTTCAATCAAAACAAAGAATCATTGATAAAGGGGTTGCACTCGCGCAAGTACCTAAAGCGTCCTTTCAAACACGAGCGTACAAGGGTAGTTCATTAAAAAACAAAGCAAAAATAGTACACAAAGAAATCTTTATTCAAATAAAAATAAACATATGGGAAATTTAATTTTTATAGCTTGCACTATCGTAAATTCGTAAAAACTCGCCGACAAACATTGCGCGTGGAGTAACGGCCATTTCTTTTCGAGTTAAATGAGTTTCCCTAAAATTACCTCGTTTACACTCTTGCGCCCGTGCGATTTTAGATCTTTCGCATCAAACGCAAAGACGATCTTGATACGGCAAGCCTAGTTGTCCGCTTGCCAGATGATTGACCAGGATTCCGTTTATTCTTTGCTTTGCTCTTATAACCTTGGACGACTCGCGACTGGTTCAAACTCGAATTTTTGACACACGACCTAATTACACTCTCTCTCCTCCCTCCCACTCCCTCCACAATAGACCAAATAAAAATTAAAATAAAATGATGATGGAAGAGTTCGAATTCTATGAAATAGGGAAGATAACACACTGTACAGGGTGGCCAAATAAGAATTCGAGGTACTGTATCTGGGAACCTGTCCATCGTAGAGGCTTGCGGGAAAAAAATTTATTACTAAAACGGTCACGAGAGAAACCTGGAAAATATTTTTAAGTTTCTGAAATGGCCGCTAGGGGGCGTAACTGCAATCTGAAATTTTAAAGTCACTAGATATACAGTGCCACCATGCTCAGAAAAGCCCCGGAAAATATGCGAACTAATTTTGAAATAATTCAAGCTGGCCAATAGAAAGTCAGCAAAACGACGCGATACATTCCGCACCATAATTATTAATTATTCCGTTTTGACAGTTGACGCTTCACGTTATTTTAGTTTACACTTTTCCTGTTGTATTTGCTTTATTTTACGTTTTCCGTCTCCAGTTTTATACAAACTCGTCTCCTTCAAGACGTATATAGCTTGGATCTACGATCTGATAGGGTATGTAATTCCCTTAAAGTGTTTTTAAATTTTGCATCAGAATGTACGGTCTAAATTTCTAGCGCCCTCGGACACGCCCTGTCAGGGACTTTCTGAGCGTGGTGCCACTTGTAGAAAGTACCGCAATCATCCGCCATTTTTGGGCAAATTTGCTGCCAACTTAAAAAAATTGACAAATAAAATCTGAATATCTGTAATTTTTTTATAACCTAACTTCATAGTACTGTCATGTTTTATAAAAATATATACAGATCAATGAATAAAGAATACCAGGAAGGAGCATTACTCAGGTTGTATACAAGAGACAGTGCGACGGAAGTCGGCCATTTGCAAAAGCCACTTATGACTCATTTTTGTTGTGGTTTTTGCAGTGACATAAAATAATGGTTAGTTGTTGTGCTTGTGGTTTCTCCAAAACGGAAGTTTGGGAATTACATTTCATGTGTAAGTATTGATACCAATATTATTTTTATATAGTACATGTAAATTTACAAATTTTTTATCGGAATATAGTTTGAGGTTTGTTAAACAAAAGTCATAAGCGGAGTAGACACATGGGAGTTTACATTGTTTTCGTGTAAAATTCTTTATAATTCTATCCTTCTACAACTGTAAGGTAGGTACGCCACTGGAACAAGAGACTACTGTCCGCCATTTGCAAAAGCCATCGCGGTCGCACGTATATTGTTGATATTCTCCTTCCTGGTATTCTTATTCATTGATACAGATATCTCCAAACAGGTGGAACAATCCCTAACATTAAAGTTATTAGAATCTGGTAACTTCCGCCATTTTTGGGCAAAAATCATGCGTTCTCTCTCTAACACACGAGCCCAATGGATTGCGGTACTTTCTATATTTAGTGACTTTACTGAAATTTAAAAAAGTGTTTTTTGTGTGAATTCCACTATATTAACCTAACAAAAAAATGTCCGGTCTTTGAAGACGACGTTAATTTGAACCTTTTTTGTTTGACAATTTTTCCTGTATCTCTAAAAATGAAGTGGTGGGGAGTATTCAAAGGTTTCCGTAAAGAACACCCTGTATCTTCGAAAAGAAATGAGCCGATTTTAACAAACTCGGGTTAATTGAAAAGAGTTATTCTTCGGCTACAAATATTACAATATTTGAAATTTTGTTAGTTTCACATATCGCCGCTTGAGGGCTTTTTTCGACATTCCGACAGAAATGGTTAATTTTCTAAAAAAAATTAAATGCGATGGTTTGATTTTTTTTCATAAAAAGTACCTAAATGATGCCTAAACAAGCTCGCGAAAACCCCATCTCGATATCTTGTTCCTAACCTAAAATTTAGGCCAAAGAAAATTTTATACCCTCAAAATTTTATTTTTTTAAGCTAATTTTTCCGACATTATTTTGATTATATAATTTGTGGCCCTAAGGTGGATCGATTTAAAAAAGGAAGCTTTTAATGCCGCCGTAAATGCTCGAAATGCCGGCCATCACGATATAAAAAATATATATATATATATCTCAAGATATTGAGATGCTGTTTTCGCGAACTTGTTTAGGCATCATTTAGCGACTTTTTCATGAAAAAAAAATCGAACCAATGCGTTTAATTTTTTTGAGAAAATTAATCATTTCTGTCGGAATGTCGAAAAATCCCTCAAGCGGTGATATGTGAAACTAACAAAATTTCAAATAGTATAATATTTGTAGCTGAAGAATAGCTCTTTTGAACTAACCCGAGTTTGTTTAAATCGGCTCAGCCGTTTCAAGGATACAGGGTGTTCTTTACGGAAACCTTTGAATACCCTCCACCACTTCATTTTTAGAGATACAGGAAAAATTGTCAAACAAAAAAGGTTCAGATTAACGTCGTCTTCAAAGACCGGACATTTTTTTGTTAAGTTAATATAGCGGAATTCACAGAAACATCACTTTTTTAGATTCCAGTAAAGTCACTAGATATAGAAAGTACCGCAATCATCCGCCATTTTTGGGCAAATTTGCTGCCAACTTAAAAAAATTGACAAATAAAATCTGAATAGCTGTCATTTTTTATAACCTAACTTCATAGTACTGTCATGTTTTATAAAAATATATACAGATATCTCCAAACAGGTGGAACAATCCCTAACATTAAAGTTACTAGAATCTGGTAACTTCCGCCATTTTTGGGCAAAAATCATGCGTTCTCTCTCTAACACACGAGCCCAATGGATTGCGGTACTTTCTATATTTAGTGACTTTAGATTCCAGATTGCAGTTACGCCCCCTAACGGTCATTCCAGAAACTACAAATATTTTCCAGGTTTTGCTCGTGGCCGTTTTAGTAATAAATTTTTTTACTGCAAGGCTCTACGATGGATAGATCCTCAGATACAGTACCTCGCATTCTTAGTTGGCCACCCTGTACATAACTTGTATTTGTATTAATTCCTGTAACAGACCTTTTGTTGATGGCGGCCAGAAGATCCTCTATGCTCTGTAGAAATGAAAATTTGTTTGAACTTCTGTTTTATATCGTGTAAAACGTAAGAAAAAGGAAACAAATATCAACTTGCAGTTGTTCACTGTATAGTAAAGGTGCGGGGTTTATCCTCGGGTTTATCATAACTCGCCAGAAAATGTAAAGCAACAAAAAAAAACAAATGAATATATGTAGTTTGGTACATTTTTAATAGAACACTGTATATTTTTTAACAATTGAATAGATTTGCTTTTCTGATTTAAAAAATTTTTCTCGAGATTTTTCTATTCCACATCTCGATTCTACCAAAGAAAGTATGAAGATAAAATTTGATACCTGATAACTTATTTATGTATTCTTGAGTGGTTAATGAAATCGGAGGTTGGCCAATTAAAACGAATATTCTCGAGAATTTATGGGAAATATTCACTTAAATTTTCGGTGTGTGAATATTCCCGAATATTTCAAAATTCGTTTGGAAATATTCGCGCCCCACAATGCTACTTGCCGGCAAGATAAAACAGGAACATAAAAAAATACAAACAAAAAAAATTTAACTTGGAGTGCGAGATTTCACCTCACCCATGGCCAGGAAACCTACTATGAAAATAGAAAATCTATAGTAGTCGACTTACCTATCGATTTTGCCACCCATTAATCGAAAAACACGAATATTTTCGTTTGAGGCGGTCAATCGTTGATCTTGATCCCAAAACTTTGCCAGTCTCCCTTACCATTGTCGATATGAATGGCAAACATAAAATGCGTCAATTGGGCAACCAAACAAACTAAAATGATCAGACCCCCTCAGTGATCCCAAACAATTGATCGTGTTCCTTCGAAGAATGAATAAATGGAAAATTGTCTGGATAAATCATAATGCAATAAATCCGCAGATAATGGCTCATGAACCGACTAGAGAAGAGATTTTGAAAGGCCTGAAGACTACTTCAGTTGGTAATAATTGATAGTGCTGAAGGAATCTTGAACCCTCGTCACGTTAATAATTCACGAAAAAAACGCGATTATTGATTTTCCGCTATTCTATACCTTCACGCTTTAAAACATTGCGACATACTTTCGATTAGAAATCAAATTAAGAAACATTCAATCTACGGGTTTTATGTGGTCGTGCCAAGGTAATTAAAAAGGCGTAATGCAGTAAAGCGCGCTTACGCCCTCTGTTCATAAAAGTGAGAAGGGTTAATAATCACTCGATGGACCCCCGTATACGCGTAACCTTAACAACGTTAAAAGGCTTTGTAACGTACAAAAGCGGTTTTTTGTTGATGGTAATTAACTTCTTATTTAATTCAGGAAGTACCTGAGTGATTTCCGTTCCGCTGAGTGAGCAGACGTAGCCTACCTGTTTATGACTTCTGGCTCCAATAAAAGTTGTATATAATGACGTCCAAAAAAGGACTTTACTTCTTACCGTTATCAAAAAGAGATTTCTAAAAATAAGCTACGCTAAATCTAACCAAAAGGAACGCAGTGTCAAGGACATTTTCGTATTGATTCAATAGGAAATGGCGCATTCACAAAACGGAAAAACTACCCTCTTTTCATTTTGCCAACTATGATTTTTACTATGTGACTGCGGATAACCTAATTTTGTATTAATTATGTCATACGCTGAAAATGTGCATTACTCAGAATGTCCCCAATTACCAAGCTTTAAAAAAGGATCCGTTTAATTATAGACGCGTGTAACCCCTCATTCAAAAAAGGAACAAATTACGCTCGTGGCCACCCATGCAATTATTTTTATTTGCCGCGAGCACGCAAGTAAATCGGATCTACACTTTTTTTTAATTATCGCAATTAGTGTCGGCGAAACATATGATTCGAATAGTGCGGACCGACTTTCACGAAATCGCCCAAATGCAACAATTTTACGCTCCACAGCCAATTTTCGCAAAAAACAATTGAACGAAATGACGTCGATACCTCCACTTAATCATCACAGACACACACCGCGAGCACCACCCCTAATTCGCCAAACAATGAAAACTCCGATAAATAAAACTCAAACTTACGGCGATCGAAATGCAATTTTCTTCCGGTCCCGATGGAAATTTCACTATAAATTTCGAACCAGCCTTTTCTTCTGAATCATTCAAAGGCCGAAACCTACATACGACTTTAATACTGTCTTCCGCTGGTATCTCGCGCTCCTCCGCCGTCATCTTGTCGCACTCTAATCACACACAAAACTATAACAAATAAATATTTAACTAATTAAACTTAAAAATTAAATCATTTGTATCAAAAGGTTGCGATTTCTTCTAGGACTGACGTTTCTACAACGATCGATCAGCCATTTTGACTACGATGTGGATGCATAAAGAAAAGAAGCACCGTGCTGCCATCTATTGATTTTACGTTACCCTTTCATAGTTAATTACTAATCCTCAATTAGTATTATTTGCATTGGTAATGAGAACTCAGGCCAATCCAATTTAGGCTTTCACAATTAGCATTGCGTTTGATTAAAATAAGTACCTTATCTCTTTCGCCCTTCGGCTAGGGACGTAACGAAAGTGTACTTAGTATACGAGGAGTGTTCAATAAGTAACGGGCGATCAAAAAAGAGTGGCGGTCGGACTCATTTTTGATTACATAGTACTCGCTACCCATTTTTTGACAGGGTATGTCCGACGGGGAAGGGGCGTTTAAACACTCTGTACCTTCGATTTTTTTCTGAAGCTCTTGATAGGTTCTGAAGTAGTGATAGTCTCTTCCAGAGCTGGGCAGTATTCGATTTTGTAAATACTTTTTAGTATTCAAATCCTTTAAAGTATTCAAATACTTTGTAATTAAATAGGTACTTTTATGGAAGCAGTATTTGTATTTGTAACTCAAATACTTTCACAAATATTTAGTATTCGAATACTTCGCAAAGTATTTGGATACTTCAACTTCGTAATGTATTCGAATACTTCGCAAGGTATTTGAATACTTTAAGAAGTACCTATTTGAATACTTCGCATAGTATTTGACTACTTAACCTTCCTTTTTTTTACCAAAAATCGACTGCACCAAAATTTCTCGGGAAAACACTTTGTCTTATTAATTTTGGTGCGTAGAATCCAAAACAATTCGTACTTTTTCGATCAGACTTCTCAATCAAAAGTTATAGACTAGAAACCAATTTAGAAAGAAAATTCAAAGGGCTGTAACTTTTGAACTAGTAGCCCAATCTTGGAACTGTTTGAAATTATGGATTCTACAGGCCACATTCTATAAGAAAATGTATTTTCCCTGTCGATCTGAGACACTTTTTTTTCGCGCCTCAAAAAAAGGCAGTGTATAACCTTCCTTTTTTACCAAAAATCGACCACACCAAAATTTCTCGGGAAAACACTTTTTCTTATTAATTTTGGTGCGTAGAATCCAAAACAATTCGCAGTTTTTCCAAATTTTTCGGGAATTTATAAACAGTAGTTGCAAAAGAAAGGAGGTAGGCACAATGAGACTTTGGTGTCTTAAGAGGTGCCTGGTCAAGGTCTTCTAAAGAATAAATGTTCAAGCTCAAGTTGAAGGCCATACCTTCAAAATATAGGGATAATCAATGCAAATTCTGGAGCATATCGGAATGAATTGGACTATTGCAATTTGCTACTGTTTGCAAGGTGTCTTATGTTGTCTGATCTCCAGACTGCATCTCAAGAAAACCTTTACGAAGTTTATGAAAATAATTAGCACATTTTGTCCTATATTTAATGAAACAAAATACATTATCAGTAAATATTTTAAAAACAATGAACTCTTCAAACTTTATTCATACTATAAATAAAAGTACAAAAAACAAATTTGAAGGCTTTTTATATTATTCCAATTTTATTAGCGACGTCGAGCGCATCATAATCGCGCGCTAATCGAACGTACGCCTTCTTTTTACCGTCGGGTCTAATGAGGGTGTTAACTTTCGCGACGTTAATATCGTACAGTTTTTTAACCGCGGCCTTTATATGATGTTTATTCGATCGCGTGTGCACTAAGAATACCAATGTGTTATTATCTTCGATTTTCTTCATCGCCGCTTCCGTAGTTAGCGGATACTTGATGATGTTAAAAGCGTCCATGCGGCTCCTGTGCGGAACGGACTTCCTCGGATATTTCGGATTTCTAGGCGCGGAGAAGGTTTTCGGTCTTCTAAATTGAACGGACGTACGGATCTTTCTGACTCTTATTCCATTTGGACCTTTGATTACCTGCAATTACAAAATTGTTTATAACGTGAGCACAATACACCGAAAGTGGCTTTATTTAGTTACAAAATCAGCCGAGTAAATGTTTTCAATAGATTTCAAAGAGATTCTCAAAGAATCATCACTATGAGAAAGAAGCGCACGAAATTATAAGACACCTACCTTCTTTTGAACTTTGAGGGCCTTAGTGACTGCTTGCTTGAATTTACCAACACCGCGTTGCTGTTTAACGGGCACATTCTTTTTCGGTTTACCTGCGGCAGTGGGTTTCTCCAAGGATTTTCCCTTATCTGCTGCTTTCACCTTCTTCTTTCCGGCAGCTGCTGCTGCTCCTTTGGCTGCAGGTTTCGCTGCTCCTTTCGCCTTCGCGGCACCTTCCTTAGGTTTGCCGGCGGCCTTAGCTTTTGTGGCAGTGGTAGCTTTAGCCTTCGCTGCCGCAGCGGTTTTTGTTTTAGGAGCACCAGGTTTAGCAGCGGCCGCTTTCTTGTCCGCAGGCTTCTTGTCAGCAGTTTTCTTATCGGCGGGTTTTTTCCCAGCCGAAGTCTTCTTATCAGCAGGTGCTTTTTTGTCACCTCCTGCCTTTTTGTCAACGGGTTTCTTATCAGCCGGTTTCTTCTCAGTGGAAGGTTTCTTTTCAGGCGCTTTCTTGTCACCAGCAGGCTTCTTTTCTGCAGGTTTCGCTGCAGCTGCTTTAGGTGCAGCGGCGGCAGGCTTCGCTGCGGGTTTAGCCGCGGCCGCCTTTGGTGTGGTTGGTTTATCACCAGCCGCCGGCTTAGATGCTGCAGGCTTTGGTGCAGCCGGCTTTGTAGCTTTCGACGCACTTGCTGCTTTCGTCACTCCACCAGACGCGGTCGCTTTCGGGGTTGAACCAGAAGGGGTCGAGCCCGGCTTCTTTTCTTCCTTTTTACCACCTATTCCGCAATAACAAAATTACTAATAGCTTAATAGTAAGGTTAACGCTAAAATACAGCTATGACATGTGGGTAACCGCGTGGCGTGCAAAATTTAGCCGGCGCAAATTAGAAGTTCGCGGTTACGCTAAATTATTAATTGTGAGATTTAAGGAAACACAAAAGCTTCCCTTTTCAGTTTATTGCAAGTATTTTCGAAGTAAAGGGAATTTTTACTCACCAGATTTGTCACCTCCTTTCCCCTTCGTGGGCGCCATGTTTATAAAAGAATGTGGCTCACTGTCGGAGGAAGTTAATCTACAGGAAAAACTAATATGGCGGGAATGATACTGTTTGAATCAGCATAGACGTATTTTAGTTAAAAGGAATTTAAAAAACGAGATCTTTAGTAATAATGAAGAATGAATTTCCATTTCAAAAAGAAACAATTTAAAATGTAACGGCGTGTTGCTACGATAGTTACGATATCATAAATTACAGAATAAAAATTAGGATGTGACTATTGTACAGCTTTCGGGATTTAGGTAGTATTAGAATTTAGTATACAGGGTAAACCAACTATGTTCTATTACTTTTTTAATTGTAATTAATTCTGAACATTTATTTGCAAATAAATAATCTTTGACGTTCTCTCACTGATTTTTACATACATCTACTCTGTCTAGCAACCACACGGATCAAAAATATATCAATGCATATGTTGTTAATTGGTGTTAAGAGTATAATCCGAATTTATCCTAGTTCTTACTTTTAGAATTCCTTATGTATACTTACTTTGGAAGAAACAAGTGTGGAGGATACTACAAACGAACATGTGAGTATGTACTTCATTTTAAGTCATAGATTTTGCGTTTAATCACTGAAGACTGGAATCATGAACATCAGATTAGGTATACATACATTAACTTCAACACAGCAGAGCCTAGATGAATTGTTCATGCAAAATTTCTTTATTTATTTATAAGAAAGTAAAATAATCTCTCATACAATGTTAATAGCAATAGTCCGGCCTATATAAATCGGCAGTTACACAGCAAAGTTCCTTTTTGTCCTTTTATTCGAATGTAGAGGCGTCCATAAATCTCACTTTTTTTAAGAAATTTCTGCCACAAACATATCACCGTGACATACGACAGATATACCACCGAAACAAGATCAAAATCACTAACTGCAGTGGTATCTTTAACATGGGGTAGGTAGTAGTGATTAACAATATCAATATCAACTTAAATAAAACAATTAGATTCTATATAATACTTAATAGACATTTGACACATGTCCTGGCATATTTGACTATAAAATTAAAGCCCTGCATAATGAGTATTAGGTACACTTCGTCTAGAAGATTGAGAACCTTTCACATTTTTATCTTCATTTTCTTTTACATCTCTACAAGAACAAATTAAACAAATAGTTGCAGTTGTAAATACTCACTTAAAAAATGCTAAATGTTGCTCTAATAAATATCGATTATTACAATGAGCAAGTTCAGGCCAGTGAGATAAGATTCTTCGTAAATATGTCTGTAGACGCTTTCGTCGATTTTCGACAAGAGCCGAATCCTAAAACGTAATTGAAGCTCAGCACACACACGCCGGAAGTGAGACCAACCTTTTTTCCTATACTTTTTTTTGGCGGGAAATCAAAGGCCGCTACCGCTGGGTCCAATTTCTTTAAGTCGGAATGCAAAGCGTGAAATTGAGCATAGCGCCTGTAAATATTCCACTCGTCTGAACCCGCACGCAAAAATATTTGGTAAACGTGATGTACATCGGAGCCGGTACCTAAACGGATTATAGATTTATTAGAAACTTCTGTGGCAGTTGAAGTAACAAGAAACCATTCTAGTCGTGATGAGCAAACACCTAAAGAGAAACTATAAATCTTATTCTATTTCAAATGAAAGTAATTATTAATGGTTATGCAAATGCAAATCCTTATAAATTTTTCCGTAGTTAAGCAAGTAAATAGTAAAAAAAATTGGACTGTTTGCCCAATAGGTCATTCAAACCTCGTTTCATATTCACTAATTATAGATAGAATAAGATTTGCACTTTCTCTTGTAGCTCTTATAGCTGATGGTGACAGTTTTGCTGAACTGTTTTATTCTGATTTCTTAGTAATTTTTTTGTCACATACAAATTTGATCACCTGTTAAGAAAGCAGATGGAATCCAAATGTTCACACTGCAATGGTCATCTTCGGCCAACGCATCCATTGGTCCCCTCAGTTCCTCCAACTCCTTAAGGAGGCGTTCTAAAGTGACGTCCTTTTTATGCAAGCACTGTTGCAGATGAACATTAAAATCCATCAGCTCCGCATGCATTTCGGCAACCTGAACGAGCTTCTGCTCGAAAACCTTCGCCTCCGTTTTATAGTCGGGAATATGAGAACCGTCCAATTGCAAACCCTCCAGGGCCTTGCGCAGGTTCCCGTCGTCCCGCCTAAGCATTTGAATGGCGCCGACGTACTTCTTAAGCTGTTCCTTTAAGCTGTCGTTCTCCGCGTTCACCACATCCAAATGATCTCTCAACTTCGAAATTTCCTCCTTATTTTTGTTCTCCACCGCAATCAACACGGCGCTAATATCAGTCGGCACTTCGATTATATCATCGGATACGTCGGGCGAATCCGAGCATTCGTCCTTTCCCACGAGTACGGGTGTCAGCTCGCCGACTCCGGCATGCTCGACGGGTGTTAAGGTTCCGTCGGGTTTGAACGAGAACTTCTCCTGAGATCCGCTAGTTTCCAGGCTCAGTTTGCGCGTGGGCTTGTCTTTTTTGGGCGGCGTGTCACTGGGGAGCGTAGGTAATGCGGCGCTATTATTGTCCATGGTTTGTTTGGCAACATGAGGTTCGCTACCAGAAGAGTTATTATCGGAAGTTATGCTGCTAGAAGTTGATGGAATGCTGGACGATAGCACGCTGTCGTCTTCGTCAAATGATATGATCTGCTTAGCCACCTTTCGCTTTTTCGTACGATCTTTGCCTAAATCTATGAAAATCGATATGTGAGCAAAGTGACTACTAATACATTATTAAATCTTGTGTTTTTAATAAGATATCTCCGTTAATTGTGAAAAGAAATTCCATTAAAAATGATTAAGCTAAGACTTCGTTTTGCTTTTTGAACAAAAATCGAAATTTTGAATAATTTATTGAGATGCAGTTATATTTTCATTCGCACAAATTGATTTTTAGTGTTACACAATTTGAAATGTTTTGTGGATTTTTTTTGCTTTTGTTGTCTTTCGTAATTTAGTTCGTGTATGTGTAGGCTATGTTAGGGTTATTGTCCCAAAAAAGGTTTCCCTGAAATCGCCTGGCTGTGTGCGTAATATATTTTAAATGTTCTCGTCTTTTCTTACATACAAAATTATGAGTTTTTATTCAATTCAAGAAATCATTTGTGTATAAAAAGAGTCGCCAGTTTTAACACCGATTGCTACCAAGATTCGAAAGTGAGGTGAGACGTCGGTTGTTATGACATGAAAGTAACGGTGCCTCTGCTTGTGAGTATGGGGGGAGTCAAGATTGTAGTCTCGATTTCTGCTGCGAAGTACTGCGGACATTGTTATTACGAAAACGAAGAAACAATTACAATGATTTTTTTAAAATTTTTCCTTTACGTCCAATTAATAATGTCCACCTTCTTAGTAAAAGATGACGACATAGACAACATGTTACAAATAACTACCGAAACATTTCTTTAGTAATTGGTCACCGAAAGCGGTTGATGTAATGGGAGTCCTACCCACAATGCAGCACTGTCTGTATGGCTGCCTACATACGTATTCTCTTTCATTGATTGCATGATGCTATGTAAACATAATTAGTGATGACATCATAATACACTGATGACGTGCACGTAAACTAAGGAAAATCCTACTATAATTTGTTACATTGAATGTTACTTTGCTTTGTTATTAATAATTGAGAGTCGTGTGTTCAAAATATGTAAATATATACAGGATGCTCCATTAATCTTTCTAATTTGACCACTGTAATCCTAATAAAAAATGCTTGATCATTTCCATAGCTTCAATTATGAAAATTAACAATAGGAGGCGTAGAGATAACGTCGGAAATAAACTCTACATGTGGCCAACTCAATATTCCATTAGGTACATTTTTAAAAACACACAAATTATGGACGTTTTTAAGACCATTTACCTCTGATAGGTGCTTCAATAATCGGTTCCGGCTGTGTTTTCAATCGTTCCGACTTCTGCAAAGTGGTTTGGCTGTTTAGTTCGGGTTTGTCGATACTAACTGCGAATAAAATTGAACCTAAACCCGCCGCCATATTCGGCAACATGCTGTTCTTTTCGTCGTCACGCAACAGCGCCCAATCTTCATAGTGGCTACGTAAGAGGTCCCTGTTACTTAAAACCGTGTGAAAATTTCTTAAACAGAAGAATTAGAAGACCGAAATTATGCGAAGTTAGTTACCTTTCCAGTGAGCGTTCGTTTAAGGAAGACCGTATCCAGGCACGACCCCGACCGACGTCCGTCCAAATGTGTTTTAGAAGCTGGTATCTTTCCTGCTCGTGCTTTGTCAGGTGCTTGTTTATGAAACACCAAAACGCTGCTTACATTACTAAGAGTTAACGTGTTAATCGATTACTTACAGTTATGATCACTATTGATACTTAGTGTACTCGTCACGATATCAGAAACCTGTTTGAACGTGCTTGTCTGCTGCGAGTCATGCGGTTTGGTTCGAATACCGTGCAGAAAAACAGACTCCAAACTTAAGCACAAAGTGGCGACACAACTGTCAAATTCCGTAGCTAACTCCGATTTTCCACCGAATCGTTTCTGGCATGTTTGCACACATTCCAAAAGTTGATTTAACACCTTGGATGCATCTTCGGGTTTCTGTACAGTTGTAGTTATAGGAATGATTGCTGACATGAGCTTCAAAGACTAAACCAAGGGAATAAGAGGAACTTCAAAAATATCAATTTAAATGTTACCATAATTTATATAATATTCGAAATTTCCACATTGTACTGTCGCAAGTGATATTACAGACCTTTCTCAAAGTTTATGTTGAAATATATCACAAATAGAAACGTTTTCTGCATCAAATTACATCATACACCCCCTTTTACTAAAACGTAATAATAACATAGCAACCCTAACCTTGTTTTTTAATCTTTTCGTTTTTCTTTGTTTTTTTCGTCATGTAATACGAGACGCAATCAAAAAGTTTTCATTATGGCGGGGTAATGTCGTTAAATGGGATCGAGTTATAACTTTCTAAAATAATCATTTCAGCTCAATACCAGACAAATAGCTGGAAACGATTCCTCAAGGAGTTTCTGTCACAGCTCACAGCTGATTTTTCTTTTCTGTTGGGATCACTTGCACCTGCTTGATAGACAACCCATCGTACAGACCTCGCTAAATAAATCCCTACATTCGGCACACAGGATAAGCTAGGAGCAATTTTATTTCACTGAATGCATAGGGCTTATTGCAAATTTTGGGCACAATTTAGTCAGTTAGTAAATACAGTAATTTTTTTTAGTAATAAAATAAGTATTAATGTTACAGGTACCTCATCACCTTTAACCCTTTGTGTCTCTAGACTTTGACTAACTATCCCTTAGCCTTAGGGATAATGCACCTCAGATAGGGGGCTGTGACTTAACGGGAATTATTTCATAAATATTATTGAAATAACAAGTGCTATATCGGTAAACTTTTTTAAGTCATAGCAGACTATATGGTTTGTCAACTTAAAAATCTATTCTAATACATTGATAAAGAATAATACACACAATTACCTATCAGTCGTTCATAATGAATAATTTAATACACTACTTTTTTACAATGAAGATATAAAACTTGAATTAATATAGATACTTAAAATAGGAAAATATTTGCAAAAGTATACACTTGTTCGGAAAGTGTTAATACTGTGACACCATTATAGCAAATAGAAAAATATAGCAATTAGTGGATAGGCTTAAATCTTTAAACTGAAAACCATACTCAAAAATTGTTCATAATGAATCGTGATCACACCATCTTGGTCGGTATCAAACTGGCGGAATGAAGCAGTGAGTGTCTAAAAAATACACTGATTAACTTTGAATAGTGTAAACATGACACTTACATAGAGAATGATACAGCACTGAATGAAATCGTCGAATAAAATTGTACCATGGCCTTGCCTATCGAACTTTCGCATCAAAATATCCACAACACCCGGTGAAAGGCGATACCCGAAAGTGGTAAGAGCGTTACTCAACTCATTCTTGTCTATATTTCCCGAATTATCTCTGTCGAATGACCGGAAGCATCCCTGCCAGTCGGTGACGTACTTCCATAGCGCCCCGAAGTCTTCAAAGTTGACGGTACCTCGATTTTGCTTGTCGAACATGCCGATCATCAGTCGAACGGTTTCGGGGTTGAAGGGGCTCCAGGTGCCATTTGAGAGGGCGACTTGGAGTTCGTCGGCCGAGATGTATCCGCTTCGGTCTTTATCCACCCTGAAAGATGTGTAAGCATACGATTTGGAGGTTATATTCGAGTTTACCTTGAGAAAACGTCCCAGAGAAAGTCTCTGTTTGGCACGGGAGATGCGAACGACATTGTTTTTGAATAGTAGTGGACTTTTAATGAAAAAAACCCAATCAAGGATAATGAGCTATTAAATCACACTCACGTGACTCAATGACTGTACTGTACTGGTGAGGGGTGGGAGACGGAGACCAATGAAGTTCGCCGTGTTTGACACACAAGTGGTTGTCACGTGACGATGGATTGCATTGGTTAATTTCCCATATATATATGTTAATTTCCACATAGAGAAGGAAAGAGAGATTGTCTTCAATCCCATCTAAATTTAAACGTGACTCCCTCATAAAGATTGTGTAAATATAATTGGCACTTTTTTAAAAAAATCGATCACGGTGTAGCCTGTGGCATTACTCTTAACTCTAGATATTGAATTTTGAACGCCGATGTAAATACTAGATTCTAGAGGCTAGTTTAAGCTTGAGCTATAAGGATTTACTGGCAAAATTCAAGGCACTGTGTATATCATAATAACAATTATTATATGTACGTACAACGTACATACATATATGAGTATAAGCATATGTCTATGACAAAGACCCACAGTGACGCTGAAGCCTTTTCGAAGATCTGGTGCTTAATGGTTCACTTATATGGACGGATGGACTGAAACTGTATATATATATAGATACTGAAATTAAAACTTTCGCTGTATATATATAGAAAGCCCAATGGCAATTGCATGAACGAATTTTATAATGTAATAGTTCAAACGAACTGACGTTTCTTGATAAAACGCCCTATATACAACAAAATAACCGCCACCTATTGCACACTAGCATAAACAATTCAAAATGGTTTCTTTAAATTGTACCGAAAATTTAAATAATTACGATGATTTATTACAACATTTCACAAATTCAATGCGAATTATTGATGTAATATAGAGGTAAATCTCATTTTTTAAATTATTTACAATTTACAGCATTGCAACGACCTTAAAAAGCGAAACTCTGATTTCGTTAGCATTTCGGGGAAACTGCAAGAGGATGTTGAAAATCTACGAAAGTCTGAGAAAAACCTTACTGATCAGTTATGCGCGATGTGCGCAAGGAACGAGAAGAACGATCGTATTAGTAATTTGTACGGACAACTAAAAGGTGGGTACGTTTCTTGTTTTACTCGTAATTGATGTGCATACTCTCTGTAGAGAGTTATTCTAATCTGGAAAAGAGGTACAGTGAGTTGATGGAAACGAAAGAGCTCCTACAAGAAGAGCATGCCTTACAATTGACCAAGCTAAAAGATCGCTACGAGCAGCAGTACCGTTTAACTGAAGGGGATTTTAAACAACGGTTGGGGTCCATTAAAGCCCAAGCTGAATGTGAACGAAAGTTATTTCTTGAAAGAGGTAACAGAATGCACCCTTGAATCATTAAACATGTCTACTACTTTGTAGAGAGTCAGCTGTATAACGAATTACAGTTGGCACAAGCATCCACTGCTTTACAGGTTGACGAATCGGAAGGTAAAGTTGAGTCGTTAAAGTTACAACTGCGTGACACCCTCAACTCCCACAGCACATTACGTCAAGATTATTTAACTTTGAAAACACACAGCAAATACGAATTGGAGAATGCTAAAAAGGTAAGTTTCGATTCTTTGATACCAATTTAATTGTCCGATTATTGTTTGCAGTTTATAAGTGACTTGGAGCACAAGTTGCGCATAACCGAACAGCAACTGCGAATCAATCAAGAGCAGCTGCTTACTCTCAACACAAAATCTTCGGAGCCTGTTCATACGGTCAACCAAAATTATCCACCAACCACCACAACAAATAAATATAGCGCATTAAATATTAATACCTCAAGTGCGGGCTTCAAAAATCACCTGCCTGACAAATTCGAAGCATCCGACACTTATGTAAATAATATTAGAGGTGTGACAAAGGCGGTAGATCATATCGCAAAGGAGACCAAGAAAAGTTACTTGCCAGCCCTCAAGCCGTGCTCCAAACCGGGTCAGAAGCCACAGGTGCCCAAGAAACGTAAACTCTACACGCCCGGAACAGTCGATCTGGATGATTTCACAGAGATGCCGTGACTGTGTCGTGGACTAATAATTACAGACCGTGAACTGATTTTTATAGTTATTGTATTTAAAAATCTATTGTGGTATTATAAATAAATGTTTATATTCTCAAGTGGTTATTCCTATAGGTTGACTAGTGTAAGACTACATCATTGAGTAGGTATTTTTCATATACCTATCTAGGTACCTTGTGTATGCTAGATTAATAACTACCGATAATTAACATGGTAATTGGACCATTGCATTAGAACACAGTTTTTTGTGCAGAAATGAATAAAATTTATTAAGCATCGATGCAAGCTTTTTATAGGGTTTGTTTGCCCGTGAACATGATAACCGGTAAACAATTGGACCGATTAGGTTCAAATTTTGATTGCCCATGGCCCATATGCCACAAGCCTATTAAAAATGGGTCAAATCCCATGACCCATAGGGATACAAAGCTCTGCCGCTTTTCGAAATCCGTATTATAAGCGTTTTATTTTTAAATTAAAGAATGGAATTAGTGGCGACATCTCACGGAGGTGGGAAGCTTCTCAATCTAATTTGATAAGGTTCATCTGTGTCGCAAGAGAGGGCGACAACGTTCACAAAATTAAAAACGAAATGCTCCAAAACTAAAAAAAGGCACAAATAAACTAAAATGAAATAGATTATTTGTTGTAAACAAAATTAATCTACATTCTACAACTTGGGGGAATAGGAAATGAAATTAAAATTAATTCCGAAAACGCAACAATTAGAAAGTGCGGCTTTTTACCGTGAGATGGCGTAGGTATACACTTAATTGGTCAATTGGCATTTTCCAAAACCGAAAGTATGGAATATGAGAAAGGTTTGGCCGTACTGACTTTATCCAAGAAGCAAGACTATAGTCTTTTAGTCTTTGCTGTATTTTTGTAGTTTGTACACTGCACTCCCGTAGCATTTTTCAAAACTATTCATTTTTCGATCGATATAAAAGTCGACTTTCTATGGAAATTAAAAGCTACTGTTCCATTTAATATGACTAAAGAACAGTCAAACTTGGGTTGTGTCTGGTTTTTGAAAGGTTTAAATATAATAAAATCCATTAAAGAAATAAAAATATTTCATGTACAATGCAATTTACAACCCCCGAAATCGAATATTGCTACTTTGGTAATAGACTGGTTCACTTTTCGGATTTTCTCTGTCCTAGGAGCATTTCAGACAACATTTGGCCAACAAGGCTTTTTTTACTAATTGGCACCTGCTGAACAAGAATATCGATGTTGGCACCTCGAAATCTGAACAGGAAGTCCAGAATTCTCCCGGTCGATCTGAGACAATTTATTTTTCGGGCCTCAAAAAAGGCAGTGTATAACCTTCCTTTTTACCAAAAATCGACTACACCAAAATTTCTCGGGAAAACACTTTTTGTTATTAATTTTGGTGCGTAGAATCCAAAACAATTCGTACTTTTTCGATCAGACTTCTCAATCAAAAGTTATAGACTAGAAACCAATTTCGAAAGAAAATTCAAAGGGCTGTTACTTTTGAACTAGTGGCCCAATCTTGGAAATGTTTGAAATTATGGATTCTCAGGCCACATTCTATAAGTAAATTTTTTTTCCGGGTCGATGAGACAATTTTTTTGCGGGCCTCAAAAAAAGGCAGTTATTACCTTCCTTTTTTGCCAAAAATCGACTGAACCAAAATTTCTCGGGAAAACACTTTTTCTTATTAATTTTGGTGCGTAGAATCCAAAACAATTCGTACTTTTTAGGTTTTTAGGTTCAAATTTTGATTGCACATGGCCCATATGCCACAAGCCGACCGAAAATCTCAATCTAATTTGATAAGGTTCATCTGTGTCGCAAGAGAGGGCGACAACGTTCACAAAATTAAAAACGAAATGCTCCAAAATTAAAAAAAGTCACAAATAAACGCAAAATGAAACAGATTATTTGTTGTAAACAAAATTGGTCTACAACTTGGCATTCGCATAGTATTTGAATACTTAACTCTCCTTTTTTTTACCAAAAATCGACTGCACCAAAATTTCTCGGGAAAACACTTTTCTTATTAATTTTGGTGCGTAGAATCCAAAACAATTCGTACTTTTTCGATCAGACTTCTCAATCAAAAGTTATAGACTAGAAACCAATTTCGAAAGAAAATTCAAAGGGCTGTACTTTTGAACTAGTAGCCCAATCTTGGAACTGTTTGAAATTATGGATTCTCAGGCCACATTCTATAAGTAAATTTTTTTTCCGGGTCGATGAGACAATTTTTTTGCGGGCCTCAAAAAAAGGCAGTGTATAACCTTCCTTTTTTGCCAAAAATCGACTACACCAAAATTTCTCGGGAAAACACTTTTTCTTATTAATTTTGGTGCGTAGAATCCAAAACAATTCGTACTTTTTAGGTTTTTAGGTTCAAATTTTGATTGCACATGGCCCATATGCCACAAGCCGACCGAAAATCTCAATCTAATTTGATAAGGTTCATCTGTGTCGCAAGAGAGGGCGACAACGTTCACAAAATTAAAAACGAAATGCTCCAAAATTAAAAAAAGTCACAAATAAACGCAAAATGAAACAGATTATTTGTTGTAAACAAAATTGGTCTACAACTTGGCATTCGCATAGTATTTGAATACTTAACTCTCCTTTTTTTTACCAAAAATCGACTGCACCAAAATTTCTCGGGAAAACACTTTTCTTATTAATTTTGGTGCGTAGAATCCAAAACAATTCGTACTTTTTCGATTAGACTTCTCAATAAAAGTTATACACTAGAAACCAATTTCGAAAGAAAATTCAAAGGGCTGTAACTTTTGAACTAGTAGCCCAATCTTAGAACTGTTTGAAATTATGGTTTCTACAGGCCACATTCTATAAGTAAATTTTTTTCCGAGTCGATCTGAGACAATTTTTTTGCGGGCTTCAAAAAAAGGCAGTGTATAACCTTCCTTTTTTACCAAAAATCGACTACACCAAAATTTCTCGGGAAAACACTTTTTCTTATTAATTTTGGTGCGTATAATCCAAAACAATTCGTACTTTTTCGATCAGACTTCTCAATCAAAAGTTATAGACTAGAAACCAATTTCGAAAGAAAATTCAAAGGGCTGTTACTTTTGAACTAGTGGCCCAATCTTGGAAATGTTTGAAATTATGGATTCTCAGGCCACATTCTATAAGTAAATTTTTTTTCCGGGTCGATGAGACAATTTTTTTGCGGGCCTCAAAAAAAGGCAGTTATTACCTTCCTTTTTTGCCAAAAATCGACTGAACCAAAATTTCTCGGGAAAACAATTTTTCTTATTAATTTTGGTGCGTAGAATCCAAAACAATTCGAACTTTTTAGGTTTTTAGGTTCAAATTTTGATTGCCTATGGCCCATATGCCATACGCCGACCGAAAATGGGACAAATCCCATGAGCCATAGGGATACAAAGCTCTGCCGCTTTTCGAAATCCGTTTTATAAGCGGTTTATTTTTAAATCAAAGAATGAAATTAGTGGCGACATCTCACGGAAGTGGGAAGCTTCTCAATCTCATTTGATAAAGTTCATCTGTGACGCAAGAGAGGGCGACAACGTTCACAAAATTAAATAAAAAATGCTCCAAAATTAAAAAAAGTTACAAATAAACGCAAAATGAAATAGATTATTTGTTGTAAACAAAATTGGTCTACATTCTACAACTTGGGGGAATAGGAAATTAAACTAAAATTTATTCCAAAAACGCAACAATTATGCTAATTGCACTTTCTAAGCGCAGCTTTTACCGTGAGATGGCGCAGGTATATACTTAATTGGTCAGTTGGCTTTTTCCAAAACCGAAAGTATAGAATATGAGAAAGGTTTGGCCGTACTAACTTTATCCAAGAAGCAAGACTATAGTCTTTTAGTCTTTGCTGTATTTTTGTAGTTTGTACACTGCACTCCCGTAGAATTTTTCAAAACTATTCATTTTTCCATCGATCTAAAAGTCGACCTTCTATGGATATTTAAGGCTACTGTTCCATTTAATATGACTAAAGAACAGTCAAACTTGGGTTGTGTCTGGTTTTTGAAAGGTTTAAATATAATAAAATCCATCAAAGAAATAAAAATATTTGATGTACAATGCAATTTACAACCCCCGAAATCGAATATTGCTACTTTAGTAGGACTGAATTTCCTTAAAAACCTCTAAAAACTAAAACGGGAAGGACTTTTACTTATAAACGGCAATTTCGGGGTTGAATGTAAATCATTTAAGCATAATCCATCAGAGAAATAAAAATGTTTCACGTACAATGCAATTTACAACCCCCGAAATCGAATAATGCTACTTTAGTAGGAGCGAATTTCCTTAAAAACCTCTAAATACTAAAACGGGAACGACTTTTACTTATAAACGCCAATTTCGGGGTTGAATGTAAATCATTTAAGCACAATCCATCAAAAAAATGAAAATATTTGATGTACAATGCAATTTACAACCCCCGAAATCGAATAATGCTACTTTAGTAGGAGCGAATTTCCGTAAAAACTTCTAAATTCTAAAACGGGAAGGACTTTTACTTATAAACGGCAATTTCGGGGTTGCTTGTAAATCATTTAAGCATAATCCATCAAAGAAATAAAAATATTTCATGTACAATCCAATTTACAACCCCCGAAATGGAATACTGCTACTTTAGTAGGAGCGAATTTCCTTAAAAACCTCTAAATTTTAAAACGGGAAGGACTTTTACTTATAAACGGCAATTTCGGGGTTGCTTGTAAATCATTTAAGCATAATCCATTAAAGAAATAAAAATATTTCACGTACAATGCAATTTACAACCCCCGAAATTGAATATTGCTACTTTAGTAGGAGCGAATTTCCTTAAAAACCTCTAAATTTTAAAACGGGAAGGACTTTTACTTATAAACGGCAATTTCGGGGTTGCTTGTAAATCATTTAAGCATAATCCATCAAAGAAATAAAAATATTTTATGTACAATGCAATTTACAACCCCCGAAATCGAATATTGCGACTTTAGTAAGAGCGAAAGGTGTTCTCATACGAAGCTGTAGTGAGTGGAAGATTAAAATGAATTTTAATTGAAATCCCTTAACTATTTTATTTGGTTATCAACCCTACGGTTGGTTTGCAGCAGCCCTTGTCCTCAATATTATATACATTTTTGGTTTGGGGGTTGGTTGTATACATAAATGAATTTGTTTCTAAAGTGGCGACAGTATTTATTTTAATGCTGTGTATTGTGTATTGAAAAAATGTATGTAGGAGACCAGATTTTATTTAAGAAAGCACAACAAAGATTATTAAACATAAAATGTCTGTCTTTATTCACATTTCAACTCGTCATTTACGACAACAGTTCGATCTTCGACTGATTGCCTTTGCATGTCGATTCCTAACACTTCTTCCACAAATATTTCGAAGTTTATGACCTGTGAATTTTACGACACTTTTATTTTACTACTGACGTATTTTTCTGCTTTTAATTAGGTACAATTTTGTGTAGTAATAATGAATCCGACTCACTCTGGTGGTCAGTGAAGTAAGAGAAACTGAAATTGATCTCAGAAAGTGTTGGAACTTACTGACGGAAGAAAGGAAAAGTCATTGTCACTCGCTCCATTTGCACGTCTCCGTCGGTGATGCATCAAAGTGGCCAAACACGAGAATGCCTTGTGGCGTGAGAATACCTCACCTGCAATTGTTATTAGCTGTATAGATACAATTAGGAAGACTCGGGACTTGCCTCGTTCGCAAATTGCTGCGACAAGCTTCTCTCTTGTTATGGTAACGGGTTTCGAATCGTCGGCATCGCCACAGCCGATCGTGCAAAGATACTCAAACTTCTCTTTGAGCATCCCAAGCGACACTCCGTGCGCAGGGCGAAAGTTCACGTACAGCTGGACGAATTCCAAAAAGGACACCTCCTCCTTTACCACGTTCGTGTCGTCAAACTCGCGATATTTTATATCGACTATCAGGTTCTCGATCTACAAAATCGCAAATACTACCAACTCCGGAAAATCCAAAACTAACGTCGTATTCCGACGGATAGAATCCGCAGGCGCGCATGAGGTCGGGAAGTTCGCTGACTGGAATGTAATCTCCCACAACGCGAGGGAGGACCGTGTCTTCGCCTTGGTGAAGGATTTGCATGTAATAAAAGAGGTCCTGCATCTCCTTAAACAGCCAACCGTGCAAACCACCCTCTATTAGGCAGAGGTAGGGCGACACCTCGCCACCTCCTTGCTCAAAAGTAACGTCGACTGCTCTAATTTTGCAAATAAACGTGAGTGGATGCGCGATGTAGGTACTTACTTACCTGGTGTTTGTTTCCCACATTAGCACGCAGTTATCGTCTTTGCCGATTGTAAAAACGTACCTCCCATCGTGGCTCACTCGAAACTGGAGCAGCTGGAAGATGGTAAGGCTCAACGTCGAACGGCACCGTAGAGGATTACCTGCGTTGGATGCGCGAGTATGCCGATGTATTTGTGCGGATTTCCGTCGGGGGGAAACATTTGGATGCCTAGGTAGTTTGCGTTGGCGTAGACCAAATAGTTGTCTTCGTCTCCTGGGAGTAGCCGAATTTGGTTGATTGGCGATTTCTCGTACTCGCCGTAGGCAGGACCGAGTACTACTCTGTGACACATAAATGTAGTGTCGCTCAGCGTTTTAAACTTGAACTAAGAACAGATTGTCAACCCTCTAATTGGCCCAGGAGAACACCGTTCGTTCCTATTTTGAAATTACATATTTGAACGCGATTATCCCAGGGCCGTATGTAGGCGGTGGCGAGATGGGCGCCCGCTTAGGGCGCAACTGCCGGGGAGGCGCAAAATTGGCCATGAAAGAATTTCATTTTACATTAGTGCATTAGGAAAAAGAATTCAGGTTATTTAAACAAATGTTATTCCACCTACTGTGACTGTGAATAGCTGGGTCGTTACAAAGTGATATTATACCCTCATCTCTGCCCTTCCCCCCTTTTGTCTCCTTATGGTAATGTAATATATACAGTGTGTACAATATAAGAAGGAAAAGCAAGCAAGTCAAATGATATTTTAAAAATTTGTAAATTTCGATCAGTTCCGAAAAAAAACGAAATGAATAATATTTGGTTTTATTTTTTGCCGGCCCTGTTCCTCATAGGAACGTTTTAAGCTGTACAATTGGCGTCTTTGAGAAACCATCAACAACGATGTATGGCACAATAAGATTCTTTATCATCTATACAGGGTGTTTTTTGGGAGCTTTAGTTAAAAGTTTCTGGGAAAGTAAAATAGGTAGGTTTTTGAAAATTTGTTTAAAACATTTTCAAAATGGCTGCACTTCCGGAAACACCGGAAGTAGATGGTAACTTCGTTATTTTAAATGGCAACTCCCATTTTTTTATTGCATTTTGGATTCTACGTGAAATTTCACTTCTTTTGATACCCAGATGTCGATATCTACCATTTATGGTTTTTAAGTTATTTTGACTTTAAGAAAAAAAATGGCGGATGCAGATGGTACCTTGATAATTGATTACTTGAAAAGGGTTGTAGTCATGGCAACCTATTTTTATCAGGGCATAGAGAATGAATAGGGCTTTGTTTTAGTGCACTTAAAAAAAAGTTAAGTTGCGACCGCTCCTATAGATATCCAAATTTATGAAACTTCAAAGACTAAAAACTCAGTTTTTTTAAATGGAATGACCATGTTCTTACTATTCCATGAGACAGAGAATCGAAATGGGCATATTTTGACAATACATGTTCCTATAGCTATCTTTAACAGTTTCTGACTTATTCCCATTTTATTGAATTGGCACTATTTTTTTCGGATTTTCTTTTTAGTAGTCGGCCATGATTGTATAACAATTGAATTTTAAACAAATCTAGTGACACTAATCCGTCATCTACTGTTATAGGTTAACATAGTTTTTCAAAAATCGAAAAATGACTCGTAGCGGTTTCACCTTTGAATTTAATTGTGACAGAATTGTGGTGCGTGCTTTCCGTACATTCATTCGAAAACTGGAACGAAATTGTATGACTTTTGGAAATTTTGTACCCCTAATGCACTACAAACCTTTGAAGCACAAGTGATACAAAGCTCTACAAGAGAATATTTAAGAAAATGAATTGAATTGCAAATGCCTGATTAACAAAATAAATTCAATGCAAAATATAAAAAACTTCGTTCAAAATTTTTGGTATGGAATTGTTGCTCGAACAGATACCGCATTACCTCTCTTAATTTCCAGACTTATACGTTGTTTAAGAAATTCAGTTGAACGACTCTGTTTAGATTTTTCAAAAATTTTCCGTCTCATATCCCTCCTGAGTTATTTATTAATGAATTATTTAGACTAGAACTAGAATCAATGGTATTAAAAAATCCACTCCTTGATTTGTTTAAAATTTGATTGTTATAAAATCATGGCCAACTACTAAAAAGAAAATGTGAAAAAACTGGCATCAATTCCGAGATCAATTCAATGAAATGGGAATAAATCAGAAACTGTTAAAGATAGCTATAGGAACATGTAATATCAAAATATGCCACTTTCGATTCTCTATCTAATGCAATATTAAGAACATGGTCATTCCATTTAAAAAAACTGAGTTTATAGACTTTGAAGTTTCTTAAATTTGGATCTCCATAGGTGCGGTTGTACGCAACTTAACTTTGTTTTAAGTACACTAAAAGAAAGCCCTATTCATTCTCTATGCACTGATAAAAATGGGTTGCCATGACTATAACCTTTTTCAAGTAATCAATTATCAAGGTACCATCTGCATCCGCCATTTTTTTTCTTAAAGTCAAAATAACTTAAAAACCATAAATGGCAGATATGACATATGGGTATCAAAAGAACTGAAATTTCACGTAGAATCCAAAAATGCAATAAAAATAGGGGTTGCAATTTAAAATAACCAAGTCACTAACTACTTCCGGTGTTTCCGGAAGTGCGGACATTTTAAAAATATTTTACATAGATTCGGCCTTCAGAGTAACTCCTAAGTACAAATTTTCAAAAACCTACGTATTTTACTTTCCCAGAAACGTTTAACTAAAGCTCCCAAAAAAACACCCTGTATATATCATTTAAAGGAACCATCAATGAATTATTTTGATATTTTGTCAACGCCTACTACAGTAAAAAAAATAAAATTTAGCTCAGAAAAATGGCTTGTTACTAAATTTTTAAAATTTTTGGTTTGGTAGGCGTTGACAAAATGTCAAAATGATTCTTTCTTCTAAATGACATATTGTACCATACATCATTGTATTCGTAATAAAAAATGCTACTCAATACATTATGTACTTTTTTCCATATAAAAATATGAAGTTGATGATGGTTTGTCAAAGACGAAACGTCGCATCGAAAATCTTGTAAAATAGTGAGCTTAAAAAGTTACTTTTGGTTTTATTTAATATCTTCGGAACTGATCGGAATTTCCGCATTTTTAAAACACCGTTTTATTAAGCCCTAAAATGCGCAACTCTTTCTAATTTAATCGACTGTGTACTTCTTATGGTTTCCGTCGTGTCCATGATGTTCATTCTTATCTTGGACACACTGTATTTTGTAATCTTTTCTCCATGTTTTAAAGAAGCGAAATTCTCGGATCAAAAAGCTTCAAACCTTGGACTTAAGAAAATTTTCGACGTTTTTGTTGGGGGGTATTCAATACCCCCACGAGCAGGTGTGGGGGGGGGGGCGCAAACTTCCGCCAAGGGCGCGGTCATATCTAGTTACGGCCCTGGATTATCCTACCTGATCATCGCACATAAATAAATACGCGTTGTTGTTCCGGTTTTTTGAAGTTGGGTGATAAATGAAACAGACTGGCTTAGCACACTGCTCAATGCGTTCCGATTCCTTAATCACAATCTCATATTGTCCGCTGAAAATGTACCGGTTTGGGAGCGTTGCATGCAAAACTTCCCCACCTGTAATCGAGGTCGTATTCGTTTAAAAATCGATCTTCTCCAATGGTGAAGAGCCGACTAGGTAAATATGGGCTAAAGAGGATGTCACTGATTGGCTTGTAGTGCGATTTTAATTTGCCCAGAATACCCCACGCGTGGTTTCTGTACTTCAAGATGACGATGTTGGCCTTTGCGTTCTGAAAAATTCAGTTCAATTTTGGAAAGCGCCCAGCTAGATCAAAGACATAAAACGCGCAATGTTGAGCGTCTGCTGAAAAAACTATTTTGATAATTTCCCCGCTGGTGTACTCTATTGGTTGCTTTGGTTTTGGTGATAAGCTTATGGGGTCGATGAACCACAAGTTTCCGTTGGTCTTTCCACAAGCTAGATGAAGTCCTGAAAGAGGAGTATGGGCTGTTATTAGTTTTAGTACTAGCTCTTTCAAACCTTGAGGGGAATATTTAAGGTAGCTAACTGGAATTGCATCAGTGGCACTTTTGTGCAGCTGCACTTCAGCGAGTAACTCTTTGGAGATGTAGTTGTACAAGCAAATGGTACTATGGGCAAATCCGAGGCACAAATAGGGTCTGTAACAGAAGGATTCATTTGGGGGAGTTTACAATGTTCGGCTACAATTCATCGTGAGCATCAATGGCAGTAACTGCTGAGCTAAAGGGACGATTCAAAAAATCGCATTTGTTCTCCAAAAAATTAACGGACGCCAGTCTTCCATCGTCAGTAGCTGCAAAGAAACGCGCCTAGCCTCATTGATCTGCAAGCTATCTCTACCTATTAGAAAATTTCTGACAACAAACGGCAATGCTTGCACAGTTGCATCGCTCGGAACAAGATTTGCATACAGCAGCTCAATTTCGTCCGAGTTATCTACGTCGGCATCCAAATCATCATAGACAGGATCAGTAAAATCGAGCGGATCCTTGAGTTTGTAATTCCGCCTCTCCAAATTAAACGAGATGGACGTTATTGCCGGTAGGGTAAAGTTCTGGCACCAAAACAATATCCTAACTGCATCATCGTAAAATTTAAGATGGCCATTCACATCACCGGTCATCAATAATCTAAAACTCCCCAATTTGACTATCAATTTGTTGCGCAACTATTGATACCCATCGACTGATGTGACGCACGTTATGCAGGCTTTCGAAATTTTAATTGCTTTAACGTAGATCTTGTCGTTCTGCAGCTTATGCTCGTCGTAGACCCGTTTGTAGTAGGTATTTCCGAACACGAGAAGCACACCTTGAGCAGTCGAAGCAACGCACTGATGGCACTTTTCAAAATAAGTGCAATCGGTGATCAGACCGTGAGTTTTTGACTTCCGAACCTTTGGCAGCACAGGCGGATTCAGTTTATTTTCCTCAACATTCTGCAAGACGAAACGGGTGACACCCTTCGGCGAGGGCCTACACGTACCCATTCCAAGAAAACCACCAGCCTTTGGAAGGCCACCCAGATGTGTTCTTGCACATTGGGGTTGAAACAAATTCGACAGGGTGCTCCATATGAAGAAGTCAATGTGAAAACATCTGTGCAAGTGGTTTAGTTTTTGCGTGCTTGTGTACACTCACCATTTGGATCACTATCCCCATAGCTCCAAAGCCAAAATTTGATCTGCGGCCTAGGCTCGTTCCCAATTGACACCAAGTACTTCGCATTCCCGCTCAACGCGAGCAGTGCCGTTCCAAATTCGGAGTGAGGGTTAAAAATAGTGTGCACGGGGAGACTGTGGACGAAGATGAGTTACTAAAGCGTGACTGAAATCGTGGATTACAATTCTGCACTGTCCCATATAAGAATGCTGCTATCCTTGCCTTTATCGGCGCTGGCCAGCCACCGACCTGAACTATCAGACGCTATGCTATTGACCAAATTCCTCTAAAAGTTACAATTATACAAGATGACGAAAAAGTGGCTACTTACGTGACCCTGTAATAAATGTTGAGTATTCGACGTCAGGTTGTACAAAACGGGAGCGTTCGAAACGGCGTAGAAAACCCTCGATTCTGCCTTTGTTGTGAGATTGATCATATCAACTGTCGTATTTACTCCAAACGACCAAATTAGATTCTAGATGAGAGCTATTCAAACATATGTGTTTGCATAGTATTTTTTTGCACGTACGAAAGGAGCAACCTCTCTCTTTGGTTTTGGCCCTAATTCTCCACTACTTGACGTTAGAGGTGATGAAGCACCATCGGGATTCGATGCCACACTTCCAAATGATGTAGCACTCATCTTCGACCGATTGGGATTAAAATGACAGGACGTCACTTTTTCTGCGCACTCTTGTTTTTGGACTTTCTCACTGCTCTCATTGCAGAAATTATGGGTTTAATGAATTTTGAAGTCATAAATAGATCAGTACAGATAATTAGGTGCTAACTTAGGCTCACGTCAATACCCTATTGTTGATATTTGATCATAACCTTTATTTGACATTAACTCAACCCTATTGAGTTCAGATGGAAATGGTGAATCGCTATCGCACCGCCTTACCAAATCAATTCGAAGAATTCACGTGACTCAATTGCCAAATGACTCAGTGAAAACTAATAAAGATACGGCGAAGAAGGACCTAAATCTGTTCTATCTTCTACAGGCGATATTGTGATGTACATATTTAAAAGTGTCAGGGATTTTTCCATTTCACGAAAGAAACTACACCTACCAAAGAACGGTAACCTTGACCTAGGGGAATTTTCCACTACGACCGAATTTATGAGAGATTTTCTAAGGCATTGGTTAGAGAAGCTAGCAGTTAAGGTTCAATTAAAAAATTAAAACGGTAAGTTAGTTACGTGAGTTTTTCGCTTGTGGAAAAAGTGAGTTTCCTTCTTTCGTCATTAGTGCGCCAAATATAACCATTTCGTGAGATTTTATGTTATACCCGGGCCTTTTGACTGTAAAACGAACGTACGATAAACATTCTTTCGCTGTTAGTGCGCACGGAAAAAGCATCTAATTAGCTCCGACCAAGTTCAAGGATAAATGAGTACCGTCATCCCAAGAGAAACGAAACTTATCAGTGAAATCTGACAGCGTTTAAATTTTTTGCGTCAGTTACCAGTTGAGTAAAGTGACGAAATTTGTCTGGCTATATAATAGACACTAAAGAAGGCCCCCTACGACTCATTATCCGGAAAAATTCCATGCCATGAATCCAGGGTAATTTAAGCTGTATCCATTGTACTAGTGCAGGGGTTAAGAGCCAAAATAGGTTTCAACCTTGCATTTTGTGATAACTTTATGAAACTTTCAGAGGATGTTCTAGACACCCTAAGGTGCAATTTCAGCTATGCCGCCACCCCCGCAACCCCGGACGGCACTTGCTATAGCGGGTTTCTTAAGCGCAGGGTAGCATTTCAATACCCGCCCATAAAATGGGTCAAAAATGTATGTCCAGGGTTTGTTTTGTATTTTCTTACATCTAGGAAGGTTGAAGGGAATTGTCAAATACCCAGGGAGAATTTATGTCGGGTATTTTACGTGGTTTGCCTATTTTTAAGGCGCTTTTAACAGTGCGGACTAGGGAATGCAATCCCGCAGCAAAATCTCAATCCCGGTATTTGCGGGATTGTTAATTGTTAATCCCGCGGGATCCCGGTATTTGCGGGATCTCGCAAAACTTTAAATAAATTGGCAAATAAGCAATTTTGTGCGGTTAACTTCTGTATTAAAATAAATCGCTAATTATCACAATATTTAACAAAAAAGTACCTTCGGCCTAACTTAGAACTCAAAAAAACCTTACCTGTAAAGCACAAAAAGTCTTCTAAAGTGCCTCAAAAATCATAGTACATTTTTACCGAAAAAAGTTTAACAATTATTTAAAAAATAATTCGCCGTTATCAGTTTCATTAACAAAGTAAACAGAGTCGTCCCCATGGTCGACAAATTCCTCAGTCCCGCAAATCCCTCGATTTATGTGCGGGATTAATCTCGCAAAAATGCTGCGGGATCCCGGAATTTCGGGATTTCGATTTTTGGTAAAAAAGGAAGGTTATACACTGCCTTTTTTTGAGGCCCTCAAAAAAAATTGTCTCAGATCGACCCGGAAAAAAATTTGTCTTATAGAATGTGGCCTGTAGAATCCATAATTTCAAACAGTTCCAAGATTGGGCTACTAGTTCAAAAGTTACAGCCCTCTGAATTTTCTTTCGAAATTGGTTTCTAGTCTATAACTTTTGATTGAGAAGTCTGATCGAAAAAGTACGAATTGTTTTGGATTCTACGCACCAAAATTAATAAGAAAAAGTATTTTTCCGAGAAATTTTGGTGCAGTCGATTTTTGGTAAAAAAAAGGAAGGTTGTACACTGCCTTTTTTTGAGGCCCTCAAAGAAAATTGTCTCAGATCGACCCGGAAAAAAATTTTCTTATAGAATGAAGATCTAAGAAATTTAAGGAAACTGGATGGAATCGAAAACATGTCTGCTGACCTTTATAGATCTGAAAAATTTTAAAAATATAGACATCGGAAGAAATGTAAGACAAGAGTTTAAAAAATCAAAGATTCCGCAGCATGGGAAGAATTCGCAGGATACAATGAATCCAAAGAAACTAAAAGAGCTCAAGAGTTTGTTTATGTACCTACCTACCTATAAAGAGATCTTTCCAGAAATTTAAAGAAAATTCAAAAATCTGAAGTCTGAAGAAGCGGCCCTGGAAGAATAAACAATTCTGAAAGGAATCAAAGAATCAAAAGAAAGGAATCATCAGATTTGAAGTGTTTGAAGGATATGTGAATAGTTCGAACAAGCAGAAGAATGTGGATCTGAAAAACTGACCAGAAATAGAAGAATCTGGGACACTCGAATAAAAGAACCCGACTATTCCGTTCCATAACATATAAAAAAATTAAACTTAGGCCAAAGAGTAACTAATTAGGCGGAGTAAGGGTTTGATTGGGTAAGTCAACTTGACCCAAATTGCCCTTAGATCGCTAGGCATTAATACAGACCTTATTAAACTGACTTACCTACCCCATGCGACCTTTACTCTGTCTAAGTTTGTGTACAGCACTGACGGAGTGAAACGGGTGTTCCAAAAGCTTAGCCATCGTCATGCAAATTAAGATATTATCTTGCATTGACGCAATTGAAGGGTAAAAACGGCACACAGCGTTTAAAAATTGACCTCAGTTAATTACTGCATTTTAAATTAAACAGACCGCGACAGGAACGAGAGTAAAATTAGACATTTCACTGATTTTTAATTACGAATAGAACTAGGACAGGGCAACATTGCAAGCGAATCCCGTTTTTATAAGCACAACAACAGACCAATTATCGTTAAACAAATAGTATAATTATGTAAGAATATAATTGAGGAGAGGTAATTGCCGATGTAGAAAACCTCAACTTTGTGATATAGGGGTTTGGAAAAAAACTCTTACATCAGGAAATGCGGAAATTTTGTTCATCGGTGGATACTTTCTATAGGAAAAAGGTGGAATCGAGTAAATATTATAATTTTAAATAATTATCCGTGCTCTAGTAATGACGAGTAGGTCTCTGACAAACGTAGGTGAAAATGCAAATAATTCGGTTGTTGCGTGTGCGTCGTTTTTTTGGATGAGTGTGGACCTTGTAAATCAGGACGTGGCAATTAATTAATTAACCTCACAAGGTATCTATGTACTTGGCCATACACTCTTGACATAGATTACCTGGATACAATAATCGGAAAATCACTTTTCGCGACAATCCTTATGGACATTCAGAATCGCAGGTTTCAGGTGTAATTAGGATCTTCGGAAAAGTTGGACCAGGGTTTCCGAATTACCAATTTATGGAATGTTGAAAACACCAAAAACGTGCGTTTTTAAAATATTATTTCCCCCTTGAGGTTTAAACTATTTGTTCAAGAGGCTCAGAACATGGGGCAGGTGGATTATTAGTGCTATTAACCCCTTTCCTTGTCGAAAATAAAAATCTAGAATTGGATTTGACCGCTTTTTTTTTGTACAACTCAATGCTAACTAACTGCTCATTTGCAACGCAGAACTCGATTACAGCTATAAGTACAAGCAAGTTCACTGACACATTACGCATCTAAATTACAATTAATTTCGCGTAATTACCTTAGATCTAATTGTAATCAGTGCGACACAATTTAGCATTGTAAAATACGCACTTTCACGAACGTGTAATTTTGTTCAAATGTCCACTAATTAAACAGTAAAAATTTGGAAAATTTTCTCGTGAGAGATGAGCGGTATGGTAATTGCAATGAAATAATGTGAAAATAGAAAACAATTACTATAGATACAAATAGTTGCGGTAAGAGTAGTGGTAGTAAATAAACAGAAGAAGTTCATAAAAGTTGCTTCTGCCTGCTTTCTCTGGCAGAAGCGCTTTTGCCGCGGACGATGTAACGTTACCTTATTATTTAACAATGCGAAACGCGATGTTTTTAAATAAATAACTAACGAGTAAATTTAATCGTCTTCTCTTCTAAAATTGCCAGTGAGTATCTGTCGGATTTTTTAACAGAATAAGAGGGTGAGTTTTATTTTAGGAAATATAGGTGTAACTTGTGAGGGTTGGATTTTTTTGAAAAAATATATCTATCGAAATTATTAAAAATATTACAGATTGTATTTTTCAGAATCCCTTGACTTAATTTTTAAATAATACATGAATTTCTATAAACGCTGCTCACTAATAATTATTCATTTACACATGCACGTCCGAAACATTGGAGAAAACCATCCACTTCAAGAGAACATACAACATCTACAACTAATGACTAAATTTTTATTTGTAATTCTGATCCATGGACACAATAGGTGCCATTTTCTGCCGGTTTTTAGTAAACACAAAAAAGTCGCCGTCACCCTCACCGTGGTTATTGTGAAATTGCCTTTGGAGATTTTATTTTGTGACTTCTCCACCAAATCCATAAGTTTTACACTCTTTTAGGGTCTTAGAGAATATTTGTAAGCTTTTAAAGACGTTCATGTTGAGTTACGTCTGAAAAAGCTTTCAAAAATCCCCACAAAACTTTTAAATCTTTTATTTGTTACTCAGTTGTAAACGTTGATTAACAAGACAAAACGCAAACGGGTAAACGGCATGTTTAAACGCTACTGACTTGTAAAACTGACAGCTGACCTGTAAAAATTTTACAAGTTAGTAATCTAGTAATTTCATTGGCCAGAATTAATGCGAAGTCTCTGTTACATGGATCACATGATATTTTAGACATTTCTTCAAGATCAATTGAAGAACTAATTATTTACGTTTACTATTGTTTACAAATGAGTAACAAATAAAATATTGTACATTATACGCCAGGTAATAGTTTTTACTGGCTTTAGGAGATGACAGGCTCGCCTGACGGCTCGCCAGTCAACTTCTCCTATCGCCAGTAAAAACTCACTTACCTGGCTAATAATGTAAAATACTATTAACGATTGGATGCACGCATTTACTCTTTAAGAGCCGTTAGAACCGTTAGGAAAGTTTTAAATCTTTAAGAGTCTTTTAAGACTTTACCAGTTTTAGAAGCTTCCAAAGTTAGTTTTTTGGTTCTTAATTCGTTGCTTTTGACGTTTTTGGAGTCGCTAGAATTCTCCTTGCAAGAGTAATTAGACGGCACGTGTACAGTACATTTTAAGCGTTTTACGCCAAATAAGTGCCTTGCAGCAGTTTAAAAAATGTTTTGGTGCTGTAATAAGAGATCCCTATGAATTAAAGGAACATCGAATTTGCACTGCTGAAATGTAGGGGGGGGGGGGACAATTACTGCACTAGTTTCATCCCTTAGCGCGAGCGGTGCAACTTCGGATTCTATTACGTTCCTTGAATATGCAAAGGGAATTAAATTAGGGGAACGAAGTCAACTATGGCACCATGTCTATTGTCTAAGCTTCCACTCCTACTTACCATCGCTTAGAATCTTAGATATTAAGTGGCAACTACCCACATTCGAGACATCTAATCAAAAACTCGGTTTTAGTATTTCGAGGTTTTTAAGGAAATTCGCTCCTACTAAAGTAGCAATACTCGACTTCGGGGGTTGTAAATTGCACTGTACATGAAATATTTTTATTTGTTTGATGGATTATGCTTAAATGATTTACAAGCAACCCCGAAATTGCCGTTTATAAGTAAAAGTCCTTCCCGTTTTAGAATTTAAAAGTTTTTAAGGAAATTCGCTCCTACTAAAGATTCGATTTCGGGGGTTGTAAATTGCATTGTACATGAAATATTTTTATTTCTTTGATGGATTATGCTTAAATGATTTACAAGCAACCCCCTAATTGCCGTTTCTAAATAAAGGACCCTCCCGTTTTGAAATTTCGTAATTTTTAAGAAATTTCGCTCTTACCAAAGTAGCAATATTCGATTTTGGGGGTTGTAAATTCCATTGTACATGAAATATTTTTATTTCTTTGATGGATTATGCTTAAATGATTTACAAGCAACCCCGAAATTGCCGTTTATAAGTAAAAGTCCCTCCCGTTTCAAAATTTAGAAATTTTTAAGGAAATTCGCTCCTACTAAAGTAGCAATATTCGATTTCGGGGGTTGTATAAATAACAAGAATTTATTGTTATGACGATTGTTAATATAGCAACAGCACCCATCGATTTTAAAAATGGAAATGGAAAAGCCTTTGGAGATTTTATGACTCCTCCACCAAGTTCAAGAGTTTTTACACTCCTTTAAGCCTTAGGGTCTTTGAGAAAAACGTTCATGTTGTGTTACGTCTCAAAAAGCTATCAAAAATTCCCACAAAACTTTTAAATCTTTTAAACGATTGAATGCACACATTTACTCTTTAAGAGCCGTTAGGACCGTTAGGAATTTTTTGAATCTTTAAGAGTTTTTTAAGTGCCTTTAAGATTATAAGAAACTTTACCAGTCTTAGAAGCTTCCAAAGTTAGTTTTTTGGTTCTTACTTCGTTGCATTTGACGTTTTTGGAGTCACTAGAATTCTCCTTGCAAGAGTAGTTAGACTGCACGTGTACAGTACATTTTAAGCGTTTTTCGCCTAATTCTAATAAGTGCCATCAAGCAGTTTAAAAAATGTTTTGGTGCTGTAATAAGAGATCTCTATCAATAAAAAAACATCGAATATGAAGTACTAAAATGCAAAGGGAATTAAATTATGGGAACGAAATGAACTATGGCACCATGTCAAAGCTTCCACTCCTACTTACCATCGCTTAGATATTAAGTGGCAACTACCCACTGCTCATGAAAAACTACAATTGATACCACCCCTTGATACCACTCAGAAATTAAAAATGAAAGAACGTTTTCGAGGAACATTTTCCATGAACTGATCAGTACCTACTTCTCGAAAGGTCATACAACGGACTATGTACCAAGGAAAATAAGTTAAGGCATGAATAGTCTTATAAATAAGAAACTTAGCATTGCGCAGTGTGCACATCTAATTTTGACAATATGCGATATGCCTGTCTTTACTAGAAGCATCTGTGATGGTTAAAATCTCAAAAAAATATCTCTATATATAAGAAAGTTGTCATTAACATTTTTCTTGGTTCAGGTACCAGAGCTATAACTACTATAAGATACCGAAAAGTTAGAGATTTAGTCATATTCGTTTCTTGAGCATATTGGAAGACTTTTTGAAATATAATACAATATTGAAACTCCATTTTAGAAAATCTGCACTAGAATTTATTTTCTATTAAGTTTAAATTAATATTGGTGTATGCAATCGATGCTCTTTTCGAATAATCCTCCTATATATCTAAAGAGGGTCGTGGCTTGGGCAATTTGCTATGTTAAATTAATATATTCTTATTATTATTTTGGCACCTTTTAATCAAAATTTTTGAACGTGTGAGTTTCTGAAAAAACCATAATCATTAAAATGGTAAGGTAAGGGTTTTTGGTTCGACGCTGATAAAATTCCATTTTGTATTTGCAGTAGAAAATTTCACAAAAGGCTCTTGCATTTTTAGTTTTTGGAAATTGTTTCAACTCCAACAATGTTAGTATTTAAATAATGTAGAGGACCGATACTCCAATAAATTAGGTTTAAACGAAATGAACTTATATAAATACTAACGATTTATTAGCTCCGGCTAAAGAATAAAAACCTGTTATAATAATATTATAATTGTGGTTGCAAGTTTTTTCGTTAATGCAAGGTAAATGTATGAAAAAACGAAGCATTTCCCTTTTAACATTATGGGTTTGGATTAATTAGTAAAACTTTGGAAGTATTAAATTGATTTACACTGCTAACATTGAATACTACTAAGCAACTGTATAAAGTGAGAAAATTGTCCTGGCGACAGTAAAAATCACCAGCAATTCAGTATCCGAAAGAATTCCATTGCGTTTTCGAACTTTTCCCGACAATTTTGAGATATCCGTCGGCTATCCAATTAGTCCCACATTCCATTTGAATTAGGGCAATCTACGAAGTATCCATTTCACAGAGGAAATCGATTTACATCGGGTTAAGGAAAAATTCTTTTAAGAAAGATAGTCAATTTCTTATTGCATAAATTAAATGGTTCTGTCTGGACCTGGATCCTTAATAATCTAAATTATAAGAGAAAAAAATGCATTAATGTAAAATAGTAATTAGAATTTTGGGTGATTATTAAACATCATCAATTTGTTTAGATTGGTTTATGAAAACCTTCAGTAATTATGTGCAATGTGTTTATTTAACGACCTATTAACAGAAATGTAAATTCGTTTCAAGTAATTTCCATCGAAACTCCGTTGTTTTTATTCAATAAAATTGCCCATGTAAATGGGGCCGAATTTTTAATTTAAAATAGGAGTTTCTAATCAGAGCTGGGCAGTATTCGATTTTGTAAATACTTTTTAGTATTCAAATCCTTTAAAGTATTCAAATACTTTGTAATTAAATACTTTCACAAATATTTAGTATTCGAATACTTCGCAAAGTATTTGGATACTTCGTAAAGTATTCGAATACTTCGCATAGTATTTGAATTCTTAACCTTCCTTTTTTTACCAAAAATCAACTTTTTGGATCAGACTTCTCAATCAAATGTTATAGACTAGAAACTAATTTTGAAATAAAATTCAAAGGGCTGTAATTTTTGAACTAGTAGCCCAATCTTGGAACTGTTTGAAATTATGGATTCTACAGACCACATTCTATAAGAAAATTTTTTTTCCGGGTCGATCTGAGACAATTTTTTTTCGGGGCTCCGAATAAAGTTATGAAAGTATTCGAATACCTTTGAAAGTATTGGAAAACTTTTGAAAGTATTTGAATACATATTTTTTTAAGTATTTGAATACTTTTCAATGTATCTGTATCTAGTATTCGCTTGTGCTGGACGCAAAAGTATTTAGTATTCAAATACCTTTGATTTGTGTAAAGTATTTACTATTTAGTATTCAAATACTTTTTGAAAGTATTCTGCCCAGCTCTGTTTCTAATAGAGAAATTTAATTATCATAAAGGAGCAGATACGAGAAAAGTTTGACAAAAGGTTAGGGGTGAAAAATGAATCCAGATAAAATTAAAGAGAGCATTGTAAGTGACGTATTGTGGATTGAGATTTGGTTTATTTATTCATATTTATCAATCACGTTGGGATATTTATTGTCTATTAACCAGGAAATCAGAAATGAAAGCAATTTAAGTTTCAAGTAGTAACAATTGAAAGGGAAATTATTGCATATAGAGCTAGCCGTTGGTCAGTTAATCATTTTGCCAGTTTATTTAAAAAGTCAAAATTTTATTTCAAGAAGAGGCTTACATGCAAAAAACCTACTGCAGTATTTATGTAACCGTCGGTAGTTGGTTTTAAATCAAAGGCAATTACTAAATCCCCCCGATAACGCAATGAGACTTGCATTTTGTTTTTGTCCAAGAATCATCATTAGGTAAAGCCGGAAGAAATCAATCTACGCTTCAGGAATTTTTTATCGAACTACTTACATCACTTTAAAATTCACGTTAAGTAAATGAACGTAACGGCGTAACCTTTTATTTAATATTCCTCGCAGCGAACGTTCTTCCTCTTTTAGTTCTACTCTTTTCTAACTGTTAACCGCCGGTCCGCTAGCAACGTGCCGATGAAAGTTAAAACGATGACATTCATTTTACGATAGGTTTTAAAAAATAGTGATCATGATGGTTTAGAAAGTGACACCCACTCTCTTTTTCGATCTCCGCACGCATGTAGCAATAAACTGGTACTGTCACGCTGGCGATTAGGATCGGCGGCTAATGATGATTAATTTGTACAGTTTAGCTTTGACATGCACTGAGAACTATTCAAATTGAAAGTAAATGTAAATGAATTACCACTTCGATTACGACACTGAGGAATTTTAGACACATCGACCCAATACAACACGCCGTTAGAGATTTTCCCTTGGGTAAAATTTCGTTTTATTTTATGTTAGAGTTGTATTCCTAAAAGGGAAAAACGAATTGATTCGGCTCAAAAAAGGTCCAATATGTAGTACAATATATAATTCTCGTTGATGGGTTACAATGAAATTATATTTGGTTATTTTGTTTAAATTCCAAATATAAATTGGATTTGATTGTAATTAATGCCTTTCTGCCAAGTGGGGACTTTAAAAATAATACGGAGTATTCGTGAGTAAGCTTTTAAAAAAAATGGCCCGTGGAATGAGGTCACCACCAAGTTAAGGGCGATTTCAGAGTTTGTGGCAACTGAGGGTAGATACCATAGGGATTGCTGCAATTATTTCAGGCGTGTTGGGTCTTCTCTCCCAGGCTCATCTGGTGCACAGGTCAGAAAAGGCGATGCAGTAAAAAGTGCAGGTTACAATAAATTATGAACAGCTTGAAAAGGATTGTGATTACTCTTGCACATCAGCTAATATTAAAAATGAAGCAGTTCGGGGATTTGTGTTCACTGAAATAGAGAGACGAAGTTCTGTGGTTTGTTCTACGAGGGTTGCCTATAAGATTTTAAGTGACTAGTAGCAGAAATGCAGATACTCAAAGTGGCTGACAGTAGCTCGTCTGGCAAACATGATAAACAATCTGTAAATCTGGGTAGCAGTATGCGTAAAGCGCAAAAAAGGCATAAGAATGGAAAAAAAGTAGCTAATTTTAAGTTTGCTCCGGGTCAATTCCAGGTGTACTGGAATGATCAAACTGGAACTATTTAACTCAACGTATTAAGAACAATAGAAAGTCGTTCAGTATTTCAAAATGGCGTCCTGCCATCGCTCTGAACCCATTCTAGCTTTTCCCTACAAAAATTCCAGTGTTTTCAGGTTTTTTTGATACTGGAATGGCACTGGAGAATAAACCTGAAATCTCTTGTATGTAAAAAATGTGACCAAATGAAAAAAAACGCGTTATTTATAACGATTTACTTGAAATTCCAGTTTTTCCAGGATATCCCACTAAGAAGGTCGTGGGACTTTGTTGAGCTTCATTCTGGAATATGTCCGAACATATTGCAAAAGGTCCCGCTTAGTAATTATAACTGACCGGGTCAAAACCTAATTTTACTGCCACCTAAAAATAGCATCTCTTTCCCTTTTGAAATTTCAAAAATTTTTAAAAAGTTCAGTTTTACCTAAACAGCAATAAGTATATAATGGCGGGGGTGGTAAATTTTGCTGCATATCAACATGTTTATTTATTTGATAGATCGTGTTTGTGTGATCTGCAGGCTACCCTATAAGTGATAAAGCTCCCCGTTTTAAAATAAGGTACTTATACCTTTTTTGTAAGAAAGCTAGGTAGGTACATGATAATCCCTTATATGCCAGTATTCTAACTTTCGAGATGCATAAATATACATATCTGTTTCTTACATTAATTACATTTACATTGTCCGCAAGCTACTCTATAAGTACATGCAAAAGTGCCACCCCGATTTAAGAGTACCCATTCTTTTGCATAAAACTCGCCCTTATACCTACTGGGTGTAGAAACGGTTTACGCAGGGATTTCAATGCTAATTTCTTTATATCGAAATATTTTCTCCCCTAATTAATTTAGAGTAAAGTTGTAAATAGGTTTCTTGTAGCTTGAAAAATTCTGCGTCTGCTGATGTCCTCATTTAATATTTTTCAATTCGGGAAGCCGGAAAAAAATACATAAACTAGAAGTTAGTATTTGCTTTAAAAACCGAATTTTTGTTTCAATAATTTAACCAGTGATTTGTACTAAAATCACTCGTGCCGTAAAATTACTTTGCTCTAAATTATTTGGGGGAGAAAATATTTCGATAATAAGAAATTAGCATTGAAATCCCTATAGAGCGGGAACCGTTTCTACACCCTGTATGACCATCGTCCATTGCCAGGGTTGTAATTTTAGTAGTTCAATAGATATTTTTGTTTCTTTTATTAATTAAGTTTTCAGGATCCACGAGCTACCCCAAAGCGCAAACTAAACGCGTCACCCCTTATCATTTTAGAATTACGTCCTTGTATGACAGTCATCTATTGCCACAGTTGTAACCTTTATGATGCAGTAAATAGTTTTATTTCTTTAATTTTCTTTAATATGTTTAATTTTCGTTAATTTGCTTTAGTTTTCTTAAATTTTCTTTATATTTCTTTAGTTTTCTTTAATTTTCTTTATTTTTTGTTAATTTTCTTTAATTAACATATAGGACCCATACGCTACGCTACGCTGCATACAAAGTTGCCTCACCCCCGAGGGGCAAACCACTGTGGAATTCTGATGTACAACCTCTTGGAATTCATGGAATTCTTACGGAATTCATGGAACTCTTTTGGAATTCATGGAGTTATTTTGGAATTGTAAATCTTTTTACAGGTCATTGTTTAGGTTGTCACTTACTTTTTATTGATTTTTATATAATACCTGGAATTCATATACTATTACTGAACAAATCCGCTCTTATTAAAGAAGAAAACGAAGAAACTTTCCAATTTTCATTTCTAATTTCTTAAAAAACTAGCCAATTTTGATGAAATGTTTGAGGTATTTTTTATGTCAATTCGCGTTATGGTATCTGAGAAGCTACTCTGACCGACTGGGAAACGTGCCCCAGGAGGTGCGCGCGCGGCTCCGGGGGGGGGGGATATTAGTTGCAACTTCCGCGAGTTGCAAAAAAAGCTTAATCTAATTCAATGAAAATGCATTGCGCGCTACTTGTCACAACTTGTCCACTCTGGAATCCTGGAAATGAAAATATTTAACATCAACATATTAAGAACGGTCTGAATGGAGCACCTCCACTGGGTTCCTCTTGGCTTCATCGTGAGTCACCAGTCCACGGCTACTGAGCCCCCTCGCCACGACAAGGCGAGAACCCGTTCGAGGGGGAACGATTTTAGGCCCGCTCCAGAAATGTTCTTGAATTCCATTTTTTCGAGGACATCTTTGCTAGATCGTGGACTGTTTTAGCGTAATCCTGGAAGGTGTGTGAACATATTCCAAAAGGTCCCGCTTAGTAATGTCTGGGTTTGGTGGAAAATTGATTTAATTTTATTGCAAGATAAGAGCGAGCTTTCCTGCAGGAATTAATTAAAAAACAAAAATTTAACAAAAGAACGGTGGTTTTTCGTTCGTGAGGATGAAATAGACAAAAAAACGTTGACTTTAGAAAGGTCTAGCCCAAGGTTTGCTTTGCAAGTAGTCGAGGCTCTTATTGCATAAAATTCCTAGTTTTACCGGTTCCTCGGGGTGTGTGAAGATGAAAAAAGGGGAAGAGGAAGATTAAAAGAACCTGTTATTTGAATTGATTTTCTTATTTACATCTCTTTCTTCTGCATTCTTTATCTGACACGATGATATGATAGAACAGTTTTACTTGCCAAAACTCGAAATTACTTTGCAGTCCCTATACCCATTGCAGGTTATTTTACTTCATTGACCAAAGGGACTTCAATGTTTCCACGAATGCATTGAAGGGGCTTAGCCTTGAAAGAATTCAGTGACATGCATAACTATAAATCTAGATTAGTATATTAAATTCATTCATAAACATTTTTTGAATACTTTGTAAGAAACACACTAAATATGAGGGTACCTACATCATCAAAAAATGTACTTATCGGTATTTTCTAATTTTAGACTATGCCCGGAAACACCTTCTACTGGAATTCGCCCGATTTCGAAAGCGACGAGTCACTCCCAAGCAACTTCCCAAAAACATCATACGTCGACCCTTGGGATTTGGAAAACTACGCGTACATTCGCGAGCATTTGGACTCGCTCGAGGTGAACTCCGACACGAGCAGCTTTGGAGAACCAGTCGAAGCCAGTTCATTTTATTACGCGCCCTTAAAGCAAGATGCCGCGAAAAATTTCGATTCTCTCATCGACTCGGAATACGGCACGGCGAAGTACGCCGAAATTGAGGAGATCTACGACACGGATGCCGACAAAAGAGTGTACGGAATCCCGAGCATGGGATTAAACTACGGTAAGGCGTTCACTTTCTTTAGGATTTTGAAAGTAATCGTCTCTTACGCCAGCAGTAAAAGTGAAATGCAACTTTTCGCACTTATTTTCCACGAAATTGGGTTAAATGCAAATCTAAGACGATTATTAAGAGTTTTTCCCAAGCGCTTTCACAAACTTCGCATCTCAGACAACAGGTTTTTTTTTTTTAATAAAACGACGAGCCATATATTTTTATAAAACTAGTTTTCGGAATTTTAAATGCAAGATGGTTCATTAATTTTTGGATGTCATTACCGGCTCGTGACAATCGAATTCTTGAACGTGCGAATATTTTGGGACCAGTTTCCAAACAGTTTCTCTTTGTTTCAATATATGGCTAGTACAAGAGTTGCGAAACTGACCACAAAGTTGCATGGGGAATATTAAATGTGCGTGTGATTAAACCTGATGCGGTTGAGATCTAGTTAGTCCTCCGTATTGCATGATTTACAGTAACGTTAATTAGAGAAGAATTTGACCTCTTTTTCCTTTTTTTGTGTTAAGATGAAGAATTTTCTAATGCTGCAAGATGCGGTCTTGTTACACAGTGTACATATTAATTAATCACTCATACATTTTTGAACGTGATTATAATGTCCAATTATTTTTTTTTTGTTCGTTTTGCATCACCGACTTCCTTTTGCTATTTCTTCAATTACATACCTTATGTCATGTTACCAACCAACTCAAGGTTTTTCTCTAAATTTGGTGCCGAAATAATTAGACGTAATGAATGCCTAAACAACACCCACACAAGAAGATCTAAGACTGAAGATACGCGACACGTCTGTTTGTTCGTACCAAAGCTACCACGAATTGTTTGATGAAATACTCGATACACATATGGTGCGATTTGGTCAATGCAAGAAAAATTAGCTGAAATGTTGCTACACAAAACTATTCATTTAGAGCAATCGAGAATCCCATTAAAATTAAACAAAACTAGATCATATTGTTATGGGACAGTATATTTTGTAGATGAATTATAATTGAAATAATTCGATTGGATCGCTATATTAAGGTGGCCTTTACAAAAAGTGCAAAAGTTCCTCAATAACTTTGTTTCGAGGTAAAAAAATTAACTTCTGTTAACGATCGATGGTTACTAAAGGTTTAAGCTTGTGAATGAAGTTAAATTTGATAACAAATTTTTATCAGTATGTGATAAAAATGAAAGATATATATTTTATATGGGAGTTTTTTAAGAACTTCTTTCTTAAATAACGGCGAAAGTAGAGGAATTAGCTAAATAATTTTTGTTTTATGCAAATGTAGGAACACTACATATTTGAATGAATGTTATTTCAACCAAAACTGTATACCCAGAAGGAAGTTATTGTGGAAACAAATTTCCACTTTTTCAATGTAAACGCCTCCTTAAGATCGTTTAAGATCTCATGCATCTGGTACCATTACCACTATCATGACTATTTATTAAAAAACCTTAATTACTAGGTATAATGCAATCTCATTAACATATACGAAAAAAAAATAGTTAACGGACATAGAAGCACGGAAAACATACCATAAAAATGAATGTTTATTAACTAAAGGAAGCTGAACTAGGCAAATACAGACGTGGAGATGGATATAAAAAGCGGGTTCTTTAAATAATACCTAAATTTGAATTAATTTTTGATGAACTGGGAAAAATACGTTTTTTGGTCCATCTCGTGTATTTTATTTCCAAGGTATTGGAATGTATACAGATGTGTTCACATAAATGCACAAAAAAGTGCATGATTTGCATCACTCTATTTCTAGTGATTTTCACGATGAACCCAACCATTTAGAACTGTGCTCTATGGTCATAATTTTAGATTTTTTTCGGATTATAATCTTCATTTTTTAGTAATTTTGGATACATATTTGCCTATGTCTAAGTTTATTTTTTAGCATTGTAATGCATTAGCAGTCTTCTAACTCTCAGCTAAATACAGCATGTTGAAGACAATGCTAAAAACTAAAATAATAATTTTTGTATACTGCTTGGTTATCCACGGATTTTGGCACATGATTCTTTGTTAAAATTTGTCTCCTGTAGACAGTAGTAGTTTGACTTACTAATAAGTAGCTCGAGAAACTGTTTTTGGCATAAATCCCGTTGATATTTCATTGTAGTACATTCCGGTGAATAATCTTACCTTAAAGGTACCTACTGGAACAATTGTGACAAAATGTTCAAATTTTTAGGTTTTAGGTCGACTTTAGGTCAGATATGGACTCTTTCTAACTCCCTGTGGTCATTTTAGGATGTAGAATATTGAGAAGGGTTGTCGCTCAGAGCGTTTCCTTCTAGTCTGTTGATGATGCGAATCACAGAAAAGTTAGACATTTTAAAACGGAGAGGGGTGACACTTTTGTATGCATTTATAGGGTATAGTATGTGGCTCCTGAAAATGTAATAAATTGATAGTTATTTATTATACAAGACGATCAAGGGATATTTTAACCATTGAGTGCAAAATATTATAATTTGTGCTATGTTTATTTATTGAATTATCATATAAATAAAGCTTCTGACAATTCTGAATTTATATAAAATACCCACGCCGCTTGAACTTAGAGATCTCCGCCCTATATCAATTCTTCCGGTCCTCTCAAAAGTCCTAGAGAAAGCTATCAATACTCAGCTCAACAACTTTTTGAATTTGAACCGCTTAATACCCTGTAATCAATCAGGTTTCCGTGCCGGGTACAGTTGCGCAACTGGTCTCCTTAAAATAACAGATGATATCCTCTCAGCAATTGATAATAGACAGGCTGTTTTATTGATACTACTAGACTACTCGAAAGCCTTCGATACAATACACCATAAAACCTTATTAAAAATTATACACAGTTATGGGATATCAAGTAAGGCCACCACTTTTTTCAAAAACTTTCTGCAGAATAGGCAGCAAGGAGTTGTTTACAACAATCAAAAATCACGCTATCTGAAAATTAAATCGGGAGTTCCGCAAGGATCCATTCTAAGCCCGACTCTTTTCTCAATTTATGTTTCCAATTTCCAAAACAGATTAAAATATGTAAATTCACATTTATACGCGGATGATACGCAATTATACTTACCCTTTAGTCCTACAGACGTAGTGGGAGCGTGCAATAAAATCAACCGGGATTTGGACTTACTACTAAAACTCTCTACAGCCCACTCACTGAAGCTAAATCCGGAAAAATCAAAAGCAATTCTTTTCAGCAGTGGTCACGTTTACGACAGCTTAATTAGTAATGTCAATATCTCTTTAGGAAACACAAAAATTAGCTGCAGTACCGAGGAAAAAAACTTGGGGCTGACACTAGACTATGTTACGATTTAAATCTCATATAAGTAAATGGATCAGATTAGGTTTCGGTAAATTAAAACTACTCTACCAAAATAGAGATGTATTAGACACGAAAGTCAAAAGGATGCTATGTGATAGCTTAGTGCTCTCACATCTGAATTATTGCGATGTAGTCTACGGTCCATGTCTTGACAGTGTGGAGGTAAAAAGGGTGCAAAGGCTGCAGAACGCCTGTTTGAGATTTATATACTGTGTACCACGTTCAATACATCACATCTCGGAGAAGCTAGGCGAAGCAAAATGGCTTAATATGAGAAATAGGAGAGAAGTTCACGCTCTGATTTGTTACTATAAGGTTTTAACCACCAAGACCCCTTCATATCTATGGGAAAAAATAAGCTTCAGGTCGGATGTGCATCACTTAAACCTACGGCACAGGGGCACAATTTCCGTGCCAGCACACCGCACTACGATGTACAAGCGATCCATAACATAGCGACCCTGTGGAATCATCTACCAACGAATCTAAAATCATTCACTACTCAGAAATTCCGTAAAGCTATAATTTCCAGGTATTTAGAGAGACAATAAGCTCATGAATAACAATTCACAGCAGTAGCAGTTTACTACCTATCGGTATGCTTAATTTTAAGAACATTATGATCATGTAATTACGCCGGATTTGTTTCTCAACAGAGGTTAAGTGGAAGAGCAGCGCATTCTGTGAGCTAAACTTCGCCTCTGAAACTTTTCCATTTATTATATTTATCACTGACTCAATAAAGGCATTTATTATTATTATTATTATTATTTAACTTAAAGATGTCGAAAATAACAAGCTTAGGTTCTGCCGCCGCGATCGTTTCCATAGAAACAGAATTGTCTGAACGTCATTTTATATCGTGCATTTGCAATAAGAATGACAGATGTCATTAGAATGTACAGTGATTTGTTTCACTCTATCTACCCTTACGGTTAAAGTGATCACTTTATCTACCCTTACGGTTAAAGAACGGCTTAGCCTACTCATTCAAACCTATTAAAATGCCAATTTAACATATGCTATAAAATAAACAAATTTAATGCACTACAAAAGTTACAACCCTCGCAGTAGGTGGGTGTCATAGAAGAATTAAGTTTTCACAGAGAAAGTTGGAAATTTTAATACGGGCGGGGGTGACACTTTCGTACGCACACTTATAGGGTACCTTATGGCTCCTGTAAATGCAATAAATTAAAGAGACCAAAATATTTGATGCACTACAAAAGTTACAATTCTCGCAACAGGTGGTTGTCATTGGAGAATTAAGTTTTCTCACAAAAAATTGGAAGTTTTAATACGGAGAGAGGTGACACTTTTGTATGCTCTTCTAGGGTAGTTTGTGGCTCCTGCAAATGTAAACAAATTAAGGAGACAAACATTTTTAATGCACCACAACAGTTACAACCCTCGCGATAGGTGGTTGTCATACAAGAACGAAATTCTCTCACAGAAAAGTTAGAAATTTTAATACGGAGAGGGGTGACACTTTCATAAATGCACTTATAAGGTAATTCGTGGCTCCTTCAAATGTAAGAAATTAAAGACACAACAATATTTTTTGCATAGTTATCAAATTACCGGACTTTTTCAGGGGCGGCGACTTATGGGGGTGATAACGGGGCCAATTCCCCTATGCAAAGTGATCTTAATGCTGCATTGCCCCCATGCAAATTATAGATCAGGCAAAAATCTGAAATTAGAAGAAGCTAATAATTACCCCGTTTCCGTAAAGTACCGAGAAAACTGGATGAAGGTACCAATTCCCATCATTACGCTACCCCGAAGGATTTTGATAGAAAAATCTATATTGAGATATTTTCGATTCGGTGGTTATGGGCTTGGTAACGGGATTTAACACAGGCATTTGCCGTAGGAGGGAAAATTCGGGAATTCCTTGAAATCTACGGAGATGACTTTGACTCTTGGATTTATTTTTAATGCTTTCGTCTTTTTTTTGTAGATAAGTAGATAATTAGTCATACCTTCGTAAATAAATGATTAACTTCAGCAAATACTTTTTTCGGTGTATCTACCATTACTTACAAACTCAAACAAATCCTAATTTGTGATCTCTATTCTTCAAGAACATTGGCCCTTGCCCCCGTGCAAAAAATTTAAAACTGCCGCCCCTGCTTTTTTTTATCAAAAAATCGTGCAGAAAGTGGTACTATTTTCACGATTTTTACTATGCGTTATGCGCAATGAAAAAAGTATCACTTTCAAAACTAGTTGTACAAATAACTATTAATACACCACAACAATTACACATTTCCAACTTTTCTGTGAGAAAACTTAGTTCTTCAATGACCTATTGCGAAGGTTGTAATTTTTGTGGTGTAGATATATTATTTTGATAATATACATATATACACCACAACAATTACAACCCTGGCAATAGGTCATTGAAGAACTAAGTTTTCTCACAGAAAAGTTGGAAATTTTAATACGGAGAGGGATGACACTTTCATATGCGGTTATAGGATAGTTTGCGGCTCCTGTAAATGTAGTAAATTAAAGAGACAACAATATTGAATTCGCCACAAAAGTTACAAATTAAGTTTTCCCAGAGAAAAGTTGGAAATTTCAATACGAAGGGTGACACTTTCATGTGCACTTATAGGGCAGTTTGTGGCTCTTATAAATGTAATAAATTAAACAAACAAAAAATGTTTAATACACCACATATGTTACAACCCTCGCAATGGGTCTTGCTCGTATAAGAACTACGTTTTCTTACAGAAAAGGCAGTTGTAATACGGAGAGGGAATGATAATTTATATGCCCCTTATAAGCTTATAAAATGAGCTAGAAGGACTGCCAAAATGAATTGAATAATTGTAGTTTTTCTAGACAAATCGTTATTTATTTCAGTATGGATACAATTACTAAAATTGGCATAGGAGAATCAACACCCATAACTTTAAAAAAATTATTGTAAATGCGGATCATCAGTTAGTAAGTAACTCCATTCATTCGTCACTCTGTGCTTAATTCACCGGGCTCTTCCTTTTATATTGTAACGGGCGCCTGCAATTGTTTCTGTTGCAATAAAGGGTTGAAATTTCCCTTCGTTTAAGAAAGTTTTGAAATTCGGAACAAAAACTGTACAAAATAAAATGAATTATTCTTTCTTTTCGGACAGCCAATTCTTTTTTGGTGGTTTTCCTTACTGCAGAGTTTTCCAACAATAAATGAACTTTTGAAGCGATTTAGCCATGAATCCGACATAATAATGCATAATGATGAACTCGTTCGGTCAGCACATTTACTTCCGTATTCGAGGATGTATTTATGTATTTTTGCAATTCTACACTTAAAAAGTTATTAAGTTACTCGTACAGTTTAATGGAAATTCTGTGTATATTAAAACACAACTGGTTAGTAACTCGACTTAACATTTTACACGCTAACTTTTCCCGAATTGCCCTTGTTGTTCGGGAACAAGATAACTAATTCAAATATTTCACTCTCGCCGATTGCCGAGATACTTCATCTATCTAATTGATTAAAACTGAATAATCTTTAATTATTGGATAAACTTTTATGCCCACAAATGGCGAATTATCTTCAAAATGGCGATGTCTAAATTTTCTATTGATTAATGTCTTTTTTACCACCAATCCCGAACGGTTGTAAACTGAACCCTAACTCAGACTCCAGGGTGCGACTGACGATTAGAGGCACTTTAAGAAACAAAGACACTGTTGTCGAGCAGATCATCATTTAGCCTTGACTGTTTGTTAAAATTGCATTTTTTATTAATTTTGTCAGTTGAAATATTTAACGTCAAATATTGAGCTTTTTTTGAATATTGGTGTTTATAAGTGTTTTTTAGAGTACAAGTTGTATTCTGAATTTGACATGTTGTAGAGAATAAATCTTCCCTTACTTTGACATGGTGAATATTAGTTTGGGGATTAAATTATAAACAGTGCCACCTGAACCAACCAATAATCAAAACGACGACTGGTCGCGACTACGACCAACAACAGACACATTGATAAATAACGAGCAAAAATTAAATACCCATGATAGCAGAGTCGACCATTGTGTTTTTCCACCTGTTTCCCAAAACCAATAACTAAACAACGAATTCAATTTTACTTATTTCTGCGTGAAATTCAAAAATTGAAATCCAAACCTAATTGCTCTCGTTACAAGCCTATAAATAGTGTTAATTTTCTTCGTTTGTTTGTAGGGTTGCAGGTTCTTTAGAGTTGAATATTATGAGGGATACAGGGTGCTTCAATAGGTTTTGCGTAGTTTTTTATGATTTTTTTTGCTTTTGATCTCTTACACGTTCTCTTTTTATATGTTCGGCTTTGTAATATGTGCTAATAAGATTCGAATTAATTAAAACACTTTATTATCCACTCAAGACCCCATTGGGTGGATAGTTTATTGCCGTATTAATTTTTATTGGTCCCATTAAATTCGTCATCAATTTTTACGTTTTTTTAAAAGAAAGTAACCGCACTTTCTCAAAAATAGTAGTTTAACGTTCGGAATAATTTAGATCCATTCACTTTCAACAACTATTTGATTAGAATGAATCTTGGTACAATAAAAGATAGTCAACGCGCAAAGAAGTCTTTCGACCGCAACTTTTTTGTGGTGTCGCCAAACCTCTGTTGATCTACAAACAGGATCCGTGAAGATACCTTGACATTTTTTCTGATTTTTATTTCCTATTTTTAAAGACGAGCTTGCATAAGTTACGCTCCATAGAAACCAGTATTATACAACAGTCCCGTGCGGCTATTTTTTCGAAATTAAGCGCATAATTAGAATGAGCCATTCACAATTATATACCCGCAGCATTTAATTTTCAACGTAACTTCTACAATACAAATTTACAATAATTGTCATTGTTCGCTTCCTGCAATTTGTCTTATGGAAATCACGCAGAACGCAACCTTCAGCCAAGTGTAAAAATATAATTCATAAGGAAATATGTATCTATAATGAATAATTCAAAACGATGATAACTTAAAAATCCGATTGCATCACGTATTTCGGCATAGTCACCTACATTTTTTACGGCCGTAACCGGCAGCTACTAATTGCAGCAAAAAAAGTAAAAGTTAAAGCGTTCCTAAATTAATGACATAAACTTGCAACGTTGACTTCAACATCCTAACTAATTTATTTCGAACTCAGTTATGCATTACAGAAATTACCATTTTTTTTTTAGTTTAGAAAGCATGTCAGTGATAACACAATTTATAGCAAAAAAGGAATGGCCAATGGGGAAATCTTCCGTTCAGATATTAATGAAGAAGATAATGTGCAAAGTAGCTACTTTCATTATTATTTTTGTTGTCTTTTATTGATTATATTGTAAAATTCACAATCAATAGTATTACATGTACATATAGAAAGAGCTCGCAATGAAAATACATACTAATTAGGTAAAATGCAACATTTGTGCCTAATTTTAGGCAATTTTACAATGTTCGAAACAGTCAACGATATTTTTCTAGTTCCAAATAACATGGTACATGGCAAAGTTAAAGCGGAAACTAGCTTGTAAATCGTTAGAGGACAGTAGGTATAGGTTTGATTACAAAACTTCAATTTTGAGCGGCCTTAAACACTAACATTAATTCTTACTTCACCACTGCACTTAAAGATTACAAAGAGAGTTATCAAAAATCCTTCGATTGCGTCCGCTTTTACACAAATTTTTTTAACGTGTTTTACAGCTTTATTGACTACTATGAGTATCCGCACCTCAATAAAGCCATTACTTTTTACGTATCGTACCAAATAATAAATCTTCCTATTTCAGAAGACAGATTTTTCGGAACGAAAAGCAAAAGAAGCTCGTCGACCACTGCCCACGACCACTTAAACCAACCGAAAATTCCCGTACGAAGAAGAATGAGTTACAGCTTCGGAGACCACGGGTATACCACATATTTATACACCGTACTTAAATCTAAAGATGATAATTTTAGTCGCAGCAGAGATAACGCACCTCAATTAGTCTACCATTCGACGGATGATAAACAAAAATTGAAGAAATCGCCAATGTCCGAAGAACGCTTCCATCCGAACAATTTTGGCCTAAGCACTTACGGTCACTTGAAGATCGACTACTCGTTCAGTTGGGATAATCTGAACAGATACATTTCTAACTAGTCATATTCTTCTTTTTTTTTTTAATTGTACTGTATTTGGTATTTCTGCTACAATGTAGTGGTGATAAGGATCTACATTATTTATTAGTATCTAATCTAATAAATGTATTAATAAGTAAAGAATTGGATTGTCAATTTTCAACTGGTGAGGGTGAGCATTACGTCAAAAGGGCACGACTACTACCTCAATATATGCAGTCCTTTTCTTTGGAAATTGGGCCTTTTCAAAATTAATACAATAGTGGAACTCATTTCAGAAGAATTTCCAACCAAAAACTATGGAATTACGAGCTCTTTAATGGTTTGAGGGTTTAATCCTTTTCGGCAACTTACGAGCTACGAGGACAAAATGCACCAACGAACATAAAAGTCGCGCCATTGGAAATTATGGGGTCATGTAGCAATTGTATCACTTTTTCGACATGGTTATTGCATTATAATTTTTACATATGTATTTCGACATATTTGTGCTAACCAAAACAAAGGTGTTTTTGTTATGAAAGTAATCCTGAAAAAGGAATGTACTGATGAAATATAGCAGGAAATATTTCTGATATGGGAGTACCTACCTATTAGGTAAGATACAACAGACTGCCACCAACATTTTTCAAATTGTTGAGCAATTGTACCTATTTGTAATGTTTCATGAGACTTACGGCCACATGCAGTGTAAAATCGCTGTATCTTATCATTTTGTTTGTAGAAAATGTCAAGCACCGATAAAATGAACCATTCTTTTCATGATTCGCTATTCACCTATAGCCAAATGGGGTACTGGGGTATTGTACAAAAATAAACCGCTATTATTAAACTTAATGAAACAGTAAATTTAGTAATACCTTCCGTAAATTAAGCGAGCGCTTTTGAACTAAATACTTCCTTATGGAACCGTCCTTTCCCGTTTCTTTGTCTGTCTGTCCGGACTATAAACGAGATATCTGGAGAGAGATTTTTATATACTTCTCTTTTTTTGCAACCGAACCGGCAGTTTATGTCTGCCTCTTGGATGAGTTTTTGGATGAACAAAATTGTATGATCATTCTTCATGCACCCTTGCATTTAAAACCCTTTTTCCAGAAGCCCTTTTCAAACGTAAGATCCTTTCGCTACAAATATATAATTCTAGATCGCTTTATAATGGTTTTAGACCCACAATTTCTGTTTTACACTGTAAAGGGCATATTCTTACACAACCTCTTGTAACAAATTTGACTGTTTTCCAATTTCATTAGAAACGTGATTCGTGAGGGTGATTGCTAAGAACTAAATGTGCACTTGTAAGTGACCAAAGTTTCAGAGCTTATAATTTTTATAAAAGAGGAGCTCCGATCTCTTTGCTTTGCTGTTTCTTGAGGCATTCTTGGCCATTTTCTTAATGCTTTTTCACTCTTCTGCTTTGATGACTCGATTTACGAATCCATTTCTCACCCTTGCTTCGCCTCCTATACCACCACGCTTCTTCTCTGTATACTTTCTTCTCTTACATCTGCTTGAGAACATTTATTTCAGGTCGGCTTGAGTTTTCTTCCCTTGTCGTTATGCGTCGCTTGTTATTTTTTCTTCTCATTCACGCTTTCTCCCTTGGCGTGACCTTTTTGGCTTTCCTTCCTGTTTATAATAATAATAATAATAATAATAATAATTTTCATTGTTCGTAAATTTCTAAACATAACACAAGATACTACATACAGAAATGATCCACAACGTATACATGTAAACAACAGCACTCCCTCACAACACGGTACACAACATTCTGTAATATCTCCACCTCTAACCCAAACAAACACACAAATACAACTTACCGAACAAACAAGTACAACAAATGATACAACATATACTACATTCAGAGATTCACCTCTGAAGCAAACCACATTATCACACCCATTAGTATTCAACCCAAACGCAAAAGCCTAAACAGCACTTTAGACTCACAACATGACACACAACATACTGTAATATCTCCACCCTTAACTCAACCAACCACACAAACACAACTTCCTGAACAAACAAACGCAATAAATACAAGTAACGCAACATGCACTACAAAGACGCCCTCGCCCAATAAAGTTACACGGCCTAGCACAGCTAAAAAACTCAATACTCTTTCCTCTCAGAAACACACCTCGTTATCACAACCCACTCGTACTCAACGCAAACGCAGCAACCTTAACAGCACTAGAGGCTCACAAAATACCGTAATGTCTCCACCAATAATGCGAGCAACAACACAAACACAACCTCTAGAACAAAGAAACACCATAAATACAAGTAACGCAACTTGCACTACAAAGACAGGTCCACCCAATAAAGTTACACGTCCTAGCACAGTTAAAAAACACAAAACTCCTTCTTCACAGAAGCACACCACATTATCACAACCCACTCGTATTCAACCGAAACGCGAAAACCTTAACAGAACTACAGGCTCACAACATACTAAAATATCTCCAGCAAAAACCCAAGCAACCTCTCAAATACAACCTCAAGAACAAAGAAACATCATAAATACAAGTAACGCAACATGCACTACAAAGACATGTCCACCCAATAAAGTTACACGTCCTAGCACAGTTAAAAAACGCAATACTCCTTCTTCTCAGAAACAACCCACTCGTATACAACCCAAACGCAAAAACCTTGACAGCACTACTAGCTCACAAAATACTGCAATATCTTCACCAAAAACCCAAGCAACCACACAAATACAACCTCAAGAACAAAGAAACACCACAAATACAAGTAACACAACTTGCACTACAAAGACAGGTCCACCCAATAAAGTTACACGTCCTAGCACAATTAAAAAACACAAAACTCCTTCTTCACATAAACACACCACGTTATCACAACCCACTCGTATTCAACCGAAACGCGAAAACCTTAACAGAACTACACGCTCACAACATACTGTAATATCTCCACCAAAAACCCAAGCAACCACACAAATACAACGTCAAGAACAAAGAAACACCATAAATACAAGTAACGCAACATGCACTACAAAAACAGGTCCACCCAATAAAGTTACACGCCCTAGCACACTTAAAAAACACATAACTCCTTCTTCACAGAAACACACCACATTGTCACAACCCACTCGTATACAACCGAAGCGCAAAAACCTTAACAGCACCACAGGCTCACAAAATACTGCAATATCTCCACCAAAAACCCAAACAACCTCACAAATACGACCTCAGGAACATAGAAACACCATAAATACAATTAAAAAACACAAAACTCCTTCTTCACATAAACACACCACGTTATCACAACCCACTCGTATTCAACCCAAACGCAAAGCCAAAGGAACACTTACACAATAAACTCTATTTAATAAAATTACAGGAATTATTATAATGATATTTTTGTTTTGTTTTCTTCTTTCCTGATAGCGTTGACTATTGGGGCCATTAATAGCTATGTTGGTAAGTATGAATTACATACTATCCCTAGATTTCCAATGTGAGTGTGTGAATATTTATTTTATTTTTTATTTTTTTTTAGAACCCTACATAACTTTACCAAACACAGACACAGACACTAATCGTTACTTGATTTTAATCCGTGCGATTAGTTAACCAGGCTAGACCTGAGTTCTCACAAGAAACACCGACAATAATAATAATAATAATACAAACAACACAAACAAAGAAACACCATAAATACAATTAAAAAACACAAAACTCCTTCTTCACAGAAACACACCACGTTATCACAACCCACTCGTATTCAACCCAAACGCAAAGCCAAAGAAACACTTACACAATAAACTCCATTTAATAAAATTACAGGAATTATTATAATGATTTTTTTTTTTTTGTTTTTCCTCTTTCCTGATAGCGTTGGCTATTGTGCCCATCAATAGGTATGTTGGTAAGTACGAATTACATTATCCCTAGATGTCCAATGTACGTGTGTGATTTTTTTTTTTTTTTTTTTAAGGACCCTACATAACTTCACCAGACACAGACACAGACACTAATCGTTACTTGATTTTAATCCGTGCGATTAGTTAACCAGGCTAGACCTGAGTTCTCACAAGAAACACCGACCATAATAATAATATATATTTGGTCTAGTTGATCACAAGATTTGGATATAAGACAAGTCGTATAAAACAAACATATGTAACATAATAACACATTAAAAACAATTTAAAAAGCAACACATTTACCTACATTAATGTTTAAAATTTAAATAATCTTGAACGGAATAAAAAGCGTTTCTTAATAGATATTTGTATACTTAGGCCGCGAAGTCATTCTTTAACGTACCCAAAAGAAGATTGGCGCCGAGGCCGCTTGCGGCCGAGGCAAGGCAACTTTGAGGGCGTTAAAGAATGACGCGGCCGTGGTATACACAACATTTTTTGTGCAATTGCGTAGAATCGTCAATAAATAAAAATGAGATTTCAAAAATAATAATTTTCGTCGCAAATAGAAAGACAGCCAGTTTTCATTTTACCATGGAAATGACAATGAATAACTTTCCGTGAAAGGAAAGTCAAAATGTGTGACTCCGAAAGTGATTCTTCGATATCCGGAACTCCTCCGGAAATAAAACTTTTTGCGAATTCTGCTGTGTTGCAGTTATGAGTTAGTACCTGAAAAATCGAAGCGGCAGTACGAAAAATGCTACAAGGACTTCAAGTGTACCTGTCAGTTTGAGTTCTAATGAAAATCAAAATGTTACAGTTTCAAAGTATAACGCTTCTAACACTTTAGACTTTATTTCAGGAGTAAGTATAAGTAACAATACGAACTGTACGCTTAATATTAACATTTATCCAAAAGATTTGTAATTACCTACATGCTGATTGTCAAAATATATGTGACATTGTCTTACTTTAACGGCCGTCGCTATGACCATGGCGAACGCGAAGTTGTTGTTTTGCGTCCAATTGCACAAAAAAGTATTTTTTTAACCTCGCACACAAATTTGCTAGCAGTTAGGGTTTTTACATGTTCCGGTAGCTTGTTATATACTAACGGCCCTACATAATAAGGATTTGACGTAAACAGAGACATTTTGTGAAAAGTAAGTGACAAATTAGAGCCATTCCTAGTTGAATGCGTATGGTGCGAGTTTTTAAGACTAAAATCACTTATATTGAATTT